ATTCATACCTCGGTATACAGGTTAATGTCTAGAACCACAATAGTATACTACCAAGATGTATATACATTGTCACACGAAGATTATCAACTATGGGATGTGATTATTTTAAATATTAAAATACCGTATTAAACTACATCAATGATAGTAGCGTGAAAGTTGTCATGGTTTAAAATACCACAGATGACAGCGTTCCGTTGTCTTCTGTGAGAATGGACTGCTTGGTAGAGCCAGGTGAGTGTACTCCAGTTTCCAATGTGACCGAATGTGTAGTAGGTCCAGTGGCAGTAGTAGCCCATATGTCAGATAGGCTATTACCACTAGCCAGAATGTTAGGAGGACGATGAATGCTTTGTTTATGAATTCATTGAGTTTAGCAGCAAAAGCACCAACACTCCACACAAATACCACATCCTATTCTAATCTAATCTAATATTCAACCATCAGAAAGTGTTGGTGACAGGGGTTCGTTCATGTCCCATGAATACTGGGCCGGAATGACTGAGCTATAAGACGAATCCGACGCCATTCGTGAGACCCTGCATTCATGGGAATTCTGAGATTCCTTACAAGAAACTGTTCTCTCTACAGATTCACTTTCACCATCTGTGACTTTTACAATTCTCACATTTGTAAGATGTACCATCACAAAAGTCACAATCTCCTCGGGCTTAGTTAGGTATGGAAAGTCGCCACCATTTTTCATGGTTGCTATCTTCGCGTCCGCATATCTGCACCTATTAGTCAGTTATACGGACCAAACGTACGCTGTTCGCATTTCTTCATTTAGTTCTTCGGGTGTGTTGTTATTATTTGTCTCGATAATGAGTATTTTACTGTGCGGCATTCTTTGCAAGCCAAAATCACCGACATATTCCGTAGACATTTGCAACCTGCGATCTTTAGGTGAGATAATATCGAATATCCGTTACTTACGATATCCTGCTGCCTAGATCACTTGCAGTTAGTTGGTCGAGTTCGCTGGCCATGAACTCACGTGCCAGCTGTTCCATGACGGAAACTCTTGGGATACCATGATAGTTTTTCGGACATATATATGATTCGACGAATATGTTGCGCAATATCATGTGCGGCAACACGGAGTACCACCGTCCATATAAGCCTCTCAAATCTGGAGAGCTACTGAAACAATCAGTTCTACAACGTTGTGAATATAGTTTAATGCATTGAATATGTGCCCGAAGAGGCAATCATCTAGACACAGCAAACTAGAAGTGATTCAGTTGCGCACGACCGGTGATGACGCATTAATGACCCCATGAGTGGTGACATACGATTTACTTAGTCCTACGGCAGACCGGTCCGACGTCTAATTCAACCACACAACAGTTTGGCTTACCTGCGATATGAATTGCATAGTATCATCGAATAAACGCTCTCTGGATACTTTTCAACGAAAAGTTGTAACAAATAGCCACCCAAATCACTTCCAAAGACCGTTGGCTTCGATAATTTAAGGTACTCGAGAAAGTGCAACAGTCCTGAGATCCACTCCTCTACGGAGTAGTACTCCGGATACTGGGCGGATATGCATCTTACTCCCTAAAGGTATATACATGTCTGCTTTGTTTGTCACACAAATACGATAATGTCGCCAAGCAGGGTGTGATTTGATTGCCCATTAGACTTACACAGTCTATGAATATAACTTGTTGCCAGCCAAAAGAGCATGGCAATAGGCACATCCATTACTACACAGCAACCATTGCCTTCGTTGATAATGACGCCAATAATCAAATTTACACAGATAAGGTAACACACATCAAGGCAAATTACTTTGTAAGCTATGAATATACAACTTACTGCCTCAGAGAGCTTGTTCATCACATAGAAATAACATCCAGCAGTACCACAGATGCCGTGAAGGAGTACTACGGTTGGTAGTTCCGCAGTACCCCTGTCAGAATCCCTGGTCTTCCTTGTTTTCGCACATTCATAGTACGTCCAATAAAGTTCACTAATTGGATCAAACACCCGCTTCACTGGCGTTTTCTGTTTGAATCGCGCGTAGTCACTTTGTATCGATCGCAGAGACTGTCGACACTCGACCGTTGCGGTGGTATAGGACCCCTTTGACTGATTTAGATTACTGGTAGACGGCAAAAGCTTGCCGTTCATTATTAGATTAATGTTAATGATTGACGAGATCTTGCCGCGAGGATGTGTGGAGTCGCGCATCAGACTCGGGGGTGTTATACTATCTCCATTCTTATGATACCACAGATTTGAAAGGAAAAATGTTAAGTTTATCGGATGTAGCTGATTACCTACGAAGTTTGCGTGATCGTATTGCAACTGTTCAGGAAGATTGTTCAGCTTCCGATAAGTTTCTGCTGGCATCCAATGTGTTTGAACAAATCAAGGATCACGTACGTTTCTATATAGATAGTAACGACTGACAGTAAGCTCAGGCTCCCTCTTTGGCGACTCATCAAGTTCTTTCTAAATATTTAGAGAAGCTGGTAACGCTGCTGGCGCACTCCCTGATTGAGGATCCCAAGAGTGACATCCAGGAGAAGCGTAACCTTTGTCTTTCCATCTGTAACCAGATATTTCTGAAGGCAGATGTCGAAGTGTTGTCCAAGGACATGTTTGGCTCTCACGTACTGCAATCCACATTGCAATGTTGCACCCTTTTCGAACACCAGGGTATATCGCTGAGCGAGCCGCTGCAATACGTCACTTCCACAGTAGAGTATGTTGTGCATCTGTGTTGTTCCAACATTTGCCAGAGACCGTTGCCTTTTCGAGCTTCTGCATCATACATCAGGCTCCCATGTACTTCGGAGCCTTACGAAAACCTTGGCCGGTGCCTTGGATTCTGATGCTTTCCAAAAAAGTAAACGTGAGTGTTAAAATAGCTTAATATTCAATGCATATAAAGGGAAATCTGGTGATTCTGCGGAAGTTTTACTCTATAATAAGGTATTGCTCTTTCATTGTTGCCTCCATGCCGTTGCAGCGTGAAGTTGAGGCTTGGCGCATGTCTCGTCTGGAACGGTGGGCCGAGCTTTTTTGCAAGGATATGAAAGCTTCTCTTTCAACACCACAGTCTTGTGCCACGGTCTGTCTCGTTCTGAAGTTGTGCCAGAAAAGCCCTAGTAGCATGACGACAGAATTGTCAAAGAAAACCCTTTCATACAGTTTTGCACACTGCACCGACTCCAAGACTGCAAGTTTCGCTGCTGAGAATTGTCTTGAATTCTGTGACAATGCCGAGTTCAATCGCCTTTTTAACAGCTGCGTGCTTCCGAGGGCTAAAGAGATATCGGAAAACAGTTTTGGTAACTACGTTATTCAAGCACTAGTACGCCATCGTTACTTCCAAGCGACACATATGGAGGAGCTGTTGGACTGTATAGACATAAGCGAATTGCTGCTGAGTTCCTCATCTCCCATCGTCTGGCGTCTGTGTGAATCTGCCGTGACGTTGGGTACAGGTCAATCACACTTTATAAAAAAGTTACTGGAAGCGTTAGGGATATCTCAAAACCGACGTGCTGATCCAAAAAGCCAGTCACCTGGCGCGAAGCGCCGGAAAACGGAGGTTGGGTCGCAATCACATGACACACCTTCCCCTGAGCACACCGACAGCGGTGACGCCAATGCAACATCTGACGCTGGTGCTACCAGTGTTGCGCGTCGGGGAGTAGAATGCGGTAAGGGTCGCATTTGGCTAGCGCTGATTTCGTGCAAACCTGTTGATTCCGACCATATTCACTTGCGTGCTACGGGGGCGTCAATTCTACTGAATCTGCTTAAGTTTGAACGTAAACTCATCGCTCATGTGTTGAGTGACTTCAAACACTTCCTAAGAATCGCAAAATCGCAAAACAAATTGGGAGAACTTGCCACTGATCGCCACTTTTCCCGAGTACTGCAGCTGCTGCTCGACCGCCGTCAGGGTCTCATGAAGGAGAAGCAAATAGAGCGCCTCTTCAATTATTTAAAAGCAGACTTCGTGGAACTGGCCCTAAACGTCAATGGCGCCTTCGTGCTCTCAAGCCTTTTCGCAGCATGTCCTCTACGTCTTCGCCAGAGTATCTTGACGGAACTTGCCCCCGAGAGCGATCGAATCCTTGCAAAGAGCAAGAAGTTCGCAGAGATCGTCGGTCTGGAATCGTTCTGTAAGAACAAGGAATTATGGTCCAAGAAAATGAGCAAGGCCGAGTCGGTCAGGTCTCTTTTCAAAGACATTATCGAACCGAAGTAGTGAAGCGATGCTGTCACTTCATGTGAAACAACACGTTACGCTGATAATATAACAGGGTGCACATTTTCTACATTAAATTTGAGTTTTGTCGTTTCCTCTTAATACGGTATTTGTTTAGCGCAATCCAGACTACTAGTGTTTCTCTACTTCCAGCCATTTCTTCAGCAGTGAGCACACGGTACTAGCGCGGCTATCAATATTTCGACCATGTAGATCACGGCAGCCAGTCGGTCCTCAGCGGCGCCGGCTGCATCTGTGAAATGTCCCCGCTTTTGATCATTGCTCTAACTTCTTCTGTTGTATATGTTCTTTTAGCAAACTTAGTCTCCTTTTGCGTAAACAAATCAAATACGCTCGAAAGTTTTTCTGGCTGAGTGGCGCAAACACCGAGGATGTGGTGACGGCAGACGATTACAATTTCTTCAACTTCGTCAAGGCATTCAAGCTTCTGTGAGATGTATTGCTTAGATAATAGATGCTCAGTTGCTTACTTTAATCCGTTTCTTTTCTTCTTCGGCAACCAGCGAATTATAAAATGCGTTCATGTCCATTATTGCGATCCTTTCCCAGCCTAGTCCGGTATACCTGCGAATCTAGATGGACCATTCACCGTAAAAGGCCAGAGAAGCCATGGCATAGAGTAACATTGTGGTTGTTTGTGTTAACCTGTGTTATTTTACCCTACCTCTCTATCTGACTGTCGATTGTCTGATATGTGCTCGATCCATGCAGTTCGATTCCTAAGTGCTACGAGATGGATCCAATGGCAACAATTCGTCTCACCTTGAACCTTTTCAGCATCAACTTCCCGAAATTGTCGTCAGTCCTTGCCTAAGTCTTTATGAACTTGGGCGAGGGCGAACGACGTACCTGCTCCCAGAAGACGAAGCATGATGGTCTGCTGCTGAGCTGGCTGGAGAATTTGATAACCTATTAGTGGATAGCAACCTCATAGATCGGTTCGCATTACCGCATTGCTTTCATCGACGGCTAGATAAACCAAGGATAATTCGCTTAGGAATAATGTGGGTCGGCTTCAAGGCGTTAATAGTTTGACGTGTATTCGCTTACTCCCTTGCTATCTTATATTTTGAAAGAAGCATCTCCACATCTTCGATTTTGCTCAGGTTTGCAGGTACCTGCCTGTTGTATCTGATTCCTGGTATCTACCAACCATTTTATATCTCAGGGTTACGATTAGAGTTCCGCCATCGTCTTCGTAGTCAGAGAGCAACCGCATGATAGGTTCTGCGTTCTTCATCAGCTTTGCTTTCTTCTCCAACTGCTCCGGAAGGTCGAGTTCGAAGCACGTGGCGTTGCGATAGTGCTGCAAGACCCAGAATGCGACGGTGTCAAATCCACACCCGAAATTCACAATTTGGAGATCTTCATCTGGAAACTGTCTGACGAACGCAGATATTGCAAATCTGACTGAGGTGATTCGCAGGAAGTGGACTGTTAGCTGATGTGTAAGGTATAGTTACCGACTCACGGATGTTATGTACGGGTCCTTGGTTCTCGCCGGTAACCATGTACTGGATAAAATCATCCTTCACATAACCGGCCTGAACGGACGACCTGCTTAGGTGTGACTTTCACAGTATCTAATCTACCATTTGCACCGAAGAACGTGGCCACTGGTGTCTAGGCTCTCTCCTACGTCATCGTCAACCACAGGCTTATTGTTAGTCATGGATTTAAACATTATATTGTGTGTTACCAAGTGAAGTATCCGGCAACGCTCATCCTTCTTCTTCTTCTTCTTCGAGCTCTTCAGATGTGTCGTCGTCGGATTCTGTGAGGCGTTGCACATTAGGTTACCCTCATTCATCTTACCCTCTTCGTCTTCGAAGTCCTCATCCTCCACTTCCTCATCATCATCCTCTTCATCGTCATCGAGAGGTGCCGTTCTGTACGCAGGGGCTTTTTCGGCCTCCTCGAGCCTTTTTATTTTCACTTCCCTGGATGAGAGGTACTTTGAAAGCGGCTCAAACTCGGCACGATCGATGTTAGTGAACTCGAATTCCTGTCCGAATTTCGTAGCTATGCTGAAGGCAAAGAATCTGTTTTGTGTAGAAACCCCAGTCCTGCTGAACTCGACAGAGATGATGTCGTCGAACCTGCGAAATGATCTAACCTAGTTATTTTAGACGCACCTGATGAATATAACCGGTTTGACAATGAATAACAGTGATCTGTTGAGAGGGAACATGTATCCACTGGTTGCCTTGTATGTACACGAGAACCCCTGAGGACGTTTTATGCTTCGGGTGGTCTATACTCACTGATTCCCCCTTGTCTGACTTGAACTCCCCGGGTACGACAATTGGCTTGTTAACTAGCGTTCCAAACAGCTTAGTGACCACATTGAACGTTTTCCCTGTTCCCTATTAATGACACCTTTAGCCATGCATACCTGTCATGAGTTTCTCTAGTTTCATAGCCTCCAGATCGGTTTGGGGCATATTTATTTCCAATTCGACATCCTCTTCTGCATCAAACTGCATTACCACATAAGGGTATTTGGTCTGCCCTTGTCTCATTGCTTGGTGCAGGCCTAGAACGAAGTTGATGTGCGGGCTGTTAGGTTTGGGAACAAGGAACATGCGAGATATGTTTGTGAAGAACATGGTATAGTCGTAACTCTTGCCGTGCAACTTGATATGTTTCCGAGTGAATTCGATTTCGAATCTTCCTCTGGGAACGATGAGTGGCACATCGGTGAGTAGTGCCACAGTTTCCGACTTGAGTTCGTCGAGTCCTGCCTTGAGCAGGAATGTCTGTGCGCTCGTTGTTTTGCTCCAAATTGAAAATTACCTGTTTAACGTCCTCAAGAAGCAGCTCGTTATCTTCGGCGTCTGGCTTGTTGGGCATACAGAAACGTATTTCCACCAGCTCGTCTCCTGCGTTGCCGCCATGTGTTGGCTTGAGCTCCACCGCAAGATCGGTTTTAGCCGGTACAGTGACCTGGCTGACGCTCTTAGCATCAATATCAATAGCTACGTCTTCATCTATTTTGAATTTGAACGTGTTGTTGTCGAAGTCATATGTCCCCCAGTGCCATCCAGAATGGGTAACCTCTTCCACGGTGGTAGGTACTTTGAAGTGCTCCTCGAAGTGTTGCTTTAGTTCCCCTATTGCCTTTTCTGTGAATCCACAAAAGCGTAAGACCTCATGTTCCTTCGAAGCATTCATCTCGAAACGAACCTGGTGCATTCCTGCGTGTAGTAAGAGGTGCGGCGTTGCAGACATGCGCCATATACTAAACAAAACAACCACTAGACAGTCACAGGCATGTTAAATACAATGGCAAACGTTCTGAGAGCGAGAGTTGTTCGATTTCGAGGACTTTGTGATACCATCAGCTCGCGCTCCGTAGGTGGCTGTCGCTTTCTTCAAGGTTACCGCCAACCGTTACAGTGACACCGGATACTTCAGTATGCAAGAAACAGATACGTGATTCATGCAACCTCAGAGTAGCAGAGTGTGTCGCTGCACCGCGGACACGTGGCTACGAAGATAGACAGAGTGGCGTTACACCCCTTACAAGCAAAGACTTTCAATATAACCTTACCTGCTCCTGTATTAATTAGTGAAATACGCTGCACGTCACTACGCCTGTGCTGGATTACTTCGCCAGTGCGTTTGTTCTTCCACCCGAAAAGCTCGGTAGAGACCTTGAATGCCCCCTGCGTTTGTGAGTCAAGAATTTTCATTATCTCATACCGTATCGATTGTTTCTGGGCGCCTAATGCCACCAAAAACCAGCACAGGGTTCCCGGTCGCCATTTTGACGGTGTTACGTCGCGCGCAGCGCTAAAGTGTGTTCCTCTAAGAGTTGTCCGCTCCTTTCACGCGCTCAGGGTTAAAAGGCAGATTGGTCGCAGTACCATACGTGAAATGGTTGGTTTATACCCCAATCAAACGGTATATGCGACAGATAGTTACCTTCCTTCTGGGGAGGCTACACCCCGCCTAGTCGGCACACAGTACCGAAAGAATTTAAATTAATATAACTCAAAATGCTCAAATTCCTTATCATCGGACAGCTAAATTGACCTATGGTTGTTTAGACGCATCGGTACGCGCACACGCAGCTGCGTGGACGTTGTTTTCATATCAGCGTAGTGCGATATGATCCGATTACCAGATCAGCCGTAAATCCTGTGTGGCTTTCCCATAGTGCTCTTGATAGTGAGTCCGCGAACATTTTGCCAGTTCTTTTTGAGGAGACTGACAAGGTAGTTGATGGCGAGGACGATGTTAGCCCTTAGTTGTTCGTGTGTCATTTCTACGTTACCAACAGCGACGCCCATGCAAAGCACCTTCTTCAACTGGAACTTCACGCTGGCCTTAATTTCCCTGACCTTGTCTTCCATGTTGTCGTTATGGGTAATTTGGGTAGGGAATTTGCCCGCCTTGTTGAGTCCGGGTCCAAGGAACCTCGGAATCTGCGGTAGGAGCGTTTGGGAGGCGAGGAATGCGCCATATTTGTTCGCCAACTTTTTGACTAGTGTCTTGTTTCTGTTAAACTTCTTGAGTCCCTCAAGGTCGATGTAGTCGATTCCCAAGCTCTTGGCCTGATCACAGTGCACTTGGTCCCCGAATACGCAGACCTTCATGCGCTGGCGAGGCACGTTTTGCAGTACGACAGTACCGCTGAAACGTTTGTCCCTCTGGGTATCATAATCCTTAAGGGCTGCAAGCGGCATGAAGGGAGAGTTATTACGATGTGCACAAAAGACTGAAAAAATGCCGTTGTCCATTGGCCACAAAGACACTAAAGGTGTTCGACGCAGACACGGGGTGATCCCACGCACTTATGATGGAATGGAACCATTAATGGCATCACCGCCGTTATTAATTGGCTTTTCAGTGCGATTTTCAAAAATGGGCAAGTGACCACCGTGGCCTCAAGACGGCGAGGGCCACCAAGCAGGCCTAAGGCAAAAAAAGGCTTCACCACAGGTTGCAACCACTTTTAGGAAAACAATGGCGCAAACCTTGCCCTTTCGATACTGAAACCGCCAGCTTATTGCCGTCACAGCCTACCACCACCGCGAAGGGACCAATGACATCGCACGTTTAGGCAAAACTTACATATTTGGAGCTCTACAGTCTCGACAAATTTCCTCTTCTTTTCCTGGGACTGGGTAAGTATAGCCGAAATGGCTTCGTTGAGCGTGTCGAGGGTGAGTTTACTACGTGAAGTTAGTTGCCCGTTGTTTGACGCTCACCTCATCGTTGACTTCTTTCTTTTGCCACCTTATATTATGCACGCCTGCGAATCTGATGGCATTACCGATGCTTCGCGTAATTCGGAGGCCTATATTATCGACTATTGGCTCCATCCGTCGCCAGGCGGTATGTGTGGGGACGAGGCGCCGTCAGGGCCGGCGGCGGTAAGTCTGCGAAGCTGGCTCTTCGGCTTTATCAGACCAATCTTGAGTTTGTCTCTATTTATATTTCTTATGTTTTAACTTTAAAGAACTCGGTACGACAATGTGTGCGAATGCCCAGCGGTGATGGCGACCTCCACCGCCGCGGGAAGGGAAAGAACCAAAACCGCGATTTTTGCAAGCAGATCATATTTACAGTGGTCTGTCTAGTGTGTGTTAGTGTCGGTGGCGTTTTGTCTTCCCACTAAATGAGAAGCGCCTGCCGTATTTATAGTGACTGCATTGTATTTTACAGAAATAGTACACCACAGTAAATTTATATAAAACCATTAGCAATACGAGCTCATATAGGCATTCTGAAGCGTGGAACGATGCGTGTAATACACTCAGATGTCAACCATGCGGCTTCCTCGGCAGGTACCCACCGGATACTTGTACCATGGCTACACAACGCAGATGTAGCTTGTTTAATTAGTTTTTTTTTAGAGCGGCGACGCCTACATCACCGAGCTTCTGCCCAACGGTTCCCATAATTGCTCACCCCATCATGGATGTGTTCCTGTCGCCACTCCTCACAAGAATATCGAATTTTCGCGACACTGAGGTTCCCTGTCTCTTGAGAGCCTTCAAAAAACAGCAAGATGGTGGATGAACGCCGCAAGCGTCCTCGTGATGAAGGTTCGTTTGGTTTCGCATGGCCTTCGGGTTCCTCGTCCGTTTTTTTAACTTACCTTGCAGATTCCGATGAGGAGGACCCCCTGTCCAAGAACGACCCTGACAGGGGTAGGTTTTCTCTTATAGTAGGTGACACATACCAGAAGTCGGAGAGGACCTGGAGCCTAAGCGCCCTCGTTCCACACGCCGTTGCGCACAGAACCGGAAGCCTATAACCGAGGAACCCACGGACTCTGAAGAGGAAGAAGAGCCGCAACTTCCAGAAGAAGAAGAGGTCGAAGACGAGGAGGAGGAGGAGGAAGAAGAAGAGGAATACAACTCCGACGAATCTCAAGAGGAGGAAGAGGAGGCGGGCGACGAAGAGGTAAGTGACGTGTACTGCTTATCTTATCCTACCTCCCGTGTTACGTGATGCTTTCCTTTTGGAGTGTGCTGTAATTTTTGTAGCAGGAGGAATGAATGGCCCCTCTCACGCGCAAATCGTTCGATGCCACCGTACACTCGATCTGTTCGTTTTCCTTTGGGGTGTGGATGACGATTTCTGATAATATGTGAAATTTCAAAACAACTAATAATTTTACTCCCACTCCGGCGGTTCCACGCCAAAGGGTACCACGTTCTTATACTTAGCTATTCTGGTGTGTGACGGTTGCCTGATCATACGGTTGAAGTGATTGGCGGCGGACGTTGTGGACGTTGCCAGGTGATGTCAGTGAGAGGTAAAGGTTGCTGCTGCCATGGAGGCCACGGTACGAATGCCGGGCCAGTGCCCGCGGCAGGTCGACCTGTTAGCGACTCTTCTGAGAACTCGCAGGTTGTCTGTACTCCCTGTTACCGCTGTGCTGATTCTCCGGCGACCGTGCTGACAAGAAAGGCAAGCTGTGTGGACTGCTTCTTGGAGGTATTACGCCGCAAATTTGCCTCGAACTTGCGCTCTCACTGCATTCGTCATGGCGAGGGTACGCGACCGATTGCTGTAGTCATGGACGGCGGCAAGTTCTCTACGGCACTCCTACATTTGTTACTCGATCGCAATAAGCGTAGGTATGTACGGGCATCGCACGTGGCTGCCGACAGTGACACCTCGGGCCACATGTTTTCGTCCGATGACGTGGCTATTTCTTCTGTACTCTCACTTGACGACTATGTGGGTGCCACCGGAAGCTTTGCCGATCGTTCAGAGGACTTTTGCCAACACGTAACTGCGGTTGTCAATGCGCTGGGCAATTCCAACGTCGTACACCACCGGGTTTACTCCTGCGACCATCTGAACGAGGCTGTCTTACTGGGCGGCGTGAGGATATCTTACATAGCAATTTGCTACTTCCTCCACAAAGAGAGAGATGCATGTGATAATCGATGCACAACGCTTAAGGGCTATTTGACACGAATGTACGATTCACTGTGCTGCGACGAACTGGTGTATGCATTGGATTTACTGCGAACGCTCAACGTGGGAAGTTATCTGAAAGCACATGGTATGAACGGTGTTGCAGTGACTGTTTGCGATACACAGGAACTGATTGCACGTAGGGTGCTGATGTTGACTTGCGTGGGTGCCGGCGACCGGGTTGCTTTCCGTAGCGCTTTTGTGGACAACCACACCTTCGGCGCAGACAGCCCGGTGTTGCGGCTGCTGAAATCGTTTTCATCCAAAGAACTGGCGCTGTACCATCGACTCACTGGGTTACCTGAAATGCCATCGCTGGATCTCTTTTGGTACGGGAGCGCACAGTCTACTATACTGGGGTGCGTGAACGAGTTGGTTTCATCAGTGGCTTCTGCGCATAGCAGCACTCTCCACAATGTATGTAATGTCGTGGAAAAGCTTACAACAGCGTTTCCCGGTAGAGTCACAGGTATATTTTGCATGTATATGTTCACAATGGCACAGATTGCCGAGTCTGTGGAGGAGCCGTGTACGCGTCGGACGCAGAGGCGCCTGTTTCCGCTCAACATATCGGCACATTAAGCGTTAAGGTGACCATCTGCCGTGCTTGCTCATTTTTTTGCGAGCGCAGCAGCGACTTTGCAAGATTGACTGCAGATGTGCTCGCTTCGGTGGGCTCATTACAGGCACCGTGAGCTCTTTAGTAGGACTTATTCGACTAGTTTGTTAATCTATTGACATTTTTACATGCTTTGAGGTCTATCTGTTCGCCGAGATGGTTGTCACCGGTTGGCGGCAAGGCTGGAGCGAGGAGCTGCGCAGTGCCACCCATGCATCGCTGTTGACGCTGTGCGACTCTGACTACGAAAGTTTTGTGGACATACTGGCCTTTTGGGAGGTATGTCTCTTATGTAATCAACGTTCTCACAGTAAGCAGGTGTTTCGTCTACTTCTGAAGGCCGACGCTTTCATGAGTAGCTGTGTGAAGGCATTTGCTGGCGCCCGGGCCTGCGGCACCCGGGCCGACGCGGAGTTTGATGCATTGCTTGAAAAGGGTGTTGCCAAAGGTAAGGCGCTCTTCAAGGATATATATCTGGTTTCGCAACTTCTGAATCACTACGTCAATCCCCATCAGCGTATGATAACTAGCAATCCGACCACAGCTGAGTCCGCAAATTGCACAGTCGCGCATCCCAATGTGTTCGGCGAATGTGCTAAAGAATGTGTTTTGGATTCGCAGTATACCGGCGATGCCAAGAAACACGCGTTATTATCTGATGTACCGCGATGCGGTCAACACGGAAATGCGGTTTGTTTGCGTGGCGAGGGAGACGAAGGCTGCATTATCCTCGATAGAACTGTAGCTACCAAGCTTCAATCATTGAAAGGTATATCTAGCCTTGATAATTGGAACAAATTTGCTACACTTCTAGGCTGTGTCGGCGGTTTGCCGAGGCAGCGCACCTTGCCGCTATACAACAAGGTTCCGTTTCTTTCCCTTGGCAACTTCGTGGTGTTTTACCGCATCAACGAAGGTTCGTTTGGCAAGGTACATGTAGGCTTCCACAAGTTGCATCGCCGGACGTACGCGCTAAAGGTGATTAGCAAGTCACAGTTCAACTACGACTCTTCCTTGTTCTCTCGTCTGAAGGACGAGATCAGTCTTGTGACTACACTTGTGCATCCAAATGTCGTGCGCACGTTCGAGATTTTGGAGACGGCCTCTACTTTGGTGATAGCTATGGAATACTGTGACGGCGGGGACATGATAGGTTTGATAAAGGAATACTCTCCGATGCCCGAACCTATGGCTAGAACGATTTTCCACATGGTGGTGAATGGTCTGAGTTATCTGCACTCTTCAAACATATGCCATCGCGATATCAAGCCGGAAAACATTTTCCTGAAACGTGTGGTCCGTAAGCCTAGCGGAAGCGTTCCTTCCACTACTACGGAACACAGCTCCATACAATACGGTATGATGCCCTACACTTTTAAAATTGGTGACTTTGGCGCGGCTACACGCATCACTGAGGAACGACCACTATTAGAGACTGTGGGTACCATGAGCTACGCCGCACCAGAGGTATTAGGCTGCGGTGGCGTGGCAGGCTACTGTGGTAAGAGTGCCGACATATGGTCACTCGGTGTGCTGTTGTACGCGATGTTGTTCGCAGAACTTCCTTGGCACAACGAGGATGTGAAACTACGTGACGCAGTAAAACACATTTTGAGCAAGCCGATCACATTCCCCTTGGAGACCAGCGAGTCCTCACGCAACCTTCTGAAGTCATTGCTCCATATCGATCCGTCTAAACGCCCCAAGGTGGACGAGGTATTGTTACACCCGTGGCTAGCCGAGGAAGTTGACGATCACCTAGTTGTGAAAAAGATCCGTCCGACAATTTCGAAGCCATCATGACGACATTTAGCTTTACCAATGGCTAGGCCTCCGAAGCAACCTTTCGAGCTGAAGTGACCATGAGCCGCTTTTCCACAGTCCCTGTTTCAATTTAGTCGAGAGCTATGGTTACGCGCGTGTCACGAGAGACGACATTTTTGAGTGGGACAAAATGCACTTTATGTGCAAGAGTCGTACCACTCAACAGAGTCTTAATTTGTGACCCTGTATAGGTGTACATTAATCAATAAAAGCGCCTACCAGCGTTGCTGTAGTGGCTGATACAGAGCCCTGCTTCGACGTCCCATACCCGTATACCGTCGAGAGCGCATGTGACTAGGTTGAACGATTCGGCACAACCCGTGACAGATCCCCTGCGATTAACTGTGTCCTTGCACGTAGACAACTTACACATGCCCAGATAGTAGAAACATATCCTTGAAGTTGGCGAGTGGCACAACCGCTATGTGTCCCATTTCGCATGGTATGTATATTCGTGACCTTGTGTTGCTGACCACTATGGAGAGAGGTAGATGTTCAAGGAAGTGTGATTGCACCGCTGTGCGTTTGGTGTGATGCCAGAACCTTATGTTCTTGTCACGTGACACCGACACGAACGAGAGGGCGTTTTCATGTGGCCCCTGCATCACATTAGCGACGCCTGTGACTGCCGCCGAGTGACCCATATACATGACGCCCTTGCTATCCACTAAAAATAACCTACATACGCGTAAATCTAAAATTACCATTCGCTTACTCCACAAGCCTTATGAGCGCAATATCGCCATTTTGCGCCGCTAGCAGAATAGTTGTGTTAGAAAAGTCTACTTTGATGTCCGTGATAGCGTTGAAAAAGATTTGTTTGTTCTTTACCAGCGTACCCGTTTGTGTCTGTGTTTGTATGTGATTCACCAAAAGGCTGGTCACTTACTTGCCATACGTATAGTCTCCCAGTGTTCGATCCCGCGTATAATAAATCTCCGTTACGGGAAAACGTGACAGCGACAATCTTTATGTCATGTATGACATTTTTTGAAACTCACCAATTCGGGTACCGACACCCTGTAGTTTTGCGATTCGGATACGAAGGCGATTTTTGCCTTGTCAGCGGCAGCCACGCAAATGAAGTTTGCCGTAGCCGCAACAGAGTTGGATGTGGAACTGAATCCATCCTGTTGTAGTATGTGTCGATTCATGTACTGAGACCAACCTTGGATATCTCTCGTTCCACTCGGCCTGTTCCATCAAGTAGCAGGATGGCATCATCGCCCACAGCTATTATACCTTCATCCTTCCACATTAGATTTTGATTTATTGTGGGCGATGCGCTACACCCCAAAGGCTGGAATCCACGGTAGTGTTTTACCCTGCCCGCGCGTCATAACTCGGGATGAGTACAAATTAGTATGGTGGAATTGTTGTCGTCCACCCAAAAGCGTTCGCATCGTAATTGTGCGACGTCACTGAGTCTAGACGACTCTCGCGTAGCTACGGGAGGGAAGGATTCTTGTGTGTTGCTCTATAATTGTGCCCCGGGTGAATTGTCCAACAGCGGCCGCTTTGAAATTTCATCCGTTTCATCCATACGCACAAAAGTGCTCAGCGTTGACCTATCCGGGGACCGCGTGGTTTGCGGCACATCATGTGGTCAATTGCACATATTGGACGTACGTAGCAGCGGTTCCGATCGCATTTTGGCGCACAACGCGCAAATAAGCTGCGTACGTTGGCTGGATTCGGCGCGAGACGCAGTGTGTAGCACTTCTTTGGACGGAAAAGTGAAGGTGTGGGATCTTAGACACACCGCGATTCCGTTGCACGAGTTGATAGGCCACACAGCTGGAGTAAACTGCTGCGACTCCCTTCCGAACTGCCAGAGTCAAGATGAGCTTTCTATAAACTTTGGCGATTACTACGAGCGCGTTCTTACTGTCGGAAGCGACCGCACCGCTCGCCTGTGGAATGTGAGTATCAATAAATGTGCTCCCTGATGTTATGTGTTACGTTACATGCACTATTTGAAAGCATCTATGGCGCTATATGACCCTTTCTTTTACTATCAGACGGCTTTATTTTAGCTGTGATGTCGTTTTTGTCCTGCTTGTAATTGGTAGTGTTTGCGACCAACTTAACCGACTTTGTACACTTCTTTATCTTTATATGCACATTCTCACGCAACTCAGCTGAACAGTGGTACACATTTGGTGTTCAAGGTGCCTGCTACGTTATCGCAAAATGCGGAATGTTGCTGCATATTGCTCAAGCGACCTCACTACATTTTTGCTGTCGGACTTGACTCAGAGTACATTTTGGTGTTTTCCCTGAAACTCAGCAAACATATCGGATCGCTTTCGTTGGGCGGACCTGGCGTGTGGGTGAATTGTATGCGTAATTGGGGCTCCTATCTGCTAGTCGGCACAAACGTTGGCAAGCTTCTCTTTGTGCGTTTCGACTTCAACGACAACTATTCGAGTTGTACTCTTACAGTGGAGTGTTCATTCGACTATCGGGGTTCAGTTAATGATATCAGTTTTGAAGAGGTAGGCGGAGAGCTTTGCGTCTATTTGGCACTCGGGACGGAGATGCGCCTAGGCCGTTGGGGTGCCATCGAGGTTCCCAATGATGCTAAACCGCAGAATCTGATAAATCAATCGCTATTCGCGCTTTAATTAATGCATGTTTAACTCATAGTGCTGCTTACTCATATGTTTTGCATACGCCGAAATGAGTAAGACACAGTTTTTCCAACGGTGCTCAAGGTGTAAAGTTTTAGTTGTGCAGCTGATAATACTTATATCATAGAGAGGTCAGTACACATCATTGCTTAATGCATGAGTACTATACAATCCGGTGGAGGAGCGAGCAGGCTGAATCTATTGAGACAAGTGGAATCTTTCAGTAAGCGGTTTGTGAAGCGATTGAGAATCAACATACTCGGACAAGATAATAATTAAATGAGGCGATGATCTAAAAGGAACTCTTACAGTCAGACAATATTGCGCCGATATGAGTCATGTCTTCTCTGGACCCCGTAACCAGGCAGCCAAACTACGTAGAGATATTGGTCTCAGTAGTGATTGTAAGAACATCTGTCTTATTCCCAATCATATTGTCCTATATTGCTGATAATGAGACTGTGGTAAGGTAGTAATACGCTGATGCTGATTCGGCAGAACACTTTCATCAAGGTGGATTGCTACGTGAATAGTATTCACGAACTTACAGAAGCAGCGATAGAGCAGATCATTCTACGAAGAACCTTAGGATTTCCTTTTACATATTATGAAAATTGTTACTATTACGTGACTTAGATGGATTCGAACTAATTAAAACAGTGTAGGCGTTTTGCTCGAAGGTTACCAGGTTAACGTCCACCGCACCTGCAGTACAATGGAACTACATCTCTTCGGCCATATGCTAAATTCAACGTCTTATTCTAGCAACGTAATATGAGCGGCGTAAACCACCAAAGACTAGGGCCAACGGATGCATATGTTTGTCTTGGGCTCTAAAACTACATACGAGCGTTATATATTTGGGCGCTTTGGAACTTCGATCACACTTCATTCTGACTGTCAAAGTCTTGTGTTTTCATTTCTCTGCGTTATATATTGTTCTGAGATATACCAGACTGTCGTCGGGGACACCCGATCGTGCTGTCGGGTACATCCGATCGCGCCATCGAATCAATATTCAGTGACACTACTTGTTCAACAACACCTTCATAGTTATAATAGGAATAGGCTTGTTCGTAATAGTACAGTAGAGGAGTTTTGAATATGGTAGGATACAAATTTTCTAAATTCGTAATTGCGTTCTTGGCCTTCGTCCAGATTATTGCGGTAGATGATGTCCTAGGGGCTGATCTCACGCAGCAGAAGGAACTGAAGGGCCGCATGCCTACTCCTTGCGGTTTTGATGAGCTCACTGATCAACTGCGTGATACTCTGCCTGATGACATTGCTACGGAAGTTGCAAAACATCTAGCCAGCGACGGCACTGCGCCATTGCCTGAAGACCTTGAGAGATCCGTGTCGCTGCACCTTAATCGCAAACTGTTTTCCGAGATACCTCGCAAGATTTCCAAGGCATTTTGTTTACCCCCGCAAAACAGCAAGTTGCCTCTCGAACATCTCGATCATATCCTTGAGCATCTCGCCAAGTCCTACGAGAAGAATAACGTGGATGGGCGTATAAGGAAGCTATTTAATGATACAGTCAACAGATATGGTAGAGGTATGATTGGACCTGTAGATTGGGAAGATGCTAAGAGGCACCTCCGAGAACGAATGGGATTACCATCGCTTGACAGCCCTGTCATGAATGCAAGTATTAAGACAGATATTGAAGGTGATGATGACGACGCACCGACGATCCCCGGTGATGATGAACTTGCTGATGACGGTGACTTTGAAGATCAGGAGCTATGTCTGGAGGGTGATGAAAAAGCATCATCTGAGGAAGAGGCTGAAGAAATCGAGCCCGCATCCCACTCTAAGCCGTCTGCAGTTAGCATGGAGATTAAAATTGGTGAGGCCTACAAGCCACAAAAATCTTGCTTGTCTAGCGGTGAAATTGAGATTGACGACTCGGTTATTAAACTTGGTAAGGAGCGTTTCAAACACATCCTTCGTCGCCTTACCGAATTTTACTCTGAGCAAGTTTTGTATAAACCATATGTAAAAATGGTGCAGGGAATGAAAAATAGGCGTAGCATCGTCTTGCCCATAAATATTGCTGTTAAACTCGCTAACGTGAAACCCGGCATGCTGCCTGAACAATTGATACGTCACCTCTGCCGCTACCTCTCCGAAGTATTATTGAAGGAACACAGAGCGGACCTTCCTGAAGCTGACAGGAGCAGAAAGGATTATATTATTCGTAGCAATCTCTGGAATTACGTTTATAAGGCGCTGACATGCCCTTGGTGGGTGGGAACAGAATAAAAAACAGCATTTTATAATAATAACGACAGTTTTTACTGTGCATGGGTGCTGTGTTGCCGGTCTCTGAATATCGTAACTAGATGTTTGCGTATAAACCTTNTAGTGGTACCACGACGCAATTAATTGCTAGTTGAAAGTTACACAAACACCTCGAAAACACTGTAAAAAGCTTTCGATAGATCCCAAAAGAAACCACGTAACCTTATTTTGTGTACTAATCGCAATCCAAGACGAAGGTTAAGGTTAGCACTCAGCAAGGGTCCACAATACTAATTAATGTCCATGCAAAATAACTGAATGTTTCGGTGTTGATTTTACAATATAAGTAGTTGGTATAGCAATAATAAATTGGTTGTTATGAGATATCTAATCATTAATTGTCCTCTCTGTTGATGACGATTCATACCTGGGTATACAGGTTAATGTCTATAACCACAATAGAGTACTACCAAGATGTATATACATTGTCACACGAAGATTATCAACTATGGGATGTGATTATTTTAAATATTAAAATATAGTGTTATACTACATCACTGATAGTCGTATTATGTGCTATGGTTTAAAATACCACAGATGACAGGGTTCCATTGTCTTCTGTGAGAATAGACTGGTGGGTGGCAAGAGGTGAGTATACAGTCCATTCAAGGTGTGAAGTAGGTGATCTCCACAGGTGATTTGTAGTTGCTGAGTAACACAAGCGGATGGAATGTGAAGGTGCGCAAGTGCGATTGTAGATGTAGAACATCAAGTGGTATGGTGAGAGAGTGGGTGAGGTAGGCCATGATGAAACGAGAGGCAACATGGCGCCAATTCGATTTGGAGGCTCTCAAAACGATCCTAGGTGTTTACTAAACACCTACAGAAGACAGTAAACATTCTCCTTCCACCTGTGGGGAGTTGCATAACAGCAATACGAAATTCGGCATTACTCGCCTCCCAGGTCACAATGCGACCTAGTTCTTGGATACCTCGAAAGAACCATACAGGTAACATTTGGCAAAACACTTATGTGGTACCAGCCCCTGCGCTATGGTCAATTATATTTTCGATAAAACTTACATCATCTGGGTCTAGCTGAGCCATCCTGGTCTTGGTGACACGACTCTTCTGCAAAATGATTGGTTTATTTAATTACACATCGTAATAGCAGTTTGAGTTGTCTGAACCCGTTTCGCAGTTTAATGTGCTTGAAAATGATCCATGTCTTGGGTTTTTCATGTACATGGTGGCATAGTCACGTTACCACATTCAGTAGTTACATAAGACAACACCTAGAGAAAGTTGTATATTCCTGAAAGTGTTACTTGACAAAACCTCGATTACTCTCAATATAGTCTGGTTTCTGTGAGATACTTAAGACGATTTGTCGATCGTTATTGTCGACAACTGAGAGCATCGATCTGATTAGGTGCCATGATACCGTAACGTAGTAGCACTTAGCAACAAAACGGCTGTAGTACCACCAATACCATTATGAACTTGAATTGGGTAGTTACAAACCTGAAATAACCACCTACGACATTGATAACCCCAAAACACGCAACTTGAATACTGCATGGGAGACCGCCAGACCTAACTGCATACACAGTAGCAGTTAGACTCGAGTTATGCCAGCGGTGCCACGAGCGACAGTGCTTTCCTTTTTAGTAGACCGAGCAAGCCTTCTTGCTTCATTTCTCTGCTGCTTCAGTTGTATTTTCAGCATATGCCTCTCGTCGTGAATACGGTACATGGTGTGGCTCTTGGACAGCAGCTGCAGGTGCTCCGGTAATGGAGGTAGGTGGTGCAATTCGTCTGCCTCTTTCTGAGCTTGTGGTGGCAGCGGGATGCGCCCCTTACGCCAGTGCACCGACAGCTCCTCGTCTAGAGCCGTAGACTGCTCAATAAATAGTTTTTGCAAAGTTTTCTCCACGGTATCTGTACATTGTAATCCCAGCGTAACGATACCATCTGCACACGCGTAATATTGCATCTTTTGAATCCTTACCTTTGAGGTCAAACATCCCGTTGAGTGTGGGATGTCTGAGAAAAGCGTCCCACGCCCCAAACCTCATAAGTACCGATAGACCCGCTTTGTGCCATTTCCCTGAGTAGAAGTTGCGTTCGTAGATGCATTCGGCTACTTCACGCAATGCGCATGGCCCAAAATTCGTTAGTTTTTTGTAGAGTTGTTTTGCGATATCTACGACCTGCACTATGTAGTGCCGGTGTTTGTACACATAATGAGGGTCGTTTGATTTGTCTGTGTCCAGATGTCTTATTGCAATGACTTTGTTATGTAACGAATGAGGGAGCACCAGATTGGCGCTGGCTGCCGCTACGGAAGCCTCCTTACTGCGGAATGTAACGTATCCCGTGCCGTTACACTGGTAAGGGTCTAGATCATGCGGGATGCACCTACAAAAGCTCACAGTACCATATTTCGAGAAGAAACGCCTGAGTCTTTCCTGTAGGTATTCGGGCGTTCTTCCCATGGGCAAATTACGGAGCTCTATAGTATTTGGGCCATATATGTCCACAGCATCATATCTAAATCCACATGATAAGATAGCTCATAGCTGCTAACCTTCCCTTAGGCTCACTGTAGAGCCAGTCGATGCGACTATCGTCTACGTGCGATACCTCAGGGTAGTGTAGCAGTTTTTCTGGCTCCCAGCGCACATATGGCTTTACGAAGAACCATCGCATTCTTGATGCTCCAGGGTACGCGTAGGCGGCGTATCTTCGCCGCGTAACGGCACCGATCATTTTGATCTGTTTGCCGGTGTGTCCCTGAGGCGCGACGCGTTGGCCGGAATTCGGCCTTACATTACAATTGTCATTCCTTGATGTGCATCGCAAAAAAAGTGTGTACCAATTCGCTTCGGCGTTTCTCCATCTCAACGCGTTCTCGCGCCGGGGCGTTGATGTTGCACGTACGACCTTCCAAAGGCCTGTTTGCCAACAACATATCCTTTAGTAGCCTCTCGCTGGCATGGAAATCGAGACAGTATAGCAGCATAACTGGTACGGATGATTCCTGTGATGACGCTACGAGAGCATCTTCCAGCGACACATCTGAGCCTTTGGACCGTAGAACCTTCCTAAGACTGCTCACACATGTGAACGATGGCAACTCGGGTTTCGTTGTTACCTTGCAGAAATTAAAGGATGAGCTGCAGGCAGAGGGCTCACGGGCATATCCGTTTCGCATCCGTGACCTGCGCGTGCTGGCCGAATTTGGCGCACAGCTGCTGGCATTGCATGACGATGAACATGCCGCCGATGTGCTATGCGGGGCTATAGAACTGTTCAAGGCTGACGGTGACGCTTCGGCTGCGTTTCACCTCTGCCGTCTGTTTTCATCCTTCAATAACTGTCTAGGCCGTACGTTGACATCCAGTGTATTTCAGCGTGTTGTGCACAACAGGATTGGTATGATGGGAGCCAAATATTTGTCACATAGTAAGATGGACAAGCTTAATGAGGTGCGTGCTGAGCGTTTTTTCTTAACACAGTTCAGAAATACGTCCCAGGGGCGAAGAGCGCTCTCAAGTTTTTAGCATCCACTTTAAGCGAGAGAGATATGATCGGCCTTCGTGATTGTTGCGAGACCCATTTGTTTGATTTTTTGAGCCAGGGCCTGAATTATTTGGAGCGCATGGGTCTGAAGGTAAGTCCCGGCATCCTATTCATCTTCATCCATTGCAGCTGAATTTGGAAATATTAGACGTGAAAGATGTGAAAATGGATATTTTCGTGCTCACCATTGGTGGCAAACGTGGTGACAATATTTCGTCTCCTTACTTAATGAAGCAAGTGGTGGCCCACCAGATTGTAGTGACAATGCCCAAGGTTTCAGGCTCGTCGGAAGGTATAACGATGAGCAGGCAGCAGCGCCGCGATGCCATCCTCCAAACGTTTGAGAAGGGTGTCATTGCACGAATGGAGGTGCTTCTGAAGGTGCGCCAGTGTCTGCAGCTGCTTGACACCGATGGCACTGTGGTCTGGGAAGACCCTCGCACGTTGTCTACACACAAGTTAGCTTTTGAATCAGAAATTGGCTCTTTGCCCCGAGATGTAGGCGATTTTGAGCCAACGGATTGGGTGCTTGTGGATATAAATTCCGTGCTCAACAGTAACGCTCCGTTTACTGCCACTACCGCCTAGCGCAAAAACAGTACAACGACTGGTTTACGTGTAGAACTTAATTTGTGATTTGTTTTGGTGTAGGGCCTACGTAGGCCGCTATATGCTCTATTCTGCGTTTAATCTTTCGCTGTTCTGCGATGTGGGACAGCCATCCTGTGACATGGATCACGGTAATGTTAAAACACTCACCTACTATACGAGAGATCATCAGTGTATTCATCATAGCGATAGCAGCGTTTTCCGTCTTGTCATTCAACATACTGCGCACTTTGACACACATGTAAGTGATTTACCTCCTGATGATCTGTAGAACAAACACGTCGAAACGGAAGTGGCACTTTCCGGCAAACTTTTCCTGCATGTCTAATAGTTCGTCCAGTGCAGCGCATTCGTATTGTTCCTAAGGTGTTATAGGTTTCCGTAGTGTCTGGCATTACTCACAGTCAGAATTTCCGTTCGTGGATCCTTACAAGAGTGGACAAAATCTCTGAAAGGTTTCGGCAGTCGGCGCTCCTCGACCAAATCACGTACAATTGCCCGTTTATCGTCCTCAGAAGCACTGAGGAGAGCGTCGAAGTGCTGCAACGTGAACATTGGTAGGCATGCCTTGTGTGCGGGCGAACTGTATGTGTAATTGTGGTTTTAATCTGTTTGTACGCCAGCTTATGTAGTGGCAGAAAAGCCCGGAAGATTCAAGAGCAAAAGCTAAAAGTCGTTCGTGTTGACTATGTGATTATTAAGCATCTTTTAAACACATATCGGCCAGAGTATAGGTACAACTATGTAATTAGACGCGCATAAAGACAAACACAACGGTTTTTAACGATATGTGACCACCCTCTGACAAGAAAATAGAATATTCGCTACACATTTTGGGGCACAGCAACGAATTAGCATACGCATTTCATAGTGTTACGCTACTTGTTTATTTCATACATATTATTATTTATGCTGCAATGTGTAACAACTTCAAAATATGTCTGTTGTAAGAGATGCACAAGGCCTGCAGATAACCGGCGAGATGGCGACTGCCAATTATAATCTCCGCAAGACATTCTGATAAAAGCGCATGAAAACATCATGTGATTCGCGCGACATGGTCATTATTTTTTCTTATCCATACACATCCCAGGCTGTCTACCGCACCGTATATACCTATGGGGGACTGAAATGGCTTCGATCTCCAGCTAAAGACGAAAAGAGACACTGCTTAATCATATTCATATATGACACACATATACACACTCATTCGTTCACATAGGTCACTAGACGTCGTGTTAAGATGAATGTGTTGCTAAAGCAGTCAAATGGCGCCTTCATCGAACGCATCTCGCTTCCGGATGACGCTACAGTTGCGGATTTAAAGAAGATTTTTTATGAGAAGTGTTAGTTTGACTGGCTGTATATGTAAAATTTTCAGTTCACTTTTACCCGCAAAGGCAACAATGGCACGTTGGATCTGGTTAGTTTTGGTAGTTCCACTACCACCTATACACACGTCGTTCTAAATATTAGCATCTGCATGATTTCACAGCGGATGGCGCGAAAATTGGTGAGAACAAGCTGATTGACAATGGCGTTACCGAGGACTCGTCGCTCTACTTTAAGGACTTAGGTGAGTTGAACCAGACAACGACACGGCCTTTCCTTAACTACATCGGCACCAATGCAGCATTAAGTTGTATGTATGCTTGGTGTCAGCCTTCTGCGCGTCAATTGGGATATATTAGGTTGCGTAGCTCTCATGCCCATCTACATGTCTGCGTATTTCTGTACATGCTAACCCTAGAAATAGGGCCACATTACCGCTGATATAGTAAAGATGCGTCCTGTCACATCATATTTCGTGTTGCCTTTTGTAATATACAATGGTGCGTAGGTGTACAGATATCTTGGAGACTGGTCTTCTTTTTGGAATACCTGGGACCTTTATTCATCTTACCTCTGTTATACCACCTACCTGGAACATTTTATCGCGAACCTATACGGCCCAAGACTCACGTGCAATTCGCTACATACGTGATGCTGATGGCCCACTTTTTGAAACGTGAAATCGAATCTTTGTTTGTGCACAGATTTTCGAAGACAACGATGCCCATAGCCAACCTTTTCACCAATTGTTTTCACTATTGGTGGGTTTTGCATTGAGCCGTAACGCTGTGATCATTTGATTGCAGGATTTTATGTGCTGTGGGAATAGGCTATTATGTGTTCCACCCTAGATACACGGAGATCGTATTATTTTTTAAATACGAGAAGTATCTTTTGATCGCGTTTTTCATGTTTTGTCAATTTATGACATTCATGACTCATATCACTCTTCGCAACTTGAGACCAAAAGGTATGGCGATCTTTACTTTGGGATTGTAAATGGCATTGCTTATAAGTATTCGCACAGACATGTTTGTTCCATTTCTCTTGTCTGCAAACCATTATGCACTCGGTAAATCAACTGTAATCTGGTCATTTGGTTTCAGGCACTACAGTCCGTGGCATCCCGCAGCACTGGGGATTCCAGTACGTCAGCTGTGCGAATTATTTTTGGGAACTGCTGATTTGGGTAACAGTGGCATTATACACAAACACTATCTCGTCGTATTTCTTTGCTTTTGCAGTTGGCATGATTCTCTCTCAGTGGGCAAAGAAGAAGCATCGGAAGTACATCAAAGAATTCCCGAATTACGACCGACGGAGAAGAGCCATTATACCCTTCATCTATTGAAAGCTTCAATAGATCATATATGGTCTACGACTTCACGACACGTAGGTAAGGGCGATTGCTGGATCACAGCTGACGTGGATGCGTGTAATTGCCAATGTGTTTGTTTATTCCACCTTACTCGACACACCCACCTCGAGTGCAATGAAATGAAGTTTGTACACTCGTAAGAGACATGTTAGTCTGCTGCAACCGCTCATAATGGTGCCATAACTGAGGGCTGCAAACGATTATGTGCATTACGTTATGATTACCAGGATGTTATTAAACTGGACAACATAAACACAATCTACACCTATGTAATGTAAACACATCTCTACACTATGTACTCACAATTCTATTGTTTGACATAACATGCAAACTAATGCCACGGATTTATGGTATTTGTCGCGTGGAACCCGTGGCAGTACAGTTCTAGGCAGGAAATATGCCCTCATGCACTTATGGGATATATAAGTTGGAGACTAGTGTATTGTTACACCAAATAATACACATTAAAATCTCAAATGTTCGACACTTTGTTTGACCAAATCGCTGGCCAGATAGTCGCCTGGCATATTTTGACAAAACTTTCTGCCTATATCACAGCATTTAGCGCCTTGAGGTTACCGATCACGGTTATTCATGTTGTATATAAAAAATCTTTTGGGGTATCACACCATACCGATGTCCCTGCATTCCTGACTCGTAATTAATTTTATCTTCTCCCTGAGATAATCGAGTGAATCTCTGTTTGATACCCTTGACACCCTTTCGATCAGCCAGCTCTTGTTTTTAACTGTGATAGACCCTTCTGATAAGGCATCAATGGTCAAGCTCCTGCCGTCGAGCGATTCAACGCAATAGGGCGTGGAATTGCCTGCGCTGTAAACGGTCGAATGGTCTACCCTATAGGTGCCCCTGGAGCTTGCATCGCTACTTACATATCGTTCTGTGTTGTTGTAGGCGACCGTACAACTCATATCGTCGTGTTGATTGGCACCTTCTGGCGTATCGCTGTGTTCAACAAACGCCGTCCCCATGCCTTCTCCATTCACTTTAAAAGATTGAGTTTCTTCATCACCGAAAATATTTTTAGGGTTGTATATCCTATTGGGCCCGTATTCGTCTGTAACTGTGCGTTTGATCACGCTACTGCTCGAGGCAAATGTATCCACGCTGCGCATGGTATCAATGTTATGTGCACTATTGAGTTCATTTTTATCCGCATCTTTTCCGCCCGAGTCCATATTGGGACACTCGCGTACGGCTGACGGCGTGTCGTTGAAAACATGGAAGAAGGCAAAATCATCCCTGGCCACGCCGGGGGTCTTTGAAACGGATGATACCCGCGTACTGCATGTTTCAGCGGTATCAGTTTTAAACAAAGTCTTTGTCCTGATTCTACTGTTGATTTCAATAAGCGATAGATTTTGCGATTTCAAGCTGGAGTTAGTTTCGTACATTTGTCTGAGGTCACGTCTGAGCCTTTTAAGTTCCTCTTTAAGCTCATCGTTTTCCCTTTTGAGATAGGCATGTTCCGTCTTCTGCGCTTCTACTACTTTGTAACAAGAGAACAAGTTGTCGTTAATGTGCGTTATATCCATTTGTAATTGAGCAACCTTCGCGAGAAGTTCTGCTTTCCTCTTTTCGTGTTCCTCCACTTCGCTACTGTGCATATTTTTGAGTATATCTATCGATTCGTTAAGACTTTTATTTTCATCTGCGTAATTTGCGATTCGTTGTTGGAGCAACATTTTATCCTTGAGATTTTCTTCGTTGTGTTTACGTTCAATTGTTAGAGAGTTTTCTAGTTCCTCTACATTTGCCAGTGCTTCAGACAGTTGCTGTTTAAGCTGCGACTGCGTCTCTTCGACGAGATTGAGGCGATCGTTTTCTTGTTTAAGTCGTTCCAATTCCTCCAATATATCCGTTGAAGGAGCCTGAGTTGGCTCCGTGCGATTGTTGACGGATATGGTGCATCTTTCCAACTCCCCTAGCGCAATTGCACGTTCAGCATATGCAGAGTCTATAGCATTAAATCTATTCCTGAACCATTCCATTATTTGGATATTCGAGCGCATGCGCAGTCCAGCGCTACCACCCGTTGGCACAGATGGTCCATCCTCGTACCTGGTAGGTTCAGAATGATAAGGTGAAGCTGCCTGTGTGGCACTCAAGCTGGTGTATGGAGATAGATGGCTATCGGTAACAGCACGGCGATTGGTTGCAATATTGGTTCTATCAACCCCGCGCGTTACCTGTTCTGCATCTGCACTCACTGTACGCTTCAGACGCTGCCTCAGTTTCTTAGCCTCGTGTAAGACCCTATCGGAGAACGTGAGCTTCTTGGAATCCAGTACTGGCGTCGGCATGACGCTGCTGTTTGGCTCTATGCCATCCGCGTCAGAAGCGCTGATATTATTCGTATCATTAGCAGCAAATGTTCCTTTGGTGTCGGTGTCAACGAATATATCGACGAATCGTGCGGTTTCTAGATTTTCTTTTGTGTGTGCGCCTTCGACAACAGAATCTAAGACCGCATTATGGCAGCCCAGATTGTCATTCATTATACCAGAAGAAACCGTATCAGTCTCCGACTCTGTTGAGCAGTCCATTTTGCGATTAAGAGAGTCCACCAATGTCTGTCGTGGTGGCCGTTGTGTGCCTTCTTCTGGTACCCATCTACCACCGTTGCGTAATCGTAGACCTCACACAGTCCCTTAGGACTTTTATAAGACACTTTATAGCTAAAATAATTTTGTTTCTTAAGTCATTTGAATTGGAAATACTCTGTTGTCACGCGCGCGACAACAGCCGCACATGTCACGTTGGAGGGGATGGGCGGTGTGTGGGAAGTGTGTATCGTTTGAAACACGGTTTTGACACTATTGCAACCCCTAGATTCAGAATCCAATCTGGTATTTGCTATAATTGTACCGGAAACGGCATTAATGACACACATTAGACACCACATTGACAGTCGCGGTTACACGGCCGACATTCCCCGTATTTTAGCACCGGCAATTGTATAAATGGACATTAATACTGTAATTGTTGTATTAGACAACACTTTGCATTTTCCTTGTGGATGTGCAACGGACATGACGCTGGGTTTCCCCCGTGTTATCTCTCTATCACACCTGTGGTCCTCAAAGCGTCACCTAGTAGTGTTCGATGGCATTACGCTTGACAAAAAATCCTTTTTGGCCTCCTTAAGGTTTTTGACAAGATAAGCCAGCACAGCGGGATCGACGCCCTTCTCGGAGAGTCCTACCAGAATGGAAAGTGTCTCTCGGTCTAATCCTGTATTAAGTATCTTTGAAATTTCATATATGATATCTAGTCCCTCTTCCCTGATGTTACCTTCCCCTTTGCTGGTGTCGGATTCGGCTGTGACGAACGAGTCCTGCCTACCATACCGTCTTGCTGACATGCTTACGAAATAAAATCAGCCGATTTACGATACTCACATCGAGCAAGATTCGTATAGCTTGCGCTTTTGCCCTTTATCCTCACGACAGGGTTATCGTTGCAGGCTACCACCTACTCTCTAGATTCTGGCCAGATATAGAAATATTGGTTGTGTGATCACGCATGTATGTCAGTGCGATATAAATAAGTGGGCTTTTTGGTACCCCCCGATTTTTTTGTGAGCAACACTCCGTAGTGCTTCGCGTCGACACACCACTGTCGCCTGCGACGCGTCTCTTAAACTAAATTCCATATGATCAATAAACACCATAATAATATTGCCTATACTATTTGATTGTATATGATAACAACTATCGGTGGTGTGTGAGCTCGTTCTACCTAATGTGTGAGCTGGATGTCTTTGATTTCTAAGCACACATTGGTAGATTTTTGGGCGGCATTTTCCGTGCCACAGCTCTAGCGGTACAATGGGTGAGCAAACTCTTGATGACGGGTTTGGAGGTGCGGTAGATAATTTGCTCGCCGAGGTCGACCTCGAAACTCGCGGCTGCCAGCTTGTTTCACCGGCTCGCAGTGCATCTTCCGACAATGATCGATTAACTGCCCTCAACAAGCTGAGGACTCTGCTTGAAGCTCCATTTGGCTCAGGGAATGTGAACGACCAGCCAAAAAGTCCCCTCTACGATGGCGGCAAGGACTTCGGGAGCCATGAGATCCATGGAACCTCACTGCAAAAGCATCATGCTAAGGAGAGCGACCGTCCATCTCCTGCAGCATCACATCTGTCTGATACTTCAGAGAAATCACAGAGACCGCTGAAAGGCACAGACCGTACAAGCGTGCTTAAGCATGCGGAGGCTGTGATTGAATACCAGCGTGACCGTATCAACTCATTGGAGGAAGCCGTTGCCAAGTTCAACGCAGCTTTGACGCAAACAACTGACATGTACAAGCAGGAACTACAGCGTCAGGTCGACGACAACCTGACTTTGCGCCAGGATATGCAAAAGGTGGTGACTGAATTTGAGGTACTATCGAAGCGGTATCAGATGGACATGGGTGAGACAGAAGCTCTAAAGAAGCAGGTTAATTTTCTATCGCATGACCTGTCGAAGAAGGAGTTGGCACTTTCGGAAATGCAGGAACAAATGCAGCAACTCCCGTTGGATAACAACGAGCTCAAGGAGAAAAATCGTTTACTTTCGAACGAAGTGGAACGTTTGAACCGTGAGATACGTGGGATTAGCCTCCTGGATTCTAAGATAAACGCAAAGAATGCTACTGCGGAGATCGCAGGGACAACTCAGGCATGTGCTGCTCAACATGAGCGTCTCAAGGCGAGCAACAAATGCATTGCACAGCTAGAAAATGACTTGCAGGCTTATAAACGCCTGACGGAATCGCAAAGTATGGATATTAAACGCCTAAACTATCAAATTGAAAAGATGCGTGGCGCTACTAAGCCTAACGACTACCTGGTCTCTGCGCAGCGTCAGATGTTACAAATCAGATCCGTATTCCTACAATTGGCGAAGCAGGCGAAGGAACCTAAGGCTGTTTCGCGTCAGAGTACCGTTGAAGAGGATCTGAACAACCGTTCTTTGTATGCGGCTTACAATATGAAGACATCCGCAGAATTCCGCGAGATGTACGACAAGCTTCTGGAATTGATGAACCGCAACGTGTCAAGACCATCATACCATCAAGATTTCTACACTATTGTGGTGACATACATCCGCGACACAATTAGTGAGGAAGTTCATCTACGTATCGACGAGTCGATGTTAACCTTTGACAAAGCAGAGGAGGGTGGTATGACTGAAGTGGTTCGAATCCCTTTGAGCTCTGTGCTGGGTGTGAAGAAGCTCGACGATAGCAATGAGTTCTGCATCCACACCAGTGACTTATCCTCGCATGTGATTCGTGCAGGAAACCGTGACGTGTTCAATAGACTCTACTATGCTTTGCAGTACGGTGGTTTCATTACTGATCATTTGAGGTTTTCAGTATTCTCCAAGGTTGACTTCAGCTGGTTACCTTCCGATTCCACTTGGCCGGTGAACAGTGCTGTGGTTTTGGCTGCGGAGTCGAGCTTGAAAGGTGACTGTCCTACTGATTTCGAGGGAGTAAGGACTACTTTGTGTGATATCTACATAATAACGGACCCTATTGAGCGTCTTATGACTATCGACCACTGCACCAACTCACTTGTAGTGATTGGGCCACAGATGTCGTCTACACCCTTTATCGTTCCATGCAACAATGTGTTTGCGGTACGACTTTGTGACCCTCAGCATACTGCGTGCAACCCTATCATGGCTGTTGATCCACCCGTTGCTACGCTGGCAAATGGCGCGTCTACTGGTTCTTATTTCACCTCGTCGCAGCACATGTTTGCCTTTGTTTTTGAAAACAAAAGGGTACTCTTCGTGAAGGGTGTTGACACTGATAATGAAAAGCGACTGCTGACACTCGTCCACAAGGGTCAATACCGCCAGTTCGAGGATCCCTCTGACCGAGCCGTTCTCGATGCTGTTGATCAACATTCTCCGGAGCATGGCAATTCCGGTAACTGGGAAACCCCTATTGCTGATGGCCGCTCACAGGAGACTATTGGGGACCGTTCAGGAACAATGGCATTGGAAACTGCACCAAGCAAGGTTTACGAGCTGAAGGATGACAAACTCCTGCTTTACATGCAACAAGACGAGCAGATAGTGTTGGATAACAACTCTTGTTACTTCAGGGTCAACGAGGAGACTTGCGAAGTTGCGCTTTCCTCGGGTTCTTCGGAAACCTACGTGTTGAGTTTCCCTAAAACGGAGGCTCTGCAGAGCTTTGTGCGTGATTTGGAGTCTCATGGATTTAGGCATCTCAAGGAAGCTGAGGTCCATCGCCAAGTTTGCATAGTGACTGTTGGCTGTCTGCAACTGTACAAGGACACAAGTCAGCCACCAATTGTGACTTTCAACAAAGAGGACACATATGTAACGGTGAACGAAGTTAGCCGAGAGATTAAGATTTCGAATTCCAAGGACAAGACAGTGAACATGACTCTGGACTGCACTAGCCCTCTGGAATTCCGTCGTTGGCAATTTGCTTTGGGTTTCGCGGGCTTCCTCAAGGTACCTGTCAAGGCTAAGCAAGGCGACACGCTGAAGAAGTACATTTTCCCAATAAAGATCTTTGACGACAATGCTTCGTCTGAGCGTCGTGCATTCCAGGTGGAGGCTAAGCGTATTTGTCTATATGTCAATCCCACTGTTAAGGATCCCTTCTTGATGTTGGACAAGTCCAGCATATCGCTGGAGTTGATTGATGCTGAGCGTCGTCTCAGGCTCTATGTAAATCGCAATTCAAAGATGGAGGAGCGTTTCGATTTTGTGCTGACTATGCTAACGGATTATCAGGCTCTGAAGACCTCGCTGAAGAAGCATGGCTACGGACTTGAACCACCTAAGGGCAAGGGTTCCACATATCACTTTGTTCTTGCCAAGTCTGGGTTGATTGCGATTCACCGTACTAAGTTTGACCCTGAACCTCAACTTGTGTTTGAGCGGAAGAACTATACTGTGGATGTTTCCAACAAGTGCATCAAATTTATGTCTAAGGTTGATTTGAATAAGATCATTCAGATCGATTTCAAGAAGGATTTCAACTTCAAGAGATGGTGCATGGCTCTGAAAGTGGCTGGTTACTTGCCACTAACACCTGAGCGTGTGCCTATTTTATACATGCCCACCATCGTATACGGTCACATATGCCCAGAAATCCCTACCTTACTGAAAGGTCATTTGAAGTGATTTCTTTTACGTCAAGCCTCTGCACCGTTGATGCTAATCGGCATTTATTTTATATGAGCGGTAATCCCAGCTGTGCTGGGTACGGAGTCTTTGACTCCTCTCACTCTACTATAATAGTTATGAGTAACTGCATACATAAGAATGGGCAATGCCAGTGAAGCTGCAAGGGTGTAGGCAGTCTCTAAGTTTGCAATAGTAGACAAGTGTTAACTGAAGGTTGTGATTTGCCTCTTGGTCGAATCGTTGATGTGTTATTAAGGCTAGTAACGACTATGTCATGCTCGAACGTGATAATTTCGCCAAAATTATCGACTTTAGAAAAATTAATGTTATCTAAGCATCATTATTTTGCACTTTGGCAACTGGTTTGTGAGACTAATAGCCAGGAATCTCACTGGCGATAATCAGAGTGTCCCGTGGGGGTTGAAATCTCCGTTTACCGCTGCACTTTTGATATAACAATTGCAAAAGAATGTAACAGTAATGTGTGATGTCTCTGGGCAATCGTGAAGTCGCACATCCGTAGTTGATTCGCACTTTTGCCCGTGCCACGATGTCTTCCGAGGAACGGCCCGTTAAGTGTAGGTTTATGTGCCATCACCTGTCTGACATAACACAGCTATCGGCGGATGGATAGTGATAGTGACCGGGGTACACCCTGAAGCTCAGGAGGAGGACCTTCGCGACGCCTTCGAGAGCTTTGGGCAAATAACAAGCATCCATTTGAATATGGACCGTCGTAGCGGTTACGCTAAAGGTTATGCTTTTTTGGAGTTCGTTGAGGAAGACGAAGCACGCAGCGCTGTTGATGGTTAGTGGACTTATCTCATGATTCATACTTTTCAGGTATGAACGGACAACAGCTGTTAGGGCAGCAAATTAATGTATCATGGGCATTTAAGGAAACGCCGTCGGCTACGTGAAACGGCACATAGCGTACCAGCTGCGTTTTCGCGTGTCGTGCGCGTTTCTCCTTTGCCTATCGCAATGAAGACCACAGGGGCGCAGACAACGTCCGTGGCGCATACAATAAGTTGATTCGTCAGAATCATCTAAAAGTTCGACGATATGAGCTGGTTTCCTGTGTAACTACGTCTGCAATAAATTTAAATGTGCGCCTGAGCGATTTGAGGGTGTCCGGAGCTGTGTCATCCGGTTTACCTCGAAGAGCTGTCTACTACCTTTTTTGCTTACATTCATCACATTTCACTAAATATGATTTTACATATTAGAGTGCCCGGGGTGTGCTGCATGGCGGCTATCCCGTTACCGTCGAGTGGTTGTGGTGTAGGCGTGGCGACGCCAATCTCGGTTTGTGCGTCCTTCATTTTCCAGCAATCGCTCGGGCTACCCTTTCTAAATCTTCAGCGGTTTGTCAATGGATAAGTCTGTTTCATGAGTCGTCGGGGTAGCCTCTCTGTTCATATATGCTGGTCCATAAATCCCCGCTATGGATGACTCTGTAGAGAACGAGGCTGAAGCCTCTAGCCTCAAACGCCAAAGAACTGCGTCCCCTGAAGTTGAAGGTCGTTCTGAGCGTCATGAGGCTCTTAAGGCGGCGTTCAAGGCACGCGATACAAAGGGCCCCTCAAAGGCAGCGCGACCAATAGCGCACGACAAGGAAAACCGAGCGAAGTACCTCGACACTATGGCTGAGGAGTCGGAAGAAGAAGATGTCGCCGTTTCTAGTGGTAAGGATACCGAATCCGAAGAGGATGATGAGGCGGAGTTGGGATCAGAGATTCCGGACGAGATGAAGGGTTTCATCGTGGATAAAGTAGACGAGGATGAAGTTTCAGTGGAGTCCGATGCATCTGATGTGGAGTATGAACCCAATATACTGGATGACGATGATTTAGCTCTTATCGCTGAAAACACAGGAGCTAAGTACGACCAGGAGGACGATGACGACAATCGCCATCAACTTCGCCGCTTGAAGAAAGGTTCGGCATCCACGAAACACCAGGATGACTTTGACAACTGGTTGGATGACGAAGATCTGGACCAAGGGGATCTTGACCTTTCCGATATCTGGGCCACTGTGGCTGAATGTTTCGGTGACGTGGATCTGGTGGTCCAAATATTGAAGAACGAGCGCGTCGTACAACCACGAGATGACGAAGCTGGGTCTGAATATGATTCGGATTCTCAGGAACCGTCAGCACCAGAGGTTACTCTGGAGAGTCTCGCTGACCCTGACGAGCTAGCAAAAGAGTACATGACTAAGCAGGATGAGGACATCCGTGATGCGGACGAACCCGAGCGGCTCTATATACGGTATAGAAATCGTCCCCGACGCACAGAAGCACGTGATATCCGTGAAGAGGCACATTGGATTACACGTCGTCTGCTCGGAGAGTTCCCTGATGACCTGTCTGTCGAGCGTGTTCGCGGTATGTACGAGTCAGCATTCCGCGGTACGTTCCCTGTGCCACAGGTATCTCCTGCGGATGATGCACGGGAAAAGTGTGAGATGGTTTTGACCTGGCTTTTGAATGACCGTTGGGAGGTACCATTCATTTTGCATCACAAGCGACACCTTATATGCCCACCTTTGAATGATGATATGGTTTGGCGCATATACCACCTTGATGCGGAGTGGATCAAGTTGAAGAACGCAGCTGATCGTATAAAGGAAACAATTGACCACATAGGTTCAGAGTTCTTGCCCAACGAAGTCTTGTACTATGCGTTAAACTTCAACACCATAGACGACCTGCATGATGTCAATCTGCATCTGAGGTATCATCATCGTAAGGCATTATATGAGGATACTGCAGCCGATGAAGCTGCATTGGAATCGCAGAAGGCGTTGCCGGCTCCCACTGAAGCACCTGAAGGTGATTTGGAGGCGGATGAAAACGGTGACACAGAAGATGAAGACGACGTTTTCGGCGATTTTACGTTCGGCAACAGCACGGTGCAGAAGGTGGTAGATCCTCAACATTTCAGATCGCCCGACTCATCTCTGCTTTCGCCGTCCTCACCTTTGGGATCTCCTGTAGAGACGTTGGAGGTCGATTCCGAAAAGGTCGGTGTCACACCTGGTCTACAAACTAATCCGGAAAGCGTTTTCGATCCTTCCTATGAAGCTCCCTCAGGTTACATTGATCCGTGGATTGACGACACTGAGGAGGTGTCTGACCGATCAATCAATGGTGATATTGACGTAGACGTTACCGTCGCTACAGACACCGCTGAAGAGAGTACCGCTGTCGGTGATATGGAAAGTTCACATGTTGACGAGAGCACCTCATATCATACCGTAAACGGTTTAGCTGGGTATGAGGCCGAGGCAACCCATCTGAATGAGGATGCGGATCCCGCTACCGCTGCGGCTTATGACGATGAGGATGATATAGACATGGAAGTTGAAGAAAACCAACGAACAGACCACGTTGCTGTACCTGCGAATGATTTGTTGGAAATGGACGAATCAGATCTCAAGGACGATTTCGATGGAGAAGAGGATACAGGTGACCATCGCATTAACGAGATTTCTGCTAATATGCGTTCCCTCGAGGTGAAACCTCAAAAGCAGAGTCCCGGTACAAAGAAACGTAACGTTGATATGCATCTCATAGATTCGATTGAAAAAGGCGGTTTCCACGAGTTGTGGCGTGGATACATAGCCGATGCGCAACAGTTTGCTTCGGTGATTGAGAAGTCGGTGATTCCTGGTTCTAGTGAGCTTCGCATCCAAATGGACCAAGTACGTGCCCAGTGGAAAGAGTTGGGTGCGGTGGGTATGTTGGATGCCCCTTCTATAATTGAAGGTAGCGAGGAACAGCAGGTGGAGGACATGTGCGCTCAGTACTGCAAGCCTCCGTATAATGGCGGTAAGCGGCTGTATGCGGCCTTGGTGACTTACCACACGAAGATGCTGGCCAACAACATCACTATACGTCGTCTGATTCGTGAATATTATCGCAATTACTGTTGTGTCACGTGCACTACCACCCCAAAGGGAGAGGCGGAGGTAGACGTTGCCGATCCCACATGGTTAGCTCGCCGTCTTTATCGCCTACCTCTACAAGAGTTTTCTATTTACCGTCAGGTACACTATCCCTATCCAAAGTCTGCGTCAACTCGTGAGGAGCGTTACCGCATTTTGGAATCACATCGCCACGAGACGGTTTTACCAGAAATGTACCTTCGTATAATGCAATTGGAGAAGGAGGGTATTATCCAATGTACAATACACCCTATTTGCGCGACCGAGGTACCCACTTGGAGGTCTGATGACTTTTCCGATCGTTTTGCTGAATGGTACGAGCGTTACAAGGTGGTAAGTTACAGCGGCAATCCTTTGGTAAACGAGAACTATCGTGCTCGTATGGGTGAGCAGAAGTCTATTTTAGAGAAGGAAGATATGCTTTTGAAGGATTCGGAAGAGCGTGACAAACAGTGGCGCCGTAACTTGGTGGACCAGCTTTCGTTGGCATATTGCCCGTCTAACGTCCATACATATAGCATCTGGCGGCACATACAGAAAGATATATTGAGCCGTTTGATAAACGTGGAGCTGATTCCTAAATTCCGTATGGAGGTTCGTGAGGAGTTGTGGCGTAACGCACAGATGTGGGTTCTGCTGCACAGCCAGCGTATGCTACAGTACAAGATCGACGTTGCACCTGGTTCTAAAGAGACATTGCTGGCACTTGCTGTGGAACGAGACACTCAGTATGTCTATGCGACAGTGATTAATGACTGCGGCGACCTGAAGGAGTACAAGCGTCTTGACCATCTTGTTGCTAACACGTTTACTTCTCGCAACTCTGTCGCTTCGAATCCTCATTTCAAAGAGGTCATGCACGACATTGATGTGCTGTGCGACATGATAGGTTTATTCCGTATAACTGTGGTTCTGATAGCGATGTCCAACATCCACAGTGTTTTGCTACACCACCGTTTGACGTCGTATCTGCTCCCTCACATCAACAAGACGTTGACGTTGAAGAAGATTGACGTTGAGGTGCCTCGGTTACGCTTAAGTATGATGGATAAGGGCACAATTATTGACTTATGTGTCTCAATGGCCCGTTGGTACATCGACCCTGTATCTGAGACTTTGAACCTCTGGAACCCGAATGGTTCCAACCTACTTCTGAAGTTGAACCTCCACCCGCTCCAGCACTTGGTTAGCCAGGAAAAGCTTCAAGAGTATTTGGAAGCAACCTTGGTACAGGTGGTGTGCGAATTTGGTGTCGACGTAAACCGCATGAAAAACGCAAAACACCTTGAGTCTACGCTCCAGTTTGTTGCTGGCCTTGGTCCACGCAAGGCTATGGATGTGATACGTTCTTTGAAGGTTGCAGCTATAGGTACTCGTAGTCAATTGCGTATGGGTCAGGGTACTTTACGTGGTTTGGGTGATGTTGTTTTTTACAACTGTGCTTCTTTTATAAAGATAAGTTCTAATGAGGCTATGGACATTTTGGACACCACTCGTCTGCATCCTATAGAGTGCTATTACACTGCTGAGAAGCTGTGTACAGACTCTTTGGATGACGACCTGAACGGTGAGGAGGCTATTCAGGAGATCTTCACCAACCCTCATAGGCTGGACGACCTTGACCTTGAGGCTTACAGTAGTTTATTAATGGAGAAGCGTAACATGCCACGTATGCTTCCTTACCTTTTGTTTGTGAAACGCGAGCTGCAGTCACCATTCCATGACTACCGTGCAACCCTGCAAGAGTTGCGTGAGGATCAGGAGTTTTGCCTTGCATTACAGATTGACCCCGTGTTGCTTCGTCGCGGCTCACATGTGATGTGTCGTCTTGATGAGGTTTACGAGCATACATTGCGTGCTTGTGTTCTTCCTTTTGAGTTGAAAGCGCATGTTGTTGACTACAAGAGTTTCCGCGACGACGTCTACCGTGTATCTAAGGAGCAGAATCGTACAGTTCAACTGCGCGGTACGTGTATCAGTGCTCGCGTTTCGAATGTAGATTACAAACCTAGTTTTGACAATGGGTTGTGTACTTTCCGTGTTGAGGTAGTGCTCACGGGTCAGCAGCGTCGTTATCTTTTATTGGACATATTTGAGGATCTGAAGCGTGTCGTCGGCATCCGTGAGGATTGTCTGTCTCCTTTGGTTCATTTTGATGTAAACTACTCCAAGAAGCCTATGCTTAACGAGTACTCTGAGAAGCATAAGATTCACTACCGTCGTGTTATTCGTCACCCTAGTTATCGCATGTGGCCTTTGAATAAGATCGTAGCGTTTTTGAAGCAGCCTGAGATTTGTATTGGTGAATGTTGTATATGTCCTATGAGTGAGTGGGATCGTTTGAACTTGGTGATAAAGACGTGTGCTGACCCCTTCAACTGTGCCACGTTTGTTATCCACGAGCGCAATCAGCGTGTTCCTGGTGAGCTTGGTAAGGAGCTTATATTGCTTAACCAGAAGTATAACTCGATTGACCAGATCATAGCGCAATTTTGCGAAACTCTGAAACTCAACCTTGAGGAGATTTATATGCATCCTAAGTTTAAGCACTCTACGGATGTTTCTAAGGCGGAGCGTGATCTTATTCAGGAAAGTGCTATGCGTCCTGATGGTATTGCATGGGCTATTTTGCCGCCTAACGCTATGCAGCAGAAGGGTTCACAAGTACGGTACAATCCTCTTCGGTTCACGTTGTTAGTGTTACCTCCTGGCATGGAACTTTCGCATAATGCTCGGAGCTTACAGGATTCGATTTATGTGGATCACCGCAGCTTTAAGCTCTGGACTCACCATGAGAAGTCTCTGGCTGCTTTGATCAAATGGTGGAAGCAGGTAGGGTACTGGAGTCGTAATCGTCAACGTGAGCTTTACAACCAAGAGAAGGTGTCTCTGATGCGTCAAAATCAAGCGGACGCAATGCGTCAATAAAACTGCTACGAGTAGTATTTAACCTTTTATTGTATTATTATAAGTGAGTATTGTTGTTATATCGTATTAACTATGTTATTTATCGTCTCTATAGGGGATACATCGCTTGAGTTGTTATAGATATGGGTGTTAGATCTGTGTGTCGCTACTGATATCGTGTTATTACTATGTTGCTATGCTATGTCGTCTTTATGTTAATTTATTATGTTCATGACACTGACCATGTGTGATAGCGTCAGATGTATAAGTCGTTGGGTAGGGATGTGTGTTCGTTTTCGAATGCCATGAGTGATGCGCGTCGTCAGCTTGGGCCGAGTGCCTGTACCCCCTGCGCGCCTGAGTCATTAAAGGCGTCATCTGTCAGATCATTGCAATTTTTTAGCTAATTTATGCTATATTTGCAATGTTTCATATTGCGTCATTTGGTGGCCTTGCGTCGCTTCGGGGCGCTCTTGCCCAGGTCACACCTAAGTTTGCGCCTTGCCGTCCAGCGTGCGGCGTGCGCAGCATATCAACCCAAGCCGTAACTGAGAGAGCCTCTATGTCTAGTTCTACTAGCGGTGCTGTGAAGCTTTACGCGCCTCATATCGTGAAGGAGATACAACCTCCTCGGGGTGGTAGTCCTGTTTACTGGAGTCTGCGTCGTTCTATCTTTCGGACTAAGACTAACTTCATGCGTTTAGCACGTCAGGTGCGATGGAACATCTGTTTAATCCGCATGTCTTTTGCTGGAGTTCCTAAGCGTTCTTATGACCCTAAGATCAACCAATGGGTAACATTAATGGACAACGAAGAATGGGGAGGTGTAGGAGGTCGTCTCTGGGTTGACATCTCTAGTCAGATTGTCTTTAACGTTTTCTTGGCTTTTGTGCTTTACGCATGCTACTTCCGTTTTATCGCGAACAACAAACACAACGTTCTAGCAAAATGGGCAAAGTCGGCTGAAGATGAAGATAACTGAGCCCTTACGTGCCTATTTCGCACTTCAACTGTACTCTAATTGTTAATATCGTGACATTTAGTGATAACAATGCGTTGTATTTGTTCCCCATGAGTTCGGGTTATGCCAGCGTGCAGCGTTGTCGCCATTGCACATCTCACTATGCTTTCCACTTTAATTACCGCGTGACCTATGGTTAGCATGTGTTATGTGGATTTTGATTTTAAAATATTTGTGGGCTACTTATGAGCAGGAGAATCTCAAGGTCGCGATCCCCGTCGCGCTCCTCATCTCGTAGAGGTGGGTCTTCGCGTAGCCGTAAGGCAAGTCGCCGTAAGGATCGGTCGCCCCGTCGTTCTCGTGATCTATCTTACGATCGTTCCTCGAAATGGAAGTCAAAGAGTAGCCGTCGTGGCGGTAATGCCAGCACTCGTGAAAAGTCTACTAGTTCTAAGAAGGCTAGGGAAGAGCAGGAATTTTTGACATCCATTTATGATGGCTGTGTATTCTCTACCTTGGACCTCATTTTCGTAGTATCGAAGCACCTATTTAGCTTGGTAAAAGACGATTCGTTGCCTCTTGATGTGTATGAGTTACGGCGCGACATTGCGGACCACTTTGAGGGTTCTCAAAGGCTGCGGTTCAATACGGTGTGTAATATAAACGCTCTCTGCTCCATACTGAAGTATCTTAGTTCAGGATCGGCAAAGGAAGGAGGCGCTCACGATGAGGATAAATCGGCGGATGGCCGGGGCGGGCGAGCGAAACGCCGTGATACTGGCAACCACAAGGAGTTGCAGAACGGACATGTGAAGCAACGTGACACCGCTTCGGACTCGCATATTTCCGAAGGCGCGGCCGATGATAGGAACTCTGTTGATAGCACGGTGGTTTCTGATGTTAACAGTACTGCTCGTAATGAAGATCTGATGGGCCGCAACCGCACTTCCGATGGTGAAATAGCGACAACAAAACGTAGGCGTGAGAGGAAAGAGGCAACGTTGCTATCTAAGTATCTGGACAATTTGCCTGATGCAACCGATCAATCATTTCGCGAGTTTGACTGCCACCAGTCGTTGATTGACCTTGACGTCAAGGAGGGGTTATTGTATATTATAGATCTTAGGAGCACAATTCTAAAGCGTACACTTTTGAAGAATCGCAAGAAACAACGCGTGTTTGACTTAAGTGGTATATTCCCGGTTGACTCGTCGAGCACGAACCTCTCCACCGAAGACCGAGAGCAGGATGGTAAGGCGGAGGAGAGCACTCACGATATAAATGATGCCGGAGACGTATCGTCTAATGTAAAGGAGGTCTCAGATGCCCAGAATAATATCGTGGCTGAAAGTACTGACGGCAATGCTGCAGCCGATAAATCTTCAAACGCTGCAGATGAGGCATCGGGAAGCGGGGTGGAACTAGCGGTTAAGACTACCCCGTTGCCTGCTATCTCCGACGATAGTGGCAACACTCTGGATGGACTATACAAGGTGCTCTGGCAGGATACGGCCCGTGAATTAACACGAATTTCACACTTCCAGCTGAAGGATCAGAGTGGCTTCCGTGAAATCTGTGCCTTTGGTACGCGTGCAGACTGTCGAATGCAAAATCCCATGTCTTTCTTGTGTAAAAAAGTACACTTCAAGCGTATTATTTTACCTAATACGTTGGTACAACTGGGTGACTGTTCCTACCTGGACACTTGTCGACATATTGAAACTTGCCGTTTCGTTCACTATCAGGTGGAGAGTGATATGTCTCCTCGTCCACCAATCGACATGGTATCACAAGGTCAATGGATTTGCTGCGATGTTCGTAAGCTTGATTTTTCGATTTTCAATCCTTTTGTGTCTGTCGTTATGGCTGACCCACCTTGGGACATTCACATGGACCTTCCTTACGGTACTATGAAGGACTCTGAGATGCGTCATCTAAAGGTTCAGAACATCCAGAATGAGGGTTTACTTTTCCTGTGGGTGACTGGTCGCACCTTGGAGGTTGGGCGTGAGTGTATGGAGATTTGGGGTTACCGTCAATTAGACGAGATTGTGTGGGTTAAAACTAACCAGTTACAGCGCATCATTCGCACCGGCCGTACCGGTCACTGGCTTAACCATTCCAAAGAGCACTGTCTCATTGGTATCAAGGGCAACCCTGTGATTAACCGTTTCCTCGACTGTGATGTTGTGGTCTCCGAGGTCCGCGAAACCTCTCGCAAACCTGACGAGATCTACGGTATCATTGAACGTATGGTACCAGGTGCGTTGAAGTTAGAGATTTTTGGTCGTAGCCACAACGTTCGCAACAACTGGATCACTTTAGGTGGGTACTTATTGCATACGGTTTGACATTTGATGCAGGTAACCAGCTGGACGGTTACAAGCTGACTCATCCGGAGATCAAGCGTCGATATGAAGAGACATTGTCTAAGGGTGATGTCAGTGGCGTGTCAGCCACTGCTTCAGGCGTGGACACGGTAAATGCCGTGGCACCCAATGCTGCCACGTAACAGTTTATTGAACTATAATTAGATTTTGTTGAAGTGACACAGAGTCACGGTAATGGTCGTTTTGCCATTACACTGTAGAAATCTTCGAACGAGAGCAATCCATCTCCGTTCGAGTCTGCCCGATTGATCATGTCGCGGAGTTCATCGTCAGATACGAACTCTCCTAGTTCGTGTGCCACCTTTTTAAGGTTTTTAAATGAAATTGACCCCGTGTTGTCATGGTCGAAAAGGTTGAATATCCTTCTGATTCCTTCTTTGCTATCTCTATTTCCTAATTTGAGTGTGATTGCATCTAGGAAGTCGTTGAAGTCTATTTGCGTGGATCCACTCTTCTCCAGATCCGACACTATTTGGAATACCATAGGATTCTTTTTATCGATCCCTAAGCTTTGCATAGCGCATTTGATTTCCCTAGGGTCGATTGTTCCTGCATTTTTGTTAGCTGTGTAGATGTCAAGAATAGACCTTGATGGTCCGTGAAGCACCAAGTGAAATTGCAACTCCGCGATGGGCACATAGCATTCACGTAATCATGTAACTGTCATAGGTACAGGTGAAATGAGACACATCAGTCGTTAACGCCACTATATAAAGCCTCTGGTCATGTGCGTGACGAGGTGATAGCAATCGTCCGCGAATACGACCACCAATGGATATATATTGCGAACGCCATTTATTTGAGGTTGTATTTTAAATAATTGACGTCCGAATAGTTACAATGGACCACTTACCCGTTCCGTTAGTGTCGAATAGGTTGAACGCTTCCTGCATTTCGTATACTTCGTCATCTGTGAGTCCGGTGTGTCCGGATGACGGCATATCGCCGTAATCGCGCCGTGTGAATGTCATTTTTCGGCGCTTAGAATTTTAATTAGATGTGTGTCCCCACGGAAGTGTCAGTTGCTCTGTTATGAGCGCAGGCGCCTTATTCTCTCAAGTAGATCGTCTAGTTCCGTGCGCTGCATCAATGTGTGTGTTGAATAATTCACCTTTTACCTTATTTGTTGACGTAGTTATTTTTTCGATAGCTGTATGTTTTTGTTTCCATTTTTCACGCACCTACCTGGTCTGGTACTGACGCTTGATCGTACTAGCTGATTCACCTTGTCTATTTGCCTTTTGATCTCTGGCGTGGTTGGCGGTCTCGGATTGAGTTTATTGATAAGCTGTTCGGTGTTGTCAGATGAGTATACGTTGAGTTACCTCCGAGTCTGGTAGTGGCTTGAGATCCTTGCCGTACATCTGACGCAGTACAGTGACGATTACGCGCAACTCCGGAACATCTGTTAACCTGTGACTCTTTGGTCCGTAATAAGTTACCTAGACGTTCGGCGCAGTGGAATACTGTTGCGATGCAGGGTTTTATTTGTGCGTCAATTTCCCTTCCTATTAGATGCTGCACATATTTTGCATCAGAATGTCTACAATATATGCAATACAATATCATTTAGGCTACATTACATGTTCCCTAGCACTTACCTTACGCGCCTTTAACAGATTTAGATCCTTTGTCAAATGTTCAAGGACATGTAATGTGTTCTCCTGGTAGATGCTTTGCTCTGCCTTTATATGTGCATCATCTCCATTGCTGAACGACGTTTGCATGTCATATCCCAGTTAAAGCTTACCTGTTGATTGCTTGGTATGTCGTTGCTAATTCATTTTCCAAGCGTTTTCTAAGTAGTTTAACTGCGAGCGAGTTATGACATCACAAGCATATATCACTTTACCTCGGCAGCAGGCGAGGTCTATGTTCTTGACTAGTTCTTCCTTGTTAGTATCGAACCGTTTTGAAGCTGAAATCACGGTGTAAGATTCCAGATGCGTTGTCTACCTGATGCACCCATGGCTGCCGATACACACGATGAAACGTTCAAGACGTTTCTAATGGGTTGTTTTGTCGCTGTTCAACATGTGTACTTGCTTACAGTGCCGTCTTCGGGGGCGTTGCGTCGCTAAAGTTACACACTGTAAACTATGTGGGCGCGTTACGAACTATATGAGCCTGTCAGTTGATAAACATGAGTTTCAAATTCCAATTTACGTTTGACAGGTGTGTATACCTATGTTAAGGAAATGAAGCAGTGGTTTTTGGGTAAGGTGAACGAGCTGGGGGAGAAAGCGGTGGATTCCGTAGTCAATATCGTTCTCTCCCGCAATGATAAGACTATATCGGACTTCAAACAGGTACGTGTGCCCTATATTATGCTTTAAAACACCTGTCTATAGACTCCACTTATTGCCGCGATCTCTCGTAGTGTTAATTCGCATATAACAATCAAGCAGTCCAACTTATGTTCCTCTAAAGATGTATCTGGACCAGTTCAGCGCCTTGCAAAGGCTGAGGTTGACCTTTTAGAATCGAGATTCATCTGTTACCCCGATCCATTCACCAAGACGCCTCCTACGATCACCAATCGATTAAGTAGAGTAATGCCAGAGCAGCAGTGTGGAGCCATTTACTTCGACGGCTTGGGTTCGATACCAACAAATATGTGTCAATACCGTGTGACTATGAGCTGCGATGGAAAAGTTGCATCATCACCATCGATGGATATGACTACTACAGGTTTCAATTGCGTTCGTTGGGACCATCGGTTCGTTGTGGATATCGACGACCTATGGGTCGATTTGAACTTTGTTGTACGCGCCGAGATGGATTTCAACCAGTTTAGTCAACAGCAACAACATAACCGATACAATTTATCGCGACAGAGCAACCCAGATAACCAATCAAAAGGTGCCCAACCCACACAGGTCTCACGAGGAGAGCCTGTCCATCCCGATTCCAGTGACTCTCAGCATCTGGAGTCTATATATGGCAAAACAAAGTATGTACAGCGTATAGGGCGCGCTATTATATCTGTGCCTATGCTTTTGGATTCCCTACAATTGCGTCGCACAACTTGTCTGAGGGAAGGCAGCAAATATGGCGCAGCTAGCACGGAACCAGGGCCAATGAAGTTCCAACAGCCGAAAGATGACACTAGTTCAGGGCTACCAAAGGAACGAACCACTGGATATGTTGACCATACTTCCTCAGAGGGAAAGAACCGTGTAAGCGACGGTACCAATGCACAAAGCAGCATTGAATCTACTGAGCGTGATACCACTTACAGATACAAAAATAGAGATTCTAAGAACACTGGTTCTTTTGTTTCCTTGGATGGAGAAGTGGATGACTCTAAGGACATTATTTGTGGTCGCAATGTGGATAAGTTAGAGGCCACGGTTGACGTCAATCCCAGCAACGCCACTACACCTTCCAGCACAGACGCTGGAAGCAGTCAGATTCCGACGAGTGGCCATGAAACTGACGGAGGGTTAGGCACATCGGAGGGTGGAGGAGCTGATTTGCCGTCATCAGCAACAGCGTGTGACACCGGTTCAGATTCTGGAAGCAAAGAAACAACCGTACCACAGGTTGTATATAACAATGCTGAGGGAGATGCTCTGAGAGAGGCGGAGCCTGTACAATCCTCTGGTAAGGTCCTTAACAACACTGATAACCCGGAAGGGGACAGTTGCAACGATACGTATGACTCAGGGGCTGCATCACCGTTGCAACCTGGTATCATTGAAGATGACGTGGTAGCTTCTGAAAAGTGTCAGCCTACTGAACAGGTAGACCCTAACGGTAGCAACGATGTCTCTTACGGTCCCTCTGAAAATGCAGTGATTTTGCCTGTCACGGGAACTACGGGTAGTACGGCAGATAACTTGGAGAAGAAAGGTGCTGCTACAAGTCATACATCTTCGTCAAAAGATGCGAGTTCTGGAAAGTCCTTAGAGCGTGAGGCAGTCTTACAGGAGTCGGAAGATGCTTCCACGGAGTATCCCTATTTCGTTGAAACCGTCATGACCTTACAACTTCTGCCATTTAATGAGCACAAATGGGATGATAGCAAGTATGTGCGTCCCATAGAGGGTTACCCTAGTTACGGCATGAAGACACCTAGTCAATGTCTTGGCTGTATCGATGTTCGGGTCCGCGTGTACCTCCGCAATCGTGCACAGTGGCTGGCCTTGCGTAGCTGCGCAAGGCCACCTAAGATGTATTGGCATGTACCCCGGGAGTTTGAAATGTTCCACACAAGTCTAATTATCAAGCGTATGGGTTTTTTTCTCAACTCCAAGCCTCGTTGGGTGGATCATATTCTGTTACCTCGGTGGCCTTATGAGCACCCATGTTACATATTTTTGTTTTGGTTGATCTTATTTGATTTTATGGTGTTCGCACCGTTACCTCGCAAAGTATTGGACGTTTATTTGATGGTGGGAATTGTGTCTATCTTCTACCGATACTGTATCGGTCCCATGCGTTATCGTGGTCTCTGTGGATTTCGCCAGGAGACTGCAACTACAAGTGTTACATCGGCCTCTTACAGCCCCAATTTATCGCGTGCAATGTCAGGAACTCGTGTTGTATATGATGATGGCGTGATTGGTGATACAAGTTCTGAGTTGCTCGCTCCCGAGACTGTAACATACAAAGTGGAGCGAGCTAGAATGTCTGGTGCATCGTCATTACAATTGACTCCCATACATTCTGATTCAAGTGGTCGATTGATTAGCGATAGGCGGCCTTATAAATGGGATTTCAGGGATGGCGAGGGATCGAATGCTCGTTTCATGGCGCCCCCTGGTTATCGTGATTTGAGTGCGCAGCGCTATGACGGATCACATTGTTGGCCCATATTTGCGGATGAGTTGTCTGACACTAACCTTGAGGATATCGTGAAGTTGGTCGTGCTGATTATGCAGAAGGCCCAGGTGATCCTTGGAAGCGTGATGTTAGCGTTAGACAAGCTACGTTTTTCGCTAGGATGCGCTGATTCCTTATCATGGCTTATGGTATGGGTTACATTGGTGATACTGCTCATTCCGCTTTATGTTACGGCAGACCTATTATGGCGTATTCCCGGTATAGTTTGGCGTTTGGGTATTTATATTGGCGTATCATCATATTGTTTCACCTACCACATTACCGATAGTATCATTTTTTGGAAGATTTTGGATCGTATTATCGTTTGGTTAAGGTTTCCGGGTCCACTTCGGTACCTCTCTCATTGGTTGTTACGCGCCCCTGACTCGCGCGAAGCGGACCATCGTGCAATTGCCACTATACAATTGATTCATAATTAATTAATTGCTATGATTGCGGTGTGTCCGTATTTGGGCACTCCCTCTGGTGTGTTGCGTGCCCTTTTTGGTTTGTCGTTTCTCCGTCCGCGAAAACTTGCGTTGCGTATTGACCGCAGGAGGTAAGTTCCTGCTGCGTATAGCGTCATAAGGTGTGTCAGGACTAAGCGCGAGTATCGCAGCCGTCGCCACAAGTACGGATATTATTACCGTTGGACCGGATGGTGATCACCATGTCCACTTTCTTTTACGGACATGAGGCAGCCTTCTGCGTATCGGTTCTAGCCTTCTCCATGTGATGTGCGGTATCTTCTGTTCTTCTTCGTTGTTTGCGAGTTCCGGGAAGAATAGCCCAAGTCTCTCTGCGGCGAGCTTCAGCTTCTGCGTTGAGTGAGTACGTGATATTCACTAGTATCACACGAATCAACTGTACCTTTTGCATAAATGTTACATAATATAGCACTCCTTTCCTTTTCATGAACGCTTACCTCGCGGTCAATGGTTGAATTGATTTCCTGTAGGTTGATATTGTTCACTAGTGCGTGTTGTAGCCTTGGGTTAGAGTACCGCAACTTTCCATGTGCCACAAGCAGTTTCATGCTCAGGTTTGTGTTCATTGGTTTTGTAAATAATTTCGCATCCAACAATGCGAAGAGTTTTTCGTCGACCACATGTACCCTTGCGTACGATTGAACGATGGCCACGGCATCGTGTACCTGTAAGTCTGCGAGAACTTCTTCCTTACGTAGTATAGCCGAGAATGTGTCGAATAGCCGTTTATGTTGTAGGAATCGTGAAAATCCCGTGTATAAGTTGGTGAGCAGCTGTACATCCGCTGTCATCTCTGGATCGATAATGGTCAGTACCATGCGTGCTATTATTGCCACCAATGGTTTATTATGGTACCCTATCTGCGAGAGAGCCACTATAATTCTGGATAGCTGCTCAATGTTGTAACTGCCAGCATCCCGTCTTATATTGACAGACAAACGATCCATTAACAGTGTGTTACCCGTCCTGTACCGCGATAGGGTATATAGTACCAAGCAGATATCATGTGGCAGCAGTGCGTGTTCCGCGCAATGGAGCTTCATTGTCTCCTCGAATACGTTAATCAGAGTTATGTGTTGGTAATACTTTGAAATTTGCGCCATAGCTTCTACTAGATCCGATATATCCACTTCATTGAGTTTGCGTGTGGATAGCTCATCACATAGCGTTTTTAAAACTTGTTCATGTATTGTTGGGTCGATTGCAGCTAGTCCTGCAGCCATTTGCATTATTTGTATCGTATTGAATTCTTGTAGGTTCATATCCTTTAGACGCATAATAAGTCGATTAATATCAACTTGTCCACCTCTTTTTTGGAAAGTACATGCTGCGCATATGAAGTTGTACACCTGCCTTGGTTGTTCCAAGGCTCCTTGGGCGTCAAATGCTTCCGATGCTGGGAACGGTGGCTCTGCTGCACCGCATTCTGCCAATGCTCTGAACATGATATCCAGATTGGCATCACCTGGTGATGCCTTTACCTCTTCTAGCAATTTCTTCCCATCACCGCCAAAATTTTGGAGTGTTAATGCTAGCATAGCTGCTTCTCTCAGATCGTTTGAGAGCAACTGTCTCGACTGTTGTTCTAGAGAAGTGACTGCATCCTTATCTAATTTTTCTGCGTGTTGTAACGCTTGTATAAGTTCTCGAACAGTTCGGCATCTGACCCAATTGGCAGCCACGGTTTGGAATTTTCGTATGGCTTGACCTACAGAATGACATACCATCGTTTTCAATGGGTGTTAGTCATAGTGCCATACTTATGTGTGCGATTGAACAATATGTTGAAGTCGAGGGGTGCGTTGATTTACCGTTCCGGAATGTCTTCCATGGCTCCAATCTGGGCATCATCGCCCTCATCTATACGATATTCCATAGCTACATTCTACCATTTAAATTGCGTTATTACATTGATCATTATGGTTACTTCTATTGGTTGCGGCAGCACCTGCTGTCGTGGCTCGCAGTAGAATTATTTACCACCTTCGAGGTGTAATGAAAAGAAGTAATAAGTTGAGCGTGAATAATATTTACGATTTTACGTTTTCGCTGTCGAAGCGCCGTGCGCCGGCTCATGGCTCCACAGTATGAGGAAGGCTACACACTCATGCTGGCTTGAAATGCTAACAGATTCTTACATAAGATTATTTTAAGGTTAAATAAGTGCCATCAATACTGGAATGGGAGATGTAGGATATATGTATCGTCTACGATGTCACCGAGAGTGAACGGCAGTCGATCTAGAGACCCCTTGAGTTCATTTACGGTGATAATTCGGCTTTTTTTGAGTTCAGCCTCCGACTTTGATTCTACACATTGTTCTCCGCTAATTATCCATGCTGCAACTCGTTATTTTTGTAAATGTGTAACTAACCTGGACAAACGTTTAAAAGTCCGTGCATCAAGAACCATTTTTCTTCCTTTTTTGGCACATTGGAGCCTACTGATTTGCATTGCGTAAGCCCATGAGCCATGGCTATCTCTATATCCCGAAGTATAATCCCTTCGCGCGTAGGGTGTTCATCGATGATCTTGCTAATATCCTGCCTATGAGGTACAACACGTTTCTTTTGTACGGCTGCATTAGCCAACAACGGCAATAAAAATAAACAGGGCAACATTTTTTTGAACTGCAGATTGCGAGGAAACAACGCGCCACCAAAAGATCCCCACCGAGGAAAATTTGTAGCTGTCTGCCCGGCGAAATAAATTGCAGAGCTGCTTCTACGCTAGCTAAGTCTCCAACGACCGTTTGCCGATAATTATTGTTTCCTTTATAGGCTGATATTGCTGGTGTATCTTAGTTCGATTAATTGCCCGTAAAGGAAAAAAAATTCTCCCTGCGCCTCGATGAATCTCATGAGTACTGGTAGTCTGGAGCGGCTATGTATGCCTTGTGCTTCCTTGCGGGCAGATCTTCTATATAGCTATAGCCAAATCTCATTTTTTCTTCGTCCCACTTGCACTGCATCCATTCATTATACCACTTTACGCACTTTGTAGCTGCTCTTCCTTGGTCGTTTGCAAATTCGTTGTTCTTGAGACAACGGAATTCCTCAATTAATAATGGTGTACAAGCCGATTTAGGGTCATCTTCTTTGACCAATTTCGCAAACTGGGTCTCCGACATACCGCTACCGCCCTCGGAATGAGGATAGGTGTAAATTCCGGCATTGCGCGCGATCGCGCGTTGCCATGAAGTTTCGGGTTTATATGACCCGTGTCCTGGTATCCCAGACAACGTTGAATGATGTGAACCGCTATTTCCACTCATTTGTAATGTAAATTTGTATCCCGGTACAGGGAAACTGGCAATGCGCGTCACGTGTAACTGCCTGTGGTGTAAACGGTAGCTGATATACCCTCTAAAATATAAAGTCAAGCTCTAGATGGATCCAACGTGTTTTAGACTCCAATAAGAGTGTATATCTATAGGTATTTATATATGTGTAACGACCATCGCCTCCAAATACGGAAGCCGGTCTCGATCTCTGGTCTTGTGGCTTCCGGGAAGAGCAGCAATGCCACGTCGGGCATCTGGAAGGGACAAATAGTCAGAGCTATGGGTGTTGACGCCTAAAGTCGTTAGAATAGGGGCGTGATGCCATGGTGTGTGTGTTTAAGGTTAGAACGCATTCTCTATGTGGTCTTATAACTAGCCGTGGAACCATAGCCAGATGCACTTTCATGTGAAGGTTAACTCCATACACCATGGCATCATCGATCACCTACTCTCGAAACACGCCATGCAGATGGTACTGTTCCTCGTTTGATTTGCTTAAAGGGCCTGTTCCCGCCCCACCCTTACAGAGCCTACGCGTTGACATTCGCCTGCATCGCTAAAGCGGCATAGTCGCATATAGAGAAGAAAATACAGTTCAAGATGGCTGACAAGGGTAAAAGGGGACTAGTCAATATGACTCCTCGCAATGAGTTGCCTGCTGGAGTAGTTCCAGACTGTTTGGTCTGGGAGCTCGTGAAGGACAACAACGCTCATCTCTTCAAATCTGGAACCGCATCGTTTACTAAAGAACGCTACAACATCATGGCAAAGAACACTCCTGTGTACTCAGGTAGTTCCAATAGCATTGTTTGCTTAAGAAGTTGCAGGTTTGCTCCAGAAGGGTGTGATGGATATCGAATTGGCCCAATCTGGTTCTAAGATTTTGTTCAAGAGTATGAAACTCCAGGATGTGCGTCGTCCAAGGAGCAGAACACATCTCAAAAAACTCAGCAGGTCTCTTGCCCATGTCGATTACCTGCGCAAGATTTCCGATGAGACCAGACCAGACCTCACTCCACTTTTGTTGCAGAAGTATGCGAAGATAGCAAAGGCCAAGATCGATGTGAAATTAGAGTAAACTTTAACTTTTAATATTTGTTGCCCTAAGGCGTAGTTTGAATATGTAAACATGCATATTATAACCCAAGTTTATCATTCACGTGACACCAACTGGTATACCTCTTTCAATGCCACTTTGAGTTTTATATGTTCCAGTCCTTCGAGTTCGCATCCCTGTTCTGTGTAATCGAATAGGAGTTTTGACCAGAATGTGAGCAAGCAAGTTTCCGCTGCTCTGAACTTATGTCCTGAGAGATCCAGTAGTAACGCCATTTCGCTTAACCGTGCTGACGACTGTGCCACTGTGCTTAGCCATTTTCGTATATTTTCACGGAACATTTGGTACCACAATGCAACATCGCAATCGTATAGCATACGGAACACTCGATAGCAGAACCTGCGACACCATACCAGATCCTTGCGATGGTCGACTCCACAAAATTCTACAAAGAAGTGAAATATCAGTACTGCGGCTACACGGCTTGGCGGTATAAAAATGTTCCAGTTGCGCGACATATATAGATCGTCCCATCTGAGTAGACAGTGGTAAACAAATGCGAATCCACCATTCTCCACCATGTACCTAAACGCCATTTCCAGAAGTAGGTAATCGCAAAGTACTCTTTCTCCATCTCCATCTTGCAGTGACTCCGTATGTCCCAACAAATTGCTGTCGAATGACGCAGTAGGTTGTCTCCTCATCTGTGTAATACCCTGGTAGCCATTGGGTGCCCTTGATACCAATTTTGATTCGAAGCTATTTTCTTCTGAGCTTTGTGGCGGCATTGTAGTATCTGAGTCGTCTTTTGGAGACGTTCTTCGACGCATACGTGCCCCTATATTGATACCATTGTAATCATCCCCGCTTCCTGGAGTTTGTCTAGGGCTGCTTCTGGTACTATTTTGTGTTGTTGCTGTGATTTTTTGTGGTTTATATGCACCCTTTACATTTGCGAGGTAGAAAATCCCATATTCCATGGCAGTGTACATAGAGGTGAACCCCCGTGGCATCGTTTGTAGAATATCCAATTGTGTTGCCATGATATCCTGTGGTGTGAATGTCCCTGTTGCCATTTGTGCTGCCCTATCTAAATATGAATCGCTGGATATGTCAGTCCAGTGTTCTCTTAGTGCACATGCTAGTAGGTATGCTGCCGTTGCGATACGTACCATTTGTTCATGGTCAGGTGTTGTGTCAATGTTGTCCCGTTCCAGTATGCTGTCCAAGTAAAAATCGAAGAATAGCATGGCTAGATGCATTGTGCATTTATCGGTATCGAATGACTGGCACAACCGTTTGAGATACGGCATTACCTTGGTACGTTCTCTCGCGGCTATTGCTGATCTTCTCATTAGTTGCGATTCCTTGATAAGGTATAGTTCCTCGCACAATTTATCGTAATAATTGCGATCTTCATTACATTCCTTTCCGAGTCTCTCATTGAATGTGATTATATGGTTGAGTGCACTTATTACAGAGCGTTCTATGGGTCCATCTGCGTTATTTGTGTGTTCGAGTGCCGAGGCCTGTATATCCATCAAAGGTCGTGATGCCATCAGCAATTGTGCGGGTGTTATTGGCGTTTTTTCCCGTGTTAGAAAATGATGTTTCATTTTATTGGCGATTGCGATATTTTTGTCTAGAAGTAGTGTATTTGACAGTAGTGTAATCTCAGTTTGGAAGAGATCACTCCACAACCCTGCTACATTGTTCATCCCTTGCATTTCCTCATGATTTGGTAGATGCGAGAGCAAATGGCAGCTTCTTCTACGATATTCTTCTACATCAAACGTTAGCGATTCACATCCGTTGAGTGAGAATGCCGATACGAAGCAATTGTTCACCCTATCGTATACTTCAATCATTCGTCCATATAGGTCCATGATTGCTGTTTTTCCCCCATCTCGTCCATCTTTTGAGATATCTTGATGCATGAAATGTTGGGGGTCAGAAGACTGAATTTTATAGGTCTCCTGTCCCCTGTATCTATTTACCAATCGAACCATATCTCCGTCAACTGCTTACGTTATAGCGTGAGCCTTAATCCCCGATAGTTACAAGTACCCGTTACACATGCTCGTAACAGCTGTCGTTTATTACGTAAGTTTTTCGTGGAATTGATGTTCGAGTCCGATTCCCTGTGTCCTACTAAGTGTATGTACACACCTCTTAAATTCCGGCAACTTTGTTACACACCTCGATATATCTAGTCTATACAGCGTATTGAGATCCTCAGATCACTGAAATACGCCCTAAGATCGAAGTGTTGAATTTCTGAAATGGTTGATCTTCCTTTTTTGTCCAATTACTCGGCAAGCATTTCACGTTGACATTGCCGAAAGATAAATATGTATCTATTCCACATTATCTGTGTAGCGATAGACTTAGTTCTTTAGCCGGCCGCTACTCCAATATGTCAATCCATGTCATCTGGTCTGGCACAACTCGATGAACCACTCTTTTTCATGTATTTATATCCTCCCTGGTGGCCATATAGCGCTTTGAATAGTATTTAGAGTTATTAATTTTGATATTTCTTCAAAATGGTTTGGTATCGTGTACCCTGCTTATCACGGACGTGGTAAGCGTCCCGGCAACATCAGGCGTTTCTGTCCAATCTGTCTAAATAGGTGACTTCCGACTATAAAATCACGCTAATGTCAATTTTTTTACGTGTAGATTGTCTGACTCTAGCCGCCCAACTCAGCGCCCGAGATGTGTGTCACGCGTCAGCGTCGTGTGGATGGCGTTGTTACACAGTGTCGCACATGCAGTGGACCTGATACCATATGGCCACTCCCTACCGCGATATTGCGGTCTGACATTGTTTTCAAGGCTATAGTGACGTATATATGTACTTGTTTCGTTATGTCATTTGATTACACACCTTCCGAAGACGAAAGAGTTTAAATCTTTTAGTCTCTTAGATGTTAGATGGGTAGAGGAAAACGCGTACCTTGCTACCCATAGCTGACGGTGGCAAGTTCTTCCTGAAGGAGGCTCTTACAGTGCCTCCGTTTCCATGTGGTCGTCTGATTTTCCCCCAAATGGCCTGGAATATTGTATACTAAAGTTACAATGTTGTCATACCCTGTATCTAGTTCCATTTTTAATGTTTTTGCTCTTGTATACGTACGCGACCTTTTTTCCAAGGTAGAACGCAGTTTCCTCACGGGTGTTGACCCCTTCAAGTTTAAGTAGGCTCGACTTTTGGTCTTGGTTCACCTTTGACCTGCAAACAATGTATCTCTGCAACCGTTGTATATCCATGAACATGCTTTGACCACTTGAGCAGTAATACCTAGGTCATATACATCTGTATTCCTCCCGACATAATTCTAGGAGTTTTTAGGTGGTTATCGCACGAAATATCGGTGTCATACAGATAGAGTAGTTCTTAAAGGTTCACAATACGGTTGTACGTTAGAAATATGGTCATTCAGTAGTCTGACTCACCTCTTGTATCCCATGAAGATGGCCCTGGTGTATAGCCTGCAAAGCTCCTTCCTTCCTGACCTTCTTCCCTTTGCCATTCTGGTATAATTCTGTGAATATGATGATTAATGGTTAATATGTGTCGCAATATGTCATGAAGGCACTTATAATATTGGCGTGGCCGCCCAAACGGCCATGATTGTCTGCACAGCGGTCCCTGGTACTTACCTCTATGAATATACGATATATAAATGTGTGAAACTATATAGGACTCGTGTCTGTCCTTGATATTTCTAAATGAGCCGGAGTCTGAGAGCCGTACCCCACTGGCTGCCTGGGTAACAATCCCCGGTAGAGTTCAGCAGTCGAGACTATTTTTATATTGGCAAATCATTTGTATCCCGAAAGATTGTACACTTTGGTCTACATTGTGTATTGTCCAGGTGTACGGGTTCCGTAATTGTCCATATAGGCATAGCAGCTGCTTAAAGTTCTATCCGTGGTAGCTGTAGCTAAACATGTTGGCACTATGGTCTAATTAGGTGTATTGTATGCAGTCGTCATCAGTCGGTCCCGATAAGTGTCCCATAAGCGTTTAATAGTGATCGTCAGCATTGAGGGCCGTTACACCTCAGCACTCCTCGTCTCACGTGTTTGAACGCCTTTGAGTGACCTTATAATCATTATATGGTCGAATCTGTATGACTATAGAATGGAATACTGTTTGTGCAGTTGTTCACCTTTATGCTATTTACTGGTTGTGCCTCTGGCACGCACGTCATATTACATTTCGCTTGCATTGTAGTTTATGACAAAAATTTCATCACTATCTGTATGTAAAGTTGCGGTATGTATGTACGTTATCAGCTTGGTGATTCCAATATTGTCCTTGTTGACCAGTGCTCTACGTGTGTAAGCCGGCACGTAGGATCGGATTACTGCTTCTGGTGACAGCAGACCACGATCCGCTACAATGTAAGTATAGCATCGGGTTAGCAGCCGTTGTCGACTCTGCGGCTGTCCCGCACATCTTGGCATCACACCACAGTCGCGCGCTAGTCACATCACTAACTATAAACTTTGTAACGTTTCCAAAATGCCAGCTCTTAAATTTGAAAAGCTTCTTTGCGGCCCTTCGGTCGACTTGCTTAAAAGGGACTTCGTCCATGAAAACAATTGGGAAGTCGAACACACCGACTCTGCCAAAGGAAGCAACTTCACAAACAACCTTTACCTACACCGTAATGGACATATGGTTGGATCGACATGCATCAAGGCGGATGTTGGCCCTGTAAACGCAGAACTTAAAATGCAGAACAATGGAGACCATTACATAGATATGTCTGTTGTGGTAAGTCTATAGGGCAATAGTCCCCTTTGTGACCATTAATCGTTGATACGATCCAATCAGGTTGATATAAGGGCGGCACGTACTGTTGTTTTACTGCTTATGCGGTAGTATATACCTATGATTATTGTAGTTATACATGTGACGACTTTAGCTAATGTGACGCTCAGAATCCTCACTACCCAGCAATGAAAGTTTTGTCCAAGTACGCCTTTAATGTCACCAAAGGTACAAACACCTATGAAGTAGCCGCAGAACACGTACACCCTATGAACACGTCCCAGATTAAAATTCTACCCTTCGCACGCAACTACTCAGCCTTCTCCCTCTTCAACTACAAGAGGGAATGCTGCCAGGTCTTCTGTGGTACTGAGGTCTTTGGTAACCATGGTTCCGTCTTCTCCAACTACGCACTCGGTCTAGGTTACAAGAGGGAGAAGGATGGCAGGTCATACCTCGTTTCTGCCAGACTTTTCGGTGACAAGGTTGATCTTGCTAAATCTCTAGTTGGCAATCTATACGCTGGTGCCGCCCACGGTTGCGCTCAGAACGCTATGTCAGTAGCACTTGAGCATGAATTTAAAACTGCCCAAACAAAACTTGCTTTCGGTGGATTATGGCACCTTACCGTTCCTGACCACCCAACTCCGTCATATGTGAAGGGTAAATGCGACACCGATGGACAAATTGCCCTTACCCTCTTCCAAAGGTTCAACAAGAACCTTGCAGCAGCCATTGGCGTAGAGTTCAACGGAAAGGAGTCGGTAAACCCAGCCGCCGCAAGATACGGCTTCAAGCTATTTCTTTCTTGATGGGCCACTTAAATAATAAGAACTATATACATGATTTCTAAAGTTTCGTAGCTCTTACACCATGCATACATTTAGTGCAACACTAAAGGGCTATTGAACCAATTAAGTTATAACGTATCTACAACGGGTATCTCTAGCCCATTTTTGACGGTATCCCGGTCGATATCTTGACCTATGAAGAGAAAGCGATTCTCCTCTAGTTCCAGTACCTCTGTCTCCGATACCTCGAAGATCATCCCTACCCCTTGTAGCTGGAAGATTGCCACCTTCCCGTCGGCATCAGTGATCATAGGGCAATCCTTAACCGCACGAAAGATGCCTTTGCACCTGAAAAAATGTGATATAGAGTGAAAAATGCCACCTACCTATATACCGTGGTTCCGGACTCCCACAATAAATGCGATACGAAATCGTTAACTTTTTGCAATGAATAGACCCCTGCTGTCTTTATGAAGACATTAGATTGTGAGGAATCGTGGTCATGGTCGTGTGAATGTTCTTTATGGTTCTCATATTTGAACGTCATGATGCGTGCCGCATCGAACATTTTAAGGTTCATTACATGATTGAAATCGACGTTACAGAAGCTCGTTTTGAGTACTTTTGCTGTAGGGTTCATTTCCTGTAGTAGTGACTTGAAATTTTCAAAAATTGAGGAAATCTGTTCCATACCATTTTTTGCCGACAAGGATGGCAGATCCCCGTCAGCTCGTATATCGTCACTATAATTTTGGCTATTAATCTGGTCAACCTTGTTTAGTATTATGACATCTGCCACACTAAGTTGTTTTTCCATCAATTTTACCATGTCGTGATCGTCGATAATGTCTTTTCCAAGTAGTTTATATCTCTGGTCGGCCGTTTTATGTGACATTGTATTGCGATTTATTTCATCATGTTTAACTTGAGTTGGGCATTTTTCAACCACCTCAGAAGTAATATCATGATTTGCTTTACCATCGTAATGGCTATTTTGGCACGGTGTGTCTACACTGTTGCGTAGAACCGTTTGTATCACCGACGGGCATGTCACAGACAGTACCCCGTCTAGTACTAATGGGCTCTCCGGGTCTAGCCAGAAGTTTGATGCCAACTCTAATGGATCTACATTTCCTGCTGCTTCAACTACTAGCCAATCGAATTGACACCTAAACTGTAGAATTGATTCTACCGCATCCACAATCCCGTCCTTCAGGCTACAACATAAACATCCATTGGGCAACTCAAATACTGATGCGCCACCAGCATTCAATATTGGTTTTTCTATTCCCATCTCTGATGAAAATTCATTCTGCAGTACTGCTATACGTAGTCCATGTTGTTCTTTTAACATCCTTTGTATGAATGTTGTCTGCACATGGTCATTTGCTTGCCTTTGTACTTACCTTTCCGCTCCCTAGGAACCCGGTGACCAACGTCACCGGTATTTTGTGATACTCCTCGGTGTCTTCTTCTGCCTTCATGTTATAAATGTGTCGTTAATGGTCTAAGACTGTCCGAAGGTTTACCACGACACACTCCTTTCACCAGGGATCAGTTGCCATCACACACCATACATGAATATGTGCACATAGACATTCTATAGAAGCTCGTATTGTTATAAATAGGCCAGCTGAGCTCGTTATCGACGTCTCACAGGTCACTCTACGGCGTTCTTCGCCGTCTAAACGTCATTTATTAGGCACATATCACTATTTAAAGCATCAACAACTTATACAGGTGTTATAGTGGCATGGGTGGTTTGTTATTTTCCTTATTTGCCGATGGATGTTCCACCAAAGGCGGGTTATGCTTCGGTGACTAGGGTTATGGTCAGAAGCAGCGTAATTAAAATTGACAAAAAATGGTCATACCAGGCGATTAAGTATAGTTGCGTGCCATTAAAAGTATCCTTCATCTTAATACGCTCTACAACCTGAGTAAGGAGCGCACGCGCGCCAAACCAACCGGTAGGCATTGTCCATTATGATACCTCTTGTTTCCTGTTCCTTCTAACCTGATCCCTAGTTCCAAGTTCCGTTTTCGTAGTGTCCTAGATATATTGATTTGTCACTTGTTGATAACTTACATGTTTTCCATGCTGATGCGCTGATTTTCCTGACTTAGTGCCTCAACTTGTCCAACTAGATGACATGAAACATCTCTAAATTCCGCTTCCTTCCGATAAAACTCGCGTACTAGACACTGGAATTTCCCTTGAAGGGCCTTGTATGCCTTCACGGCTTCCTCCATTGATCCGAAGTATTCTGTTTCCAGGTTTGCTCTTAAAACTGGCACCTGTTCATTTTCCGAATTCGTCGATTGGTCTGACATCTCGTTTCCAAATCTTTCGGCCATTTGGGAGTTGACTGTCGTCGTTGTTTCGTGGATTGTTACAGTATCCGTCAGCCGATGAGAAAAGGCATCTAATAATTAACGTACACAATATACTGCGCAGATCGTGAGCGATTATCAATAGTTGATCGATTTATCTCGTGAATATGATGTGATGAATAGTGGTATTATTTATCGCGTCGTTATTTGAATGGGAATCCCCCGCAGGCGGTAAGACGCCGGCCCACAAGGAAGGGACGCAACGTTGATAACGGTTCTGAGACAAAATCTTGGAACACCCGCAACCACTATTGGACCAATCAGTTTCACAGATGGCACGTCTGTAAAGTCAACACGACATTAGTTGCTCTTTGTTTGAACCTCCTCGGGTTACCCTTTTCAACCCGGCTTCCGTAGGTACATGAATGTGGCATATTGACACAATCGATCAATTCGATCACGCCCACATTGATGACCGTTTTGTTTCTGCTGTGAAAAGCCATGGTTCCATGTTGTGCCAGTTAGCGTGTGTCAGTTCTGACATTTTTAGATCCTTCACTGGTACAATCACGGGGTCCTTAGACAGGTCATCAGGGACGCTGACATGGATGACGTGCACGACTCTGATGTTAAAATGAGCTTTAAAATTGGCATTACATACCCAGTTGAAGACGCGATCATCAGAAGTGGTAGTGTTTTGTGAAACTCGACATGTACAATTTTCTCACCGTTATACCTGATTCAACATGTGTCTACAGAATGCACCGCTAACTCACTGTATCTTTTTATATGGGAATGCCCCAACGTTAAGATCAAATATCGACACTCTGCTACTTTCGTCCGCTACTGCCAGGATCTGCGCATCCCTGTTAAGGTGCATAGACACGGGTAGATCAACTCCTGATAGTTTTCCCCCTTCACTTTCTAGTTTTTCATTTTTGACCTTTAGATTGTATAGGCGTATGCCTTTCCTCAGTCCCAGTATGATTTTTGGTTCACTTGGGTGGAACATTGCCAATCTTATCCCGTTGTTATTCATTTTGTTTCCCACGCGTATGAACGTTTTCTTCGTTATACAGTATATAACACACTGGTTCCCCGCCTCTCTGCTATGCGGCGCCACTGCCACTACGTAATTCCCCTGTGGGTGTACCGATATATGGCATATTTCGTCAACGTGGTCCACCGATATCCCTTGGTGTGGCCCGAAAGCTACCAATCGCCATCCTTGGGCATCGCTATCCAATCGTATCAACTCCAGCGCCTTTTCGTAGACATTTTGTGGTCCATCCTGCATAATATAGTGAATGTTAACAAGAACTTACATTGTTTGTTTTTTTGGAGCTGGGTTCTTCTGCCATCTGCCTGATATTTGGCAGTTTAATGGCTATGAACGATATTGTGTTTGCGTGCGCCACAATGATAATTGGGTACCTCGGGTGCCAGCAGATGTCTAGTATGCCGTCAATACCTTCTACACGTTCGACTATCCGTCCGTTGAGTACACTAGCTATTGCAATAGCATTAGCTGATGCAAGAGCTACCCATGATCCCGTGGCGTCCGCTACAATCTTTTGTGTCCCCTCAATACGGTATTCCACGGCCAATTTGGTCGGGAACGGCCTTAGCGTATTGATATCTGGTAATTTCGGGTATAGGGTCTCAGGGTCTACGTCCATCTTCATCTTCACTGCCCTAGGGCATAGGTATAGCTGTAGGCAGCGTCGGAACCGTTCGAGTATGAGATTTTCATATGATCCCACTTTTCTCAAACAATCGAATTTTTGTGGTATATAGTCTATAGTTCTGTATTCCGGGTCAGTATCTAGCCATTCTTGTTTTTCCTGAAATCATAATGTAATCTACTGTCAATATCGATACCTTTTCATCGAATAGATACTCTTCCGGCGGGTTATATGACTCGCTATGTGTTGGCAGTGGTACTTTTGGTGGTGTTATATCGTGATGTCTCCCCCGTCTTGCCGTCTTTGGGTCTACCTGATATATGGATTCTTGCCATATATCCTGTATAGGTTCCTCTTTCGGTTCTTCAGGTTCCTGTTTGACTACCAATTTGCCTTCTTTGATAAGTTTAACAAGCCTATATATTGTGTGAAGTATGATTTTGTTAAACTGTACCTCTTGATTTTTTCTGCTTCTGCCTTTGATGGCAAGAAATTCGCCTTCCTAGGTGGTTTATAAGATACCGGATGTATTCTGTTTGGAATGTGTATAATACTGAGTGATAACTTACGCATCTTCATTATCAAATTCTATATAAAGATCCTCTTGGTTATAGTTTTCCTGTGGGTACATCCCCTTGCGTATACGGCTGATTATCTGTTCCGTTGTTATAAAGATCAAGTGGAAACATACTTTGAGATCATCATCCGTTAATCTGACCGTCCTGTTATTTCTTACGTCTACAATAGTTCTCCATGCATCTGGGTTTTCCGATTGGAATAGTAACTTTCCAATTTCTGATGAATCTAGTTCCTTGATAAGTTTCTGTCCTTCTACGGTGTACCCTATGATCATTGTCAGCTATATTGTAAACAACGTACCAATATGGTTTTCATTGTCGTACCACTTTAGTGGTACTCTGCCAGTACGATTCACTGCCCCTTCTTCTTCATCTGAATCGAAGTAATCTTCCGTATGTGCATTTCTTGTTATGGAAGGTTGGTTTGTATTATTATCATCCTTGTCATTATTCCCTAATATTTCTGATCTTGAGCTACTGCGTGTGGACGACGTTGACTCTGTACCATCCGTTGGTCGTCGTCCTTTTGCTTTATTTTTACGCCTTGTTGGCGCCATATTGAGTTGAATGTGTGCGATTGTCTATTGATAGTTAATGATAAATGCGGTGTTTCCTTCGGTGGTGAGGCGTGGCCGCGAGCCGATGTTGAAATTTTACAAAACCAAATTTGTCATTATGATGTGTTAATCTATGCTTAATTAAGTGCTGGTGGCCATCGTCTGGCTACGACCTATGGTCGTATCACCTCTGCGGTGTAATGCTTGGCCGTCGTTTAAAAAGTTGATATCGCCGTGTATCCTTTATATTTCGTTTTGTTTCGCATAATTGGGTGAAGTGTATCAATTTTTAATGTTATTATGGCCTCGATATTCGATGCACCCAGTGTTTGCTTGCGCAAGGTAAGACAGCGAAGTGCCACTGCAAGACATCTGCTGTGCTTAATGGCACTTATATGGTCACACATCTATGAGTCTTGTTGTTTTTAAGTACCTGGTATCAGTTTTATATTGTTGCTTTTTCCGCAAGTCATCGCACGTTTGTGCACCTCGAAGAGTCCACGTTTAAGGACCTAATAATGCCAGATTTGGACAATCTATAAAGTGAATATCGTGTCAATACATCTACACATTGGCTTTATATCATAATTGTATTGAATGTGTAGGTGTATTACTAGATTTTGTTTCGTTAAGCCACTTGGACAAGTTCCAGTTTCATTTACCGCGTGATATTCCAAAACATCCCGATGGGTCATATGAACAACGAAACGCATTACCGGGTCATATTGCATGGCCCGTCAACTTGGAAGGGTGTTACAAGTGTTGGTAACTTGGATCAGCAAGCCCCTTTCATAGTTGCTTTTGACCCTCAGAATAATCTGGTCTGTATGCATCAAGGTACCCTAGAGTTGGATGATTTCGTTATAGACGATATAACGTGTTCGACTCAAGTATTGTCTCTGTTTTTTTTCGAAACTCGTAATCAGGCTACTGATGCAGAGCATGTGCTTAGGAAATCTCTAGATCGTCTGCAGACATTATACGATATTTTCAGGAATACTAGTGTGCTCGAAATTCTTGAACAGGTACTGGGTACAATTCATCTTCCTGTGGAGATCGTGTCACGTCGCATGGATCTCGCTATAGAAGGATCCGATTATAGTCAGAGTGGGGGTAATTCATCATTGGAGTGTGATAAATCGGGTTCTTATAACCTTCGCCTAGCTATATTCAATCGTTTAGTCCCAGTAACCCCAGAAATGGATATTATGGAGCATGTGAGGCAAGCCGTAGGGAAGAAGAATCATTTAGTAAATCGTGTATCTATGAGCTTCTACCAAATACCTATTAACCGTTCAACAAATGATATACAGGCCCCTATGTCCGTTGGCGGTCCGTATGTTCTTCGTAAATCTGCGCGTTCTACACCACGAAATGTGACCCGTGGGACAACACCATCAGCCCGTGCAGGTAAGGCGGTGGTGGACCTTTACAGCAAGAGGGGGTTAATAAACCCACCGGCCCAATGGGCTGCATCCACCTATGATGCCAATGTTTTGGTTGCTTCTAGCCCTGTCTTGAATGGCGCCTTAACATCCCAAAAATTGGAAGAAACCATAGGAGAACTCAGATCGGTGTCCCAAGAGCATTACGTTGTTACTGAAGAGCTGGGCAAGACTGACAATGTCCCTAGTGCGCGTGATGGTAATACCAAGGCTGTGCATGTGCATAATGACCTCGAGGTCAATGATGATTTCAATTTTGCCGATATAAGGCCACCAACATCGGACCGTACCAACGCTTCAGGTATCGCCAATGCCGTGGACATAGCTCTAAAATTATTCGACACTTGGAATTTCGATGATTATGAGGTTGTCAACATGCCCGAGCCTGTTATACAGATCCCCCGCTCTTCCAGCAGGAAAGTTAGCATCAATTGTGACACAGAGCGTGTTAAACAGCTCGAGGAGGAGAACAAGTGCCTGTTGGAGAGTAACGACCGTCATCAGCGTGAGATATCATTATTGCGTGACCAAATCGATGAGGTGGAGCATAATCTCCGTAACGAGTTGAATGCAGTAAAGCTTCAGCATGAGATTGAGACATCTAAACTTAACGAGACCTTGCGAGAGAAGGAGAACTTTATCACTGAAATCACTTCAGCAAGGTCATCCAAGGAGTCAAGCGACTCATTGTTGCCTAATATGGACGACCTTAGGCAACAGCTTAATGTCGTCATGTCTGAGAAGAGTGATTTGCTTAAGCAGGTTCAATCAATTATTGAAGAGAAGGAGGCATTGGCTAAGGAGGTGGAATCTTTCAGGTCCAAGCTGACAGATGTCAAGGTCATGGAAAAATCGATTAAGCAAATCAAGATTGAACGTGAGGGTCAAATGGCTGTTATGCGTGACTGTATCGCTAAGCAACAACAGGAGAAGGACCAGTTGTCAGTTGAGTTGAACAAGTACCGTCGTGAGCATCGTAAGCTAACAAATGCTCTTGATACCTCGAGAAAGATCGAGAGTACGTTAAGAGAGACTGTTTTGCGTTGTGAGAAGGATTTGGCTCGTTTGAGTGGAAAGGAGAAGGATCTGGTTGCATCTAATTCCCTTATATCTGATTTGAAGAGAGAGATAAGTAAGCATGAGCGTAGTGCGGCAGAGTTGAAAGAGCAATTGGATAAGGTTGTTCGTGACGCGGATCTTGCTAAAGAGGAATTAGAGGCGGAGCGTAGGTACTCATCTCAGCTTAAAGAATCGTTAGAGGAGTCCGCTTTGAATAATGATAGCTTGGAATGTGATCTAAAGAACCTTGAGTCTGTATGTGATCGTTTAAAGCGTGAGAAATCAGATTCCGTTGACCGCGCTCTTAAAGATAAGTTGAAGAGCGAGGCGTTATTACGTGAACACGAACTGAAGTGTACCGGTTTATCCACTCAAGTTTCTGAATTGGATATTAAGCTGAACCTTGCCGTGGCGAAATACGAGCGTACAATTGAGGAATATGCCGGTCACAGCATAAAATGTTGTGTGGATCGTGGTATTAGTCAAACAAGATTGGTTTCTAGTGGTCGTTTGAGGAGCGGTTTGATAAATACAATTCTTCGCTGCAAGGCTGAGCTTGCTCGTAAGCGTTGTCAGCAGAAGTTGATGGCGAAAGCATTGCAATTGCCCGATGACACTACGGATAAACAGATTGTGTCTGAATTGTTAAAGCGCAACAGCATGCAATCTATCACAAAGCATAAGGTTGTGAACTATGAGAAGTTGAAGGCTGCCTATAACAAGCTGAAGTCTGAGAATGATGAGCATGTTCGTCAGTTATCTCTTAAAAAGCAGGGTTGTAAAAACTGCACACGTCGTCAGGATACATTGTTTGAGGAGAATAGACGGTTGATGTCGGCTCTGAGTTTAGAGCGTGAACGATTGGCAACTTTAGAGATTGATGCTAAGCAGCAGATCCGCAGTGAGTTATCTAAGACGAACGAGGAGAAGCGTTTATTATATGCTAAGCAATGTGAGCTTCGTATGCAGAACCAGGATTTGAAAGAGGAGATTGCTGTATTGCGTCGTGAGGTAACCATGTTACATATGGGTTCTGCTGATATGAACGGCAAATGTAGCGGCAATACTTCTACGTATCCATCGATTGATGGTAACAATTTGGTGGTTCATAAATTGAGTAGCATGCCTAATGTGTTTGGTGATGCCAAGGTTTTTCGGGATCTTCCTGCCAGCCGAATGAGCGACAGTACTTTTGATGACGTGAGGAGTATCGATTACGGCCGCAGTATCGATTCTAATAAGCCTGCATCAATTGATAAAGGTATCATACCGGGTTCTCCATGTGCCTACAAGGACACTCGTGCATCACTTTACAGCCGCCGGGCTACATTGGAGAGGCTTCGCACCCGTCAATTAAAGCATGCCGACACTGCAGAGGTCTGTGGCGATAGTACGCTAAAGACTAGGCATCCCTGGATTTTTTAACTTGGGCTAGACGGTGTCCGCTGCTGTGGTGTACGGTACTGGGTTTGTCCCCCATCATAAAAAATGTATCGCTTGGGGGTATGGGTGCTTCAAAATTAAACATAGACATCAGTAATCATATTGAAGTTTGATATACACGTCTGCGATGGGGTATCTCCTAGTGATGCCGTGAATGCATCTGTAGATGGCTGATGTCATATTTGCAATCTACAGGGTATCGATCATATTGGTTTCCCCTCGCTGCTACTTCGTCTAAACGAGCATATCAACGTCAGACAAGCTCGTAAGTTTGTTGTAGGACCGTGGATTCGAACGTTGGATCTATCACACGCAAGATCGACCCTTTCAGTATCGTGTCTATGGCTCAATAGCATGGTAAGTCACCGCAATATGTAACATCGCCAGATTTAACCGCCGTTGGATAAGAATTGTATATCTAGTTCGATAATACCTGCGAAACTACTATGGACATAACTCAGGTTCTCCAACTACTTGTGTCTCTCATCAAGGTTTGTCTGTTGTAAGTTATATCGAGCATCATTTTGACCATACTACAGGTGTACGGTTTGCTTCTGCAGTTTTATCATATGCTACACTAGTAGTTCGTTCGGGGTATCCAAGAATGAGGTCGCATTCCGACCTAGAAGGTGAGTAATGCTGGATTTCAGATTGGTGGTATACCATTCCCCACAGGTGTAATGAGAATCTTTACTGGCTCCGTTAGGTGTTTACGAAACACTTACAATCGTTTTGAGAGCCTCCAAATCGAATTGGCGCCATGTTGCCTCTCGGTTCATCATGGCCTACCTCACCCACTCTCTTACAATACCACTTGATGTGCTGCATCTACTATAGCACCTACGCACATCCCTATTCCATCCGCTTGTGTTACTTAGTAACTACAAATCACCTGTGGTGATCACCTACTTCACTCCTTGAATGGACTGTCTACCCACTGGATGTTACCAGTCTATTCTCACAGAAGACAATGGAACCTTGTCATCTGTGGTATTTTAAATACTGTAACATAATGGTATTAATATATTAATCACAATATTATTCTTTTGCTTTCATAAAAATAAGATCTGCCATTTTTTGCGATTTTTGTCCACTTTGGTCGTTTTGGGTGTATCCCATTTTGGAGAGTAGCTCCGCTGTTTTTTTCCATGAGAACTGTTGGTCTCCCTTGTTATTGTCCGTATTATCATCGTGTCCCTTGTCTTGTGATTTTGATTCGATTTTTGCTTTTCTCTCTCTACGCCATGCTTCTAGCTCCTGTTGTGCCTTTTGGGTAGCAGCTTGCAATGCTTCGGCTTCCTTCTTTTTCTTTGCTTCTACAGCTGCTTGTACCTCACGCCGCCACTTCTGCATAGGGTCATCCTTTTTGGTCTCCTGTAGAGTGGGTTTGCTTGATTCCACATGACTGTCATGTGTCTGTGACGGACTGGGTTGTAAGTTGCACGCTTCCAATATGTCATTGGCATCTATGCCTCCTTCAGTATGATCCATTTCGGAGGTTTCTTGATGATATGAGTTCCGATATTTTTGTGACCTATAAAATGGAGTTCGTCAAATTAATCTATAAATCGGTGTTGACAAGTCGGCTATTTCGAAAAATATGTCTTCCCAGCTTCTGTATATTACCTTCAGTAGTCCGCGTATCGCTTGTTGCCTGGTTCACACATTGCTCAGTCCTATGCGGATGTACAATGTATTTAGATAACCAGAGCGTGAATATATAAAAGCGCAGGGTATTACAAAGAATATATTAAGACTGATGTTTCTCTATTGGGGATTTGCACATTGCCACCACAGCTCCACGGCGTGTCCAATGTAGCCCCTTTATACTACCTAATTTTCATTGTAACCACTTTTATTTCATCATTATTTTAAACAGGCAACTACATTGCGGCCTTATATTATCGAGTAGTCTGGCAAATATGTTGTGTGTGGACCATCTGCCTATTTGTCTCGGCCTCGACAGACTGGACTATCGTTATTCCCAGCGGTTTACTTTTTGTTAAAAGGCTAAAATCTGAATTAACACAGCCAATTGATTGGAGCTATAATAGTTAAACAGTCCTTGATTCCACACCGATCTACATTATAGAGTACTTATACGTCATAAATGGTATGCCTATAACCATGTGTTACCTCTGGAATTTCCGTTTACATTGAACCGACATTTTGGTTTGGTATCATAATGTATTCGACTACTCGTGTGTCGAAATAATCAGTGGAGGTGTAATAGGCAGAGTTATCGATTTCTTCTCTGGCCACTAGTGGACGATAGATTGTATATTCATCGGATAAGATGTTATCTGACATTACACATTCACCTGCCTTTGTATTATTAGTTAGTATACTTATGAAATTATTGCGTTGAAGGAAGTTATCCGGCCACCTATTACCAGTGACTCTCGTATAGGAGGAAGATAGGGTAGAACTATACAGTATCTCGCCCCCAAAATATAACTACCGTCATTTACAATATAGATATTATTTTATGTTAAATATAATAATCATATATACGATTAATATATCATTCCCTTTTGCAATTTCCAGGATTCTCTTTTGTGTAAGTAGTATGGCACATGGATGTCTATGAGCTAAAGAATGGTATGCTGATTGTTCAACCTTAATAATTAATGGATATAGTGTCATTTTGTGTTGTTCTGTCTGGTATGTAGTTGATTTATTAACTTTAGAGCACTGGTTTGTAAGGAAGTTTCTGTCTTGATATTTCGTATTAGCAGCCCATGTAGCTGTGTGAATTTATCGCAAGTATGTTTTTGGGGTCAGGTAGTTTCATCTCTACGACCAAGGCACCTAGTAAGGAGGTCGCGAAGCCAGCTGTCACTGCAAAGCGTCTGATGTTCTTGGATTCCTCAATCACCGATAGTTCAGTGGAGGTTCTACAGTTGCCCAGTCCGGCTTCTTTACGTAAATGCGCGCTTTATGCAGTGTTTGATGGGAAGGTGTATTGGTTACGTGGAATAAAACCTAATATTAACCCCGTTAGTCTGTTCGTTGGCAATTCTATTGTAAATGAGGATCACTTTTTGGCTACATTTAAATTTGATGTGATTTTTATCTTCACATCTTTATTATTTTTGAAACACGATAAGTTCATCTCGGTACCCCAACGTATATATGAACTATACCGATCAGGTGTCGTTGATTCCGAGGAGTGCAGTGTGCTGGAATCGGGCATGCTTGCTTTGTGGAACCATAATGTAGACAAAGTTCAAGATCGTCTTGAATATCTATGCCAGAAAATAAAATCTGATGGATCAAAGGATCCACTATTGAAACCTAATATTGATAGTTTTCGTGCGATGCTTGAGCATAAGGTACAGTCATTAGAGAAGGCAGTTCAAAAATCTAACCTAATGATGGGTTCGTATTGCCGTGCTAGTGAGACTTCCTGTCATAACCATGTTCGTAAAAATTACATAGATTTTAGGGAAGGTAAACTACGCTTATTCTGCTGGTCGGTAATATCCCAGATGTTGAACCCGGAAGCAAGGAGCCATTTAGTACCTGCTAAATGTGATTTTAACGATATCTCGTCCCACCTACAATCTACGTCTTCTACTGCGCCCTTAATAACATCTGGCAACAAGGGCGCTAAGCAGAGGAAGATCACCGTGGCGAAGGGTACCCCTTCTATCCTCGGGTTTTTCAAGCGAACATGAACATGACCATAATGGTGTACTATACATTATCTGTTAACAAGTGTTACTTTATGCGTGACAGTAGCATTAGCAGTACTGACCACAGTGCCATGGCATTCGTGTGATGTGCCATAGCTCCATGTAGCGGTACATGTTTGATCACAGTGATGATTCCTATGATTACCTGTATGATTGATGCGTGTAATGCGCCCATTGCCAATTTCCTGATCGGCCTTGGTACCCCTTGTGCCCTTGTTTTGCAGTATGTGAGCGCCGTCGCCAGGATGGTGATGTAACCAAGGCATCTGTGGTTGAATTGTACCACTCCAGTTTTTTCAAATAGATGTTTCAAACTGTCGACATGAGCGTAATCGTCTGGTATATATGTATCCAACATTTTTGGCCAAGTGTTGTATGCAAGTCCTGCATCATTCCCAGCTACCAGTGTACCGTATATCATCGTTAAAAATGTAGATAGGAGTGACATTCTTGCCCTATTTCTTACAGCTCGCATAGCTACAGTCTGTGGTGTCACAATGTTACCATCACGCTTTATTAGCTTGATCCCATTCCATAGACAAAGTGAGTATATTGCGAGCGCATTTGTAAAATGTATGGTAAGTCTGTATGGTGATACCCTATATATGTATAATATGTTGTTTCCGTAATGTTACCTTGGTGTTTTATTTTCTGTTTCAGGTTCCTTGAATCCACTGTCTACCATCCATTTCCCAACGAATGCTTGTGACAATCCAAGTGCAGCCACCCCTGAATATTATGTATTACTAAATATTGGGCTCCATACCGATTGCTAGGATATAACCTCCAGGTGCAAGGGCACGTCTCAATGCTAGGTATAATGCCCCTCCACCGAAGCAAATACCGGATAGCCTGCCTAGCATCCGATGCGCCCATTCATTGATGTATATGTTTTTATATTCCTCTAAGTCAATGTCATAATGTACTTTGAGGTATTCCGGTGTGGTCTGTGTGGGATGTGTTCACCTAAATGTGTTCTTACTTTATATCTTTCGAATTCTTGGATCCATTCTTGTTCATCCTTCGGTAGCTGTTTCCCAACTAGTCTCCAATCTAGCATCGATAGTCCACTCTCATTGAGTCTGACATATGCTCCCATGGCCATGACCCCTGCAGTGATGGCAGCTGACCCTGTAATACTTTATTTGATTAAGCAATATATAAACCTACCTAGAAGCCAATATGCCACTCCTTTTTCTTTGCCGGGTTTAGCAATCTTGAACCACTGTTTGTTACCATGACTTTCATGTCCCGTGGTATTATGTTCTGGCGCCGTTGTGTGATTATCATTTTTCTTAATGTCATGTACGTTTACATTGTATGTTCTTCTGTTATTTTGATAGTCTATAAGATTTTTTTGTGTCTTCTTGACGTCTCTAAGCGTTGTTAACTGTATGAACCTTTGTTGCGGTATTGCTGTGCACCTTCCATGGAAGAACGCTGGTATCGTTGTGTCGGCAATAGCTCTACACGTTTGTCTACAAAAAATCATTTTCGTATAATATATTATATGTGTAACTTGCGTTTGCTTTTCCCCATGCGGTCATCTTTGGCGCTATGTCCTGCATTGTAAGTTTCTATCGCATATTTCTACATGTCCATAATCTTATTTCTATATTTTTGAAAAAATGGAGTCAACACAGCCGGCAGTTAAATCTGCTGTTACGACTCCCAAATCGGAGAAGCGCAAGAAGAAGCAGCAGCCAAAGAGTAGCGACATTTCTTTTGACGAGCTTCTCGAGTTAGAATCATTATCAGTAGCACCTAAGAACCCGTTGTTGTCTGACCCAGAACCTGGTGAGCCGTTACGCCGTGTAAACAAATGGACTACTGCGATTCCTCCAGCAAAGCCTGTACCGGATCAGTTTAAGGGTCGTGTATATCCTTCAGGTAAGTGTTATTATGACCATGTCGAAGTTGTTTATAGGTGAAGTTTGGGAATATACGGGTGCTGGAGCGTCTCGTGCTAGTGATGCTGAGAAGCGCCACTTGGAGAAGATATCTACGGATAGTTACCAGGACTTGCGTCGTGCAGCTGAGGTACACCGACAGGTCCGACGCTATATTCAATCTGTTCTTCGTCCCGGTAAGCACGTTGTGCTGAATATTCTGACGCATTGTAGGCATATCATTGATCGACTTGGTGAATGCTGTGGAGACTAAGTGTAAGGAGTTGAATGCGGCTGATGGGTTGAAGGCCGGCTGGGCGTTTCCCACCGGCTGTTCACTGAACGAATGTGCAGCTCATTATACACCTAATTATGGTGATAAGACGGTTTTGGGTGTTGGTGATATTTGCAAGTTGGATTTCGGGACACAAGTGAACGGTCACATCATCGACTGTGCATTTACTGTAGCGTTTGATGAGCAGTATGATGAGTTGATCCGTGCTACCCAGGAGGGTACCAATGTTGGCATTCAGCATGCCGGTATTGATGCCCGTGTTTGTGAGATAGGTGATGCTATTCAGGAGGCAATCGAGAGTCACGAGGTTGAGATTCGTGGCGTCACATACCCTGTGAAGGCCATACGTAACCTTACCGGGCATAGTATCGGACCATATCGCATCCATTCTGGTAAGGCAGTGCCTATTGTTCGCAATAGTGGCTGTACTGATATAATGGAGGAGGGTGACTTATTTGCTATCGAGACATTTGCGTCAACCGGCAAAGGTGTCGTTGTCGAGGCAATGGATTGTTCCCATTATATGAAGGACTTTAACGTTGGCTACGTGCCATTAACATTGAAGAGTGCCCGGGATGTCTTGAAGTCTATAAATACCAACTTTGGTACATTAGCATTTTGCCGACGTTGGTTAGATGATGTGACCGGTGGTAGGAACCTTTTAGCATTGAAACATTTGGTTGACAAGTGTATCGTGAACCCTTATCCGCCATTATGTGATGTTCGCGGTTCCTACACTTCTCAAATGGAACACACCATCTTGCTACGTCCAACTTGTAAGGAGGTCCTCTCCCGTGGCGATGACTATTAGTGTGCGCACAGACGTTGTTGGTTAATGTTAGTTGTTCATATTAGGTAAAATTCCTGCCCGAATGGCGGGCACGGATGTCCGAGTGGTTAAGGAGGGGGACTTAAGATCCTCTGGTCGTGAGACCGCGTGGGTTCGAACCCCACTCCGTGCACTACCGTTTTACGATTCTAGACCATTTATTGGATCAGTGACACCATGCAGGCGTACTGCCCGTTGATACGGAGCGTTTCCCCGCGGAGGTGTTACGGTATCACCCCGGGGTCACATTGATACACATGTGCTGGTACCTTCCAGCGCTATTGAAATTCCATAGAGCTACACATAGCTTTAGTATCCATTCTTAGTCACCTATTGACCCTGTATACAGGGTAACTGTCAGCTGTCTTTTTACTGTTAGCGGATTAACGTGTTAGCTGTTACCTTCCAATTCCCCTTTTGGGATGTGGTTAGTTACAATTAAACTATTTTAGTCAATTATAGCCCACATGCGGCGCCATGGTACCATCATGGCGTTATTTTATGCAATATCGCTGTCGATGTGTGACCCCCCATTTTCGTCGAGCTAGACGGCCGTGTTATTCCATAGTTACGACATCATTGCTGTCATAGCTCTAGAGTTACCTACCACATCGTTTGATTAGGTTCGAAAATGGTTCTACGCGGTGCCCTTTTACGTACTTGCCGCCGTTTTGGCAGCAGCCGTTACACGTCGATCCGTTCAGGTTGTTTGCTTGGATTCCAACCTTCTAGACGCTTTGGCGGTATTTTCCAAAGCTCTCGTGCATTCTCAGCCGAATCTGACAAGTTGCTCCAACTGGTCCGTGGTGAGATCCAACACGAGAAGTCTAATTACGAATCTCCTGCCACTATCAAGACATTCTTAGAGAAGAATGGTTAGTGGTGAATCTTGAATGATTACATTGGTTTATAGACTGGAAATTCGTTGAGAGAGATGGAGACATCAATATGACCTTGGAGAAGACAGTAGACGGTATGTTATAATTCTTATCTTTTCTTAATATCCTCTACCATTTTTCTTGATTATATTTATATTTTAGGCAAAAAGGTCACTGTTGATTTCCAACTGGTATCCCCCTTTGAGACAGAGGGTGACGGGGAGACTCAAGCTGAGATGACCGACTTCTCAGTAACTGTTGAGAAGTCTGACGGTCAAGGTATTACTTTCTACTGCAGTACCCTTCAGAACGACGAGAAGTTCCGTTACATGATCTGCAACGTTCGTTTCTTCACTGATGAAGCTTCCAAGAACTCGGTATGTTACAAAATGTCAACATCGTCATCTGTTCTAGGTATCCACTTACAACGGCCCCGATTTCGAAGATTTGGACGATGGCCTCCAAGCTACCCTTGACGAATGGCTTGGCAGCCTGGGTATCGATGGAGAGTTATGTGACTTCATTGATTCGTGTAGTATTGACAAGGAGCAGCGTGAGTACATTTTCTGGTTGAAGGGCATTGAGAAGTTCCTTTCCTAAATATTCTAGCTGAGTACTGAAGATCTGACCAGATGCCTATTTTATGAATTCCGAGTTTTTAATTTTTTGGAATTGTTGATTTTTTCATAACATGGCAAGGGCCGGTACCGTGCTCATGAAAGTTTGGAAATTGTGACATGGATTAGTACTAATCCTATACACATCCACCATAAATACTACATATGACATAAATAATATATGTCTGGTTCGATGTGCCTCTTATTTTGGTAGGTTACGGTACCATATGGACGTTGTGCGGCGCGCCGAGTATTGTATCCTTCCATGATGCTGTACTTTATGAGTTAACATTCGTGGCACAATATGCCCGTAATAATTGATGCGCGTGTCAGTTTGAGCACCCTTTTGGTCGTCAGCTCAATACTCTCGGGCGAAAGGATCCCAAACGTCCATGGAGGAATCTAATCTCTTGAGGCAATACTGCACGCGCATCGCAAATATACTTGATTCTAACATTAATCAAGGTATAGATATCCATATTAATGAAGCTGTGTCACGGTTAGACATACATACAAGATCGGCAGAATCATCTGCAATTTCAAGTGATCCTTCCGTCAACAAGGATCCGTTCAACACTATTTCTGAAGTATATGGAAGTAGATTCTATCATGATGGAGTGTTTAGAAGTATTTCTAGCGCCTGTGCACTCTCCATCAATCGGTACGGCGATAGTGATAACGTCATCGGTTGGTCTAAGTTGCGTTTAGTGGTCACCGCATGCCTGCTGAACCCATATACATCGGCAGATGTCACCAGAGAGGTGCCGGATATCGCATTGTCAATAGTGGTTGACCTGTTTCAGCGCTGTGATATACCAAAGAGTTTTATCCTAGAGCGGTTGTTACTATCCTGGCGGTTACGACACGATACACGACTTAGAAGGGTAGCTAGAAGTGCCTTATGCGAGCTGTTAAGAGAACACGAGTTGGAGGAATATATTAGGTCAGAGTTAAGTAGTTACAAGGATGGACCGAGAGATATATATCAGTACAAGCTTCGGCTTATACAAGAACTATCCACCGTATTGAAATTATATGGTAAAACAATCGTAACTCAAAATAGTTCTGACATTATCGATACTGATATTACTGTTCGTTTTCAAGATCTTCATATCAATATCAGTTGCCCGGAGGAAGGCCTGTTGTCACAACACAACCTCGTATGTATTGGTCAACGGGTGTCATATTTACGTTCAAGAGATATCGAGGATAATAGTGATTTCGTGGAGTTGCCTTATTCCTCTGATGTGCTTTCTAGCATGCTATGCCACCTTGATGTTAGCATTGGTTCAATAGTTTCTGGCGAGAGTTGCAAGGAGTTTTATATCCGCGAACTGGCTCGTCGTGTAGGTATACCGCAGGACAGTATCAGCCGTATCTACACTGACGAGACCACGGATGTAAAATCACTTATCGGACAATGGATATGTACCGACAAAGTGGGTGAATTCAAATTCAATTATGGCATCCTCTCGACAGCCATGCGTTCAGGTCGTTGGTTGATATTTGATGAGAATTTATCGGAGAGCGTTGGCTGCCTAATATACAGTATATGCGAATTGGGCTACTTGACAATACCGGAGTTGAACGAGGTGGTAGAGGCTACTAACAACTTCCATCTATTCATAACCACGAAGAATGCGTCGAAGTTCACAGGTACATGTAGGTACCTGCCGATAACATATGTACCCACATTGTCGGAATCAGATTGTATCCATATAGTATCTAAGCGATGGCCATCAGTTTCTCCAATATGCGCCGATGTGGTATCCACTTTCTTCTCATTAAGAGACCAGCTACGCGAACACAGGGGGTTCAATATGTCAGATCTATTTAAAATCGTATACCGGTTATCGACCTCGGGGTCAAGTTTTGACGGGTACATATCTAGCCCTGTTAAAGGTGTGATTCTGGAATCCTTCTATTGTGTTCTATTAGCTGGTATTTCCTGCCAACAGCTACGTAGGAATATACTAGGTGATATTGCCGAACGATTTAATGTGTTACGTTCTGCCTCTTACGAGCTGTTACCACTGAACCAAATAAAAGAAAGTGGGAACACGAGCGTACACCTCAAGGTATTGAACCAACTCATGTCATGCTATTTATGTAATGAACCAGTGCTGTTAGTTGGTGAGACGGGTACAGGAAAGACTGCCATAGTCCAGCATTTTGCCAAGATAACTGATAACACATTAAAGGTATATGTATTTAGTGAGCAATCTGAAGCCGAAGACCTGATTGGTGGTTTCTACCCTGATAACATTTCAGATGTTTGTGCCAATCTGTTTGTTAAGGTCCTGCGCATATTGCTGCTATGTTGCGTTATCAATGACACTTTGGTATGCTTCCTCGACCACCTGCTTGACCTATTTCGCAAGAGTCTGTACCGAAGGGTTTTACGTACACTCTCTGCTACATTAGGCCAGGTTACCCAATTAGTCACGGGTGAGCTTGAATCTGAATGCATTACTCTACGTGGCGAATGCAACCTGCGTTGTGGCTCGGAACCACCAATAAAACAGCCTTTCAATCTGTGCTATTTACAACAGCCATTGGACTCCATTCCAAACATTGCAACGACATTGTATGACAAATATACAGGTGCGTTCAAATCATCCAGGTCACAGTTACAGTTTAAATTTGAGGATGGGTTATTGATACGCGCTATGCGTGAGGGTTGGTGGATACTGCTTGATGAGATAAATCTGGCCCCTTCGGATTTATTACAACGTTTTGTTGGTATTTTATCAACCCAGACTAGGAAATTTGAACTTTACGAATGTGGTAACCGGATAATAGATATCCATGAAAACTTTAGGTTATTCGCTTGTATGAACCCTCCTACCGTCCGTATGGGCGATTTCGTAACCTTCAGTAGCGGTAAGAAGGAGCTGCCTCATGGTTTTAGAAGCCACATGACCGAGATTTTTGTGGACGAGATTGACACTGTCGAAGATATCTCGTTAGTAGTTGGCTCATATGTGTCACCCGATGACCGTAATATCCCAAGTTCGGAACTGAGCCATTTTTACATGAAGGTACTAAGGTTATGTCGTGATGGTGCTTTGGAAGACGGCTCTTTTAAGTCACCCACATTCACTCTACGTAACCTCGTGCGTACCCTGTATTACATGAACCACGTGATGAAACGTGGTCATCGTCCAATAAAGGAGGGCCGTGAAGCCTTTTTAGATGGCGCACTTTCATCTTTCGCATCGTCATTGGGTCGCTCGTCATACTCCAAAGTGGTATCGTTGTTACCGTCAATTCCTCGGGGTCAATCTCAGCCGTTCGAGGAGAGCGCTGATTACGTGCGTGTGGAAGGGTACTGGATCCGGCGTGGCAACGATCCGATTTACCGTCAAGAGCATTTTATAGTGACCCCTAACATTTCGAAGAACCTTCGTAGGCTCTGTTGTATACTAAGTGGGTTACGTGTCCCGTTGCTTTTAGAGGGTCCAACGGCTGCCGGTAAAACTTCTTTGGTACAATACCTCTGTTCGCTCACTGGTCACCGTTGTGTGCGTATCAATAACCATGAACACACGGATTTATCAGAGTACCTTGGCCAATTTGTTTTTGATGCTGTATCTTGCCAATTAAAGTTCAACTATGGCCCTATAGTTACCGCTATGAAAGAAGGTCACTGGGTGATCCTTGACGAGTTGAATTTAGCCCCGAGTCAGGTATTAGAGGCGATTAATCGTATCCTTGACGATAACCGTGAGATATATGTACCTGAGACAGGTGAGACTATAAGGTCCCACCCGGAGTTTATGATATTCGCAACTCAGAACCCTGCAAATAGTATCTATGGAGGCCGTAAACAGCTATCGAAGGCATTTTGTAACAGGTTTGTGCAGTTATATATCGAGGGTCTGGATGCTATCGATTTGCAGCAGGTATTGCATCAACGTTGTAAAATCCCATTATCACGGGCAGAAAAAATCGTATCTACATTTCAAAATTTACAACTGTGTCCAATGAACTCGATGGCGTTCCAACGACACTCTGTCCTGATAACTTTACGTGATTTGATAAGATGGGCTAACCGTGTACGTGCTGACGATAGCGGTCTGGCATACTATGGTTGGTGTGTGATCGCCGAGAAACTTAGAGACCCTGCTGATAAGGAATTGGTTAGAGAGGTACTGGAACGTTGCTGTTTACTTTCTAAACCTTCAAAGCCCAAACATCTGGTCATAGAATATGGAGCCGACCATATTCTTGGTAAATTCATGGAGTCTAGTGGTATGAACATCACGGATCTATGTATTCGAGAGCGTTATTTATGTTTCGATGGTACAACAACTCGGCTATTAGCGTTGCTATTAACCGCTTTAGAGAACCGTGAGCCAGTACTCTTGGTTGGGGAAACTGGCATTGGCAAGACTACGATATGTCAGCTGTTGGCAAAACTGCAGAATCGACGTTTGAATATATTGAATCTGAGCAAGAATAGTGAGGCTAGTGATTTTATAGGTAGTTTCCGACCGATACGTGGGCTTAAGTCATTCCATGCTAACATGACCACATTGATAGAATACTTTGAGGATGATCCGCGTTATACCGAGTTAGTGGACTATATGCGTGAATCAATGGCTTTGACACTAGCTCAAATAGACCGTAAACATATGTTGGAGATATTAGGTCTGGTATCACAGTCTTTGGAAGGTGACATGGATGCTGATGTTGATGATATAGTGGCTCGTGATGCCAAGCGTCAGAAAATGAAAACTGTTAGTCGTGATCAGATCGGCACGATTATTAACAACATGGTTAGATCGTTTTCAAATGTATTGTTTGAATGGGTAGATGGTCCATTAACAAGTTCCATGGAGCATGGAGATTGGTTCCTTGCTGATGAAATATCATTAGCCGAAGATGCCGTATTGGAGAAGATGAACTCGGTCCTAGAATGCGAGAGTACACTAACAATCCCTGAAGCTGGAGGTAGTACATTAAGGGTATTACGTGGTCATGCTGATTTTAGATTCTTGGCGACAATGAACCCTGCGGGTGACCATGGTAAAAGGGAATTGAGTCCAGCATTACTCAACCGTTTTACAGTTATATATATCCCAACACCAGAATTTGAAACTTTCGATGTTATACGTCGTATTCTGGATAACTATGGGCATGGATATCCAGATTGGATTGCCAACTCTATGGCTGATATCACCAGGCTACATAACGAGCTATGTCCACAACAGAAGCTAACTTTACGTGATGTTATAAAATGGTCCGAGTTCATGTCATCAGAGTGTACCCTCGATTCATTTATACAGGGTGCCCATGTAGTTCTACTGGATAACATGGCACCAGGGTCTTCAGGAATCTCTTTGAAGGATCTACTCGATATAGTATCACGTTACAAGCCTGATTTGGACCTAGCCTCTATCCTTTCTAGTTTCATGGATAGCACTTGGGTACAGTCTGAGCTGCAAAGGTTTGACCTAGCTTCCTCTAGCATATCTTCGTTTACACTAGGTTCAAAGAACACTTTGTCTATGGTAGGCAAGATCCTTAGGGCGTTGAAAGTAGATCGTCCTATCCTGTTGGAAGGTGAACCTGGTGTTGGCAAGAGCGCGAGCATAAGTGCTTTGGCCACTTTGCATGGTACCAAATTGATACGTGTGAATCTATCGGAGCATACGGATATAATGGATCTCTTTGGTTCCGATATCCCAAGTGCTGGTGCCGGCGGTTTGAAATTTATATGGCATAATGGACCAGTACTGGATGCTGCAGTTAATGGCTATTGGGTGGTACTAGACGAGCTTAATTTGGCTAACCAACAGGTTTTGGAAGGTCTAAATGCATTATTGGACCATCGTCGTGAGACCTTTATCCCTGAACTAGATCGGTTCATAAAGTGTCATGATAAATTTCGTCTATTTGCTTCTCAAAATCCAGCACTCGATGGCGGAGGCCGTAAACACCTACCAAAATCATTTTTGAACCGTTTTACCAAGATATATTACCATAGCCTGGGGGAATCTGATTACTGTGCAATTTTGTCGCATCTATACCCACAGTTACGAACTGAGACTATAACTCTGGTGGTAACTGTCCTTTTTGAGATAAGACAAGAGCTCACTGGTAAGGGTTGGGATTGGAATCTGCGAGATTGCCTTAGGTTATGTGATACCCTGGTTGCTAAGTTACCATCGATTAAATTAGAAGAGGCATTCAGGTTCGCGTTCATGTCACGATTGAATTCACGTGAGGGTTATGAGATGATCTCTTCAATTCTCTTTGCCAAGGGTAGATGTAAGCAGTTACAGAGGGCACCAAATTTCGTATGGCCTGTGGGACCTCGTATCATCAACGGCCTCCCCAAGGGTAATGTCACAAATGTTTATGCATACGAACCTATTTGGATGCAGAGCCAGGAGGATGTCTACCACGTGGTCTGCATGGCAGCATATTTGAACTTCCCCGTGTTGGTGGTAGGGCCCGTTTTAAGTGGTAAACGTAGCGTTGTGAAAAATGTCGCGACTATGTGCAACCAGCATTTAACGGAGATCACAATGTTGCCATGTTTTGATACCAGTGATCTTTTGGGGGGATTCGAGCAGGTGGGCGCTATCGATGGCAACAACACCGCTGGCAACTTCCGATGGGTAGATAGCCCATTAGTGGAGTCCATTGAGAGTGGCCGCTGGGTATTATTGACACGTATCCATAACGCTAATCCTGCGATATTAGATCGTTTGAACTCGTTATTGGAGGTCGGTGGTAGCCTGGCATTGAACGAGAGTGGTGACTGTAACCGTGTAGTCATGCCACATCCAAATTTCCGTATATTCATGACAACGGATGCTGCGCAAGTTGGTAAAATATCACGGGCGTTCCGTAACCGTTGCCTAGAGGTACATATGAACTTCCCAGAATCTATGCGTCCCGACCCTCAATTCGTACCAAGGTGTACTTTCATGGCACAACTAACAAATAGTATATCTAGTCATATAACCAATTTGTTGTATGGTTCTGAAGAGGGTAATGTGGTCCTAAATTGCGAGATAGGGTTCAAATGTGCCACACTGATCGATGGAGCACGTTTGTTGAAGAGTTTACGGGACTACTCCTGGCCACACTGCGTTAGAATGTCGCTGTGTAGCTGCGTGTTGGGGTCATATATCACGCATTATGCACCAGGGTCGTATACCTACCACATGTGGTCGTTTTTAAAGCAGTGGAGTACCATTGACGAGCGGTTAGACCATAGCGCGTTGGCCGCATCACGCGTGTTCCCGCCAGAAATCAAGCCCATAGCTTATCAAGTATTGGCTTGCTCGATAGATTGGTGTGAACGAAATATGGCCAATTGCGAGGCGATACAACTGGTAACACGTTATCTTGAGCGTTGCAACAGGTTCGACAGTCGTCTATATCGCGATGTAACAGTTACAGGGTTATATAGCGATAGTGACAGTTTACTTTGGTATCTGTTACGTAGCTACCCGGATGATTACGAGAAGCGTTATTCTATGTTAGATGGGAAGTACGGGGTTCTGGATAAACGCCATTATATCGACCGTTTTATCAAATTATGGATGGACGTTCCTGTGTACCCATATGAGCTACAGGCGGTACTCCACATGCTAATAACCGGCAGTTTCAAGTTATTTGACCAACTTGGTACACCAGGGTTGTCTGAGAACCTTCTAGATATGTTATTAACAAGACTGCAAGGTGGTAACTCGGTGCTCCATTACCTGTCCATGCTACAGTTTCTCATTTATCTGCTTGTTAATGAGACGCACGGACGACCTGATACTATAGAATATATCGTTCGAAAGGTTTATGAGGAACTATTGGAGAATCTTGGTGGTCCCAAGTGCATATCAAATCCTTCTTATGACTTTTTGGACTATTCCGTGCCATTTTTCGGTGGACGCATAAGAGATGATCTGACACTGTCATTCGAGTTACATCGCCATGGTGTGGATTCTATGGTACTTGCGGATGACGTTGTGACAACAGATATGGTCTTGGCTTTTATCGATGCTTATGTTGATACTGAGCTTTCGGGTACATTGAACACCGCATGTAGTATACCACTACTGTCCATGAGAAGAGTAGATACACCAAATGTGGCCCTTTCAATGTTCTTCATGACTAGGTTAAGGTTCGTGGGATCTTGGATATGCCATCAGCTCCTTGTTGGTGACATCGATCGCAATATGCTTGCCAAGGTCCACGAATACTCCATGGAGATGTTGAAATTGTATATCGATTTACAGAATGATTTGCCATGTTCTTCACTTTATGTAGTAGTATCTATATTGATATCTCTACGTAAGTTGATGCGTGGTATACAGGAGCGCCCATGTGTCTATGAGATAATGTTGGATTCATGGTCTTGTCGTGATCTGCTCTATACAGACAATGATCTGGATCCTGTGCAATATATGGTAAATCTGTTAAATGGTCATGATTTGTCTAGAAAACAGGATATATGTTCGGATGGTACTTTGAAAGGCTTGGATTCTATAACTGCAGTGATGTTATTCTGGGACCATGTGTCAAAGGACAACGGTCTACCGTCTTTGCATTCAAACTTGAAACGTATCGATTCTCTACGTGGAATGTTGAGCGAGTGTGTAACGGATACACAATGGAGTGGGTTATTTGCGACACTCTGTTTAGTTTCACCAATATTAGCCAAGGTGTTTAATATCGATATGGACAAATTGGATACAAGTTTAAGGTCACTTTATGTAGCAATAACTCGTGAAGAACATGTTAGATCGGGACTACTTGACATATTGGAACCCATTATAGCTGATAAGAAGGTTTGTGAGAGGATAGACGGACCAACAGCTTTCATATCACACTCTATGGTCCATAGTCTAGCATCGTGCCTGCTACAGCAGTTATGTACCCTTGCTAACTGTGCAATTACAGCTAGAAGATCATACATCAAGGACCTATGGCGTCTATCTGGGCTACTGGTTATTTCAGCATTGCCTAACGCGGGTATGGTCATTACCGAGATTCGTGAAGACCTATGTCGTACCCATCGCAGTGACCTTTCGGAACAGTTGCAAAAGCGTTTGGGCACCTTCGTTGCATTGGATACACTCGCTGACGGCGAGTGCTGCGATACTTACAGCTACCTTGCCGAGAGCAAAGCGTCCCTGATGGATACCACTGGATACACGCCGTCGTTACGTTATCACAAATCTGTTGAAGGGTTCAGTGGCGATGCTGGTTCAAGGGACCCCGTTGCCGTTATGCGGAGATTCCAGAACGACTTGGATATGGTTGTGAAGGAAAATTTGAAATTGGGACCAGATTTCTCTATATACTGCGATCATCATTGCCTAATGAACCTGCGCCGTTATCTACTACGTCACTATGTGCTACTGCCTGAAATGTTAAGGCCCGTTCTAGTCGGTCTAGATTGTTTATCATTCTCCCTTTCTATAGAAGGCTCTAAAGGCTCTGTATCTAGTAATGAGCTGCAGAGGTCGATACAGAATCTGAGGGTATCTCAAAGATGTATGCAATTCCCTTATAACCTATTGAAACGTGTTAACAAAGGTGATCTATTGTCTTTAAGTGCCCGTTTCTACGATTCCGTTGGCCTATGCGATGTATATACATATGTGAACTGTCTAATCGCCAGTGTACGTCTAGACCTCCTGTCGCAGGTTTCGATGGAACCTTTGAAATATGCAATTCTGATACTTGCGGGGATACATTCACGTCTCAAGATGGAACGTTCTGAGGGCCAGTCCATGCGTAAATCGCTTCTACAGTCTTGTATTGCGATGGCACAGAAGAATGTGGAAAAAGGGGTACATGACCTCTTTCCGTCACAACAAGAGATCGTTCGTGCGATAGTACGCGAATGCGGCCCTATAGAAGAGTTTGAAACCGTGGATATCGATGACGAAGTATCGGTTGATGACCCTGAACAGAACCGTGATATACGACGTATAACATTACTATGCAAAGTTTTGACGGTTACAATACTCTCTCGGGGCCGTGTTGATAGTTCCCAAGGGAATATAGGTTCGGAGTTCCAGGTACCTGATCAAAGATCGATTACACGTCAGATTAACGCGGCACTTTGTCTAGGGCTTGCATGTAACGCTGATACCATGGAAATTAGCAACTCGGAAGACCTAGTGCTACTATTAACTCGGTTAATGAGCGGTTCTGAGGAACATTTCGGGTACCGCAATGCAGATGATACCGGATCAACTTCATTCTACCGTTCCGTAGATCTTCCTTCTTGCCTAAAAGCATGGGATATAATGTCGAGTCTAGCTTCTCGTGTCGAAACGTTATTGGGTCAATTTGAATCCCAACAGCAGTTACTGGATATTCGGACCTTGCTGACCTCTATGTGCAAGGTGAAGCTCCCTACGATGACCCAAGTCCTTCTTGTGGCACTTCTTGAGAACCTGGTCGCCAGGGTCCACAAATGGAACTCTATTTCTCATAGTGCGATATCACTCCGTGACCTAACCTCGGACCTTGAGAATTTGATTCTAGAACTACGTCGACGTGAGCTCCAGGGGTGGTATTCTGCTATAGAAGACCGTGTATCAATGTTCCGGGAAGACGCCTATAGTTACCTGTTGTATTTTGCGGAGATGTGTAGCCATATGCACGATACAAACGTGCCTTGTTCAACTCGGGTATATGGAATTGTTGAGGAGATTGTGGAATTCGTGTTGACAGCGCCAGTGGCACACTTTGACACTATACTAGACCTGCTGAGATCGGTAATCCTGTTATACCGTGATTCCACTATAGCTACGGAAGTGACCCTGCGTACATCATTGGAGAACACCTTATGTTTCCTAGAGTTTTGGCAACCTTCAGTTGATAAGTGCATATCTAATTTGAAAGAGGACTCCCGCCGTGAGGTTGGAGAGTTAGTGAAGCGTATAAACTGGTCTGGTAACGACTATATATCTATCAGTGCGTTATTACAGAAACAGAAGACCCAAATGTCATCAGTTATACGACGGTTTCAGGAAGGTCTCATGCAGCCATGGTCTATGGTATACTCCGCATCGGCCGAGGAATGGTACGAAGAACCAGAGGTTGGTGTGGATGATACCTGCCTGGGTGATATCGATATGGACTCGGGAAAACCCAGTTGTTCGGAATTATTGGGTATACTACGCAGTAACATTGATTATATTCGCAGTAACAAGAATGATATATCTAGGGTCCAGATTACACGTATGACCAGTGAACTTGGTAGGATCCTAGGTGAACGTGGTTATAGCGCAACTCCAGGACACGATTCAAGTGACTGGTTACGCTGGATAGATTTCGGTATCAATATGTGTTCAAATGGTTGTACGTACGTGGATGATGCCAGGGCCAACATTCTACGTTCATTGCATATAATAAGGGAGCTCGATGCATCGTTTAATACGGATAAAAACAAGTTCGATATGTTCAGCCGTAACGTTGACCTGAACATATACGGCTACCTAGTGACAATGTTGCGTGCAGCACACCAAAATATGGTCACAGACGTTGCGGAGTACCAAAGTTGCACTCTATCGCAATGTCTAAGTGATATTGTTCAGAACCCACCTATACATGAAATGGATCGTAGATCGTTCGAACGGCTACTCTCGGTTACAGATGACATCTACGAAGCAGCATTACAAGCTAACCACAGCAATCTACTGAAAGGTCCAATATGTGACCCACAATCTAACCATATAACCGAAAAGGATAGTGAAATACCATTACTATTATCACGTATTATGGAATTCAGGTCATGGTTACAGCGTTCGTCAGAGTTCCGCGGGTTCAAGTTCTCCACGGATCCATCCGTGGTACTACTTTCGAACAGATGGTTAACATATTTGCATACATTTTGCGATGATGTGGCTAAGGGGACTGGGTACCCGGTTGCTGTGCATCCATATTTTCATCATGCTGCAAGTTGTATCGTATCCCTCTTGGCTACAGCAAAACCTATGGATGAACTGCCGAAGGCATCACCTAGAGAGTTCCGGTGTAGGGATCCTGATTTGCCATTGGAATGTCTTTTATTAGCACAACTTATTAACTGCATCAGTCATGTTGAGCCACCCGCAGATGAATCTGAAAAGGAATCCCGTGATGAATGGGCTGGAGGTACAGGTCTTGAAGATGGTACCGGTGCTAAAAACGTATCAGATGATGTCGATCCTGATGAAGGCTTGTTTGACAATTTTGCAAAGGAGCCTCCAACTGACCATGGTGAGATTAAGGAATCTAACCCTGCTGTTGATATAGATATGGAATTTGATGGTGACATTCTGGATCTCGAGGGTTCTAGGGAATGCAGTGATATTGAAGAGGACAGCGGTGGCCACAATGAGGAATATGAGGACCTGCAGAAACAACAGTTGGATACCGATCTTGTAGATGATGAACCGCCACTAGACGATGATGGTGAGCCTTTGGATATCCAAGGCGTATCGATGGACGCCACTAAGGACGCGGTATCAGATACTGATGATATTGATAACTCAGAACGTGAGAACGAGTATACTAGTGAGGTTCCACAACAGCCTACGCCACAAGAACCTACAGAGGAGCCTAAAGAGGAACCTACAGAGGATCTTACTGAAGAGCCCGCTGGGGATTCTACAAATGAACTAGACAAGGGTAATAATGACGTTGAATTCGATGGCGACGAGGGTCAAGAGCCTATGGATACGGATGAAGTTTCGGAACAACAAGAAGAGACGACAGGAGAGCCAACAACGGAAGATGGTGTTGAACCAGATGCAGAAGCTACGCAGAGTAAGTTTAAAAGGCACTTTAGACACCCCCAATGATGATACCCCAAGAGGCATTTGATATGTGATATTACCAATCCTCGAGAAGGTTATGCATATATATCTGAGGGGACGTATCAATATAGTTGCATATCCATGTTTTATTTACCAATTCCATTCTATAATCACTGGAGCTCACTCCATTCCTTCCATATTTGTTCAGATGGTTCCCGAAGAGAGTATGAAGAGACACCTTACGGTACCGAGGGTGATACTGGGTCGAACATTCGCAATGAAGAGGATGTAGCCATGGGTGGTAACAGTTATGAAGAGGATTCTTTGGCGGGATCATTTTGGGGTGATACAACTCGTAGCCAGGGTGGGAGTATGGTAGGTTTCCTGGATACGATACAAAGGCTGGAGAACCCATCTGATGGTAGCAGGACAGATGATTTAAAGATGAAGAATATAGTGGAACCTATGACTGGCGCTAATAACCTCAATGAAAATGATTCCGCCCTTAACGAACTTGACGAAACAAGCCATTTGGAGGGGCTATCAGCATCTATGCAAGGTTCAATGGTACACAATATCGAAGAGATAACAGATGGATCCTTAAAACAAGAGGAAATTAGACCAGAAAAGTTGTCTGAGACCGTGGACCCAAGTAGTACCATTACCGATTCTAAGGTATTCAGCGATATGGCAACAAAGGATGATGACATCTGCATGGATTCGTGTCCATATGATGATTTACAAGATGATATATGCGTTGATACGTCTGCCGTACATAGTGGAACTGCTGTTATTGACACTGTGACGAGTCCACCCGAGCTGTTATCACGTGTTACACAATCTAAGGATGGTGACGTATCCACTGCCGCTAAATTGTGGCGACAGTTTTGCGCAGAATCGTTATCTATATCTACTAGTTTATGTGAACAGATGCGTATGATCTTGGAACCATCTTTAAAATCAAGTTTACAGGGTGATTACAAAACTGGGAAGCGTATCTCTATAAAGAAATTGATGGCGTTTATAGCGTCAAACTACCAACGTGACAAAATATGGTTACGCAGGTCGAAACCCAGCAAACGTGATTACCGAGTAGTCCTGGCTATAGACAACAGTCGCAGTATGTCAGTATCTAATGCCGGTAGCTTAGCATTGAAATCCTTTGCGTGTATCTATCAGGCTATGTCGGTATTGGATGTTGGTGAATTGAGTGTATGTAAATTCGGAGGCAATGTACCTGAGCTACTGCTAGAGATGGGTAAAGGTGAAGACCCATCACGGGTAATTGCAGGTATGACCTTTGACGAAGAATCTCAGCATTCGCATGAGACGGGTTTACCAGAACTGCTGAAATACGTCCTGAGTTATCTAGATCGTCAAGATGAACGTCGCAAAATCGTCATTATCATATCAGATGGAAAGTTCAATAAGGAGAAGGCACGGCCATGGATCCAAGCTACTATCAGTAAAGAGGTGGTACCACTGTTGGTTATTTTGGATACTGTAACATCGAGTCATAAATCGATATTACAGATGAAACAGGTACGGGAGGTAGACGGTAAATTGACAGTCGAGACATTTTTGTCAAATTTCCCGTTCCCTTACTACGCAGTTATCCAGAATCTTGATCGGTTACCAAGTATTCTGAGCGACCTTCTACGGTAAGTTCCAGTATGTGTTCTGGGCAATGATGTCGCAGCCAATGGTTCGCGCTGTCGAATCGCCGTTAATATCTCGCGGACCGGGGTCCGAGGATGCCCAGGGGTGCACCGATGATGTTGTTGAATACCTATGGTATTTTGTCGCTAGATATTAGTCGGCAAAATGCAGCTGAAGGCATTTTCGTCGATATTTGCGCTTTGCGCCTGCCTTGTGGCAGTCGTCCCGACGGCACATTCATCTGGTGCCAAAGGTGTGCTCAGTGGTATGTTAAACGCCGCGGCACAGACGAACGGTATCGTCGGCGCGGTTGGTAACGGTATGTTGGCAATGTGTAGTAATGTGTCATAAATATACAGTGCTTAGCGCGGTACCTAACATAGCCGCTCAAGGGAACGCTCTATCTCACGCTTTCAAGAGGGTATTCAGCGATGTCGATAGTGGTACCAACGAGATAAACTACGATGGTGGTAACATGGGAGCCTATTACAACTTCATGTACCCCGATAACGACGACTACCCTTGGGCGTGTGTATGTAACGAGTACGATCTTCAGCTATACCGTGAGAAGAAACAGCCATATGCAAGGTGCAGGAACCAAGAAGATCTATCAATGTTCAGCTTCCAAGCCAACTGTGACCCGAAGAATTCGGCTAATGAACCATTCTAAATGGCATATGATACCACCGGTTGTGCGGTGAACTGACTTCTACTCAATCTATCGCTAAAATCTTATATAAAGCCACAAAATAATATATATATATATATATATATATATATATGTCGAGATATCCATCTCAGATAACCAGAACACAGACAGATCCCATAAATACTATCGCACAGTTGATCTTACATTGCCAAACTCCACGGAAGTTTACAACGTATGACCAGTATTAACACAAGTCCTACTTTATATACAGATTGCTTAACTATAATATGACGAAGCTGTGACACCAGACAAACACATCACTAGAACCAATTAGGCATCGCTGCCTATATTTACATAACAAAACACATTATTACTCTAATCAATTAAAAATATTTCTTAAAACAAGATGATTTTAATTGTACTTATAAAATTTGGGGGTATACGTGTGTTATTATGTGTATAAAATTGAACCCAAACCTGCTGCCACCCTAGTGGGGTGCCAGGCCAAACGGTACACCAGTCCCACACCGTACAAATATCGCCAGCAGGATAGTACCCGGCTTTTGCTGTAACCCTTCGGGGGGGTGCTTGCGGGAACTCGGTGAACTGTCATGTTGGCGCGTTCTCACTGCGTTGGCTGTCTGGTGCGGGCGGGAGTCGTCTCTGGTGGCTTCCCGTAGGGGTGGCTTCCGAGTCGTTGAATGCGGCGGACCGCTTCAGGCTGGCAACAGAGCAGAGAAAAGCTTCAGCTTCTGCTACCCACCAGATCGCGGCCCGCGGTGCGCGCAGCCCACCATCGTCAGGTCGCTCGCCGGCGGACCTGCCAGCGTTTTTTTCCGACCTTGCAAACTTTTCAACTACCCCCATTTTCATTAAATATACTATATGATATGGGGATTTTGCGAACATTTCAACGCGAAACGCGCGCGCTTTGACCGTAGACACGGCACCTCACACGAGACCTAAGCAAACCAACTCAAACACAACCAACCAAACTTATAGCAACTTTATATCATTATAGGGACATGGGATCGATCAATGGTGGTCATTTGCTATTTTTTTAGACATAAAATAGAGTCATACTTAGGAGCTGAGAAAGATCACACATTTTAGTTTTCATATACATTTTAAAAAACAGGTCCTTCACGCAGCACGTAAGATGCCGCAAGCCATAAGCTTCTGGATACCTTTGGCAATGGTAGGGTCCCTGAGGTACTCGTTCATCGCAGATGGGTTCTCCGAGAGCCTTTTGAGGATGATCTGGAACTGTGGGTCAGTGAGCATCTGCTGAACCTCAGGGTCAGCCATGGCCTGCCTGTACTGCTCCTCATCAACGGTGCCAGACTGCGACATCGCCTGGATCTTGGCCATACAATCATATCTACCGTTGATACATTCTTGGTTATCAGGGTCAACAGCGAGACCCTTATCATAGGCCTCCAGAGCCTTACTGTACTCCTTGAGTAACACGTGTAAATTGCCTTTACGAGACCACCCCTTGACAAAGGTAGGGTCAAGCTCCACAGCCTTGTTACAATCCGCCAAGGCACTTGGGTACTCCCCAAGCTTGGTGAGCGCCGCCGCCCTGTTGGTGTACAGCTTAACATCCTTGGGGTTACGTTTGATAGCCTCGTCATATTCCTTCTTAGCCTCAGGGAACTGAAATGCCTTGAAGAATGCATTACCCTTTTCCCGGTGCTCCTCAGCCTTCTCAGGGTCAATATATGCCTCACGCTCACGCTTCTCCTTAAGCCGCTCTACCTCCTTCATGGCACACCGGGTCGTTCTGTTGTTGTCCTCCAACAAGGATTTCTGATACGCTGCAAGTGCAGAGTCATAGTCTTCCATCTTGGTGTAACATGATGCCAGCCTGTTGTATATCTTGGAAATGACTAAGAAATCAGCCTTAACATCATAGCGACGCTCTATAGCAGCATTACATGTAGCAATACACTTCTCGTAGTCACCCATTTCCAGATATACGGCCGCCTTATTGTTTTCCAAGAGCAGGTTCTCTGGGTCCTGCTCTATAGCCTTGTTGTAGCATTCCAAAGCCTCATCAAACTTCTTCTGCTTGTACAATTTGTTACCCTCTTCCTTGTATTCTTGCGCTTTCTTTTGGTTCTCTGTAAGCGGTACCTCCGGAGCTTTTGGCTCTTCGGCTTTTGGTGCAGGCTTAGGTTGTGACCGTTCCTGTGCGCTCTCGCTCTGAGCCATCTCAGAAGCAGCACCTAGGTATGCCATAAGACCATCCCTTATGGCAGGGTTAGGGTCCATTAGCAGCTGTTGGACACTTTGAGGGTTGCTCTGCAGGCTGCTAATGGCACGACATAGTGTCATTGTATACGATGGATCCTGCCTTTGATATTCCTGAAGCTTTGGATTACTCATAATGACTTGTGAGACACTTGCAGCAAGGTACATCAGTTCAGGGTTAGCAGCAGTGTCTATATCGCGCAAACCTGCCTTCAAAGGCTCATTGTTTGGGTCAATTCTTAATCCTTCTTGATAAGCTCTTCTAGCTTCGTCCATCTTGCCTAACTTGTAAAGAGCAAGTCCCTTACGGGAGTAACCCTGCGCCATGTTACACATCAGATATAGGGACACCTACCTTTGGCCAGTCTGGTTTGAGTGATACACATCGAGTAGCATCATCCAGAGCTTCTTGATACTTTCCTAGCGATGCGTACGCACCGGATCGATTAGAATATAGGATTCCATCACTGGGGTTAAGTTTTATAGCTTCCGTAAAGTGTTGCACAGCTTCTACAAACTTCCCAGCTTTAAAAGCGTCGTTTCCTAGCTGTTTGTAATCCGTCATTGTATCTACAGGGTATACGTGAGTTTGCGTGGTCGAATACGAGTGATTTGCTGGCCGAAGAGCGTGACCAGCGGTCCCCAGGTGTCAAAAAAGTTGTAGGTAACGATGGGGACTAAGGTGTCAGTATCACCGGGGACAAATATTTATTCACAACAAAGATCTTTTTGTATCGTGATGATAAGATAACATAAATGTGTCTAGTATCTCGACCTTTCATTACGACAATGGAATCCTAGGGGTGTTGTGGTTGCGAACCCGCGACACCAGCCGTAATTACGTATAACAAACGTTATTAGCACGTGTTTATGCATAGAAATATGTCAGATATGACAGTTGTGACACCTTGTGGTCCACTACCTATGTACCGTTACTATCACACCGCAGCCGTCTCGTGGCCCATGTGTCACTATATAGGCAACACATCGTTAGATTGTATAACCATATCACTGAGGTGATGTGTTTGTGGCGTTGTTTCCACCGGTGTCGGTGTCCTTCGGGGTTTCGGCGGCTTTGGTGTCATCCCTTTTAGCCTGGGAACGTCGATGCATAGCGTTCTCCTTCATACGCCTGTAAGGATAGTTGACACAGACCATACGATTAGTTTACCTTAGTTCATCCCTGACATGAGTAAGGAACTTAGCACGTTCCTGTGCGATTTTTTTCTGAAACCGCTATGTGAAACTGAAAGGAAATAACAACTTACATGTAAATAAGCGTATCCCGTAGTATATAAGGGCTCAACATCTTCATCTACCGCGAGAGCCATGGCCACCTTAAGTTTAGCCTCGATCTCCATACGACGCTTATAAAACATCTGCTCAGTCTGTACAAAATGAAAGAGAGAGAGAAGATCGAGACCCAACCTTTATGAACGCATCACGTCGTGACATCCCACTGTTCATAAGAGACAGCTGATTACCAACAAATTGCATCACAGGGTGGTCAATACCATAGCTATCGATACCTGAAGTAACCTTTAAATATGTAGATGCACATTTATATACCTTTCTGCCATTGGTTATCCGGATCGTAACATTTCTCGAACCTTAAATGTGGATACTTTCTCAACACAGCATCGATCAATGGCAGATAAGGGTTACGGATGGTCTTATCACCATGAAGCATAGTCCTCGTCTCAAGAGGCGGAGCACGTTCCACCTATAAATATACATATATAAGATAGTCTAACAAAGTACCCATTCAAGCCACCGAGGACGATCACAAGTACCATTCTCAACAAGTTTGCGCATACGGTCCAGGATGTCCCAACGTAACCTTCGACGAGCAGCGAAGTTTGAACCAGTTATCTACAACATTTATAGAATCGGTAAGGCAAAACATACGTGAACAGCGCCCTTAGCCATAGCGTTCAGATGTTGGTGCCCATTTCAAAGAAATATTAGGAACATTCTAAACAATACCCTTCTCTGATATCACAGGAATTATATTCAAAATATTAAAACGACATTTTATAATGGTTACATTACATTTTTTCAAAAATAACTCAACATAATTACGGAATTATATTCACTAATGAATAAGGTCAAGCTCGTTGAGTATCAACCACCTAAAATCAGGCACATACACATTATACTACACTTATACGAATTATTTTAAAATGAAAACTTACTATAGATATATCTTCTGCCATATAAATGGCATAAGGACCGGATTGTTGCCGGCTCTCACTACCCCTCAGCATGGGCCTAGAACCCTTGGTTAATATAACAAACACACAATCGTAAAACAAACATACAATAGTGTGTGTAGTGACCATTAAGGGCTGTGGAAGGTGTGAATTGCTACAGGGACCATCTCCAGCGGTAGCGAGATCAAGCTAATTGTCATCGCCAGGTAGAGCTGTTGGTAAAACCGATCTTATTACCTGGTAAAAGCACTCCTGTTAACATAACAGGTACTAAAAGGGGGTAATATAACAGTGTGTAATAGTCCAAAGGCTATCCTTGGAGACATTAATCTGTAGACAAAATGGGAAGCGTATCTTTCAGACGTGCTTTCCTGGAATCAAGGGAAAAAAATTATGGAGAAGATCGTTCTGAAACCGCCGCAGTGTCGGCAGTACCTGTGGAAAAGGTAACAACTGACAATACTTTGGATTATATAAAGGAACTATTTTTCCATTCAAAAATTAGAGGGAACCTAGATTGGCCTGGATTATGTCTAGAAAAACAACATGATTTCAAATTCTGGGCTAATGTCACACATTCACTTGGAATGTTTATACTAAAAAGTATTTTTAATGCAGATATACCTTTCGAAGATTCAAGGGAAGTAAGACGAATGACATTAATGAGTAGCAGAGATATAGGATTAATGGGACACGAAAGAAGAACCAGCAACTATGTCAACGAATTACAGATCAGAGTGTCATTCGTATTACTAAGTGGAATGTTAGCAAATCGTATACCGGGGTCATTAAGACTTATAGCAAGGAGCCATGGGTACCAATACTTCGAACACAGAATCACCACGCTGCTCAATGATTTCCCAAATATCGATGCACCCGCGCTGTGCTTCAATATCAATGCTCTAAGGACATTACTACCATTCCTACAGGAGACCGCGTCAGTCAATCTGTCGGCGGTGTGCCAGGGGCTCCTAACGTCAAAGTTCTGGAAAATCATGTGGCTAGATATAGGGGTATGCTTGAAAAGACAAAATGATACGGAAAAATCACTATTGTTCTCAACATTCCTTGAACTCGCATCAGAAATATGCTATGGAACAAGATCGCAATCACTATTCAAAAGACTATATACATCATCCCCAAACTCATTATGGGACCCTATATTCTTAGTACTCTCATGGAAAATAGAACCAAAAGTACTCTGTAGATTAGTCACATTCGTCGCTGACTTATTGCTTATAAGCTTGCAAGATGGATGCTTCGATCTCATAGGACAGGACTGCCTGTCAAAACTTATGCAATGCGTCGTAAACACAGAATCCGAGGGGAGAACATACTTGGAAACATATGCCACACAAACTTTGGATCAACGTAACGAATTCTATCATCATTACGCACTCATCGCAGTAGACATGTTGCATAACCTTGATCTAGTATTACAGGGAGCATCAGATAAATTGTCCAGCGAAAACGTACGGCAGCTATATGAGATCAGCTCCTTGGGAACTGCAAAGATGACATTGCCACCAGTTCCAGGAAATAATGAAGATAGCTCTGTCAAATTTGACTATTCGGAAACACGCACTTTCCCAAGAGTACTGCCATGCTTCAATGGTGAATGCCGCCAGCTTTTCCACCTAGATATGCCGCAGTTACATGTCCATGATGCTGATCCACAATTTGCATATTGCAAACGATGTGGAATACCAAGCTATTGCAGCAGTTCATGCGCAAATACCCATTGGGAGTCCAGTCATCGAGATGTCTGCGGATTTTTCCGCGTACCACCGACATTCGCACGGTTCGTCTCACCAATGACCGTCAACGGCTCTCCTATCCTCCAGACGCTGGATAATAGCTCGGCAATGACACCGTTTTTTGATGATGACGGTAATGTAGTCACGCTATACTAGTGATAAGTGTGCCGTAACAACTAATAGACTTTAAAAGTAATTTATGATACATTAACAGTGGTAGTTACACAGCTTGGTAACAAGCATGTTGGGTCTGCCGGGCAACAAGACCGTGACCATCCAACGTCAATTTTTGCAATGAGTGTAACATTTCTACACCTATGAGCTGCTAATTGACATATGGTTCAGGGAGAAAAGTACCGATACCCTGTGAAATATTGTTAAAAGCTGAAAATATGTGCAATTTTCACGCCACAATACGTCCACGTTGCGAATGATGCGGTTATTCATATAATCACGCTGGATTGATCATAGCTCTGGAGGCTGCATTTTGTCCTTGAGGAACGATGGGACGACGAAACTCTCGCCTGTTCGCAGACGCTCCTCCATTATCTGCTGCTGTGACTCCGGCGTGGTCTGCAAGACATAACAATGGGTTCTACGAAACATACAAGGATATTCTGGTAGTGGCGTATGCATCGTTTCATGCGCTCCGCCTCTTTCTTACACGTAAACGCTGGCCATGTCTTCTCAGTGTAACAATTCACATAGTCATCAAGCTCAGACCTACGTTAACGTGGTTATATATCACTCAATAGATACCTGCAGATGTCCCTAATACGAGCACCGATTATCTTGACCACTTCATGCCGCTCTTTGGCGAGTTTGTCTGCGCGCGTTGATTAGGGTGTAGCGGTGGCGTACAATCAGCTTCGCGGAACTCGAGATAGGACATCGGAGTATCACCGTTAGCTGAGATAAAATGTATCTAACGAGATATAACATACCTTTACGCAACCGTTGCGCTATACGCAGGTAGAGAGGCGGCTGCTCCTCCATAACGCTAATGTGTTAAATAACAGAATATATATAATTCATTATTCATGCTTGTCCAGCAACGTCTTTGAAACAGCGCAATTTGAGCTTGTAAGTGAGAATATGTGTTCATTTATGAACGTTTGCGCCCTACCTTGACACTGTTTCGCCTTAGGGGGTAGACCCTTGCGTGCCTTGCTGTTGTGAGAATTGGCGTGTATACCACCAATCAAGTTACTCTCCCAGCCTTTTATAAGACCTGTCGTATCGTCTGGCTGCGAAAAGTATTGAGACTCCAGCGAAGCGATTTTCTCATCCAAATGATGGACATCGGACCTGGCCTTGGAAAGCACACGCAATATAGTCTCCTGGAGACGTGAACACTTGCGCCTCTTACGCTTCCGCTCATCATCCTCATCAACACTACCCACATGACTGTGGCTATGAGAATGTGATAGTGACAATGAGTCTATATCTTGCAGATCAGACTGTGCCTTTGCGATATCCTCATTATTCAATGCCTCGTCAAGAAGCGTTGAATCGATGAAGGTATTTTTGCGATTTTCGGTACCATACTTGACGTCACGCGTTGCTTCCGAAGATGGTTCCAAAGGACGTTTAGCAGAGGTGGATGTATCCTTGGCGGTTACCGGATCTGGTACCTTAGAACCACCATTACCACCGGTAACCTTGCTACGGGTGACGGAGTCACCCAACGTAGCCGATCCAGAGCTCGGAACGTCAGTATTTAACGAACTGTCGTTGGTAGATCTAGTGTAACGCCTCCTTGTGGCCCTAGGAACCTCTTTTGAAGCGCAACGTTGAGCTGGGGTCATTGATGCCTCTTGATGTGACTCAGAGGTGTCTGAATTGGCTGAAGAGCTCACCCGACGAGTGGCCTTGCCATAGGCCACGGTTGTACTACCCTCGGTAGAGCTATCTTGACGTTTGTGGCGCATAAATGATTGTCTCCGCTGCTCACGAGAAGGGTAGTCCGACACAGCAGGGGTATCGCCATAACTGCCACACTTACCTCGTAACAATAGCGTACTTGGTGAAGCTGACATTTTATCACACATTTAAGGTAGGATCGGCGTAATATCTCCAACTTTCCAGCCATATATGCATACTTTGGTGCGCAATAACGTATGAAGACGCACATTACATCAAAGAGACGCGTTTTCTGGCCATTAACCGGCCAAATAGGTGCCCCCGGGCATTAGTCGTCTATCCGACCAGTCGATTAAGCACCTTTCAGACCAGAAGCCGAGTTATGCTATTGTGCGCAACTATGCCTCACAAGTCACGAGCGGCAGGTCATATATCCAGGCCACCAGACCTTGTTGCGACGCTTTGCCGTCCTCGAAAATGACTAGTTAGACGTGGCCAGACCCGAACACAGCCAACGGAGATGGCAGGAGCTATTAACGAGCCGCGTGACCACCCGCCCCCCGCAACTACATCGTCTGCTAAGACTCCCTACAGAAAATCAGATTATATCGTACTCGTCTAAGCTATAGGGGTCAAATAATGGCGGAAAATAATTTTGGAATCTATCGCACATGGCATATTATATAAGAACAGCTCGGCGAGCGTTTCCCCGATCCATAATTGTCTATCCGACGAATATAACAACGGTAAATGGCCTATATAGGCATATTAAAGGATATGGGACTGTAAAGTGATTTTCTGCTATCAGCGATACCATAACCTGGTTATGAACACTGTCCAGGAATCGGCAGCTGCAGCCGAAATTTCAATGCGTCAGAAATACTGGATATTCCATGTATAACATAACACAAAACTGTTTATTTACTAGTAACTACAACTTTTGTATTCTGTGGCAGTCTCGCGAGTGCCCGGTGCTCAGGCAAGCTATTCGGCGCCGATGAGTGGTGCGTTGTGCGACACATGTATACACTACTAGAAACCACTTATTTTAATAGCCAATAAAGGCAATATTGTAACAATGGCGCCCAAGGACAAAGCGCCGCAAGAGGAACCCCGAGTACTACTCGGAAGGTTGGTTACTAGTTACACCCCTTTAACAACATCAAAGGCCACGTAATAATCTTAAAATGGGACTTGTTGGACTGCCAAATGTCGGAAAATCAACGACGTTCAATCTACTGTCGAAACAAATGGTACCGGCAGAAAATTTCCCATTCTGTACAATCAACCCTCACGAAGCAGTAATCAATGGTAAGTAGAGAGCTGTAACATAATAACCATAGGTGTTGGATTTATCACATCAGCTTTGTTAACACATAGATTAACCGTTATACAGTGCCGGATGAACGATTCAAGCATCTATGCAAAGTATTTCAACCTAAAAAGGAAATAGCAGCATGTCTATCTATATTTGATATTGCTGGACTAGTCAGAGGAGCCCATAAGGGTGAAGGATTAGGTAACGCATTCCTGTCTCACATAGATGCTGTCGATGGGATATTCCATGTGGTAAGTCTCATCACAGAGCTCTCTTTTACATTCAATGCACTAATGCGTGTTATAGGTTCGAGGATTTGAAGATGATGAGATCGTACATACTGATGGAGAGGTCAACCCTATCAATGACCTGGAAACTATTAACCAGGAGCTTATTTTAAAGGATCTAGACAAGTGCACAAAAGCATTAGTAGAGATCACTAAGGTCTATCAACGTAACCAGAAAATCAAATCTAAAAAGGAAGAACTTGATACAATGACCAAAGCAAAAGAGGTACTTGAAAAAAATCAATGGATCTCACAAGCAAAATGGAAAGCAACAGAAGTACCAATACTCAACGAGTACAACTTCTTAACGGCCAAACCTGTTGTATACCTTGTTAACCTTAGCGAAAAAGATTTCGTTAGACAAAAAAACAAATGGCTTGCCAAAATCGCAAAATGGGTAGCAGAGAATAACCCAGGACCTATTGTACCTTATAGTGCACAGTTCGAACAGGCACTAGAAGCATTCGATACTGATGAGGCTCGTGAAGCATACCTAAAAGATAAAAATGGAGCTACCAGCAAAATAGACAAGATCATCTCAAGTGGATACGCTTGTCTCAATCTGATCCACTATTTTACATGTGGTCCCGATGAAGTCAGGTGCTGGACTATACGCAAGGGTACCAAGGCACCGCAGGCCGCCGGGGTAATCCACACAGATTTTGAACGTGGGTTCATATGCGCAGAAACCTACAATTATACCGATATCGTCGAATTCGGTAAGTAGCGTCTTAACCATGTACAAAGTTTTACAGGCACTGAAAATGATGTGAAGAACAATGGAAGGTATCTACAGAAAGGGTAGGGTTAAACCGTAAGCTCAATGACATGGTATCAGAAAGGACTATGTTGTTCAAGACGGTGACATTATGTTCTTCAAGTTCAACGTGACCAACAAGAAATGATCACGATATATACTTGTGCAGAAAACGGCGGTGGAACTCACTCCTCACCATATCGTTGACGAACCTGAGTTCAATTTACTCATTTTATTAAAAATAACAATGTCTATATTATACCTACAGTGCAAACATCTATGTATATAAACTTACTCTTTTTTCTCCTTGACCTCACGATTAGGGTTTTTAAAAACAACGTCCTCGTCCCAGCGACGTTGCGGTGCTGTTTTAGCTAAGAGGGGATTCTGACTAAGTATCCTCTCGCGCTCTTTATCGGATTGTAGTGATTCCTGTATTTCACGTTGACGAGCTTCCTCCTTCTCACTTTTAATTTTCTCCAACTCCCTCAATAACATAGCCTCATCATCAGAGTCAGAACCATCATCTATTGCGGCGCCAGTACTGCAATCGTCGGAGTCCTCGGGGAATGCATTTATGTCTTGATTTAATAGCTTAACTGCATCCTCCAGAGGCAGGAAGTTCCTAGTTACACCGATACGTTCCTCAAGCTCACCCCTTGCACGGTGTTCCTGCTCAGCAGTAGCAAGTCGCTCTCGAAGCACACGCTGATGATCACCGATTTTCTGTGCTTTAAGTTCACCTTCAGAGGTTGCTACATCTACAGGGGCACGTCGTTTGAGTTCTGTATGGGATGGCAAATCCCTACTAGAAACCTTGAGTGTCCCGAAATTTGCTGTATTTTATCAAAAGAATATATAGTTAAGACATACCACCAGGTGCTCGACCAATGGCAGTGTGCCAAGTTGGTCTGTGCGCGGTCGACATTGCGATATAGCGTATATCCAGTAGAACAGGTATATTCCCGGTGAATATAAGATTAAGGTGGATGAACAGACGATAGCCAATAGACTGTAAACTAGTACCGATATCCCTTTTAAACTAGCAAAAGGAAGGTAAGATAGGATTTTAGAGTACAAATAACACACAATAATAAGTTTGTAGCTACAAGTATCAACAATAAAAAACTATTGTGTATATGCCTTACATTGCCCTGTGGGTGTAAGTATAAAATAGAAGATGTGCCACTACACCCAAGTTCCCCCCTCATCAACGCGAGATACTAGGTGTAATAACATGGATAAAGTATTTCAATAACATGTGTTTTATACAAATAATGGCTATATAATGTTACTATCGCATCAATCAGGGTGGCTCACTACCAGCCATTTACCGGTAAAAGATGAAGGCTGACGTGCGTGACACTAAGATCTTCCATGCCAAGAGCTTTGGTGGCAAGGCTGAAAAGGTAAACGATTTAATTTGAAGATTGTTATATGTGTGTAGGTTAAGCTGTCACTTGCAAAGCGCAATGTCAAGAGATATAAAAAGGTCCAGAAAGTGGCAAAAACAGCAGTAGATGAAACTTCTGTGCTTCTAACAAATGATACTGGGTACATAAAAGTTGATGAAGGCGAAAAAAGCTACCAAGTGTCTCAATCGCAATTGATAGATGCTGTAGATATCGGTACCAAAAGAAAGGCATTCACATTACAGTTACAACATGGACCATATAATTGTGATTATACACAAGATGGAAGATATATGCTCATAGGAGGAGATAAAGGGCAATTAGCGATGTTCGACGCTATAGATATGAAACCGTGCTTCGATATATCGGTAAAACAAACCATTAGGGATGTCCAATTACTTGATAATCATGAACTATTTGCTGTAGCACAGAAAAAATATGTTCATATATATGATAACAACGGGACGGAAGTCTACTGTCTAAGGGATCTCGGACTTACATACCAACTTGAGTATATGGCACCATTCTGGCTTCTAGTCTCCATAGGGGAATTTGGTGAACTGTGCTGGCAAGATATATCTAGTGGTGAGGTAGTAGCAAGGTTCAAGACACGAAAGGGGCCTTGCAAGCTAATGAGACATAATAGAGATAACGGGGTTGTACATCTCGGACACAACAATGGTGTGGTAACGCTATGGACACCTAATGAAGGACGGCCCGCGGTACAAATGATGGTACACAAAGGACCTGTTATGTCTATGGCAGTACATAATAACTACATGGCAACATCTGGTTACGATGGATTCTGGAGTATCTGGGACCTACGCAACTATAACAAAGCTCTCAACAGACAGTTTACTGGGAAAACACCACCACAAGCCATGGCAGTAAGCCAGAGAGGAGTACTGGCCATGGCATTAGGTGGCCGTGTAGAATACTATCGTGATGTATTCTCACGGATAGGTGGTACCGAGCCTAGTTTGTACCTCAAACACCAATTTAATGGAGAACTTGTAAGGGATATCAAGTTCCAACCTTTCGAAGATATATGCGCAGCAGGTACCACTACAGGTATATCCACAATAATCGTACCGGGATCTGGTATAGCAAACTTTGATGCATTCGCACCCAACCCTTACGAGTCAAGTAAAAAGAGACAAATACAACGATTACTTGATAAAATACCATATGACACCATCACGACGAAACAGATCGATATTGGTGCATATAATCGTGACTATAGGACTGCCGGTAAAGAAGACGGATCAACAACGGCAACCGTCTTCGACAGTGGAGGTGAGGTGTTGAAGAACAAACACAAGAAACGACGAGCACTCAAAGCAAGCACTGCGAAGAAGGTAAGTATAGAGCATATGTTAAGTAATTATATACAGCTAACGGTATACGAACGTACTTTCCAGAGAAGACAGCAAGCAGCAAAGGACAGATTGCAGAATCTAAAACGAGAGAAGGTAGGAGGTGCGGAAGCAAAGAAACGTATTATCGATGCTATGACATTCGAAGATTCGACTGGAGAACGACGGGTACGCGGAAAGGTCCGTGGAGCAGCTCTAGCACGATTCGCTCGCAAAAAATAAACTCTGACGGGCCAATGTAACAGCACCCTGGTGTTGACACTCATACACTCACTCCATCTAATTTTACATAATGGAGCGTAATATAGATACTGATATTATAAATGAGGAAGTCTCGGTATCGAACATTGCCGAGTTCCTGGTAAGATGTGTGTGCGCGCGCTTATCAATATATGCAGCTCGACGCGCTGGATTCCAGCGTCAACTGGCCGCTCCTTAATGAACTCGCAGCTAAAGTGGACGAAGTTGGTCGAAATTCACGTGAAATGATGAAAGTTAATCGATGGTTCAAAGAACAACTTGAAGGTATCAGCTCTAGGGGAGCAACTAATCCAGAAGATGCAAGGAAAGCACAAGTGGCATCTGAACTACTTAAACTTATGGAAACTAAGGAAAGTCATAGGCAGGCAACACTGGAAGAGATATGCCTTCATCGTGCTCCAGTAGTAGAATCCGGGCTAATGGAACTTAAACGAGGTGCTGATACTAAAAATAAGATGCACATGACATTTGGTAAGTCACTATAAACATATCCTAGATGCTTCTGTGTTGAACAAATTGCATTGCTCTTGTATCTTATTTTGCATCTATGCAATGTCTACAGTCAGCAGGTGGAATGTGCAATGTCAATATCATTTCAAATGTTATGGCGCTACTCAGTGTCCCAAATTCAATCTAAATCTCACAATGTTGTAGATATTGTAGCACAAGTGCCGGTATACAAATGTGCAACAGCATATGTTGAAGCACTAGAATCATGTATCAATGACAAGATTACTAGGTTTAGTAACCTTTTCAAAGGGTTCTGTGAATCCAAAGGTGTACCATGTGAGCTGAAGCCACTAAAGAATTTTAGCGACCAAGAAGTTACTGTATATGGTCGTATAGGGGCGGAGGGAGACGTACCCCTAGATGAACTGAATGTCACCATCCAGGGCACCACTATATTTGACTATGGTGTTAAAGCACAGGTTACAAATATACGCGCACTAGAGGATACATGCCTATTCCCCGGGCAAATGGCAGCACTCACTGGCAAGTGTTTCGAGGATGAGTTTGGAGTGAGATATGTCGCATCAAAGCTGAGTAGGTTTTCACCTTTGTGAGTTGACAAATATTCAGGATGTGGCATACCAGCGGAACAGCCGGTATCCACTGCAAACTCAAATCAAAGGTTTAAAGGGGAAAACATACATATATCGGTAGTAAGAGGATCCCTGCTGACGGATACCTTGGATCCTGTCAGCTTCATACATGTGTTCAACAAAATCAAAAGGGATAGACCTCATGTAGTGTTCTTTATGGGTCCTTTTGTCAGCGTACGTCAGGTTGCGGTAAGTTACAAAATCAGAGACTTATAACTAATTGGTAATAGGCAGATGGAGAGGGGCTCAGCCGTGTTGGCGATATCGCCTTTATATATAAGCGATTTTTACATGAGGTAGCGCTGTTGGCAAATGTCAGCCAACTAAAGGAGACCAAATTTGTTATTGTGCCACATTGTTATGATGTTCTATCGGGATATCCATTACCGCAGCCGCCGCTAAATTGCAGGGGATCTGCATTCTATCGTTCAAAATATCCGGAAAATGTAATTTTCCTTTCTAATCCAGGATTTATAAGAATTAACGGGATACTACTAGGTGTCACCTCATGTGACCCGTTGTCAGGTATCGGTAAGTTATGTTCACGTCGCTATACCCAATCTATATAATATTCATCATATACAGCAAACAATATGGTATGTATCCCGAACGAGAATCGGTTATTACGAGCTTGCGAACAGCTACTATTTCAACGGTCGTTCTTCCCCGGGTACCCGGCAGCTTCGCTACCTGCGGAATATGCCGTTGATAACTCGATGTTACGACATCTAGAGTTCCCAGAAGATGCCATACCAGATATATTCATATTTGCCAACATGGAGGAATCTGAACCATTTATACAGTTGGCTGGATCCAGAGGGTTCGTAGGATGCCATAATACGGCTGTGCCGAAGGAAGGAGTACTACGAATGTCCACAGAAATATACATAGCTCCACAGGGAACCGATAACACACCTATACGACCAATGGAATTGGAATCTAGACTCTCATTGGTATTAGCACTTTGGCGCGGGTGAGACTGGGGGAAACATTGCCAGACATACAATTTAAACATTGTAAAAAAACATTTATATAAATACACAATATATTGACATGATTAATATGTAGAACACATGGCAGATGACGCCAACCAGGATACACTGGAGGCGATTGAGGTGGAGCTGCGTCGCGAGCCACGGTTGCAAAAGGCCCATCCAGTCAACGGTATACCGGCGTCTTGTAGGCGTGTAAAACTCTACGAAATATACTCGACACATGTTAGTATTAACAGACTAATGAACATGCGATTGTAGGAAACCTGGGTAGACAAGGGAACCGGATACTGTCACATAAAAGAACCAACAGATCAAGCTAGTCCACAAATTGTTATAGAATTAGAACAAGATGGTGTCACTGTCGTTGTTGTATCAAATATTCTATACAACACCAACTATTCATCGCAAAATGGTAAGTAAAACAACACAAAAAGACAGTGGTGATATTTATTAACCCGAAATATTAACAAGATTCCTATAATACACCGTTGCGATGTCTAAGATGTGCTATATATGTCGTTGTAAAGCTATAGGAAAAGGATATTGTGGCTACATGTATGTAGAGAATATTCTTTGTCGATGCATATTAAAACGTCTAGATAACACTCACTTTGCATTAGACTCTATCATCATATGGCAAGAAGGGAGTGAAGAACGACTTTACAGGGCACTGTCGTTCCAAAATGTAGTCGGACACAAGTCGTTCTGGTATGACAACCTATAAGATAATGTATAATGTGCAGGAGCTATATAAGCGAAGTGGTAGATGAACAACGTATACAGCCATCGTCCAAAGAACGTGATGCTGGGAGCAATGGGGACACCGATCTTGATGGTGATGCCGATACAGGGTCAGTGGCAGGTTCATACCTGGGAGATAACCATTCTCCAAGAACTGGAGGAAAATATGGTGGAGGCTATCGGGCACTACCCAATCCTACAGTTTCAGAGATGCGGAAATTAGAAACTACATTGGATGCAATGTTAGCACAGAATACCCTTTCAGACATGATATTCATGGATCTGTTGGAAAAAAGATGGCTATGCGATGCTTTCGCAGTTATGAGGCATTGTGTGGAAATAGAAGATCTATCGACATTATCATCTATCGCAGCCGTTATGGCAAGACTCATGCTCAACTGGTGTGGAAACCTAGAACTTATGCATGTATTCGTAAGTGATGAGATTTTTTTCGATCTACTGCAAGCGTTTGAATATGATGCCGAACTGTTGTCACAGAACCTCAGCTTAGAACATGTTAAGTTCTTCAGAGAACATGTAAAACATCATGATATTATCACATTAGGGAACCAGACATTCTACAGGCTCGTACACTCAAGTTACCGTATAGAATATCTAAAGGATGTAGTTCTGCCAAGGCAACTTGATGAGTTTTCCATTCAAAGACTTAACAGTGTTATATTCTCCAATACGAACGAGATCCTAAACACTATATCCAGCGATGGTAGAGGGTTTGTGGAGTCGCTCAAGGAACAACTACCAAATAATTATATGGCAGCAATGATGCTTAGAGAACTACTCAGCACTGCAAGATGCTCCCAAGGAATCAATCAACCAGATAGGATATCGCTACTACTATTAATCAAGCATAGCCAACTACTCAACGAACTTTCGGGGTACCTTGATGGCACAGCACCGGCATGTCGTAATTTCGAAGAAAAATTGAAACCGAAAAATGAAATGGCAGAACGTGATTACTCAGCATTCAAAGGTGTTCTTGCTAGAGCAAGGGATTACAGACCAGATCTATTGGGTAGCCGTAGACACAGATTAATAGACCCTGTATCTCTTGCTGTGGAAATATTCAACCTATGCCTGGAGGTATTCCCATCGATTGTAAGGACAGCGGTATTCTCAGATGCGGAAGCAAAGGGTGAACCCGCTTTGTTATACGCTCTTTGTGATGTGCTGGCAACAAACCCACATGAAGGTGTACAAACGCAAACACGTGATATCTTCTTGAGGATATTGGATCCGAAAAATATGGATCTGCCAGAAAAGGACGAAATGTGTTCGTTATTTTATGATAGCGGTGTGCTAGACCTTATTATCGAACGTATATTTGGTGACGGGGTACCTGATTCCCGCATAATACGGGTAGCTAAGGTACATGCTATGGACCTCCTTTCCTTATGCGCACGTGAACATAGACACAGGTTCAAACTAAGAGTACAGAGTCATAAACTACCTTTACGTGTACTGGCAAGTTCTTTAAGGCCGTTTGACAAGTTTGTAGCAGTGGGAGCAATGAAGTTCCTTCATGTATGTATCAAGATGAAGGATCTGAGTGTGGAACGACATATAACAAAATATGACCTTCTAAGACCAGTCCTGTGGATACTTAAGACTAAGGTAAACGCTGGTAAAGATGGAGGGTCGATGCTGGAGAGTGTCTGCCTGGGAATACTGAATACTATCGACAGCTGGGCACTGGAAGGGCTCGTGGACTTTATCTTCCATGACCAATTCTGCTGTGTAATATTCGAAGAGCTGAAACAGGCATATTCACACTGTTCTGAGAATTTTGTATTCAACAATCTAGGAAGGATGTACCATTACTCACGTGGTGGTGAAATAGCTAACAAGAAACGACAGGTTTGTGTAGACCCAGACAGATGGTTCGAGGAGGATGATGAAGAGGAGGAACATGTAAAACGTCCCAAGGCACATGTATCTAGTAGTAACCTGGTAGATGGCTATGATGATGATGATGATTTTGGTAACGAACTAGACGTTGGGGACGTCCCAGTGCCAACAATACCTGAATCCACATCACCACTTGATGACGATGATGACCTAGACACTTGGACAAAAAGGAAAGTAGATCGACCTAAAGAAGGTAAAAAGGAACTATTTGAGTTTACTTTTAAAGCTGCAAAAGCTAATAAAATCAACGTCTACCTAGATAGTTGTCGAAATCAGCCCTCCGCAGGTGACAACTTAGCGAATGACTTTGTGCTCGACTCTAGCGACTAAAATGAAGTCGTTATATGCGGCAATAAAATATGGAGATACTAATAAATACTATATTTCACAAATAAGTTTCGATAAGGCACCGACTCGTGATACAGTACACAGGGCCATCGGTAACACCGAGTTCCTGCCAGAGGACCGTGTAACATCCACCTTTGCCCATCTCTGCGGTATCACGGAGTCAGAATCCCGTGATTTGCTACAAGGAACCAAGAAGATTAATGAAATAGAGGCATTAGACTATTGTGTAAGCTCTGGATGAACTTTTAATAACCATGTGCAGATACCCATTAAACAATCGCAGAAGACCGTTGCTAACGATCTATACTACTACAGCTTTCTCAATGGGTGAGTATGAACGGTGAAGTTGTTATCACAGCACAGGATACACCTGCTAGGACTAGATGAGAAACATGAAATCGTACAACGGATCAGAAGTGGAGAGCCTGTGACAGCTGTAGAGTTCACTACCGAGCTTACTGACTCACTTTGCTATACTAAAGGTAGCAAGAAGCGTAGTAGGAGACAAGTTGTTGCCTCGGGGATAGCATGTGTTATACACATGACCGAACCGATACGTATCATGATGCCAGAGTCGATACGTTATTTTGACGTCATAGAAACTAATCAGAGGTTGATAGAAGATCCCTCTCTATTAGCCACACCCGATGAAGGGTGGATATTGATGCTCATGGATAAAAGGAAAACTGGCAGACAACGTAAACAGAAAACTTAAATAAATGTAGCGTTACGCTGATGTTTCTTGAATATCCAGTGACTGATCTCAAGCGGAGTAGTGTCACCATGTACTTTCTCATAAGGTAACAATTTGTTGTACTTGGTCCTCTGAGGACGTGTCTCCCGCAAAATGTCCACAAATAACGCCTGGTTGTTTACAGCGTCGATGTTCGCACGACGAACTGCCATTGAACAGAACATATAGCTGGCAATGAGGAGCGTGTGCAATATGTAAAATGTGATGGCACACGAATAGGCACGTCCGTTCTTGCCCACCACCATAAGCACGCAGTAGAGTCTAATCATGCACGTTCGCATAAATGTATGCTTGTGACTGCTAACCAATGCCCGATCTAGCCTGAAAATTGATGTGTAGATCAGTATAGATGGCAAAAGTATCAATAATTTCACTTTTTTGAAAGTCAAGAATGGAAAGCTGAACAAAGCACTTCAAGATAATACAGCAGCGACACAGATGTAATAAGACATAGGATACCTACCTGATCGCTTTGATGATGTTTGGACCAACGAGTAGAGAGTGGCCAGAAGGTGGTACGCACATCATTACTGCGTTAGTTAAAACCAGTAGTGATGCCAGTGAAATAGGACATGATTCGTCTTGGTCAACCGCTGATGCAACATGAGATTGTAAATATATGAACATACCATCACTGTTAACAGTGAATGTCCCGTTAATAAGCTTAACAGGGTCACTAAGGATATCCGACCCCTCCTTGCCCACCAACGAAGGGTTTATATAAAAGATATAGTCTTTCCCTAGGGTCAGGCAAAGGAATGGATAAAGACCACTTAATAAACTCATAAAAGGGCGTGCTCCAAAAATGAAGAATAGGTAGTCGCGAGGAGTACCCATTGTGTGCTCCGAGATAAACGCCAGAATGTGAAGCGCCGGAATGAACTCGGAAAGTGACAGGAGTACGAATGCAAATGAAACTAGAGTAGCCATAACTTGCATTGCAATGAACAGGGCACCTAGCACAGGTCCTACTAAACTCCAACAAATGAAATTTACAATACCAGCAGATAAAATCAGAGATATTGCAACCTTCAAATATAGTGGTATCGTGGTGAATGATGCCTGCAATATACCATGAAAATCGTACAATCCTGTATACGATTCGATTTGCTGAGGACTCAAACGATAGAAGACAATAACAATCGTTACCTCTACAGCCCATACAACAATATGAGGAAGTGCGATCATGGCATTTTGCCACAGGGACAGCTTAAGCTTAGAATCGAGCAAATGTGCCATCTCACACTTGCTTCCAACACGCATAGCTAAGAGGATCTTCTGCAATAGACGCTTCAATGATACCGTAGTAACGTTGAAACCATCCGGCATTGTGATACGGGTAATACCAGGAACAAAATCATTCGCCGGAAGTATTGAACGCCTACGTGCAGAGTTGAAAGGGGTATCGCCAGTGAATAAAATATCACTATCGGCATTGAACCGAACAAATGACCTCCGATGGTCACTCCTATTGCTCATGTGAGCATCACCGTCATCATCTACGACAGATGGACGTTCTTCCTCGTTACCTACATCACCAGCGATACCAGATTGCCTGTCAGTGTCATGGTGGCCTAATGCTTTGGAATAGTCCAGAGTGCTTATACCGATTGAGCAGTGGCGTATACGCGTGGTCTGTATCATGATGGAGCAGATATTCTTTAACAAAAATGGTCCAAACACCGCATGTTTAGCAAGCATTGACCAAGATACTGTACGGAATATCGCAAAAGGGATGTCCACGAAGAAAATACCCACTATAGCAGCATACTTGCGGCAATAGTATATATCACTAGCACTGAAAGAATCACCCTTAAATCCTGACGCACCCCTTGCCTTCAAACTGTTACTCATCCTAGGGAAACTATAAGAGTGAAGGAAGATAGCCGTTGCGATCACAACTCCACAAAATGCCTCCATGATATAATTATCATGATGGAATGCTTTAGGAATCGTTAGATAGACATGACACATATCAATAAGATCTAAAAGATCAAGTGACACGTGCATTATCATATCAGTATGCATAAGTCGCTCTGAAGAAATGCAATTGAGGTTACCGTATAGGTGAGCCCCCGCTCTAAACGACATCAAGATGTATATTGTTGGCGTCAGCAGTAATAAGAGCAAAATTTCAGTCGAAGCGCCACAATCTGATCGAATCAAGAGCCCTGGTTTTGTAAGGTACTCTGGGAAGACAATATAATACAATACTAACATTTTAATGGTCATCATCCGGCTGTAGATGATCCAGCAGTTCGCACCTCGTATTCCAATCATCTTAGGCACTGTGTTGAAAACCCAATTGAAGAGACAAATGGCATCCAAAATTGCTAAGTACAGACACCAGGATTGACTCATGTACATATAGTGCATCAGACCAACCTGCTGCAATATCAGTACCAACAAGCAAAGCACGTAAGAAACTCTCCGCCAAGGGATGAGCTCAACACGCTCTGGCACAGGCATCTTTATCACCCTAATAGCAATCTGTCACTAGCAAGTGTACATCACTTCAAAGGTTGCTACAGACATCCTAAATTTTAGACGATGTAGACAATTACAAGGGTGTTAGCCAAGTTGTGACCAACACTATGGCTCGAGAGACATATATAACCCTTGTCATCCATACATTGGCATACACAACTGTAAATTTGATGGGTAACCCCTATCCCTTGGTCAAACGTACGGAGAATACCGAGTCGGTAGTGCGCACAGCTAAAATTACAAACCTTAAAGACAAATATTAAACCTCAATAAGCAACTACAAAAGGGCTAGTTGGCACACTGCGAGCCGAAAAGAGTCAGCTATATGTGCCAAATATCACATACGCAATGTATTACGTAGATTGGCACAGCAACGGCATCAAAAATGACACACTACACATACACAGTATCGATCATCACAAACATTGCGATACCATGTCTGAACAAATCACGTCAAAGACGAGGTACTGCGCCAAAACAAAACACCGTGTTATATTCCAAATGGGATGTGTATCCCTTCCTCGTGAAATAATGACCCGAAGATAACTATAAAACAATAAATAATATGCATAAAACTTAGTAATGTCGAATAATAAATGTCCGCGTGCTACACCGTCGTAATTAGCCGAAAAGCAACCGATATGGAGGGATATCGCACGCCACTCCAGGCAGCGCCGTTAACCCCTCGATGTCATCGCGATACTATATCACTAGCGCCGGTATAGTGTTTAAGAAATAAAAAGGGCTGTAATATAGCTATTGTGTAGTCACAATGTGCACATTATTTCGAATAGTACAAGGAGCATTACATGGCACTGATTCTGGATAATCACTTATAAATCACACAATAGGACCATACAATACCGATTGTAACGTTATAAGGTGTAGACACGTCAACACTGTGCGTTTCTGTGAAAGAAGTAGACGTAGATTGTAGGACTAATGAAAGAGGCGGAGGAAGATAGCGAATAACATGTAGATCGCCCATTGTATATTAACGGATATTCCGTATTCCAGTTTACACACTATTAAAATTTAAAAGGTGAGAATGTATCCCAAAGAGACGAATCCACAACAACTAAATGTCGCGATGTGGTCAATCTCGCCGAAACAATACCAGAGCGAATATGCGAATACAACGCTATACAGGAACCATATTAAATGTTAACTGGAATATAAATTACTAAGCTTACGGGGGAATCTACCCCGGACACGGTCTATGGGGAAGGTACGAAGGCCCAGCAACCTTAAGGTGACCCACGCACAACCTAAAACACCTTGTAACACAGCATAGATTTGACGCCAGAGAAGGATGAAGGCACTAGGAAGACCGGTGCTCCGGACGCTGGCTGCAGCTATAGCCAGGCGTGCGCCGCACGCAACGAATGCACGCAGCTTTTCTACTGCCAAAATCTCACCGGCAGAAATGTCAAAACTACTGCAAAGCAGAATTGCAGGATGGGATAAACAAAAGGATGTAGTAGATGTGGGACATGTCATTACTGTAGGTGACGGTATCGCCCGTGTCTACGGTCTAAAAGATGTCAAAATGGGAGAACTTGTAGTGTTTTCAAGCGGTGTCTCAGGAATGGCACTCAACTTAGAAACCGACAACGTTGGTGTTGTCATTTTCGGTGATGACAGATCTATCCTAGAAGGTGACAATGTCAGCAGGACCAACCGTATCATCGATGTACCAGTAGGACCCGAACTTTTAGGACGTGTCCTTGACGCACTAGGAAACCCAATCGATGGAAAAGGACCAATCGAAGCAAAAGAAAGAAATAGGGTAGAAGTACCAGCACCAGGTATCATAGACAGACGCAGTGTAAACGAACCCATGACAACAGGCATCAAATGTGTAGACTCACTAGTACCAATAGGCAGAGGACAACGTGAACTCATTATCGGTGATAGGCAAACTGGAAAAACAGCATTAGCTGTTGATACCATTATCAACCAGAAACAACTCAATGATGCTAAAGAAGAAAAGGACCGAGTATATTGTGTATACGTAGCCATCGGACAAAAGAGGTCGACAGTCGCAAGAATTATGAAGACACTAGAAGATAAAGATGCACTCAAGTACACCACTATCGTAGCTGCTACAGCTTCAGACTCTGCTCCACTCCAGTTCCTAGCACCATTCGCAGGATGTGCCATGGGAGAATGGTTCAGGAACTCGGGACGACATGCTGTCATTATATACGACGATCTCTCGAAACAAGCCACGGCTTACAGACAAATGTCACTGTTGCTAAGGAGACCACCAGGAAGAGAAGCTTACCCTGGTGACATTTTCTACCTTCACAGTCGACTGCTAGAAAGAGCAGCCAAACTGTCAGACAAAAATGGTGGAGGAAGCCTTACAGCATTACCAATTATCGAAACACAGGCAGGAGATGTGTCCGCCTATATCCCGACAAATGTTATCTCGATCACAGATGGACAAATATTCCTTGAAAGCGAACTTTTCTACAAAGGTATTAGACCAGCAATCAATGTAGGTCTATCTGTGTCGCGTGTCGGTTCAGCCGCACAAATTAAGGCCATGAAACAAGTATCGGGTACCATGAAACTAGACCTCGCACAGTTTAGGGAAGTTGCAGCTTTCGCACAATTCGGTTCTGATCTTGATGCCGCTACACAAAAACTATTAACAAGGGGAACGCTACTTACAGAACTTCTGAAACAACCACAATATGCACCCATGAAAACAGCTATACAGGTCTGTGTTATCTACGGTGGTGTCAAGGGACTACTCGACACCATCGACCCCAAGGATGTCTCCAAATTCGAGGCGTTGTTCATAGAACACCTTACATCAACACAACAAGATCTGCTCAAGAAAATAGATGTAGAAGGACAATTGTCACCAGAAACCGAAGCGCAATTGAGACAAACTGTAGAAAACTTTGTCGCCACTGCTGACGTAAGGAAGATTTGAGCGTTAATCGGCTGTCGCTCCACTGCGTGTCATTTAAATTAGACAAACGCGTATAAACTCAAATCAAATACAAAATCTAGCTGTATATCATGTGCTGTGAATGCTGGGTAATGCATGGTGTAGATTACACAACTTTAAAAAATCCAACTACATACAAAGCTATGAATTTTTGACAAACATTAAGTGGTGGGTCTAGGCAGAGGCGCCAGAAGCCTCTCCAACGGTACGCGGAGGCTACCTCTTACCACATAGTGGCATTTTAAATGACCGTGGTCGCAGATGTGACGCACCATATGGTCATTGGAATGACGCAAAGAGCCGATCGACCACGATATAAGGCGTTCTATATCTTCCAAACGGCGCATCGTACGATGGTAACCACGAGGCAGATCTATAGAGACCAAATCCAATAAGGCTCTGGTAGAATCCTTGGCCAAAGCACAAAGTTCACTGAGCTCCAGATTACCCTGGGTAGTGGCAGGAAATAGTTCAAGAGCACGAAGTATCACCGCTAAAACGAAACGTTCCGATGAAACGTAGAATGTTGATGTAGCGCTTCGCACAAAAGACTGATAGAGTAGCATAATGCGGTTTAAACTAGACAGGTCAACTGTCAAACAACGTGACATGCAACGGGCTACTAAGTCGAAGTTCGCATAGTTTACATTCTTCCCAGGATTTCGTAAAATTTGCTGACACAAGAAGTAGTAAGGAGGTGGTAAAGTGCTATCCAGACGTTCTAGAAAACGTAATGAACTTAAAGCCCCGTCTAGGTCCAACTCCTTAGCTAACTCGATCACTTTAAGAAATGAAACCTCGTGGAGACTGATTAAACGCTCTTTGGGCAAATGGTACTGCATACGTACCAGGAAGTCCAACAAATGAGGAACAGTTTGTGCCGTAATCTCGAAAATAACCTTTTCCAAATATGGTACTAATGGTGAATAGAGATCCAACATATTGGTCGAACCATCCGGTATGGAATGAAACTCGCATATAGTAGCAAGCTTACCATCACGTGACAAATGTTGCCATAACCAGTCAAGAGTCAGACATAAGTTGACCAGCTCACTGGAAAGCTTCCAAGCTTTCACATTCAAATACTGTATACAGCGATGATATAAAAGAAGGTTGAGATCTTTTTTGATGGCACGCGAAAGTAACACACGTTGTAATTTCAAAAGAAGAGCAGCATCGCGACATGACCGAAGCCGAAGACCAGATTCAACCTTATTTGTAATAACAGAATCCGCCACAAGCACCTTATCCACAGAACATTTGTCCGAATATAGGTGACGCAAGACATGTTGCGCTAAACGCCCTAAATCAAGGTTATAAAGCCAAATGCGTAACCGTGACACAGGCAAGTTAAACACGTTGCAAGTTATGTCACGAACAAGAGCCGCTTCGATAGACGATGTAGATATACTGTCACTCAATGACAATGTTGATGAAATGATGTCGTTACGATCGAAAGCGGCATTTAGCCGCCTTGTTGCCAATACAGGCGGTAGAGTTGATGCATCGGAGTCTTGCGGAGAAGAACGGCGGGCTACTGTCGACCTATCCTTACGTTCTTTTAACAGTTCTAAATCCTTATTCAAAGGTTTAGATACACTGCCAGAAGTTGGTGGTGCACGACGGCCGAACAAATGTGTCTCTCGCCTCAGTGTTGGTAGCGACAGCACTCGCCGCAGGTTCACTCCATGGCTACCGCGCATATGATCAACCTTGGCGCCGTTTAGTGGCACTAGGGATGCGAGAAACAGCTGCCTCTAATATAAAGTCATAATGTGGTTATAGCTAGAAATCAATTTGATGATGTCTGAGAACCAGCAACACTCTTCTCATAATCGATGATACGTTGCATCTTTGCTTTAGCCGCCTCAATGCGAACACGTTCAGCATCAACCCATGCGTAATCCTCCGGGCGCATTACTCGGTAGGTCATGTAACACGCAAAGACACACCAAACCAAGATTCCAGATGCTGAACGATATATGTTAACGGTAAATATAGCATGTGTAATCCCAAAATAACGATATAAGGTTATGTATCGACCTATTTAACTACCAGTTAGCACAAATATCGTTCAATATATGCCATATCAGACACCTTTGAGCGCGAGTAACACAGAGTAGCTACACATCAAGCATATGCGCTTACCTAACAAATTGGCCTTGAGATGCGATGAAATAAGCGGTCGACGACCTCCAGTAAACTTTAAAAAGTCAGAACGACGTATAGATTTACGCCGGTCCGCAGAAAGAACCTCACGGTACTTATCGAGAGCAGACACCGTCGGACGGTGCTCGTCCGTAAGCTCCCAACGGTCCTTCGCCTGTGACGAGAAACCACGGAGCAATACTCGTGGGAAGCGATAAGGCATAGCTAAAAATTATTAGTAAAGCTTTGTGAGTTTAACAAACGGCACCCACCCAGCAGGATGGGCACACCAGTGGCGGCACTCAAACCCTGAAGGTCGCGGTACTCGCACAGGGTTACACCTCCAACGACGTACACCACCACGGACGATGGACGAGTAGCTAAAGTGAACTCCAAGTCATAGGAACTTGGAATCATAGAGAAATGACGAGGGTCCAACCGGCCCTTCAGAAGAGACTGTACGATCTGCGCGAGACGCGATGTGTACTGCATATAAGGGCTAGAAGACCCAGATAACAATGATTTGTTTATAGTACTCTTGGCCTTGGATAAGATGACGAAACCATCAGCACTGGGATCTAACCGAACTGCATATTTCAACAAAGCATCGAGCTTTGGAACCATAGATTCCAAACCATTCATCCGCAAATTATCTTTAATCATATTTACTTTGTCCTCGTGACGACGGTATTCAAGGCAAAATAACATAGCCAAACGCAACTTTTCAAACGAATCAACAGTAGCAGAGTTCAGCATCTCAACCACCGACTCAAAAGCATCAGCCGAACCTTTGTTGTGGGTACCCATATCCTGCTCCAAAAGCGCAGTTTCCAACAATTGACGGCTCTGAATGAGTCTAGATAACTCGTGCAGAAGTGCAACGTGACGTTTGGTCTCGTTGCATGCCTTGGTCTGTTGTGGCAAGTTCTGTAATATGTTCACGGCATCGGTGAAAGTCTTCTTGTTGTCCTGGATCATCACACTTAAAGCTGATTCCACATCTGTAAACTCCTTGAACAGATGCGATCCGTAAAAATCGTCAAAATCTGGATTTAAAATAAAATCCTCCTCTCCTATACGAACACTATTCCTCGTAACTGGAAGCATCTCATATATCATCGCCTGGTAACTCCATTGGTTCATCAAAGGAGTCACACAATCGAATTTCCGGTCATATATCAGAAGACAACAACCAAAACTCTCGGAAGTACCGAACTTGGAGTATGTTTTCAAAATAGCCTCAGAGTTCAACAGGTCATTGTTCAGTAACGATTGCACCTTAAGGCCTAACTCACGGGCCTCAGTGCTATTGTTAACATGAACAACAGCAGGAATCTGCTTGATTATTTGAAATACATTGAATAAACCTTGCGATACGCGGGCAGCTTCACCGCTGTGAACACTGGTGTACACATCACTTGTACCAGCGTCAAGCAGAAAACAGTGACGGCATATTGCCATGAGATCTGTGTGATATGCATATACACCGCATACCAACTCCAAAATATCGTTCTTTGCCAACATCTCAAGCTGACCTTCTAAAGGAGCACTGGTGAAGTAGAGATGGTACTCCTTGAAGTAACCTCCACGCAATTGGTCACATAACCGAAGGATATTTGTGTGAGAAGGCTGAATGATATAGATCGCCTTAAGATGACGCAAATTTGCAAGGCTCTTCGCATCGCCCTTGTAAAGCTCGTCACTAATGTTGGTAGTCAGCAGGGCTCCGCCCTCTAACAGGTAGGAATGTGTCTGGACCAAAGACATAGACGCCGCAGTAGCATCGTCCAATATCAATACTTTCAATCCTTTCACCCTATCCAGCATCGATGCGTAGTTATCACGCATAAGCGATGTTATTGTACCAAAATGATACGGATTCGCGTCCTCACTCATCTTGGCAACATGTCAGTGCTCCTTTATATCAAGGTAAGGTGGGTGTACCATAACAGGCAACCTACAATCCCTCTACCTCTGTGAAATCGGTCGTTGACCGTCCTGCTCAGAGAAATGATAGGGCCATCACTGTAATCTTCGGAGACGGGAGAGACTAAAAATGGCGGTACACAATAATGAAGAAACTATATTGGATGTGTAACACGCTCCTGATGATATTTACAAATTACTCAATCACGGTAGAGTCAATACGATGTAGGAATATGTTACTCCGAATGGTCAGCACAGACAAAGGGCACTTTCCTGGTACTGAGACTACAAAAAATCAACCATATGTCGCACCTACAACCTATACGGTATATATTGAAGTTTATTTAAATTTTATGTATGTCTTCACGAAGATAACATTGACAGAGGAACAGATTTTACCGCAATAATAGCACGTTAAATCTTGACAGGAATATAGTCAATTACTGTATTTATTGTGTAAATATAGATCATAACTTATTGTACAGAGCACAAATATCGTATATGTGCGCCAAAGGAACCTTTCAACAAACATCGCCTTCAACCAGGTGGCCGGCGGTCGGAGCGGGCCCAGGCGCCCAATAGGTCTCAGGTGGGCTTAACCGCTCGAACGTGAATACCACTGGCTGTAAATTCATATCATTTCATACAGAATTTTCTGTAGGTAACTAATTCTTGAAAACGGTTATTGTGGTTGTACACAGGCCGTAATATCGTAACCCACTAAACACTTCACGAGCTTCGGACATATTTTATCGTAGCAAAATGGGTACGTTTGCGAAAGAAAAGTTCACAAATATCTTCTACAGCGGTTAAGGTACACGGTTCTCTAGCTAGGGCCGGAAAGGTCAGGAACCACACCCCCAAGGTCGCAAAACAGGAAAAGAAGAAACCACCAACAGGCCGCGCCAAGAAGCGTCAACAGTACAACAGGAGGTTCACTAACGCTGTTGGAATGAGGGCCAAGGGTCCTAACGTCCAAAGATGATCTGACTATCAGAACCTCTACTCAATGAGTTACTAGAATAGCAAAACCCTCGCCACGGGGCAGTTCATGTGGTTTCGTAGTAGTGAATGTTGTAAGTGGCCCAATGGAAAACTGATGACGGAGGTGTGTCAACTGGTTACCCCGTTTACAGTTGATGGTTTGGGTTATGTGAGTCCGATGTTCATGTCACACTCTTGGTAGGTGCACAGCAGCTGTTTCACTCTCAGACAAGACGACTTACCACATTATCTACCCATAATACAGGTATAGACATGTCATATGAGCTCATGTGAGCAGCCTGGGCAACGGCAATGATGGAACTTGGGACCACTTGCCATAGAGTTGAAACAACAACTCCCCGTAAATCTGACTCCAGATCTTACAATCAATGCCGAATGGAGTTGACGGTGTTATCTTGAAGAAAATCGACAAAAGACAGTGAAACTGTTATATGAATGTACATTCAGATATTTAAGGTCAGTTCGCGTCAGCAAACGCACAGCATACCGCACACCTAGTCACCCAGACTTCATGCGAGATAGAGCCTCTGCCCTTCTTAGCTCTTCGGCAGGCAACACGTCATCCACCTTAGGGTACTTGCGGTTGTAGTAGTGCAGTGACAATGTCGCAATGAGCAGAAGCCAAAGCTGAGGAGTCACCAGCGTCCAATTGCGCTCCGGTACCAAAGTATCCCACAAACGCTCGGAAAATCTTGCCCTTTCCGACGAAAAGTGACGCTTGGTGCAATAAATGCTTCGACGAAAATATGGTAACCGAATCATTACAACCTCAACACTTTGGCACGTCTAATGTACATAATCATCTCACTAACACCTGAAACAAGATATAAAGAAAATTACAACGACCTACCAGACAATACTAAAACAGCCAGCAAAAAACCGATTACATAGAAGCTGGTAGTACGACGCGGTGCTGCATGGTTGGAACCACCCCTGGAAGACACCTTAGTGGCGAACTTTTCGTTCTTTAACCCGATCTTACGTGAATAACTCGACATCTCGAACAAATATACTATGCAAATTACACACCATGGGGGTTGGCACAACAAGGCCACGAGCCGCTCAATAAAGGTCACTACAGTGTCGCTGCTTTTAATAAATGTGATTTTATATGTGCATTATTTCATAAGGCCTGTAGGGGTGACAGAAACGCAACGGTACGTTCCGCAAAGGCGAGATATAGCTTAGCCGCCAGCCCATACACATTGCATGAAGCAATTACGCAACGTAGCACGGTACGACAGTGTAATGTACACAGATAACAATATCAGGCCGTGGCACTTAGGCGTACCTATACATGTAGTGAAAGGGGTGAAGGTAAGGATGCAATCACTTCTTGCCACCCCGAGCGGTGGTACCAGCCGCAGCACGCTTCTTTACAGGCTTAGTCTTCTTCTTAAGCAGCTCGTTCTCGCTATCAGATGATTCAGAATCAGAACCTATCGTAGCCTCAGCCTCGTCATCAAATATCCGATCTACCGCTTCCTTCTTTCGCTTGCTAGGTGCCATTCGAAGCGCTTGCTCGTTCAAACGTTTAGTTAATGCACTCTTCTTCTTAGTTTCAATCCTCTCGTAAAGGTTATCCTGGGATTTCAGACGTAGAGAACCTAATGCATCAACAGCCAATTCACGGTTCAACCCATATGATTCAATAAGCTCAACAGTAGCTTCGATGCTACCCTTTGAAAGCTCCGTCATTATCTGAATAACATGAGTATAACTTTTAAGTGGCAAGTAGCTACGCATCACATGTAATTATAAAAACCCATCAAGAAAAACATAAACCTACCTTGGTGTACAATATGTCGAGATAACCATCAACAACTAATGCAGTTGAACGGATAGACGAACGTGGGCCCAAATGCTTACCGATCTCACTCAGAAAACGCTTGTTCTTCGATGTGGTGGAGTAACGACCCAAATATTGTGGAAACATCATACGCTCACGACATGAACCACCGGAGTTCAAAATAACCATACCAGGTAAAATAGTAGACAGCACTGCAAGGTCAGGTAGAAGCGAAAATGCCTGTAAACGCTTAAGAAACTCCTCAACAAGGTCAGCATCAACAAAAGTCTGTGATAAAGCCCGTAAAATAGGGAATGTACGACGACTAGCAGGAATGTACTTTGTATAATTCTCTTGAACCATCAATGGCATCATGTTGTAATCGATAAAGAAGATCTGCTCCATCTCGCGCAAACGAGATTCGGTGTCCTTCGCACGAACGGAAAACAAACGACCAGTAGCCTCAAACAGGTTCTTAGTGTGACCAATGTCTTTGGCGTCACCACTGGCCAACGCTTCACGCTTAGCGCCAGCACCAACCACAGAATTAAACTCTATGGCATTCAAAGAGTGGCGGAAGTCACCACCACCTTGCTCATACAATTGCTCAATAGTATCCGGGGGTAGTGAAACTCCCTCAGCAGCGCATATACGGTTAATGCGGTTACGAAATTGAACCAAAGTGGGTGAAGAAAAACGTACATCCAAACTCTTGTTGCCAAGAGTGTTCAGCTTCTGGTTGTGACGATCGTTGCATATACAAATAATGGGACACCGGGCACGAGGAAGCAACGCAACCACAGCTTGTAAACCACCACGATCACCGGCACCCATACCATCAACTTCATCAAGGAGAACCAGAGAACGTTTCATCGTGCACTCACCCAAAAAGGAAAACGACTGCCCACCTGTAGCTAGCATCGAGATCCTCTCAACAGCAGATTTGTTACGTAAATCTGAGGCGTTGAACTCAATGCACTCGTATCCACACTGAGCAGCAACCAGCTTAGCAGTCGTCGTCTTTCCCACACCAGGTGGTCCTGAAAGTAAGGCACAAGCCGGATTAGTGCCAGGGGTCCACGAACGCAACCAGTCGACCACCTTCCGAATATTTGATTCGTTACCAGCCAAGTCACTCAGAGACAGTGGACGGTACTTTTCACAAAACGGGAGCGAATGACTATCCACAGAGTCCTTGGTGGCAAGAGGTGTCACAGAAGCAGCGGGCGTCGAATCAACAACAGGTTCCGGTTTAGAGCTGATTTTGTCGTAGTTAATCAACTTGAGAAAATCGGCTTCATTCAGTATCTGGATATCAGCACGTTGTTGTGCATTGAGATCCAAAGCTTTCTTGTACTTTGTACCAGTAGTAAAGGGACGACCGTCCTCAAGCTTCTCGCCGCATACCAAATAATTCGTCTTACCACTGACCGAAGTAACCGGGATACCGCCCAGGTCACGTATAACTTGTAACACAGAATCACGGTCTATTGCATCCAACACACCAGTGAATACGAAACGCATGCCTGATACTTTATCGTCAGATGAGGTCTCTTTTTTCACAGCTGGCTTCTTCGGCGACGATTTAGTTACTTTAATCGGTGACTCCGGAAGCATCTCGTTGTCATCAAATAAATCAGTAGGACCCCTGGGTATGCTAGCTGCGCCAGTAGAAGTAGTCGTCGTCAGTGTATAGGGGCCCTGAGTTTGTACAGCGCCTGACACAGTCTCACTTTTGACAGGGCTAAGTTTCGATTGACCACTTTGCTGCGAAGCAGTAACACGAGGTCGTTTAGGCGATGTAGCCGTCTTAGGGGTGCCAATAGCACCGCCACTAGATTTCCCGATACCAACGGAACATAGATAGCTGTCTAAATCTACATTGGGGCGACGAGTCTCAGTAACATTGGCTGTGGGATTCACTAAACGTTTAGCACTAGTTGTGTAGTAGTCTATATCCAGCTGTACATCGCTAGTCTTTCCTTTGCCATCAGATGACGAAATGGAACCGCCCTCCTGTTGATCCCAAAGCAACTGACGTACTTTCATCTTAGAATCCTTCTCCGAAGAAGTAGGTGATATTTTATTTGGGCTTTCGGAGTCAAACAGATCGTCATCAGAGTCGACTAGCTTCTTCAAACGCTTACGGCGTCCCTGTGCGACATTATCGTCCTCCGAAGCCCTTTCATGGCTAGAAGGTGTTGTTATCTGCTTATTCACATCCTTTGGTGGTTTAACTTCCACGCTATTGTCGTCAATAGAACGTTTGATGACGGTGTTCAATTCACATGATTGAGTTGCCGAAGAACCCTGGCTACGCGCAACGGGAGCGCTAGTAGCGGCCTTCTTTGAGGCTCCAAAAAAAGAACGTATGTCCATTATAGAAATACGCGTCTGAATAAAAAAGAATGAACGGGTGTGTAATGCAATACCAACACCACCGTTACAACGTCACGCCAGAGAAATCACACGGTGAAACACATTCATGCGAATAGAGGTACATCGTGGTGATTATGTTTGTATATTTATTAGGGATATATTTGTGTTGTCCTAAAAATGATCATTTCGATTCCGCAGCTTGTCTATATCACATAGAGAATGCGAGAGAGGCATTAAAACTTAATAGACAGCAATTAATCGCTGGGACTACAATTGAATTATAAAATATGAATCATATTGAAAGTTGTAAATAGGTGTGCCCCTAGGACAAGTCATTTCCAGTGGACCAGTTTCGTCTGTGCCAACACTAAGCAGGCAAATCCAGATAATTTTGTCGAATAATGACCATTGGGTACACATAACTCTATCGTTCAAAGCAAGCTACTCTTTATAGGTGCTCTATTATTATCTGTCTATCACGTACAACCACATATAAGTTAAATGTTACGATGGTAACGGCCCATGTTACTAGTACAGCCGGTAGCGTGCGATTGGTTGGTTGAGTGTCTTAGGAAGACAACAGACCTGTCAGCAAAAAGAAACAGATGTTAAAGGTCCATCACCCGCTCAATGGCACAAGCTAACTTGTAACATGTGCTCATAGCAGATGGGTAAGATGAGGAAATAGATATGTTGTCGTCAAATTTTGCCACAGGTTTCTCCTCAGGCGCATCGTCTGACAGTAGTGCTTTCTCTAACTCTTGCGAGTACGTGGCTGAAACTGGAGTGCTCGTCATACGATCTGTCAGCTGTTTCTGAATGTCCGCCACGCACAATATACCCGATTCGTTGGGGACAGGAAGATGGGTATAATTACTTAGAGACAAATAAATCCACAGATCCTTCTCTTGCACACGTAGCGCTTCTTCAAAAAAGGTTTCAGCACATGTAAGTTGACCGCGGCTGGAAACAGCAATCTTCACACCATCCTTACCCAAATCATCGAAATTAGTATCCATACGCTCGACAAAAACTGTAGAATCAATTCCTTCGGGTTTCAAACATCGGGCATTCGAATGGAGATACTTTGCCATAACCTTGTTGAACACCTTGAACGTACGTGGAATGCGAAAATCAGGATAAAAGCGATATAATTGTGAATTCAATGTGTGAACCCAGATATTCACATGACGCTCCTTGTTTAAAATCGAATCGTATATCGCAAGAAGACAAAAATGTAAAATATCTGGACGCACCTCCTTCCAGTTACGAAGACGAAACTTTGGCACCCTCGATTTCTTATCAGGATGTACATCGCCTTCCTCTAAATCAGGATCATTGTCATCGTCAGAAGGTTCAGATGCCTTAGATTCCCTGAAAAAATATGTAGAAAGTTCACCACGTGTTCAGGAAATATGCAAAATCAGTACTGTGAAAACATGTCCTTAAAAACACATAGGTAACCAGTTCCAAGACTAGAAGATTACACACATATATATCTGTGACATAAAGCGTATAGCATAAGTAGAAAAGACTAGTTCAAATATACACATACCTGAAATGATCCTCCTCGTTCAATAACGTGAACGAATGAGGGAGAGAACGCCGCTTAGCTGCACGGTCACGGTACAACTCAAGGCTCGCATTGCATAAAACAAAATTAATTTTCATTTTTGGCATTAGCCGTAAAAAACGGCGATTGAAGTCCAAGCGAGTATCAGCAACACATCAACGACGGGTCTTGGGTACCGCGACATAACACAAAATATTTACACAATGGCAAAAAAATCAAAAGTAAAAGGTTATGGTGCCTATTGGAAAGGTGATGTCCGCAATAAAACTATTGCCCGTAAAAACAAGCAATACATCTCAGACCAGCGGTGTCTGAGAATCTACAAAAAACAGATTAAAGAGCTATCGCAATCTTCAGTTGATCACAAACAGCGTCCAAATTTCACTAAAAATACTAATAAAGACTTCTTTTCGGACCCAGATGGAGCATCAGCTATCGCAGAACAAAACGTCAAAGTAATCAAGCCAAAAATAGAAACCGTATACTTCATCCCTGGTGCACATTCCAGAGCGAAAGAGACCGATATAGATGATGATGATGCAGATATAGAAGATTCGAAAGATAAAAGCAAATCTACCGATGTAACTGATTCTATCGACGCTTCTGGGCATATCAATGCCGACGTCGACCACGTTGCTTCTGATGAGTCATTGGATGAACAGGAAGATTACCAGGGGACAGATTCTGATTCGAGCTCAAAAGATGATGAACTCGATGAGAGTGCTCATCGCGGTTCTCGACGTGAAGAAAGTGATCAGAGGGGCAATTTAAAAAATAATAAATCAGACAAACGCACTAGAAAGGATCTTCAATCGGGTGAAAACCAGCAGGAAAGGAATGGTGCTCCAGATGGGAAACAAAAAAAGAAATTTACCGGTGTTTATGCAAAGGCGCTCAAACTTAGAGAAGAAAGAGCTAAGATCAGAGCTCAACAACATAATGAAAAGGTGGAGAAAATCAAACAAAAGAAACGTGAAATCAGAGAAAAGAAACAGGAACGATATGAGAGACATAGACTATTAGGGAAGAAGACAAAAAAAGGCCAACCAATAATGTCACGTGTCATATCACACCTAATGAACAACTACCAAAAAAAACATGAACTATGATAATTGTACTTACATGGCGTTCAATATATAGATAACCGTTGACAAATTCAGTATCTGTGCGATTAAATATATGTATCGTTAAAACTCAACAACAGAACATTTGTCACATTGTAGTTGGGGTGTTTGCAGGTTCCAGTGTGGCCTTGCGTCTGCGCCTACGCTTACGCTTAGGTGATGTCTGGACTCAAATATGACAATATAATCGTGATATAAACGTACCGCGTCATCCTCTGTGGAAACGGTATCAGACCTTTTAACACTTGACCCCGTATTTTTCTTCTTTCGTTTAGGTTTCAAACAGCTCAGAGGATTGGGATTTTTCGCTTTCTTGCGTTTACGTTTGGGGGCAGCAGTAGCAGAAGCGGTCATCACCGGCAAGTAAGACTTCTCCCACTCTTTCGGGAACTGCTTACTCTTTTCAGCCTGCTCATGTTAGTCACGTTGTAGAAGGGAAATTACCATTTCTTTGTGTGCCTTGGAGCTTCGTGCCGGGTGCTCGAGAAATACCACGTTGTTATTCAACTTAACAATGGGTACGTATCCCGATTGGCGCAACCAAACTATCAGAGACTGGTCCTGTGTTGCCACAAACAATTTCTGAGGGTTGCCATTAGACACCGCGCTCATGATGCAACGACGTGAATTGGGACCCTTGTCATTCGGTCCATGAGTACAGTGAAGTCTGAGATATTTGTCCCATCCATCGACTTAAACTAACCTCTGGTAACGTTTCAAAGCCAAACTGGCACCAGACATCTCATCTCCCATGTCACGAAGCTCACTCACGATACAATTCGTCACGTCTGTAACAACCGTTAAACACATCTGTTGTATTGCAACGAAAGACGAGAATCATAGTGTTAGCGGTCACGCACCAACATAAAATGACACAAACTCGTAGGAGTGGGTACGATTATTAACAGCCATCAAACAATAAATGTTTACATATCACAGATGGATAGTATAGACCACATATACTGTATAGTGGTACGAGAACATCAGTATAACAAACTTCACAAACATGGGCACCAACGATGCTAACACATATGACCAAAAATGATTCCTGTATCATGAATGTGCCATGTAAACGCTATGTGAGAACGTATAGTTGTCATTCAACTGACGTATTAACTTACAAACGTGTGTCATACCACCAAGAAGCTCTGTCATCTGCTCCTTGATGTTGATTCGGTGCTTCAACGCAGCGAACGCAAATGAACCATCCACTGTGCATATCTCAGCTAACATCGTTTATATACTTACCTAGCACGCGATAAGGCTCTCGGAGCTCGTATAACTGCCGATAGAAATCGAGAGTACGCTTGATACGTTTGTGTTTACTTGCCTTCATCTTGTACAACAGCCAAACTTCTAACCTTCATTTAATGCGATAAATAATAGATTGACAGGATCTAGTTGTCTAATAGATGAGTAAAGCAGCCACACCTCAAACACGAAATCACGAGTCGGGGTGACTATGATATTATTGCACATTAATCAAATCCTCATGTGGTCATAGATGTTCATAAAAACGGTACATTATGAATGTTATAGCTTCTCTCAAGTGGCTCTCGAAAAGCTACACATATGAAGACTTTTTCCAGAGCTATATTCACGGCACCGAGGAGGCCAGGTATGTAAATACACAGTCTAAATAAGGCCAAGTGTCATATAAAGAATCTGAAAATGCTGTTTCAAAAGCTTAATAATCCTCAGCGATATAGAAGACGAGCAGATAGAGGAAGTCAAGCGAGATGAAATCACAGACGAGTTCGACCTAGACAACTATGACGATGAAGAGGTTCCAGGTGAGGATAAAACATCGTAATACCCTCTAAACAACGTTTTTTCAGGCGAACAGATCTTCACCCTCACCAACGAAGATGAAAAACTGATCCTGGAAGACCCTGAGGACATAGAGGTGAGAAGTAGTACATCGAAGTTAATGGACAAACTCAGTCACGCAAACTTGACCAAGATGACAGGGTCATTGTCTGCGGAAATGGAGGGGATGATTGCCCATCAATTGATTTCTTCATTTATAACACTGCATATTGCGGCCTAGAAACGTGCCACTCTATTTTGGTAAGTGTTGGCATATATCCGCATATAATCTCCTTGTAGCTAGCCTCCTTCCCTCTATCCATAGAAATCATACCGAATATACCAAATTGTTCCCCATTGGTAGCAGCAGGGACATATGAATCGAAAATCGATTTATGGGACATGAGGCATATCGATTTGCTAGAACCAGCAGTTACTCTTGGAGGGCGTAAAAAATCGCAAAAGTCATCTCATGAAGACGCCGTTCAATGTCTGTCGAATTCAACACATATCACGTAAGTGAGGTTGCTGGGCAAAAGTACGGCGCAGACAACTGCTTGCCAGTGGATCTGCTGACAAAACAGTCAAAATATGGGATATACAAGATGTACAAGTCTTGCATACATTTGATCACCATACTTCAAATGTAAGTACAAATGATATGAAGAGGGTATTGTAATTTGTGCAGGTACAGGTTGTGCAATTCTCGCCGTTTGATGCGTCAATGCTCTTGACAGCATCTTTTGACAAATCAGCGGCTTTGTGTGATATCAGAGAATGTAAGAGGAAGGTTTGTTGGATGGATGGGATCTGAGGTATGCTTTACAGTTGAAAATCGAGTTGGATTCGGAAGTAGAATGTGCTATCTGGAAAGATGAGAACAGCATCATTGTATGTCGAAAAATATCGAAATTGACTATCTGCAGATATCCATGGAAGATGGAACTGTTGTCCAATATGACATCAGAAACCAGGAAAGGCTCTGGCAAATCAAGGCACACAAAAAAGCATGCACTTCTGTCGATATCATTGGCGGTGAGACTATATATATCAGCAACCAAACAAAGGCAAACAGATGTTATGGTGACATGTGGACTGGACTCAAAAGCTAAGGTGTACAAACTCGGAAACACAAAACCAGTGAAAGTCGTCTCAAAAAATCTACGTGCGGTAGGATTTCCCAACCTTGAAAACAAATATTACAGGGACCCTTGTTCAGCAACGCAGGGTCACCGGATGACAAAAGCCTTGTCGGTTTCGGAGGAGATGTTATCGTAATCTGGGACCTAGAAACAATCGACAATGCCAATGAGGTCCTCTAAAAGTGCAAAGGAACACGCAGCGTTCATGTTGAAATTGGTGCGGAGAAAAAATACGTGATTAATTAATTCTGCATTCTAATATTTCGTGGAGATCATTAATTATATATATTAAAATAAAAATATATGGCTGGAAACGCCGCTGCAGTTCGTCGTATCTCTAGAATCCAGAGCCATGTATGCTATGAGATCGGCGAATGCACACAAGCCTAGAAAGTTTACACATAAGCAAGAATTATTAAGATTCATAACTATATAGCTTGATTACAGTCTGTGATTTTGTTTTTACCCTCTAAAAGCCGATAGACAGGGTGGAATCCTTCCCCTCCCCATGGTTGTCGGCGAGATGACGTTTAAAGCATTTGCTTTAACCACTAACACAATATTCCGAAGTACAAGATGCCAGGGGTAATCTTTGAATTTACAAGATACCTTACGGGCTTCATGGGTGAGTGTCTATACGACTAGCGGTAAATCTTACGCAGCCTTCCTCAGTTTGATCCTACCATATTACTTCGATTTTACCAAGTTAAACCCCTTCGTACTCAGGCCAATACTTAACATCGCATGGGCATTCATATTTGGAAGCCATATCTGGTATCTAATTTTTTCGTCGGATGATTTGTTTCTCCCAGGTGAGATTGTGAATATATTTTGTAGAATCTGATCCGATGATCGTGAAATGTAATGTTATTAACTGCTGTGGGTCTATATGTTGCATCTATGATATTAATGTACTCTGAATGTCATATCTCTGGACCTAGAATTTTTTACCACCTCACTCGATGATCTGTCATTACCTCGAAATCAGTACATAAAGTCGAATAATGTTTCTACATGACGTTCTAAACACCGATGCGTAATGGTTGTACCGTGAATTTTGATTTTTTGTTTTGTTCACATGAACTTCATGACAATTGGGGCCACCAACTTATGGCTTCACAGATGGTGACGAAGGGTACTATTTTGGAAGGAAAAAAGATCAACCGTTCACAGAAGGTTATGAAGAATGTAATAAGTTCCTTACTTGCACACTCTTTTCCAATGCACTTATCGTATGCGCAACACGTGGGCTGGCACCCTATTACAAAAACGTGCAATATTGCAGTGTCGCATCTTTGTTCGCAACATCAATCAACGTCTTCTTAGTGCCGAGGGCTACAGAAGCAAACACACAAAACTTTCCATTCAACCATGTTGCACCTGCAACATGTTCTAGGGCATTGGCTTGGTTCACATGTGTCGCCCTTGTAATATACGGCTTCCTGTAGAAAACGTATCTTAATCTTTTGGATTTTACAAGCCATATACATGGCGAATCATAGTGGATCACTAGATAGGTGCCTAGTGATACTCCACAGCTGATAACCTACGTTGAATGGTTGGGGATATTTTTTCATGACTAGGGTCAGCAAATTTTTTACTTATTTTTCTCATTCTTAGGCATAAGACTATCTGTTATACACTTATATAACGATTTCATAACTAACAGACTTTGATTCTTCAAAAAAACACCAGTTATGGACATCCTATGGAGACCGGTGAGGGTAGAAATTTTCAGTGGGCATTTGAAAACCTTTATTTTTTAACATCTGTAGTGAGAACTTAAACCTCTTGTGATTAGCTAATCATGTAGAACAGGGTGCAAGCTAATGCTCGAAAAGAAAAGTGAAAGCGCCTTTTTCACCATACACTTAGCGTAACCCTATGTCTCCAACCATCGTGTGAAATACACAATCCATTACGTTACCTTTACGAAAACTCTCAAAAACGCCACCTCAGGGACGAATACGGATGAATATATTAACATAATTCGTTTAGTACGAATAATGTTGATTCTATGTCGTTTGGGCCCAGAACAGTGGCGGTCCATCACCTGAGCCGCATTATGAAGAGCCTTTTGGATAAACAGAGCCAAGCATGCTCGCTTACACTTAAATACATAACGATATAAAGAATATAAGTGCGTAATGTATTAAAAAACGTTATTTATCGTACACGGTTTAGTAGGTGTATAGTGCACGGCCCATTTTGTCCGTCGCAATCGGTAAAATCAATACAACTCGAGTTCTGTTTAACTGGTAAGCTCAAAAACCAGCAGTTATGGGTTGGTCATTAAAGCAAACATAATTGCAGAAAATATCGAGTTGCTGTGATGAATCCGCTTCATATCGTTTTGGGCATCCCTCGGAAGATGACCCAAGAGCTTTACAGTAGACAAGTTGGCTAACAACCTCGCCACTTGCCTTTTAACTGCTTGTGGGAGAGTTTGTACAGACAACGCTAGAGCGAGTTCTTCAATCAGGGTGAAAGGGATATGAACTTCGTGATGTTTGGGCAATACTTCCAAGACCTCGGGAGGTAAGTGTTCATATATATCACGCAGACGCATTTTCGCACGTGAGACAACACTTGCGTCTTCTACAAACAAGTTCTGAATATCATCAGGGAATGTGTCATACCCTGCCGGGAATGTGGCATTAGAAGGTTTGATAGGTTCCTCGAGATGTGTAGGGGTGTGAAAGTCCGGTGTGGGTTGCAAAGGTACCTGTTCACGAGATGGTCCAGGCACAAATAAGTAGCTAGGCCTCATAGGCTCGTGGACATGTGTTGGGGTGTGAATGTCCATTGTCAATTGCAAAGGTACCTGTTCGCCACGTTGCCCAGGTACGATTACGTAAGTAGGTTTGATAGGTTCCTCAATACCAGATGGCCCATGAACCAAGATGTCCGATTGAGGTGGATGACCCGCACTGCTTTCTTTAGAAGCCTTTTCTAGTAGTTTCAACAGTTCATCGATTGCCGCTTCAAAATCGCTTGAAGATGGTGCCTTGCGTTGTTTTTTTGGTTTACCATTTTTCTTATGGGCAGATGCCGAACCAGAGTGGGTGCCACCTAACTTAGCAGTGTCAAATCCGGAATTACCAGCCCAGGTAGGGCCGCCGCTGCCACGGATCTTGCCGCTTTGAGGTTTGTTTTGCGACATGTCTACTATTGTGTTTCCTCCAAAGTTACCACCGAAGTTTTCAAAGCCAATTCCATGGTTGATTTCGGGGTAGGCGTGTTTTGAACCACTAATTCTGTCGTTGTTTGCATCGAAGGTGTAAGGATAATTTTCCGGAGCACGCAGAGTGCCGACGTTGTTGTCATGCATGTTTGTAGGTGCGACGGATTTTGCAAAGGCACCGGAGAGAATATCGCCTAGAGTTGTACCTAAAGGAGTATTTGCCATTTGTTCATACAAATAATTACCTCCTCTTCTGAGAAGATCACCGATCACATACTGTGCCATTTCTTCCAAAACATCCTCCGGAACAGCTTGTCCGTTGAATCCGTTAAGTTTTGTTCTAAGCTCCCAATGATATCTAATATAATCTTCGTCACTCATGCGACTAACGAGATCCTCGGGAAGTTCGCGAATAATTTGGTTCAAACATCTCGCTGCACGTACATAGTCACTGTAATCCTCAGTGTCCCATTCTTGTGGAGTAGTTTGCCTCCTAGGAGGACCAGCTCTACGTGGGTGTTGCTTGCCAGTTGGATGAACAGTGCGAGGATTGTGCTCCGCGCCTAGTATGTTGCCTCCCATAAAAGCGGCAACAGCCAGGAAGGCGACCGCCAATTTAGAAATCGCGAATCCTGCCATCTCAGAGTGCCAAACGTATTCTTCGAAGTGAAATTGTACACGTATAATTAAGAGGTTCTTAAAAACCTAATGCTACAGAGAGTGCAAGCTCAGTGACACACGCATATAGACAGAGAGAAGACCGTGATTCCACCTGAGTTCCGTCGTCCACGATTCTGGTGTACCCAACGATCTTCTAGAATGTATATGAGAAATATTATACAGTTAAACTAAATATTACAGCAACTCCGTCAAAAATTATGTATGGCTTACAGACAAAAGGCACGGAGACTTCTACGCGCGTCGAATATGTAGTGTGCGAGACTATTCCATGCATGTGATAAATTCTAATGAAAATTCAGACAATTAAGGCATCAGAGAAAATCGCCCTTGCGAAGTAAGGGGCTGCAGATACGGCAATACACCGCCAGGCGCGGAACCGGTGATTCCACACATCTCGCCCCTCATAGATACGGCCCAGGTTCGACTCCCAACGCTTAATAGCTTAGTGTAGGGCTGGTACCGGACTACATACAAAACCATATCAGCTATGCCACCCCAGAGACATTTACTTAGTAGTCAGTGCATCAAGGTACCATAGCACAAATACTTTGTTGGTGAGAAGTAGCACTTTTGTTATAAAATGTCAATCTTCAGTAGCTCAAAATGAACAACGGGACTCTATTCGTTGCGTTCCCCGTTGTAGGAGATCGCAGGGCAACATATATCGAGGATACTGTGGCTGCATCTGCACCTGCGGTTCTCCTTGACGACGATGGCGATGTATAATCGGCATGTCATATCTCCAGAGTTACTCTGGACGATAGGCACGCCTGCTTTACATCGTTCCCGGTATCTTTATTGTGTGGCGATGGTGAGACAACAAGGTGATCCTACGGTGCCGCAAATGGGTATTATTGAATAATCCCTCTAATGACTGGAGGGAACTGACACGCCTAATGAATACACCAAAGGCATTAGACTCTACGGGCCTTTCTCAAATAACGCTCTTAAGAACTTTCAACTTTCTCTAGGTGTTGTCTTAAGTAACTACTGAATGTGGTAACATGGTTATTGCCACCATGTACATGAAAAACCCAAGACATGGATCATTTTCAAGCATTATAAACCACAAATAACTTCAGATACTGCCAATCGTCTCGTTTATCTGGTAGGAGTCCAACCAATCAGGTTGTACAAGAGTCGCCTGTCACCAAAACCAGGATGGCTCAGCTGGACTCAAATGATGTAAGTTTTATCGACAATATAATTGACGCTGGTACAGGATACTGGCATGATGGCATTGTTTTGCTATATGCTACATCTCTGTCTCCTTAGAGGTATGCAAGTACGAGGTTGCATTCTGAACCTGGGTGTAGTAATAATGGATCTCACATTGCTGTTATGCAACTCCCCACAGGTGTAATGAGAATCTTTACTGGTTCCGTTAGGTGTTTACGAAACACTTACAATCGTTTTGAGAGCCTGGAGAGCCTCCAAATCGAATTGGCGCCATGTTGCCTCTCGGTTCATCATGGCCTACCTCACCCACTCTCTGACAATACCACTTGATGTGCTGCATCTACGATCGCACCTACGCACATCCCTATTCCATCCGCTTGTGTTACTTAGCAACTACAAATCACCTGTGGAGATCACCTACTTCACACCTTGAATGGACAATCTACTCACTGGGTGCTATCAGTCCATTCTCACAGAAGACAACGGAACGCTGTCATCTGTGGTATTTTAAACCATGACAACTTTCACGCTACTATCATTGATGTAGTTTAATACGGTATTTTAATATTTAAAATAATCACATCCCATAGTTGATAATCTTCGTGTGACAATGTATATACATCTTGGTAGTATACTATTGTGGTTCTAGACATTAACCTGTATACCGAGGTATGAATCGTCATCAACAGAGAGGACAATTAATGATTAGATATCTCAAATCAACCGTTATATTATTGCTATGCCAACTACTCATAATGTAAAATCAACACCGAAACATTCAGTTATTTTGCATGGACATTAATTAGTATTGTGGACCCTTGCTGAGTGCTAACCTTAACCTTCGTGTTGGATTGCGATTAGTACACAAAATAAGGTTACGTGGTTTCTTTTGGGATCTATCGAAAGCTTTTTACAGTGTTTTTGAAGTGTATTCCTAACTTTCACGTAGCACTCATGAGAGAGTCTAACCATTAATTATAAAATTATGACTTCTGCAGACTATATTATTGTAGAACCTGATTAGTTATCATGTCAGTGATACTATATTGAAATTTCGTGCTATCATATTTGCACTATGTACTCCCCCCTGGATGGATTCTAGCAGAACCATATGGGATACCATGTTCTAGTTATCTTGATATTTTGTGCTATGAACCCCCTAAAAGTTATCAAACAACATATATCGTATGGAATTCAGCACATTTTTAATGAAATGATGATATTATATTGGAAAACTCATCTCTTGTCACAGGGTCAGGCACCCTTCTTGACCACCTAGCTACCCTTAGGCCCAGGTGTATATGCTGCAGACTATATTATTGTGAAATTCTATTACTTATTACATTAGTGATACTATATTGAAATTTTGTGTTTTCATATTTGATTTATGTACTTCCCCCTGGATGGGAGATGGGAGGAGTTAGAAAGCTGTATTGAATTCTAAAATTTTTTTTTTGGTAATGAGAGACTTATAGAATTACATTTTATGGGAGTGTGACATATTATCACATCCTGAAAAAAAATATTATTTTATACCGATAACTTTACCCTGGGGCGGTAATGTACCTCAAATAGTAAGGTTTATACGCAAACATCTAGTTACGATATTCAGAGACCGGCAACACAGCACCCATGCACAGTAAAAACTGTCGTTATTATTATAAAATGCAGTTTTTATTCTATTCTCAGCGCCCAGGGCCATGTCAGCGCCTTAAAAACGTAATTCCAGAGATCGCTACGAATAGTAGACTCCTTTCTGCTCCTATAAGGTTCAGCAAGCTCTTCGATGTGTTCCTTCAATAATACTCTGGAGAGGTAACGGCCTAAGTCCCATGCCAATGGTTCAGGCAGTTGGCCAGGTTTCAAGTTAGCCAGTTTCTGTGCAATATCGATTGGCAAGATGATACTACGCCTATTTTTCATTCCCTGCACCATTTTTACATATGGTTTATACAAAACTTGCTCAGAGTGAAATTCGGTAAGGCGACGAAGGATGCGTTTGAAACGCTCCTTGGCAAGTTCCATAGCCGAGTCGTCAATCTTAATTTCACCCCTAGAGAAGCAAGATTTTGGTGGCTTGTAGGCCTCACCAATTTCAATCTCCATGCTAACTGCAGACGGCTTAGAGTGGGATGCGGGCTCGATTTCTTCAGCTTCTTCCTCAGATGATGCTCCTTCATCACCCTCCACACATAGCTCCTGATCTTCAAAGTCACCGTCATCAGGCAGAGTATCACGCCGTTGATCAGTGAGCTCATCAAAACCGGGAGGAGTAGGCATGCGGCCCTTCAGTTCCTTCTGCTGCGTGAGATCAGCCCCTAGGACATCATCTACCGCAATAATCTGGACGAAGGCCATTGAAAACACAAGACTTTGACAGTCAGAATGAAGTGTGATCGAAGTTCCAAAGCGCCCAAATATATAACGCTCGTATGTAGTTTTAGAGCCCAAGACACCTACATGCGCGCCACGCGTCAATAGCAGAACGTCAGGCAATGCGATAAGTTATCAGCGTCTCATCTCAAGACGAATCACTACGTCCCCAATGATACACCAAAGTGCCTAGTCATAGTTAACGTTTCGACTAAATACGCTTATATGGACATACCAGCCCCGACTTTCAAGATTGAACTCCACAGTGAGCATTATAAATAGTAACACAAATAACAATATTAAGTTTTCTGGATTAAACGTGACCTTTTGCATGTTTGTTTCACGTCCGTTGCTAACATGCAGAGTCATTACCGGCTAACCGTGCTTTTGCCTTATGGCACAGTGGCCACCTCTTTAACCTATAGCAGAACGAGGTACGTCGCCTCCACAAGATATTGATATATTAAATCTCATACCAATTGCACCAATAATCTCACATACTACTATTGCCCTCGTCTATTGAATAAATAACTCTATTCCACTCCACATACTACGAGAATGTCACTGGCTGTAGGCTGACACACTACCCTACTTAGAAGTGACGTCAATGGGCTTTTAGCAGATGTCAATACCCTTTTATATTTTCTCTTGACGAAAGCAATTGCCCTTCATCAGGGGGTAGCGGCGTGTATAGGATATGAGTAGGAACGTCAAGCTATGTACAAGGCCCGGGACGGTGAGCTATGCATAAATGAGGTCATATTTTCCTGACAAAATTTACACACTAATTTCACTCCCTCATCTCCTTTGCCATTCTATTTGGCGATATTGACCATTAATGTCTCGGCGATTCGTGTGCATAAGAGGATGAGTACATCCAAGACCACACCCTTCTTGCTGCGCATGGTTTCCCATGGCATCCCGATATACTAAGCCAGAATCAAACAATCCTACGACTGTGAGCCTAGCGAATGCAACACAAATACGAGTAAGCCGTCCACTACAAAAGTGACAAGCGCCGGAGACTTTCTCGGTTTGCCAATGAGGCTTTTGAACCAAACGCCCAGCGTATGGATCCCGGCCAATTCGCAATCTTCTGGACACACTCTAATCACATGCTCATCGAGCTGAGATGCGAAGATAGTGCTCAACAACGGAAATCTCCGAGTAGGTATATGATGAAAGATACTTTACATTGACATCACTTTAACCTGGCCATTGTATAGCTTGCTACCCCAGCCATACATCACGACATTCCAAAACTCGCAGTGCAGTGGTTTCCTGACCGGGATTTCTCTTCCCTAACAATCTTCTCTACGTCTTGAAAATATCAGCACACTGATAAAACCATTCCATTGTAGGCGATTGTCGCCATAGACACCTCGAGTGATGCATCGTTAAATACATCATCTATATTAGAAACCTGTTTTAAATAATTTTACGCAAATCAAACGACGCCACAAACAATCATTTGGGGACGTTGCACTCCGTGATAGGGCGACCGCTCAAGCGTTCGATAAAGGGGTCAAACACTCTGCACCGGTAATCGAGGTATAGGAGGCCCACGCAAAGAAACAATAACAAGAGGAGGCAATAATAAGTTGATGAATCACTTTTGCCACCGAAGATCGCACATATATGCCGTGTCGCTATAGTTAATGCGCCCAGCACCATTATGAAGCCAACAATTCCATGGCTCACTTCGGTACGAGTGAAGCGTCTTCCAAAGAGTATAACTCCGTCCGGTTGCTCGATGAAAACCACAGTTGATACGCGCACATTTCCACCCATAACCGCCTTCGTCAATGAGACGAGCAGGACCAGCGCTATGTGGGCAATAGGCATCCCACCTGTACCCGTACTAACTTTACTTGTTCCTTTCATCTTCCCACTTTGAAAATCAACGGTTTAGAGATTACATTGTCTCGCCATTAGTAATCAACGAAAATAGGCTTACTGCCGTTAATAATGCCATGGGAGATAAACAATATTTGGCATCGACACTGCATCGATACCAGAATACTTCATCAGACTAGTATACAATGAGATTCCTGGAATAAAGCACAAAACTTTACTGTTCACGGGTAAAAGTTATCTATTAATATAAGATACTTATTCTACCAATGACGGTATCAGGGCTTTGAATTACAACATACACGAATATCCGGACTACATCAACGCGATTCGTGTAAAAAGACCCCTTTTTCGTATTTAGCTAGTTTGCACAAACTTAAAAAACGCCACCCATAATGATTTAAAGACAGCGTTGTCAACAAACGGCTCGCTGATTCCACGGGAAATTGCAAGACCCTCCGGATCAAGGCCCTACCGTCAAAAATCAAGACGATGATGCTGCCAGAAGAGCCGAAGTCTATATCAAAGATTATTTCATTTTATATGGCAAGAACGTATTTGCTATTTTCGCGATTGTAAACTTTGTTTCCCGGGGAACTTCACCCTACACCCTCGGGCGAATTTAATGGACATCAGGGCATTGTTTTCAAAGAAATTTAGGGATTAGAATTACATTGAAGTAGTACTTAACAGTAAAACGGGAAACACATGTTACGCTGCCCTTATTCGCTGACTAGCAAATATACCCGGAACTCACAGTAATACTGAGAGTAATGCTGGCACAACTACTTTGTTAAGGCTGGATGTTTCGCGCCTCTAGCACGTTTAAACATACTGTTACATAAGAATCCTTACGCAATTACCTTCGTGCGTCTGTATGCTCTACTCTTATCGTGGAGATGCGCACTCGACCATATTTCGATGCGATGGATAGGGAACATGTCACCCCGCCTTCCACAAGCGATATTTAACGACTATGATCTTTGGCAGTCTCACAGTGCGACGAGATAATGCGCCATGCAAAGTCGTATGTTGCCGAGGAAGGTTCATTTTTATGGGTGAAATCCACCAGATCGTTGCTCACCGACGAGCCAATGGTTCAACATCCATAAGGAGTTGCTATATAAATAAAGAGAAGATGAATGTCCAGTGGGCTATGTGGAAGGCCAAGGGATAGCCGAAGTATTAGTCTCTGGTCATAATTATGTGATATTTAATATCTTCACAATAGAACGATTACATTTACATCATCAAATATGAGCCGTCGTCGAGCCCTGCTAAACAATTTAGGATAAAATAAAATTTTTAGCTCGACATGTATCACTAAGATAACGTCACGAAGATTTGGGTCTGATGAGGTGTTTTGCGATCACAGGATGGTAAGAAGGTCGGAATGATGCTAAGGAAAATGGGCTATTAAACAGGTGTGTTGTGGATAAATATTATACCAATTGTCGATTAAAAAAATCTCGAATCTATCGCCTGTCTACGGCAATATGCGAGGTGTGGGACGGCGTGGCGTTGGTATCGCCCGTCGCCATCCAGCCTTCCAATCGTCATAGACATCCATACATGTGATTCTCTTGGGCTCTTACGATCCGTCGTCGTGTGGAATCTTGGGTGGAGGAAGGCCGTTTGTCAGGCATCATCGTGTAGGTAGGGCAGTACGTTCATTTCTAGTTACTTCCTGAAAATTTTTGGTGATATACGATATCATCCTTGAATACAATCATACGAAGGTTGTATTGCCGTAAATTAAAATACACGATTCCTTTGTCGTAGCCCTTCTGTGCCGTCAAATCTCTCGTCCTTCAACTGCGACCTGGTACTTATACTGAGAATACTCTCGTTCGTGACAACACTATCGACAGTATCGTTAAAATGGTTGGATTCAAGTTCTGCAAATTTATCGTCGCCTTCGTGGCCATTGCCAGTCTCATTAGCGGTGATGTCTCAGCCGCTGAACGCAAGAACGGCAAGAAGCCCAAATCTACCAAGCCCAAGTCCGACAAACCCAAATCTGACGTTGTGGATGTCGTAGGGCCCACGGCAGAGGGTGGGAAGTTCCGTGGCACCAGATCCGACGCTTTCGACTTGTTGCAGGGGTTCTTCTCAGGTGAGGATGGTGCCAACAGGTCATGGGGAAGGCTAGTCGCCGAACTCGAAGCTCTAGTTAATAAATTTACATATGCTCCTGGCACTCTGGAACCCCCAAGACAAACGCCCGCCGCCACTGAAGAAGCCCCCAAGGAAGAAGGAGAAGTCAAGGAGGAATCTGCTTGAATGGTCAATTGAAAACTAAATCAGACATCTGTTCTTCGTCGACGCATTTTTGGTGGTGACTACGGTAATGCGGATTGTCAAGAACCATTACCAGCAAAAGCATTAAAGTCTTGCCACTTTTATTTCCGAGGGAGATTTCGATGAATTACTTATTGACAATGCTGGGAGATGGAGACATTGATCTACCGGGGCAAACTTGCGAGCATACACTTGACCAGATGCTACCTAGATGAGTAAGCAGGAGTCTGACTTCTAAACGTCGCACTCTACCTTTCGAAAATGTTCATTGCCGTAACAATTTGACCACAATGTCGCATTACATATGAAGCTACCAAGCCACGTTACGCCACACGTTCGACTTCAAATTAAAAATACAATTTCATATCGAGCTAACATTTATTATGATTTTAAGACACGTTCTCCACCTTTAGTGGAACTACCGCTCTATATTACTAATCGATGTTAATTTCTTAGTTACATACCTTAACACTATCTTTCAAATTCGTTGGAGGGCTACGGCTTGATGAGGGAAAGGCACGTCTGCAGGTGATTGACGCCTGGTCAAACACCTCAAGGTAGCGCCTCTTAGCTACCTAACCTTAAATTGACCATACCGGTGCAACAGATATACGTACCGTCGTTACTCGCCTGTGGCACATTTTTTAGAACGATGATAAGACATGGCGAATCAGCTAGTTATTCTTACAAAAAACAAACGCTTATGATGCTTAAATTCCCGGTGAGCGATATCTTAATACACACTAAGATAAAGCTAGTCCAAGGATGTGCCACGTACTAAGCAATTGCAAAGCGTTGTTTTAATCGAAACGCACATTACCTGTCTAACATTGAAAGTTGCATCTACATGCGACTTCAATAGCAGCGCATCCCAGTTATGCGTATTCCTTAAAAATTCAAATCGTTATCACGCCACAATGATAGTCCGGAAGGATCCGTGTCTCATATGGCCCATTCACTGAAAGATATATAGCTATTTATGCGTGTTACAGTGCCTCTTGGGCATCGGTCTTCAGGCATCACTAGTATGGTAGAAGTACAGAGGATGGGCAGATAAGTACAGATCCGATACAAATCGGCAACACGTGTTGGGTTGTCTCCCCTGCGTTACCACAACACAGCACGTGGATATGTGGTCCAGTATCATTATTTAAAAACTTTATAATTTTTACAACTCAACAAAGTTGTTGTAAGAATACATTCAAACTTCATTAAAAGCCTCATTAACTACAATGAAGTCGTTCGGCGGTTTCTTTTTCCTCATTGCAGGCTTAGCCTCTTTCCAAATATTCGGTGCTTCCGCACAGGCCGCCAAATCCGATGGCACCCCTAGCGAATGGGCCGCCGCTGTGAAGCAGGCCGACGATCATCTCACTGCCATTGCTGAGAAGCTGAAGAAAGACGAGGCATACACAAAAGACCTGTCATCAAGCAAGACTAAAGTTGACGCTTTTATTGTCCACCAACTAGCATTCCACAAAGCAGCGGAGACAGTAGCAGAGAAGAAGGCGACCTTGGATAAGAAAGGCAAGGGTGAGCACACAGCGGAGGTCGAGGCCGTCATCAAAGCCGGTACTGACACAGTCCAACACCTGGAAAAGGCTATGGAAACCCACGCAACCGCCATAAAGGCAATAGCCGAGTACACAGCAAAAGAGAAAGGTAGATCGGTAACCCTCAGCTACTTGAAGTCTCTTGACACCATCCTCGTATCTGGTTTCGTTGCACTATTCGGCGCCGTACCTCTACTTGCCGCCGCCGTTGCTGTTCTTTAAGTGCTCTTCAACGAGTCTATAAGAACAAAGTGGTACGTTCTCATTCTACGGCAACACCTCAAAGGAGTAGAGCCTGGCTCAGCGAACATCGATGCGATTTTAATGTGTTAAATCGGGTTTCAAAATTTTATTTTATAGCACACCTAATATAGTATAGCATTTCTTTAAGTCGATGTTTGGTTTGTATCTGTCTCATGTGTTACATAGTCTAGCATTGAAACACACACCGCGATCACCGAGCACTGTGGGTCCGATGGCGTACAGATGCGTCTCAAATGTTCCACACAGCCGTGAAAAAATTTACTAACATATAATAACAATGCAAGTATTGTTTTTGGACTCGTCACTGGAATCCTTTGTAGCATGGTCAGCTGCTGACTTTTTTTTGGATTTCACGTCAACCGTTCTGCTCTCATCGCCATCTCGAGAGCCGAATTATATTTCGGCCCATTCATTAGAAGAACTCCATGGACATAAGTGTCTAAATGAGGTGTCGAGATTTTGTGAATCTCTGGAGGCCCCGGACGCCGACTCCTCCAAACTTTTAGCGGAAGCTTCAAAACAAGAATCTGTTAAAGACGACGGGCACACACTTGTTGGTGAGTTTATCATAATCTTGAATATTATATATAATTTGCAGCTCTATTGTCCGCAATTTCAAAAGCACATAAGCAGGTACGTGTGAAACCTCTGTTATTGGTTATAGACCCTTCAACGTTGGAAATATCTCCCGTATTCGGTGCTAATGCAGTGCTGAAGTATTACATTGGACGGCATAGTGAATGCACCGGGGAGGTTTGTGCGATGCACGGTCACCCGGCTGACCAACGTAATTTTGACTGGTATTCGTGGTCGTCACAGCTGCGAAAGTTGTGTAAAAAGAACAATTCGGATCTCATCCGGGTATTGCTTTCATCATTTGACAAACGTCTGTCGTCTCATTCCGATATACCTACTTCTGTTTGTATTGGTTCGGTTGTGACAACGCTATCGCTATTATGGTTGGTCACCCATTTTCAATTAAACACCTATCGCAGGTACAACAGAAAGCTAGAGTCGTTAGGCTTAAGTGTAAATATGTTCCCGTCGCTACAACGGTTTACGACGCATGTTTTAACTGCGGCTTCTGCATCAGGAAGATTCAGATGTTTGCATAAGTTACATAGGCAACTTGAAGCTTCTACAGTCCCGGAAAAGCCACATGTTTCGTCAGATAGTTTGATGACTGTTTGCCGTGATTTGGTTGACCAGAAATTGTACATCACTACGGCGCTTGCATACACCAACGGCCCTCCACATATTGGTCACACGTATGAGATCGTCACTTCTGATGTCTTGTCGCGTTATTTCAAAGCTTTTGGCATGAATACCACTCTGCTGGCCGGTACCGATGAACATGGATTGAAGGTTGCTACCACGGCTGAAAACAGTGGCATGTACCCAATAGAGCTTGCTGATTATTATTCTGCCAAATTCCGAGAGAATAACGATGAGCTGCTAACCGCTCCTGAAATATTTGTGCGGACAACGGAGCCGCGACATCATAAATCAGCGCAAAAAATATGGCGAATCTTGCGAGACAAGGGTGACATATACCTTGGTGAGTACAGCGGGTGGTACAATGTCCGTGAGGAAACGTTTTTGACGGAGGTAGAGGCGGCGGCCACGGACTACAAAGATCCCTTGTCAGGAAAACCGTACAAACTGATGAAGGAATTGAGCTATTTTTTCCGCATGAGCAAGTATCAACAGCGGTTAATTGACAAGTTGACCAGCGATACAAAGTATCTACAGCCTGACGCGGCACGTAGTGAGATTTTGAGCCGTCTTAAAAAACCTTTGGAGGACCTGTCTGTGAGCAGATGTACCTTCAACTGGGGGATACCCGTACCGGATGACCCGGGACATGTGATGTACGTCTGGTCCGACGCTTTGACAGGTTATTTGAGCGCGATAGGTTTTGGTGACTTTGATGACATCAGTCATTTGAAGCTTTGGCCACCCGATGTGCAGGTTATAGGCAAGGATATTATATGGTTTTTCGCCGTGATTTGGACATCCATTTTGATGTCTCTGGATATCGCATTACCTAAGACGATTTTTGCCCACGGTTTCATTACCGCAGCCGATGGTCGTAAGATGAGCAAATCCCTTGGAAATGTAGTTCACACCAAAGACCTATTGGTGAACTACGGTGTTGATACGGTGCGTTACTACATGATCCGCGATTCAGTATTCGGCTCCGACGTAAAGTTTGATCTTTCTTCACTGGCAGATTTGCACAACAGTGATTTGACGGACACAATAGGAAACTTGGTACATCGCATTACCACATTGTGTGTGAAATTTTGTGGCGGTTGTGTCCCCAAGGTTGCAGAAAGATCGGCACCACGCCCTTTCAACATGATCGATGTAGCTTCTAAGACTCTGAATTACCTACAACACTTCGCCTTACAGGATGCGCTCGTCAGCGTCATTGAGGCATTTCGGGACACTAACAAATATTTGACCGACCGTGAGCCTTGGGCTAAGGGTTCTGTGGACACACGTTTAGATACTATACGTAATGTATTGGAGGCAGTCTACTTTTTAAACCATCTGATGCAACCGGTGGTTCCGTTGGCTGCCTCTGTAGTTTTCAAGAAGTTGGGTACGGAACCACGGAAACACATTGGTCTGTTGTCTGCTGATTACAACAATTTAAACGAGGGTACCAAGGTAATCGTCGGTGAAGTTCTGTTCCAGAAAATTGGCCCTGCCGCTAAGCGATCTTAAAGCTGGTGCTGGAGTTAGGTAAATTGCACGTCATACTGTGCCCTTCATCACGATTGCGTTTAGTCACGGCCTTAATGCCAATACTGGCATACTTAACCAAGTCAGTAACGTTTTGATTTCAGACATCAGCACTAATCGGTGTTCGCAGAGGTGACGCTTACACCGATCTGATGACTTCCCCGGAAATTTTTCGAACTTCGGGACCAATTAGGACAAAAAATTCTATCACTGGTCTCACATAAATCTATTCTAATGTATCGTGTGCACGCGTAATTTCTATTGCATATAATGCTGACGTTGAATGACGGTCCGTGTTACTTTAGTCCAGCTCGACAGAGTTTGTCCAATTTAACATTGATAAACTATATATTAAGCAATAATTCCCAGTTAAATCGCTTTATTATCTATGTAGTACGTTGTGTAAGTGGTCATATTTTTTGTCGGCAAATATTCCCATCGTGGTTTTTTCCTCCCGGAAAAATTTGGCGCATCAGAGAAATCTATCTCCAAACTTTTCGCAGAAATGAATCACAATATGTTCTGACATTAATAAAGGTTTCATAAGCATCATTTTTTTGCGCTATAATTTAATATATTTTTGTTTTGTTGAAAATTGGCCAATGTCACAAGTACCGGGTGACGGCGTCTCCGGTCGCTTTATTTTCGAGCTGACCGTTCACGAGCTCCATCTGACACTGGATCATGGTATTGACGTCGATTTGTTATGGGTAGCAGGTGGGATTTGTTTTTTATCTAGCTGAAATAGCGGCTCAGGTAATCAGCGCAGCCAGACTGGGGCCACCATAAGTGTTTCGCCTCACCGATCATCGCACAAAGTGAACCAGAAACTGTTGCTTCATCACACATTCAAAGATGGCCGTGCTACGTCGTTCAAATCCACCCTACAGGTATGCCACTAGCCCACGAATAACCGTTCAATGCGCTCAGGTGGTGGAATCTCAGCGCTACGTGAAACCAACCATTCTTGCGGAATGCGAGCTTGATTTAACGTCCTTGCTTGATGAGAAACATTACAACATAATGTCAGTTCCTCTCATAACGAAGCTCGACCCGGATGCTAACCTGACGTTCTCTGTTTCCGTGACGAACTTTGTTTTTTCCGGTATGTTGCTCATCTCCACCTTCATTTGTTTCAGAAGATTCTGCTGCCCATTCTTCTACTTTATCGTCGCTTGGTGAAAGTGTTTTAGACTACAGTGGCCTTTCCAGAAGCTCAGTTTTAAGCACAGGCAATAGGACCCACGTATTGCATGGCATGGGGAATTCTGACATTTACAGGACTATCAACAAGATGGCTACGAAACTTGCTCATATCGAGAGAGAAATACAGAGCAAAACTCTGAAGTTGAACAAAATAAATCGTAAGAATTTGGATGAGGTCAATGGGATTCGTTCACGTTTGGAGTACCACATAGCTCAGAAGGACAAGCAGATTCGCATTCTAACTACTCAGTTGGACGAGATGCACACCGCACTCGCCCTTTCTCACGAACGTGAATTACGGCTAGCTGATAATTGTATGCGGTCGGGGGAGTTCGATGGAGGTGATGAGTTGGAGTCACGTGATGATTGTTCACATTTCGATGGTTCAATAGGATACAGTACACTTCATCCGGACAACGCTACAAAGACAGATCTACCATCTGACATGATATTTGATCCTCGTTTACTGCATTTACAGAAGGTATGATTTCTTTGTTGTTATTGTAACGTGCTCAGGTGGGATTGGATGAAGCGCACAGCAACATAGTTTCCAAGGCAGCCGGGAGTCGCACTGTCCCTGCAAAATCTTCGCGAACACAACGCAGCGAACTTGGCACTGATACCGTGCCACGATTGGAACCATATACAACCACACGCGGAGGTGGAACTAAATCAAGCGGCCTCAACGGCAGGGGTTATAATCACAGGCTAACTCCCCCAGTTGAAGCCCCTAACGTGCCACAACTCAAGCAAGTCGTACCCTTATCGTGGGTAAAGGGATCACTAAATAACGGTGGGAATGTAGGTCTTGCGTGCTATTGACTATAACCGCCTAAGCCTAGAGCTGACGTTTTCTTATGGTTACTCTTTTAGTGATAAAAAGCACATGCCCAACTGTTACGGCTGACATTATCTCAGGTGACTTATCACAGCAGTATGGATCTCGCGAGACGCGGCCCGCGTGATATAGAGCAACATATGAAACCCAGTCACACGTTACGTACACCTGGTACTACGGTGCTTCCTTTGGGAACGACACCAAACCTAGTACACCGACGCATATCGACCAGGACACCTCAGGAAAACCCATGTATGCTAACCGTGCCTCCCACGAATGCTGTAAAGTCCCCCAACCATTCTACCACGTTTCCATCAGGTTTGTTGAACATGGTCGCCATTTTACAGTACACTTAGGCGCACAACGTAAGACGTCTAAATCACAGTCAAGCATGCTAACTGCACAGGAAGACGATAAAAGTACAAAAATCGCGATACTCGAGCGCGATTTGATCACAACAAAGGTAGCACTCGCCGATAGCGAAACGCAGCGCGATATCGAACTCGCAAAGCTACGCAAGGCCACCCAAAAGATATAATCCACTTCACTAATGTTTCATAATATAAATTCTCATCAACTTTGTAGTACAACGCCTTATATCGTCACACATTGTGCGTATTATAGTGTAACTAGTATCATTCGTCCGAGTTCTTAGAAACATTTTTATCGCGATGAACAGCGACAGCGGGAAAAATTCTGGTGACGGTGTTACATTTCTTTCTGATTTGTTGAGCTGTCAATCGGTGAATCCGCTGTCGCTGCGGCTTCACGTTCAGGGCCGTCGCCTTTTTGATAACATCCGCCATCGTCATGCCCAGGAGCTTCTTTCACGCATTTTAACTGATCTGGATCAGTTATTGGCCGAACTGGATGCGTCCCAGTTGGAACGTGTGTCATCATTTTTGACAGATGTACCATCCGAGGAGTCGGCCTTCCAGGACTTCGTGGGCCGCCTGTTCGGCAACGCTTCCGAATCTGGCTCCATATTGTCCGTACTTCAATGTCTTCGTGATGTGACTGGTGGAAGTCCTGCCTTCGCACGTCTGGAGTCGGACTGGACTCTCCTTTCGCAGCTGACATCAAATGGATCGGTAGAGGGATACGTAAGCGTCGCGGAGTCGGATCCCGCTTGTTCTAAAGACGTAATTAATGACCATCGTTCGCGCATTGATGCTGTGTCGAAGTCGGAGTCCGTGGCATATACGGCGTTTCGCCGTTCTGACTTCCGCCAGGTGCGACTGCGCAACTTCGTGAAAATTCATCAGGTCGGCCAAGGTGCCTACGGCGATGTGTGGCTGGCAGAGGACATTGTGAATCAAACGCCTGTCGCCCTAAAGAAGCTGAAGTTGAATGAAGACCGGGAAGGCTTTCCGAAGAGTGCTATCCGCGAGATCGTTTTGCTCAACACTTTGAAACATCGCAATATTGTAAACTTATTAGGAATCGCACACTCCCAGTCGGATGTGGACTCCGGTAAGGATCATGTGTGGATGGTATTTGAGTATTTGCCATTTGACCTTAGCGGTTACATCGAGGCGCTGCGCGACCCAACCGAGAAACGTGAGAAGCTGACCAAACCGTTAATGTGGCTCTCCATTGGCGAGATAAAGTCTATAATGCGCCAACTGCTACGAGCTGTTTACTTTTGTCATCGTAACAATGTGCTACATCGCGACCTCAAGACTGCAAACTTGTTAATGGATCATGATGGCACCATAAAATTGGCAGATTTCGGACTGGCCCGTGTCTGCCCTACTGGCAAGGGCATTCTTACGAATCGTGTTGTTACGCTGTGGTATCGCCCGCCCGAGTTGTTGCTGGGGAGTGAGAACTACGATTCTGGCGTGGACATGTGGAGTGTAGGTTGCATCATGGCAGAATTGGTTTGCGGCACTCATATTTTTGCCGCTGACAAGGAGCCCGTGATTTTGAAACTTATAGCGGAGCGTTTGGGGTTACCCAGTGATGCTGATATCAAGTTTTTGAAGACACTGCCGCTGTGGAACGAACCTCTTGCGAACCCATTGCACCCAGATAGACAAAGCGCAGTGGTACCTCGGAAAAAAGAGTTTGAAAAAACATTTAAGGTAACCAACGAGTTGGGGGACGAAGGGTGGGACTTATTACGTCAGCTATTTGCGTGGAACCCAGCAAACCGTATCTCAGCACGTAAAGCTCTGCAGCACCCATGGTTCAGTGTGCAACCCCTTCCCTCCGGTCTCGTGAGTCGTGCGAATGTGAAGGTTGCACACAGTTACATGACTAAGAATCAGCGCAAACGCGAGTCGCAAAAGCAGCCTTTGAGGCGTACGGAATACGTGAAATATGCTAACACGGGAGACATCCGTCGTGCCTTAGAGAAACAACGCGCAAATGCGCAGGAAAAACAAGGTACCTTTAAGAGGAAACAATGAATCTTTTACTTTCACAACACATTTTGTGTGTGTTTCAATTTCTATGTTAATGTTCCCGGCTCGGGCCGACGGGTGCATAGAAGCGCGCCTGGCGGAAGTCAGTGCTATTGCGGCATCCTCCTGTTGCTGCATCTTAGCAGTCTCGAGCGTGGCGATTTACACACAATGGGAAACTCTTGTTGCTTCGGCCGTCTGGTAGGTTTCTGATGACTGCTTGCACATCTAAGTTACATTTTTTTACGGTGAGAACGGACAAGCTAAAAGTCTTTCAATTCCTCACTCTCAGCCATCTCCATATTACTGACTTACGTTGCGTGCAGCACGAATACCGAGCCAAGCTGGAGTCTATCGAAGCGCAGGTGTTCGACAACGTTGCTGCGTACGGTCCGATTTCTGATGCTCTGGGTCTTGATGAACCCGAATGTGACATAGAGAGATTTGATCTAGCTTTCGAGAATGGTGATATCGGCGAGTTCGTGTCGCTGTGCGTGTCCTCCCAGCCAGTTAGTCCATACTACCGCGTTTTGATCACGCTTAGATCGACAAGTTAGATGAGCGTTTACACCCATGGGCAGCAAACCCTACGACGATTGGGGCACTTGCTGCTACACAATTGGCTATATTTGCCAGTAAGGAGCGTGGGTTGAGCATTTTGTAGTTCCTGACACAGCTCAGAGCAGCCAGAGTACAAGGATGCAATCCGCAAGGCGCATGGCATTCCTACACTCGTAGAGATGCTTAAGAGTGACGTCAGTTTCGCCTTTACTCATCGTTACGACTGTGTAGGAGGTTGACCGCGTACACGCCGCGGTTGTTGCACTTTCGTTTCTGTCGGCTGGTAGTAAGTAATCGCAATGCTTGGCGGAATATTTGCAGACTCTGAAAACTGTGTCGAGATGTTCCGTGCCGGAGCTCTTCCTGAGATGATCCGCGGGATGCGGTCCGATATCGACGGCATGCGTGCGGCGTGCGCACAGACTTGCCGCAATATTTATCAATTAGGTATCCGTCATGTTGTCTAGCTCTTACGGTGCCTCAGATATGGAATATCGCAGGGTTTTTGTTAAGCGTGGCGGTTTGGTAAACTTGGTTAATCTGTTGTCTTCTTCCGATGATGAGGACGAGGAGTCGCGCCTGACTCAACTGGAGGCAGTCTATCACCTTGAGGATTTCATAATGGTAGGACGTGTTGCATCACTTTCGAACGCAGTGTAGGATGGTGTTGAGGAGTTGCCCGAATTTGTATCGCTTGTGAAAGTATCAGGTGCACTAGGCAAGCTAAAACTACTCGAGAAGGTTTGTGTCACTCACATAGTATATTATGTCTGTTCAGAACAGCAACAAAGAATTGAGTATGGCTGCCAAGAGCTTGAGTGTGCGCCTAGCAGACTAATTGGTCCTGTGTAAAAATTTTTAACGCCCTAAAAAGGGAGTGGGTTGTGCTGCATAAGAGACTTGGCGAAAGCCATAAGTGCTTCCTTTCCTCTGACTTCTTGTTTGTTTTGATGTATAGCTACTGCACACGCGTGAATGGTGTTGTATTTCTGACAAACCGATGTTGAAGTCCTCCTGGTAAAGATCCTTGATATCCTGGAGATACTTGCGCTGCACTCCAACCCTGCTGTTGTGTATGGAGTGATGTTCTCTGACCTTTTCAAAGAACGGCGTCATGATTTCTCGCTGTTCATCGGTAAGTCCATTCCATGCATCATCAATGAGACTTCCTATCTCTATATGTTTGAGAACCTGGTTGACAATAATGTAAGAGCAGTCGATTTCGCTCCTGGCGAGATCCTGTATCAGCCGTTCCGTCTCATAAACGCTGAGAAACTCAGGAATACATACGCATACGAATGTTGTTAGATTTGGGTCCTTCATCTGCTCGTGAGTCGTATTAATCATTTTCCCTAGAAGTTTGATTTTGTCAAATAGCTCTGTCTGTGACATTTGCGCCTTTGTCATGGACGAAAGTAGCTGAAGGAGGCTACCCATGGTGGCCTCTAACTTCAGCAGCGTGTCTACGATCTTATCTAGGACCTCTGGTAGTTTTAGGAATTTGAGAGTGTGCCCGGTGGGTGCAGTGTCGAAAACAGTGACGGAGAATCGCCTACTCTGCACTGACCTGCGTAGTTTTTGTATGCTTTGTCAGAGTCAACCTACTGCATAAGTTCGACAAACGACAAAGCTTCATCGAGTCCCGGCAACATCATGAGTATGTCCGGTATATTTTGTAGAAACGAATGAGTCTCCCTGAGCCCGTCGAGTCCTTCTACTATTTGCGATGTATTCAGCTCCTGTGCCGTTATGTTAAACGATGTAGAATCATCATCGCCCTAACCATTGCATAGAGATTGTTAAATCCGTTGACAAGTCTAGGCTCGTGGGAAAATTTTTGTCCGAATGCGTCGCTAAGGCTGTGGGCAGGGTCTGTTGAGAGAAGTAACACCTGTTTCACCTTGATCACATGACGGTAGTCAACTTACTGATTCCCTAGTTTCGGCTAATGCAGTGGCAATTGAGGATGAAATCGTCGTCTTGCCGACACCTCCTTTGCCTCCAACAAATATCCATTGTAGCGTGGTCTGCTTGACTAGATTTTGTATATCGTTACGGAGTAAGCCGTCAGGCTCTATTATTTCAGTTATTTGAACCATTTTCTCAACTTTTTTTGAAATACGATGTGTGCGCGATCCTGGCTCCCGACATCGCATTGCCGCGTCTAGAGCAGTCTTGTGGTTACTCTTTTGATGGTTTTTGAGCGCCGCTCGACTGCAAAGCGATCACATTTTAGTTGCAAGAAGCTCTCATTTCTCGAGCTCCAGCGTTATCGACGTCTGGAATATGGACGCTGGTTGACACGTAGGAAACGCGCTGAGCGCGTCTGCTTCTTGCCGTCCGGTACGTCTACTTAGCCTTCTCACGTCACAACCCGTGCACAATCTGTTGACATATCTCTGCAGTGAAGGATGAGGTCGGTGCGCTGTCCGCGGAGTCGATGCAGCGGATTCTTCACCAGGGCTCTGCGTTTCACTTCTCTAAGGATATTGTTATCGATAGATCGAAAACGCTACACCATCTGCTATTCGATGATTTCTTAAATGTGAGACGCTTGACTCAGCACGAATTGCTGTTGCTTGTTTCAGTGCTACCGAAACTTTCGGCGCCAAACCACAATTTGCTTTCTCGTGCGCTACATCAATGTGTTTCGCGTTTCGATCGTTTCTCCTTTGCCGAGGTTGCGCACTTTTCTTTTCTCATTTGTCATCTGCCCGAATGCTTGAAGATTCACTTCAGTCGACAGTGGTTGCCCAAAGTGGCGAACCTTTTGCATCGGCTTGATCCCAATGACTTCGGTGGTAGCGACTTTATCAGCCTGGCCAAGCTGGCGTACGCATTGTCACATTTATCCCCTGGTAGTAATTCGCTGGCGGCAGCTTTGATATCAACGCTACCAACTTGTGACGGTGATAATCCTCGTATGTTTTCTCGCGACTGCTCCCTAGTTTGCCGGAGCATGTTAGCAAGTGGCACTGTAAATTATAGATTTTTAAGTCATGCCAGCGAAATTTACACACGGCAAGTCGATCAGGCCGTCTTGTATTTCGTAGATCGTTTGCATCGCCGTTCTGCACTTGGCAGAAGTAGCATTGTCTTTACTCTGGACGATGCCCCCGCCGAGACCTTAGTTGCCATTGACGATTTGCTACTGTTTTTATCAACTTGCGAACGTTTTGGTTACCACAACAAGGCATTATTATCCACTTTCCATCGCTATGTGGAGTATTGCACTTCCCTTTTCTTATCTGACAGTCGTGCAGCTGAGTACTACCGCAACTACGGTGGCGCTTCCCCGGACAAATTTACCAGGAAATTTGCAGAGCTCGTACGTAGCGATAGATACAGACACCCTAGAAGCGGCAAACACAATCTCGAACAGTTACTGAAGGAGCTGCTTGCCGGCATGGTCAGCGACCCCGACGGCTTTTGGCCGATTGAAAGTATCTACATAGTGGGTTCTAATTATGTGACTCATCGAAGCGAATTCGCTAAGTTTTTGGACTTCGTTCTGTGCAAGGTGAATTATGAGGTACTTTCTTACGATGATAAATCAAGGTTACTTACTCTATGTCGGTTGTATCATCCCTTCCACCCGAAGTTGCTACGTCACATGGCGGCTCTTGCCGTAAAGGATGCCGCCAGGCCCGTTGTACCATCAGTGGGAGGCAACAGGGAAGATGTAGCGGATACAACTAGCGATGAGAAGGGAAATGAGATTTTTTTGGACGTGATTTCATTTAGGCATCATTATGCTTCATACACCACCGAAGGTAACGGGAAGGATTTGCATAAGCTGATAGTGCTATTTCCTCGTTTAGCTGCGCATCTTCCGGAGATCATATGTTGGGATTGTGTATGGCAGATGTTGCACGTAATAGCTAGGTCACATTGTGCTGAAATGCTTCCGTTAGTGCGTTCGTTTTTGGAGGAATCGTTTTTGGGGTTTCATCCGCTGGATGAGGCAACAGGGGACATCACTCAGATCATTATACATCTCCTTAAGCAAGGGAAAAGCTTTAACGAAAGCGGGTTGTATCTGGACAGTTGTGTTCGCATAGTTGATCTGTTATCATCTGCTGACCTTTCTCGGGATTACGGGAGTCTGTACATTTTTGGAAACTTTTTCGAACTGTTTGTAACAGTTCGACGTTTTTTGAAACTGGCTATGGCCCATGATGACGACGACACTCGCCTAACACTGGAGCGGCTGTCTAGCTGCTTGGAGCGTTACCTGGAGTCATTGTCCTTCAACAAACAAGGACTATTGTCGTTGGAGGTACCTCTAAGTGTATATGTGCAAATTTTAACGAGCCTTTCGAGCCACTTTGGCGTGGATTTGACAGCCGACGCGACCTCGGCTGAGCGATCGCTGGAATTGCTTCGGGTTCATTGCGCCGGCGAGGGCGCGACATTTCTACGGTCCAGCGCAGCTTTAATTCGACACATCTTGTTCCAGGGTAACCTGGCTCCGATAGATAAGCCGTAACTGTACTATAATATGTTTTTAATGATTAGTGATATTAGGATTCCATAGTGCCGGACACGGGCTCCGCGGGATGCGACGCCATAGCGCCTTCTGAAAAGTCAACAATTTTTTATCGCATAAATATCCGGAGCTATGGCGCCTGCTGCGGTCGGGACGCTGTTCGATATTGAGCGGTCGGACCTGTTCCGCCTGCTTCAGCGTCCTCTCTCTTCCGACCGTGAGGGTTCACGGCGTTTCAGGACCCCCGAAGATGTATTATCTTCGCCTATGGGCGATCTGATATGCAAAGCGTACAGCACGTTGTTCAGGAATCAATTCAGTCACATGGACCTATCAGCTCTGGAACACTCTGGCTATGTCTTCTTGTTGTGGCCTCTTCTCTCATTGGATGGGTTTCCTCTGATCCCCAATTTGAAAGATAAATCACGGAATCGATTCTGTGCTATTCGTTTTTCTGCTGTGATGACTTGCATATGGGCAGTTGTTGAAGATCACAACAGCGGTCGAAGTGAGTACTCCGATTTGCTGCGTCAAGTTGCTAAAGGTTAGTCTATCAACTTAATAACCGTTTAAATCTACGTGCAGAACACCCCCAGGCCTTCGATTGCGTGTTTTACAACGCCGCTCAGCTTTTAATGCTCGAGAGTTGGCATGGCGATCTCTGCGACTCCCGTGATCTAGGCTCTTGCGACCGTTTAACAATACTTGAACAGCGCGCTTTGGTCCGTTTCTTCATTTTATGTTTCCAGCGCTTTGAGGTTGGTAGTATTCGGCGCTGTTGCGTACAATTGGTTTCACCGGCCATTTGGCTACATATCCCTTCGGCGGTGCGTGAACGAAATATCTATCCACACAATCGTGTGGCAAAGGGATTGTTTATGCGAGCAACTAGTGTGTTGGAGGGACGTTATGAAGGTCTGGACCATGTATCTGGATTGCCAGACTTCTCCAGCCTACCTAGTGTGGTTTCTCTGTATGAATTGTCTTCCGAGACACTTGAGGCGCATGCCAAGCTGAACGAACGAGCCCGGTTGTTGCTCAGCCGCGATTTTCTGAACAGCCTGCTGAATCAGTTTGTGTACGTTTTAGAGGACGGTATAAACCTTGAGTCATTTTCCTCCACCGACGCCGCGGAACAAAGCAGAGTGATGCAACGTTTGATGCTTTGCGAGAACCAGATGGAGCTTGTGATTGATCTATTGAGTCAGCTGAATACACGTCGTATTGTGAAACCTTTGTTTGACGCCAAATTAATTTTGGTTCGCTGTCAGCAGACCCCGTTGCACGACCATTTGGAAGGTTCTCTTTTCAAAAGCATGTTGCGCATTTTGGACTTTTACGCGAATTTTTACATAGACGAGGAGCTTGGTACTCCACTGGACTATGATAAGATGCTGGAACAATATTATGATCGATTTGAGTCTTTTCAACGCGTGTGTTTCACCAAGTTTGGCGACGACCCTATACTAAAGTCTGTACACTTGCTGTCTGCATTTGAAGTGCATCAGCAAGGTGGTTTGACAGACCTGTTGTCTCAATGCAAGTCTAGTGTTTTGGGCCGCCTCGTTTTGGAGTTAGGATTATTTGCGATGGATGATGCTGATAAGGATGCTTCCTGTTTGCTGCGTCCCGCTCCTATTAATCTGACGCCAATAAAGGAGAAGGGTAAAAGTGCGGTGAAGAAGTTTTTGGTGGGTGTGATAAACGCATCTTTACAGCGGCAAGTTGACTCCTTGGAGTTTCTCAACAGCCTTCCTCTGTACCCTACGGAGGAACTTTTGTGGAGTTCAAGCCAGCTTCCAGTAGGCGGTGACTATGTGCGTCTATCGTCATTCGGTCTTCACAAGTTGAACTTGCAATATTTGACCCTTTTCGACTATTTGTATCGCAATTTTACGTTATATCGTCTGGAGAGCGCTTCTCAGATTAAGTCGGATTTGGAGGAAGCTATTGATTCGTGTTGCCCCCGTGGTTATATAAGCCGCCATAACACGAAGGCTGGCCAGTCTGGTATGGTGGAAACACTTTTTGAAGGTAGCCATCCAATGGCGATTGAAATTTCTTCGTTTTCTATTCGTGAGGTATCCTCTGCCACGGTACTGCGGTCGGACTCAAGTTTTGTTGATGCAGAAATTGTAATCGACACTTCTAGTGTGAAGGAATTTCAAGTTCGGCGTGATTGGCAGCGTTTGAAACGCCACGATGTATTGTTTTTGGCCGCCATTTCAGCTCCGCTGCAGCATGTACCAAAACGCCTCGACGATTATGAGTCGCCAGAAGAGGTACCGCTAAACTTGGGAATTAACCTTGTGCGTGGCGCAGAGATTTGTCAGGTATTGGATGAGGACGGCCATGTAATTTCCGACTTGAACCCCTACGAAACACGAACACCAATCGGTTTTCGGTTAATCCTTCGCGTACGTCTGGATTACAATCAGTACATTGAAGACATTGCACGTGATCCGAACATCTATGCCAGTATGAATCTATTGGTGCGTCGTCATTCACGCGTAAACAATTTCAAATCAGTGTTGGTCTCTCTACGACACATGATAAACAGTCCCACCACGTTGCCTGGATGGTTGGGAGACATATTTTTGGGATTTGGGGACCCTAATCAGTGCCAATATCCTACATTAGAACCATCTGAATGGAAGTTAAACTTTTTGGACACTTGGAAGAATTTAGATCACTTCTTTCATACCGCAAATGGGTTTTTGTTGAAGGTGGTATTGTTAGAGGGGCATGACACAAAATGGCCTACCCAAGATATCGCTGAATCCACTTTGAGTGTGCAGAATCTCGACGTCACATTGTTAAAAGACGATCATGTCGAAGCGTTATCATCCCGGATTTTAGGTGATGGCGATTTGTGGTCAAAACTAGTCACACCAGGTGTCAGTGTCGACACAAGTTCAATCGAGGGGATTGGAGGCAATAGATATATGTTAGCTACATCATCAGGTAGTGCAGTTGTAGAGGTCGACCTTGTCATGCTGTCTGAGTTCATCGAGAAGGGTGTGATGGTCCATGGCCAGCGTGGCGATTTACAGGTTCCTCCGAAAGTGGCTGTACTAATTCCGCGTTTCAATCTATCTGATGAATCGGTGACACCGAGTGAAGAGCGCCCTAGCATTGTGTTCACGCCTTCTCAGGTGGAGTCAATACGTTCTGGTGTTTCCCGCGGCCTGACTATGATTGTTGGCCCACCTGGTACAGGCAAAACTGATTGTGTGTGCCAGGTCGTGGGCATTCTCTTCCGCAACTTGCCAGCGGAGCGTACGGTGATATGCACGCACAGCAATTATGCGCTGAACGATATTTTCACAAAGTTGGTGCTTAATGGCCACGTTGACGAGCATCACATAGTTCGTCTAGGTGGCGCTGAGTTTGAAATTGAAGGTTTGGGCGATTTTTCTAAATGGGGGCGTGTGAACTTCATTCTGCAGCGTCGTTTGGATTTGTTAGATGTAGTCAAGAGCTTGGTTGATGCCTTGGCAGTACCGGGTGACTATAACTTCAGCCTGCAATTAGCAATTTCGTTTTTCGAGTCGAAGATCTTGCCTTTATTGCGTTCTTCAGCTGTTGCAACTCAGCAAGAAGCTGTTGATGATGCAGAACAAACTAAGTTCGCTTCAAACGACTCCGTAAATGTTCCTCCTGAATCAAGCGAAACGACAGATAGATTTTCGGGCAGTGGTATGCGTCGTTTGGTTTTGCTGGGTAAATTTTTTGAATGCAAGTTAAACTTTGCGTCGACATTACGTGACCTCGCGACCCGTTGGCATTTTCTCCAGCTTTCTCATTCTTCCGGGGACCTCAGCATAAGCGTTAGTCGCCGCGAGTTCCTTTTATATTTGTATGCCATGATTAAGGAGTTGCAGCCGTTCGAGGTGTTGCGCAACAACCATGACCGCGGACGTTATTTGGTTGAGAAATACGCCCGCTTAGTAGCTATGACATGTACCCATGCAGCAATTGCGAGGGAAACATTGTCTAGTCTGCGTTATTCCAACCTTGTGATGGAGGAGGCAGCTCAGGTTTTGGAGGCTGAGACTTTTGCGCTTTTGGCACATCCACTGAAGCGTGTGATATTGAGTGGTGACCATTACCAGTTACCTCCAGTGGTTAACAATCGGATTTTACAGCAATTTTCAAACATGCAACAGTCTTTGTTTCATCGGTTGGTACGTCTGGAGACACCGCACGTGATGCTGAATTGCCAGGGCCGTTGTCGCCCAGAGATCGCAAATCTGTTCACCCACTTTTATCCCATTCCTATCAGCAACATCGATATCGCTCTTAGTCGTCCGGAATTCAGTTCCACCAACCCTTGTTTCGAGCATACGGTTCAGTTCGTGGACTGTACTGGCCGCGAGTCTGCTCCGATAGCGCATTACTACCAGAACTTGGAGGAGGCTGAATTTGTGGTTGCCACATATATGTATATGCGCTTATGTGGATACTCTAATGACAAGATAGTGATATTATGTGCTTATAACGGGCAGAAGGCGCTTGTTGATGATATTGTAAAGCATAAGTGCGCCTGGAACCCTCGCATAAAGGCTCCACGCGCGGTAGCCACCATTGACAAGTTCCAAGGGCGTCAATCTGACTTTGTATTGCTGTCTCTGGTGCGCAGTACTCGTCCGGGACATCTGGGTGATCCACGTCGTATGCTGGTTGCTCTAAGTCGTGCGCGATTGGGTCTGTATATCTTTGGGAATTGGCGACTGTTTAGCGGTTGTCGACAGCTGAAGACATTTGCGTCACGGTTGGAAGGAATACCTCATGAATTACGGCTGCTCCCGAGTGGAGACGCCGCTAGCGCGGTGTCTGTATCTAGCTCCGGTGCTATGGCGGCTATCGTGGAAGGTCTGCAGTCGTAACTGCATTGGACAGCGAACATCTACAGTAAATGGACTTTGTTCGTAACTTATAACCTTATCTATTCCTCTTTAGATTTGGCATTCATGTTTAATTATATGAATGAACATTGTTCTTATCTGTGTTCGTTACCGGTTGCTGCTGGATCAAGTTAAGGTTTATTAATGTTATAATATTGGTACATATAAGGTTGCAAACAACCATTCGCTTTGCACATTTAGCCGTCGTGCCGCATCATTCGTCTGTCTTCTACGCGACGCCACCACAGTCTCGCTTTAATCATTCTATGTGGTGTCGTATGTGCAGCGCCAAGTGTCGATAGTAGCATTCTAAAGCCCCTTTTGAACTGTTGAACCACATTCGCTTTGTTTCACGCCATTTCTGTACTACTTTATGGCACCTTGCCTGCGACAGTTATTCTTTCTCTTATGACGGCGGTGGTTTATGCACTAGTGTCGCATTGTGGCAACATAATTGCCGATTATACTTCACCATATTCGGTAGGAGGTGGCATTAGTCAGTTTAACGTGAACTTGGACGCCGTTGCAAGGTGCGTTGCATCCGTCTGGTTATATACTGGGTTGGTGTGTACTTTACGTGTTTGTTTCTACACCTTTGTGCGACTGAACGTGTGTGTACACATGATATGTCACACCTTCCGTTATTTTTGGGTTCTTATGTGCTCCATTTATGTACGTGTGTTGTTAAGGACTGCCACCACCAGTGACCCATAGTTGCTGCAGGATTCAGCTTTCAAAACTACCCTCAGAAAATCGTTACGGCAGCTCATTTATCTTGGGTCATTACTTCTATCACGTTGGTCTTGCTTCACATTTTGTATGATACGAAATTTCGCAGATCGTTAGTGACGATCTGATTTTACTTTGCGTGGCAACCTCCAACGAGGAACCCGAGTTGCCCAACCGTTTTTTGGTATGTTGCTTGCACCTATTTCCCAAATGGTCTAAGAATGAATTGCGTGCTGCGTGCACGGCTCAAGTTTTGAACAACACTAACTCGCGTAGCGAGCTTCTGGCACGTATTCTGAGTCGTCTGGTGGTAAGGGTTTCTGCCTCATCCGCATAACTTTATCAGGGCGAGTACAACGCAACTAGTGACAAACTTCGATCTATAGAAAGCAACTTACAGCAAACTACCGAGACTCTGCGTCACAACATCAGTTAGTGTTGGGGCTGGTTTGTTACATTTTATGATAGCTAGTATTTTGGAGCGAGGTGAGATTATCGACTCTCTTGTTAGTAAATCTACGGCGATAAAGGACGAAACTTTGGCATTTCGTCGTTTAGCTCATAGGGCCAATTTAGGTGTTTTGTCTCGCCTCGTTGAGTGGTTTTCGGAGACCATTACTTCCCGGAATTTTGCTATAGTAGCATTAGTAGGTCTTCATTGTCTAAGTGAAAACCGTTTCAGGTTACTACAGTGTTAGGCTTGTTATCGTTTTTCATACTTTTTTGATAATGGCAAAAGGGGCTAGGTTCGCAGGCCCGCTTTTCGGTCGCAGATATGGCCGTCTACAAAACCCATCACTGGCTTTTTTCCCAGCTTTGATTGCTGGTGGAATGGTCGGTCGCTTCGTACCTTTTAACGCAGATTCTATTGATCTGTCATTTCTCCGGCGTGGCTCAGCTGGTCGTAGCCTTGGCGCATTTGTGCTGGGCGTGTTCGTAGGGATTGGTGTCGGATTGACGATGTACCCATGGCTTTTATCCAAGATACGTGCTTGGATGGCTTTCTTCAAGGGTAAAGGTTGCGACCGTGGCACGGAAGGCAAGGCTGACGCTGATTGTACGGATCACTCGCAAGGCAATCGCGATTGCGAACTAAATTAAAAGACTCAGATGACATTGTTAGAGTTTTCAATGTTTTAGTGTTGCCACACATCGCTAATGTGTGTTGCATATATTCAAAATTTGCCTTATGTCGGAGACGTGGTCGCCAGAGGTCGCGGCGCGCCACACTATATTTCATGCCTATACAGTCTTTTCAATGTAGCTACCATGGCGTCACAGCCTGTAAGAGGTCTCGTGAAATTTATCACGGATCTTAATGGCTGTCCAACAGGGCGTGAACGCGACTATCGCGTGAAGGGGGAATTGTCGAAGATTCGTTCCCGTTTCGATGAGCGCGGTTTGAGCGGTTACGATAAGAAGAAGTGCATCCTAAAGTTGCTTTACATACACATGCTGGGTTACGGAATCGACCTCGGCTACGTGGAATCTGTGCAGCTGATGGCCTCGTCGTCATTTCAAGAGAAGATTGCGGGTTATATGGGCTGCGAGGTGTTATTGGGGGACATGGACGATGTACGTCGTCTTGGTATTAATACCACGTTGGATGACCTGCGCAGCCAAAGTGAACATGTGCAGGCTCTTGCACTTAACCATATCGCCAACAGTTCGTGCTCGGAACTACGAGAGCAACTCTATGAAGAAGTGATTAGACGTTTGCTTGTATCTCCCTTTGAATCCAATATGCTGCGTAAGAAGCTGTATATGTGCGTTTTACAGTTTGTTCGTTTGGATAATACCTACTTTCCACTACACGACTGGAAGAGAAAGATGTTCGACCTCCTTTCTCGGGAAACTGACTTTGGTTGCTTGATGGCACTAGTAAATTTGCTTATGGAGTTTGTGAGATTGAAGCGGGACATGTGGGACCATTGCATGCCCCTGGTTATCGAGGCGTTGATGCGGCTCCTCTCTGGCAGTGTTGCTGCTGACAGCTACTACAACGTGACCTCTCCGTGGCTCTTACAGAAGCTTCTGAGCGTTCTGGCATATGTTGAGCCAAGTTCAGATGCACGTTACCGGCAAACGTTGGTTCACGTGTTAGACCGCTTAGTAGATCGAATCACGTCACTACCAATACCCGTATCCAGCATGCGTGCAACTGCAGAGGAGCAAGATGATAGAATGGCATGGATGTTGCACATGTCTATTGCACTGGAGACCGTGCGTGCGATTGTCAACTGGTTGCCTCACATTCCTTCCTTCTCTGTGACACCTATCATGGATTTCATCCGCCACTTGCTGGCGTCTCGGTCGTCACACATATGCATAAACGCCATAGAGATGTCTGAGATTATGCTGTGCAACGACGATCTGGTTCAACTATTGAAGGAACAATTATCTCTGTTTTTACGGCTACTTGGGTCCAACGATCCGACCTTGAAGTGTCGTATCGTTTCTATGGTTTCTCGTCTATGCGATGAGAACAACTGGGCTCAGATATTGCCAGAGTTTTTGTCTGTCTTGAGGGTTTCCGATGCGCGTACTCAGAACGTTCTGATTCCTCATCTGCTGGATGCGTTGGGACGTAATGTACCCCTTGGCCCTCTATATATCGACTTTGTGTTCAAGATTGTAAACTTTACACATGTCTGTAGCGCCTTAGAGGACATTCCTCGTGTGCTCTACGGTAAATCTGAAGAATTCGGCAAACTTGTTGCATCAAAGTGCGTCGAGGTACTCTCCAAGTGCCCCGTGAACGACGCTATGTTACGGTTAGTGATTACGTGTTGTCGTATATCTTCTGCAGCATTTGCTCCACCATGATTGGAGAATATGGTCATTTGATAGACAGTGTTTACCCACTGAGTAAGCAGTCTTCCCTTTTGGAGCGTTACTTTGTATTGTGTTCCGATTCAACAAAAGCCATCGTTCTTTTTACCTTGGCCAAGTGCGCTGCTCGAGATAGTTCGATTTATGCACGGGTTGAACGATTTTTAGAATCACAGGTTATACACCACGACGCATACGTACAATCTACGGCATGTGAGCTTTTGCGTCTTATGATTCTCGGCGCTCCATTTTTCCAGAACATCGTGATTGGGAACCACGGCAAATATGGCGCCCCCAATATCCTTGCTCTAACCGACGGTGTTGGTTCGGGGTCTGCTGATTCGTATCTCTCGGAGTCGCCTTATCGCATCGGTGGTCGTGGTAACCAGTCTGTCTACTCCTCTGATTTATCGTCGTCGTCATTCACTTCATCGTATGAGACCATCTCCAGTGTCTGAATCGATGACATTGCTGTGAGTCGCAGCATATGTTCGGACGCTCTACAAGCGCTGCTGTTCTGGGTTGCCTTCGCGGGACAAACAAAAGATTGTCATGTCTACACTATCAAGACCCCGTTTGACGGTATCGCGACCTAATAGTTGCGTGCAAAAGGCACGGCGGTGTATTTTTAGGTGCTTTGCTTTCGAGGTGTATGTTAACTATTCCGTGGTTTGCAAAAAGCGCCACGGTCAAAATACTGTCGCTCGTTTTAAGTTTTAGTTACAATATTTACCAGAGGGCTGCGTATATAACTAGTCTCACGGTTGTCATGCCACTGGAATCGCATGAACATTCCCGCTGGACGACAGAAGCTCCTGCTACCACTTTCGCTGGTTAGCCACTGTCTCGGTGAGTTGCTATCTAACGCACAGAGTAGGTTATAACATGAGCAAATTGCCACTGGATGAGGACAAGCACGGTAACGGATTGAGCGAGGAGTTCGATAGACGTTCGCGTGTTCGATCGGGAAAGGGAGTACATCCCTTCTTGCGCACTCTCAAGCTGTGGCTCTTATATTTTCGCCTATAACTTGGGTGAAGCGCATTGAAGGTAAGTAGGATGGTTGTGTTCTAACAGTAATTGCTGACAGTGACCTTTGATTCAGGTGTCTACTATCTGGTGGTCATCTGTTAAGCATTTCGGCTACACTGCACAAACAGCCATCGAAAACAGTGTCCTAACTTTATATGAAATTTGCTTCGAGTATCGTGTGTTGTGGCCCGTCTCGTTGTGGCGTCCCCACAGGAACTATCGCGCAGTGCGTCCTTCCCGTTTTAGGATTTAATAAAAAGCGAAAGACCTGAGATAATAACAACGGATTTCCGTGTTCTCGTGGCTTACATTGCGGGTCACCGTATGCCTATTCTTGTGTCCTTATTTTCGCGAGTTGCTTAGCGTTGTTCCGTTGGCGTGTTTTCTCCGTCGGTTCAGCTCCATACCATTGTGACTTCACTCCGTGCAAGTTTGTGTGCGCGGTAATTTTTTGTGCAGACTCCTTTAGAGAGCAACGAAGTTGGTTTTTGCTTCGATGTGCTGACTTTGCCTACGCCCCAGCGAGTTGTAACGATGGCCACCAGCGTAGCGCCCGGCGCAGCCGATCCTTCCAAGCCCGCCGTTCGGGGCCGGCGCTACGAGCGTGGTGAGCGCGCGGAGCGCGGTCCTCGCCCTGAACGTCCGGAGCCTCGTGCACCAAGGCCTTTGCGTCCTGAGGAGATTCCTCTTAAGAAACAAATTGATGAGGAGTCGCAGGCAATTACTCGTCTTCACGAGCAGTTGGCCGCTTTGAACAAGCAAATTGAGGACAGTCGTCGTGAGAATGAGGGCGGTGAGAAAGGCGCTATTAAGATGCGTTTGGACGAGCTCCAATCCCGAATTAGCGAATTAGACAGACAGCGTTCACACTGCTTAAACGCCATTGACAATCATCACAAAGAGACTCGTGAAAAGAACAAGGCGTTGAACGAGATGCGTCAAGGCGTTGGTTACAAGAATGAGGCTGAGATTGAACGTCTGATGCAGCAGCTTGAGTCGCGTATGGAAACGACATCTATGACCCTAAAGGAGGAAAAATCAATCATGCAGCAGCTTCAACAGTTGCGCCAGGCCAAGACGTCACTTGAGATGTTCGAAAACTCACGTCAGGCTGCCGCTGCGGGTGACAACACTGTTGCAACAATGAAGAACCAGCTGGATGAATTGAGGAATCAGATGACTGAGTTGCGTAAGATCCGAAGGGAGGAAGCACAGCGTTTGTCTGTACTAAACGAGAGTGACCGTAAGCACTTTGACGGCATCAAGGAGTTGAGAGACCAGCGCAAACAGATTACCACAGAGTTGAAGGAGCGCAACGCCAACAAGTCGAAGCTTATTGATCAGCTTAAAGAGTTGAACAATGCTCACTATGCGAAGCAACGTTTGCTTCAGCAGCAACGTCAGAAGAAGCAGCAGGAGGAGCGTGAACGCCGCAACTTGGAGCACGAGATCAAACAGATGCGTACTCAGTTAGACAATTTGACATTTTTGCCCTATGAAAAGGAGATCCGACTATTGGATCAGGTTATTGGTTACGTGAATCGTCTCCAAACCCAGGAGACAGGTCAGGTAGCCAAAATTGACGAGCCTACTGTAGAAGAATCGGAGCTCTTGGCTGCTCTGGAGGGTACTCGCGTCATACCTAAGAAAGCACGTGATGAGTATTTCATCCCTCCCAAGCAAAAGTCTAAGAACAAGGCTCCCCGTGATAAGTCAAAGGCCATTGGTCTGAAATTGGACATGGTGACCATCGGCTACTTCGAGTCATGTGGAGTAACCCCTCCAACATCGATGTCATCACTCCCTGAATGTCTTCAGAAGTTGGAGGCTAAGTTGCTTCACTTCCACGATTTGCGGAAGGATTGCGACGTCGATGCAATGCGTGCAGCCCAGGAGGCAAAATTAGCTAATGCTGAGAAGCGTCTTGAAGAGCTGCTGGCGCAACGCAATGCACCCAAAGCTGCTGAAAATGTTGCCGCTGAATCAGTTGACGCAGAGCCTGAGGAACAAGAGCCTGCTCCTGAACAGAGCGAAGAATGAAACATCAAAGAAATGGCACTTCAGCATTTATACTAACACTGAAGTAGAATTTTACAACGTATTAAAAACTAATCTTAAGGCAAACAACACTCTATATATAAATGTGTAATCGAGATTATCACGGACACATTATTTTGGTGAGTGTTGTGCTTGATGTACGGGTCATATCGTATTTATATGTTTCCCCTGTTATTATCAAAGCGTTCTTAAATAATATTTTGGAGGTATTTTGAAGATTGATTCGAGGTATGCTGGGTGCTTATCGATGTACTGGTTGATATATTGTCGCTTTGTGCTGCTGGTGTTAATGTTTTATGTGTTTTGCTACTGTACCGCGTCGATTTGCCTGTTTAATTTTATATTATGCATGTTTTAGTGGTTGCGCATGTTAACTGTGTTATAGATGGCAAGGACAAAGCAAACTGCTCGCAAGTCTACCGGTGGCAAGGCCCCTCGTAAGCAGTTGGCTACTAAAGCTGCTCGCAAGGCTGCGCCTGTGACTGCTGGTGTGAAAAAACCACATCGTTACCGTCCTGGTACCGTTGCGTTGCGTGAGATCCGCAAGTTCCAGAAATCTACGGAACTGCTTATCCGTAAGCTTCCGTTTCAGCGATTGGTGAGGGAGATTGCTCAAGACTTCAAAACGGACCTGCGTTTCCAATCACAGGCCGTGCTTGCGTTGCAGGAAGCAGCTGAGGCGTACTTGGTTGGTCTCTTCGAGGACACCAACTTGTGTGCCATTCACGCTAAGCGTGTGACTATTATGCCGAAAGATATTCAGCTTGCTCGACGTATTAGAGGCGAGCGTGCTTGAACGATGCTCAAATGGATATAGTTCATATCTTTGTTGCGGTATTTTTTGTAGCTCATGGTACGTCGGATCTTGGTTGATCTATCTCAGCATCTCGCTTTCGCTGCATACGTACCCGCCGCGCTATACCTAATGGTTGTTTGAACAAACTACGACTAATCTGTTGTGTTGCTCTTTTGTGTTTTGCCATCTTTTCAGTTTCTTGCCTTAGCTTTGGTAGTTATTACAGTAGAATCACTTTGGGTGCTGTTTGCCCCTTTGGATACGCTTCTCAAGGTGTATATTAGGCGCCTATAACGTATTTCCCTATAGACGCAACCGTATAATATGACGGAAGGGCCCAGTTCATTGGAGTCTCCGTTTCTCGACGAATCGTCGGAACTAGAGTCACCACTAGACATCGTTGCACCAGGAGATCTCGATGAAAAGTCGACCAGTGTCTATTCACCAGTGGTCCCATATCCAAGCCCCGCCATTTCAGAAGGTGGACCTTCTGATGAACAACCAACCGACTTAACAGCTCCAGCATCCACGTGGTTTGCAAGATGCTTTCGTGTGGTCTGCAAGCACAGTTGGATTCCATCCATATTTTTCTACATTTTAGGATTAATCACTGTGCTAGGCGCTTTGTTTGGCGATCAATGGAGGATGATGAGTATTAAGTATAGCCGTGGTAACATAAATGGTAGCAGCGTTACAGTATTGGGTAGTTTTTCTCTGCATCGTGTAGACTATGCGACTATGGATTCTGCATCCCTTTTGTTCAAGAATGACCTCAGCTACAAAAGCATCGTTGACGGACAATACTGCCCATCTACTGAACCGCTAGTACCTATTGGCGAAGATTCATTAGACTCAGACGTCTTAAGGCGCATTGATCAGGTGGGCTTGCTTCCTCATGACCAAGAAGAAGCGTTTATTAAGAAACATGGCCGCCCTATCTACGATGTGCTATGCAGTGGAATTGCTGATTTAAAAAAGGCTGGAATGTTCATGATAGGTATAGGATCTTTATCTACGTTTCTGTATTTCCTACAACTGTTCTTTTGTATTAAGCGTAATGGAATGAACAAAATCTCTAGGGGAGAAGGTCTATACTCAGTGTTTGAACTGATATTCGCTTGTGCCTGGGTATTCTCATGGTTATTGGGGATTATTGCATCAATGGGTTACAGTTTGGGTTCCAACGATTGGTATTGCATCAATGCCGCTGGAGAGATGATGACATGTCCACTAAGCACTAGTACCTACCTTTTCATCGTGTACACCATTAGTAACATACTATCTTTCATGTTCTACCTTCTGTACGGCAAAAGTTTGAGCGACGGCATTGCACATGCCCCAATTCGTTGGCGTCGTAGAGTGCCGTCCGAGAGCAGCCAAGGATAATGTATTGAGATGATATTGCGCCGTGTCCTAGATCACGTGGCCTGTCTGTTGGAACGGCGGCACGTCGAGTTCAGTAAGCCTGTTTTGAGCTCTCATACGCGTCGTGGAGCTGCTCACCGTTTTAGTCGCGGCGGTTTGCGTCACTACGGGGAGTGGATCAGCACCTGCGCTTTCGTCTACCGTTGTTTGCATAGACACGGGTTATCGTGCGAATCGTTTTATTCCACCGAGATCGGCCGGAATTTTATCACGGCGCTGGAGAGTCGCCTGTGCAGCGCCACTGGGTCTCATCTCTACCAGATATTGATAGCTGCACGTCAATTCGAGGCTAGTTGATGCTTTGTTTGCGTTGACAAAAATTTAGGTACCGGTGGAGTCTATTGTTTTACGTGAGCTGTTACCTCAGCTGTCTAGTCTGGGTACCATCGAGCTTCTGCGCCTGCCCAGATTTGTTGATACTTGTGACCCTGTGTTTTGGCGCTCTCTGCTCGAGGTACGTCATCGCTCCAGCTCCATAGTGGTTGCAGGAGGTGGCGTCACGGTCTGAATCTGGCACGCGGCCACCAGGGACGGTGGGCATGCTCGAAGTTTCGCTTTATGAATCCTTTCGTTGCGAAATAACTAGTCACATATCACGATAATTATTGGTAGTACAAAGGTTCATCATCATCATCATCACTTAGATCTCCATAGAGCATATCTAGCTCGTCCTGATAGTTTTTGGCACTTGGTATGTCATTTGGTTTTTTCTTTGCGAATGAAACCTGACTTTGTTTTGCCTCTCTTGCTTTAATTGTGGCATCTATCTTGCGCTTTAAAGTTTGTAGATCCTTCATTTCGATTTTTTTCTCACATGCCTGGAATAGTGTGTCTAGGAACTGTAGCCAGATGGCACTTTTTGCCTATGGTATATGATTCGGGCGATGTTCACTTTAACGTACCGGGCTCTGTTCTATCTTTTGCGATAGTTTCTTTGCGACTTCGTCACAATCCTTAAGGCACTTTAGAGAGACATGTGCGAGAGGATCGGTGGGAACTGCGTATTAGGTTTCCCTCTGTTTCTTCACCTACTGATAGCAGTTATCGGATTCTGTGCGAACACGTCGTTTGATGCGTCGATGCCATTGCCTGTGCCCCTTGTGGGCACGCCAAAAAGGTCATCTACGAATTCCCTATCGGCAGACTCGCTCAATCTGTAGCGTATCAATTTCTGCTGTCGAAGGCTTACTTCTGCGCCTGGAGCTTTTGTGAAAGCTGGGCAACCTCTGCTTTGTTTTGCTCTGCATGGCACTATACGATACCACTCATTGTATACGTACTTTGCTCCTCCTCCTCGGAGTCCGTGTAGGCGTCCCAGCAATCTAGCGTGTCACTGTCCTCTGGCATCGTGTTAGGCGTGTCTTATTACCTCGCCTAAACTGCCGACAGAATTGTGCTTCGTGAACTTATACAATATACTCGTACCAACGTTTTATAACATGATTTGTGGTACTCCAATTCGTTCGTCTTTCAGCCCGTTGCCGGCTTTCTATGTTTCGCTCCACTGATGGGGGTATAGGTTTTGCACATATGCTCGTGTCCTTATCGCATATTGTGTTGCCACCTTCTGCGTTTTATTTAGCTGTTGTTCGTGTTTAGCTATAATATTTGTGTGTGCTATGTTAGCTTCCTCGAGTTTACGGTGTGTGTCTGCTGTGCGACCATGTCGCTTCTCCATCGTCAATTGGTTGAGCTGTGCCCCGTGAATGTGCTACGACCATCGATTCCATGCGCTGTCGATGCTCTGTCTCGTGTTGCATTGATTGATGTGTATAACGACGCGTTATCTCTAGACCCTGTTGGATACCGTAACGCATTCCGTGCCATATATTCCCTTGATTCAGCCGATTTACCATCAACCTTGGACTTCGATAGTGCGTCAGACCTGGATACCGCCAAACTGTCAACTGGAGAGTTGTCTCTTGGGTCGCTGTTGGCGTTCAATGCTACGGGCTGCGTGTGTCGTACCAGTAGCATTTTGTACCGAGCTTTGCAGGATTCTTTGCACGGCGTAGATGGTGACTGGCAGTCTACATGTACGGGACTTTTGTTTTATGTTCTTTTGAGTGTGGGTGTGATATTGATCGTTGTAATATTTCTTAGTTATCTGCTATAATTTCTTGTTTGCGTTTGTCCAGCAACTACAGCCTCCAATGCGCATACTCTATCACTTGTTTGGTGTTATACAACACGTTATTCGTGTTCACTTACCATGGGGAGCGTTTGATCCTCTGTGCGACCCTTCAACTGTGGGTGATTAACTTTTGTTTACGACTCCTTGTCAGGGTTACATTGCTACTTTGCTTTGGTGGCCGTTCTAAGCCTCTATCGGTACCTTCGGATTCCGATAGCTCGTCCAGGTAAAATATTTGCTAGACTATTTTACTAGGTTTCAGCTTTGCACATATTGTTGTACGCACTAGAGGTTTATTCATGATTGCCACTATTATAGGTACTGTTATATTGAGCCATTAAAACCTATTCTCAGCCATTCTAGCCTACGATAATATCTATTTCAATAGACACTGCTCGAAGACGTTCTTCAGTGGATACTCCGCGGTGAGTTACACTCACGATTTGTTGAGTTAATATGGTTCTTGCGCGTGACCGCCCTGACTCAATGATGCCACGGGCAGCGGTTAAATGTGCCGAAAGGATCTAGTACAACCATGACAATATATGTGATTTAGCAGGATCTTTCGAGAATGACGAAGTGTGTGACAAGTGAAGGTGAGCATGGGAAGGTAGGTGCTGTTTACGACTGCGAAATTGGGATACGAGTAGTTCCTCGTCTCACTCGTTATATCGTGTGTTTTAAGTTTTAATTTTTTGTTTTAAAAATGTGGCAGCCCCGTGGTTTCCACCGAGGATCTACAGTCATTATGAGTGGCTTCGACCCTCAGTTCAGCGCCGACGACTGCCGTGCTTTTGCTTCATGGTTCTCACCGGTGGTATACGTGGAACAGTTATCTACCAACAACGATAAGTCACGTTTCATGGTTGTTTTTGCTTCTAACGCTCATGTCGAGGTATGTTTTGCGCACGTCGGATGTGTCATATCCGCACAGCAATTGGCAAGACACAGGGAGATATCTGTTGATAACGGCATAATAGAGGTGAAGGCTGTCGGCACGGATGAGTCCGTGTGGAACACCATGGGTGATATGATGACGTACACTAGCGCGGTAAGTGTGTACTCTGCTTTTCTCAGCGGCACAAGTTGAACGCACTATTCACTACATCTCAGGCTCCTATACTTCAAATGGCACAGGATGGACTTAATGCCGCGTTAAATCAACTATCTTTCGGTTGGGGCGGTTATTTGACCGGTTAGACCACGTATTATTGCGCAGGCATTCGCTCAGATTCTTCCTTAATTCAGGGGTGCAGCACGGGCATGTGTCGCACATGTCATGCACTTTATCAATGAATCTGTGGCTCGTGAAAGCAATGCAACATTTATTATCCGCGCTGGATACTGCTTCATGGGTGTATGAGCCGGCGGTCAAAAGGGTTTCGCCGTATCCCATTCGGATCTTCCTCCATCTGTCAAGGTTACACTTAGTTGAGATCGTAAAGTTGTGAGGGTGTACTCTACACAACTTCAACGCATATATTGTTACAAAACGTAGTTTCATAATTTTGCAAAATGCTAATACGTTCGCAATTAACTACCGAAACTTCACTACGCCATCTATAGAACTATTATATAGGCGCTAGTATACTGTATTTGTTACACTTGATCCACATTGTTTGCCAGGTTCATGCCCGAAAATTAAAAATCGCCATATGTGGTACCAACGTACGACGCAACACGGTTAATATTTGCCAAATGGTCAGACCTATATATGGCTAGAACACCAATAGACCTTGTCAGGCGGAAGAGATCACCATTAAGATCTCCATAGAGCTTCCCACTATATGTACGCGCGGCCACTTAAGGCTTTTAAAGGTACCGAAAATAATACTGCACCATGAAAATAAATATGATTGTGACTTCATCTTAAAATGTTGCATAATTTTTGATTAGAATTCCGTTTGTTGTGAGATATATATTTACACATTAGCTCTAATAGTGCCACACATTATTTTGGTGAGTGTTGTGCTTGATGTACGGGTCATATCGTATTTATATGTTTCCCCTGTTATTATCAAAGCGTTCTTAAATAATATTTTGGAGGTATTTTGAAGATTGATTCGAGGTATGCTGGGTGCTTATCGATGTACTGGTTGATATATTGTCGCTTTGTGCTGCTGGTGTTAATGTTTTATGTGTTTTGCTACTGTACCGCGTCGATTTGCCTGTTTAATTTTATATTATGCATGTTTTAGTGGTTGCGCATGTTAACTGTGTTATAGATGGCAAGGACAAAGCAAACTGCTCGCAAGTCTACCGGTGGCAAGGCCCCTCGTAAGCAGTTGGCTACTAAAGCTGCTCGCAAGGCTGCGCCTGTGACTGCTGGTGTGAAAAAACCACATCGTTACCGTCCTGGTACCGTTGCGTTGCGTGAGATCCGCAAGTTCCAGAAATCTACGGAACTGCTTATCCGTAAGCTTCCGTTTCAGCGATTGGTGAGGGAGATTGCTCAAGACTTCAAAACGGACCTGCGTTTCCAATCACAGGCCGTGCTTGCGTTGCAGGAAGCAGCTGAGGCGTACTTGGTTGGTCTCTTCGAGGACACCAACTTGTGTGCCATTCACGCTAAGCGTGTGACTATTATGCCGAAAGATATTCAGCTTGCTCGACGTATTAGAGGCGAGCGTGCTTGAACGATGCTCAAATGGATATAGTTCATATCTTTGTTGCGGTATTTTTTGTAGCTCATGGTACGTCGGATCTTGGTTGATCTATCTCAGCATCTCGCTTTCGCTGCATACGTACCCGCCGCGCTATACCTAATGGTTGTTTGAACAAACTACGACTAATCTGTTGTGTTGCTCTTTTGTGTTTTGCCATCTTTTCAGTTTCTTGCCTTAGCTTTGGTAGTTATTACAGTAGAATCACTTTGGGTGCTGTTTGCCCCTTTGGATACGCTTCTCAAGGTGTATATTAGGCGCCTATAACGTATTTCCCTATAGACGCAACCGTATAATATGACGGAAGGGCCCAGTTCATTGGAGTCTCCGTTTCTCGACGAATCGTCGGAACTAGAGTCACCACTAGACATCGTTGCACCAGGAGATCTCGATGAAAAGTCGACCAGTGTCTATTCACCAGTGGTCCCATATCCAAGCCCCGCCATTTCAGAAGGTGGACCTTCTGATGAACAACCAACCGACTTAACAGCTCCAGCATCCACGTGGTTTGCAAGATGCTTTCGTGTGGTCTGCAAGCACAGTTGGATTCCATCCATATTTTTCTACATTTTAGGATTAATCACTGTGCTAGGCGCTTTGTTTGGCGATCAATGGAGGATGATGAGTATTAAGTATAGCCGTGGTAACATAAATGGTAGCAGCGTTACAGTATTGGGTAGTTTTTCTCTGCATCGTGTAGACTATGCGACTATGGATTCTGCATCCCTTTTGTTCAAGAATGACCTCAGCTACAAAAGCATCGTTGACGGACAATACTGCCCATCTACTGAACCGCTAGTACCTATTGGCGAAGATTCATTAGACTCAGACGTCTTAAGGCGCATTGATCAGGTGGGCTTGCTTCCTCATGACCAAGAAGAAGCGTTTATTAAGAAACATGGCCGCCCTATCTACGATGTGCTATGCAGTGGAATTGCTGATTTAAAAAAGGCTGGAATGTTCATGATAGGTATAGGATCTTTATCTACGTTTCTGTATTTCCTACAACTGTTCTTTTGTATTAAGCGTAATGGAATGAACAAAATCTCTAGGGGAGAAGGTCTATACTCAGTGTTTGAACTGATATTCGCTTGTGCCTGGGTATTCTCATGGTTATTGGGGATTATTGCATCAATGGGTTACAGTTTGGGTTCCAACGATTGGTATTGCATCAATGCCGCTGGAGAGATGATGACATGTCCACTAAGCACTAGTACCTACCTTTTCATCGTGTACACCATTAGTAACATACTATCTTTCATGTTCTACCTTCTGTACGGCAAAAGTTTGAGCGACGGCATTGCACATGCCCCAATTCGTTGGCGTCGTAGAGTGCCGTCCGAGAGCAGCCAAGGATAATGTATTGAGATGATATTGCGCCGTGTCCTAGATCACGTGGCCTGTCTGTTGGAACGGCGGCACGTCGAGTTCAGTAAGCCTGTTTTGAGCTCTCATACGCGTCGTGGAGCTGCTCACCGTTTTAGTCGCGGCGGTTTGCGTCACTACGGGGAGTGGATCAGCACCTGCGCTTTCGTCTACCGTTGTTTGCATAGACACGGGTTATCGTGCGAATCGTTTTATTCCACCGAGATCGGCCGGAATTTTATCACGGCGCTGGAGAGTCGCCTGTGCAGCGCCACTGGGTCTCATCTCTACCAGATATTGATAGCTGCACGTCAATTCGAGGCTAGTTGATGCTTTGTTTGCGTTGACAAAAATTTAGGTACCGGTGGAGTCTATTGTTTTACGTGAGCTGTTACCTCAGCTGTCTAGTCTGGGTACCATCGAGCTTCTGCGCCTGCCCAGATTTGTTGATACTTGTGACCCTGTGTTTTGGCGCTCTCTGCTCGAGGTACGTCATCGCTCCAGCTCCATAGTGGTTGCAGGAGGTGGCGTCACGGTCTGAATCTGGCACGCGGCCACCAGGGACGGTGGGCATGCTCGAAGTTTCGCTTTATGAATCCTTTCGTTGCGAAATAACTAGTCACATATCACGATAATTATTGGTAGTACAAAGGTTCATCATCATCATCATCACTTAGATCTCCATAGAGCATATCTAGCTCGTCCTGATAGTTTTTGGCACTTGGTATGTCATTTGGTTTTTTCTTTGCGAATGAAACCTGACTTTGTTTTGCCTCTCTTGCTTTAATTGTGGCATCTATCTTGCGCTTTAAAGTTTGTAGATCCTTCATTTCGATTTTTTTCTCACATGCCTGGAATAGTGTGTCTAGGAACTGTAGCCAGATGGCACTTTTTGCCTATGGTATATGATTCGGGCGATGTTCACTTTAACGTACCGGGCTCTGTTCTATCTTTTGCGATAGTTTCTTTGCGACTTCGTCACAATCCTTAAGGCACTTTAGAGAGACATGTGCGAGAGGATCGGTGGGAACTGCGTATTAGGTTTCCCTCTGTTTCTTCACCTACTGATAGCAGTTATCGGATTCTGTGCGAACACGTCGTTTGATGCGTCGATGCCATTGCCTGTGCCCCTTGTGGGCACGCCAAAAAGGTCATCTACGAATTCCCTATCGGCAGACTCGCTCAATCTGTAGCGTATCAATTTCTGCTGTCGAAGGCTTACTTCTGCGCCTGGAGCTTTTGTGAAAGCTGGGCAACCTCTGCTTTGTTTTGCTCTGCATGGCACTATACGATACCACTCATTGTATACGTACTTTGCTCCTCCTCCTCGGAGTCCGTGTAGGCGTCCCAGCAATCTAGCGTGTCACTGTCCTCTGGCATCGTGTTAGGCGTGTCTTATTACCTCGCCTAAACTGCCGACAGAATTGTGCTTCGTGAACTTATACAATATACTCGTACCAACGTTTTATAACATGATTTGTGGTACTCCAATTCGTTCGTCTTTCAGCCCGTTGCCGGCTTTCTATGTTTCGCTCCACTGATGGGGGTATAGGTTTTGCACATATGCTCGTGTCCTTATCGCATATTGTGTTGCCACCTTCTGCGTTTTATTTAGCTGTTGTTCGTGTTTAGCTATAATATTTGTGTGTGCTATGTTAGCTTCCTCGAGTTTACGGTGTGTGTCTGCTGTGCGACCATGTCGCTTCTCCATCGTCAATTGGTTGAGCTGTGCCCCGTGAATGTGCTACGACCATCGATTCCATGCGCTGTCGATGCTCTGTCTCGTGTTGCATTGATTGATGTGTATAACGACGCGTTATCTCTAGACCCTGTTGGATACCGTAACGCATTCCGTGCCATATATTCCCTTGATTCAGCCGATTTACCATCAACCTTGGACTTCGATAGTGCGTCAGACCTGGATACCGCCAAACTGTCAACTGGAGAGTTGTCTCTTGGGTCGCTGTTGGCGTTCAATGCTACGGGCTGCGTGTGTCGTACCAGTAGCATTTTGTACCGAGCTTTGCAGGATTCTTTGCACGGCGTAGATGGTGACTGGCAGTCTACATGTACGGGACTTTTGTTTTATGTTCTTTTGAGTGTGGGTGTGATATTGATCGTTGTAATATTTCTTAGTTATCTGCTATAATTTCTTGTTTGCGTTTGTCCAGCAACTACAGCCTCCAATGCGCATACTCTATCACTTGTTTGGTGTTATACAACACGTTATTCGTGTTCACTTACCATGGGGAGCGTTTGATCCTCTGTGCGACCCTTCAACTGTGGGTGATTAACTTTTGTTTACGACTCCTTGTCAGGGTTACATTGCTACTTTGCTTTGGTGGCCGTTCTAAGCCTCTATCGGTACCTTCGGATTCCGATAGCTCGTCCAGGTAAAATATTTGCTAGACTATTTTACTAGGTTTCAGCTTTGCACATATTGTTGTACGCACTAGAGGTTTATTCATGATTGCCACTATTATAGGTACTGTTATATTGAGCCATTAAAACCTATTCTCAGCCATTCTAGCCTACGATAATATCTATTTCAATAGACACTGCTCGAAGACGTTCTTCAGTGGATACTCCGCGGTGAGTTACACTCACGATTTGTTGAGTTAATATGGTTCTTGCGCGTGACCGCCCTGACTCAATGATGCCACGGGCAGCGGTTAAATGTGCCGAAAGGATCTAGTACAACCATGACAATATATGTGATTTAGCAGGATCTTTCGAGAATGACGAAGTGTGTGACAAGTGAAGGTGAGCATGGGAAGGTAGGTGCTGTTTACGACTGCGAAATTGGGATACGAGTAGTTCCTCGTCTCACTCGTTATATCGTGTGTTTTAAGTTTTAATTTTTTGTTTTAAAAATGTGGCAGCCCCGTGGTTTCCACCGAGGATCTACAGTCATTATGAGTGGCTTCGACCCTCAGTTCAGCGCCGACGACTGCCGTGCTTTTGCTTCATGGTTCTCACCGGTGGTATACGTGGAACAGTTATCTACCAACAACGATAAGTCACGTTTCATGGTTGTTTTTGCTTCTAACGCTCATGTCGAGGTATGTTTTGCGCACGTCGGATGTGTCATATCCGCACAGCAATTGGCAAGACACAGGGAGATATCTGTTGATAACGGCATAATAGAGGTGAAGGCTGTCGGCACGGATGAGTCCGTGTGGAACACCATGGGTGATATGATGACGTACACTAGCGCGGTAAGTGTGTACTCTGCTTTTCTCAGCGGCACAAGTTGAACGCACTATTCACTACATCTCAGGCTCCTATACTTCAAATGGCACAGGATGGACTTAATGCCGCGTTAAATCAACTATCTTTCGGTTGGGGCGGTTATTTGACCGGTTAGACCACGTATTATTGCGCAGGCATTCGCTCAGATTCTTCCTTAATTCAGGGGTGCAGCACGGGCATGTGTCGCACATGTCATGCACTTTATCAATGAATCTGTGGCTCGTGAAAGCAATGCAACATTTATTATCCGCGCTGGATACTGCTTCATGGGTGTATGAGCCGGCGGTCAAAAGGGTTTCGCCGTATCCCATTCGGATCTTCCTCCATCTGTCAAGGTTACACTTAGTTGAGATCGTAAAGTTGTGAGGGTGTACTCTACACAACTTCAACGCATATATTGTTACAAAACGTAGTTTCATAATTTTGCAAAATGCTAATACGTTCGCAATTAACTACCGAAACTTCACTACGCCATCTATAGAACTATTATATAGGCGCTAGTATACTGTATTTGTTACACTTGATCCACATTGTTTGCCAGGTTCATGCCCGAAAATTAAAAATCGCCATATGTGGTACCAACGTACGACGCAACACGGTTAATATTTGCCAAATGGTCAGACCTATATATGGCTAGAACACCAATAGACCTTGTCAGGCGGAAGAGATCACCATTAAGATCTCCATAGAGCTTCCCACTATATGTACGCGCGGCCACTTAAGGCTTTTAAAGGTACCGAAAATAATACTGCACCATGAAAATAAATATGATTGTGACTTCATCTTAAAATGTTGCATAATTTTTGATTAGAATTCCGTTTGTTGTGAGATATATATTTACACATTAGCTCTAATAGTGCCNTAAAAAAGGCTGGAATGTTCATGATAGGTATAGGATCTTTATCTACGTTTCTGTATTTCCTACAACTGTTCTTTTGTATTAAGCGTAATGGAATGAACAAAATCTCTAGGGGAGAAGGTCTATACTCAGTGTTTGAACTGATATTCGCTTGTGCCTGGGTATTCTCATGGTTATTGGGGATTATTGCATCAATGGGTTACAGTTTGGGTTCCAACGATTGGTATTGCATCAATGCCGCTGGAGAGATGATGACATGTCCACTAAGCACTAGTACCTACCTTTTCATCGTGTACACCATTAGTAACATACTATCTTTCATGTTCTACCTTCTGTACGGCAAAAGTTTGAGCGACGGCATTGCACATGCCCCAATTCGTTGGCGTCGTAGAGTGCCGTCCGAGAGCAGCCAAGGATAATGTATTGAGATGATATTGCGCCGTGTCCTAGATCACGTGGCCTGTCTGTTGGAACGGCGGCACGTCGAGTTCAGTAAGCCTGTTTTGAGCTCTCATACGCGTCGTGGAGCTGCTCACCGTTTTAGTCGCGGCGGTTTGCGTCACTACGGGGAGTGGATCAGCACCTGCGCTTTCGTCTACCGTTGTTTGCATAGACACGGGTTATCGTGCGAATCGTTTTATTCCACCGAGATCGGCCGGAATTTTATCACGGCGCTGGAGAGTCGCCTGTGCAGCGCCACTGGGTCTCATCTCTACCAGATATTGATAGCTGCACGTCAATTCGAGGCTAGTTGATGCTTTGTTTGCGTTGACAAAAATTTAGGTACCGGTGGAGTCTATTGTTTTACGTGAGCTGTTACCTCAGCTGTCTAGTCTGGGTACCATCGAGCTTCTGCGCCTGCCCAGATTTGTTGATACTTGTGACCCTGTGTTTTGGCGCTCTCTGCTCGAGGTACGTCATCGCTCCAGCTCCATAGTGGTTGCAGGAGGTGGCGTCACGGTCTGAATCTGGCACGCGGCCACCAGGGACGGTGGGCATGCTCGAAGTTTCGCTTTATGAATCCTTTCGTTGCGAAATAACTAGTCACATATCACGATAATTATTGGTAGTACAAAGGTTCATCATCATCATCATCACTTAGATCTCCATAGAGCATATCTAGCTCGTCCTGATAGTTTTTGGCACTTGGTATGTCATTTGGTTTTTTCTTTGCGAATGAAACCTGACTTTGTTTTGCCTCTCTTGCTTTAATTGTGGCATCTATCTTGCGCTTTAAAGTTTGTAGATCCTTCATTTCGATTTTTTTCTCACATGCCTGGAATAGTGTGTCTAGGAACTGTAGCCAGATGGCACTTTTTGCCTATGGTATATGATTCGGGCGATGTTCACTTTAACGTACCGGGCTCTGTTCTATCTTTTGCGATAGTTTCTTTGCGACTTCGTCACAATCCTTAAGGCACTTTAGAGAGACATGTGCGAGAGGATCGGTGGGAACTGCGTATTAGGTTTCCCTCTGTTTCTTCACCTACTGATAGCAGTTATCGGATTCTGTGCGAACACGTCGTTTGATGCGTCGATGCCATTGCCTGTGCCCCTTGTGGGCACGCCAAAAAGGTCATCTACGAATTCCCTATCGGCAGACTCGCTCAATCTGTAGCGTATCAATTTCTGCTGTCGAAGGCTTACTTCTGCGCCTGGAGCTTTTGTGAAAGCTGGGCAACCTCTGCTTTGTTTTGCTCTGCATGGCACTATACGATACCACTCATTGTATACGTACTTTGCTCCTCCTCCTCGGAGTCCGTGTAGGCGTCCCAGCAATCTAGCGTGTCACTGTCCTCTGGCATCGTGTTAGGCGTGTCTTATTACCTCGCCTAAACTGCCGACAGAATTGTGCTTCGTGAACTTATACAATATACTCGTACCAACGTTTTATAACATGATTTGTGGTACTCCAATTCGTTCGTCTTTCAGCCCGTTGCCGGCTTTCTATGTTTCGCTCCACTGATGGGGGTATAGGTTTTGCACATATGCTCGTGTCCTTATCGCATATTGTGTTGCCACCTTCTGCGTTTTATTTAGCTGTTGTTCGTGTTTAGCTATAATATTTGTGTGTGCTATGTTAGCTTCCTCGAGTTTACGGTGTGTGTCTGCTGTGCGACCATGTCGCTTCTCCATCGTCAATTGGTTGAGCTGTGCCCCGTGAATGTGCTACGACCATCGATTCCATGCGCTGTCGATGCTCTGTCTCGTGTTGCATTGATTGATGTGTATAACGACGCGTTATCTCTAGACCCTGTTGGATACCGTAACGCATTCCGTGCCATATATTCCCTTGATTCAGCCGATTTACCATCAACCTTGGACTTCGATAGTGCGTCAGACCTGGATACCGCCAAACTGTCAACTGGAGAGTTGTCTCTTGGGTCGCTGTTGGCGTTCAATGCTACGGGCTGCGTGTGTCGTACCAGTAGCATTTTGTACCGAGCTTTGCAGGATTCTTTGCACGGCGTAGATGGTGACTGGCAGTCTACATGTACGGGACTTTTGTTTTATGTTCTTTTGAGTGTGGGTGTGATATTGATCGTTGTAATATTTCTTAGTTATCTGCTATAATTTCTTGTTTGCGTTTGTCCAGCAACTACAGCCTCCAATGCGCATACTCTATCACTTGTTTGGTGTTATACAACACGTTATTCGTGTTCACTTACCATGGGGAGCGTTTGATCCTCTGTGCGACCCTTCAACTGTGGGTGATTAACTTTTGTTTACGACTCCTTGTCAGGGTTACATTGCTACTTTGCTTTGGTGGCCGTTCTAAGCCTCTATCGGTACCTTCGGATTCCGATAGCTCGTCCAGGTAAAATATTTGCTAGACTATTTTACTAGGTTTCAGCTTTGCACATATTGTTGTACGCACTAGAGGTTTATTCATGATTGCCACTATTATAGGTACTGTTATATTGAGCCATTAAAACCTATTCTCAGCCATTCTAGCCTACGATAATATCTATTTCAATAGACACTGCTCGAAGACGTTCTTCAGTGGATACTCCGCGGTGAGTTACACTCACGATTTCATGAAAAAATTAGCAGATGGACATGGGTTGTGGCTTCATGATCGCACATTCTGGAGCGATGCGTTCGATGAGCAGCTGTATGTTATCATGTTAACATTTATTACATAAACGACAGCGAGTGGTCGTCGCAAAGTAATTTCAATAATACGTCGCAACTGGGCGCTGTTCGCACTAGGTTTCGCGAGGCTATTGTCAACACGAGCAGTACATTATAACGCCCCAGTAGATGAATACGGTTTACACTGGAATTTCTTCCTGTCTCTAGGACTGGCAAAGATCCGTAGGTTTAGATTTTTATAGACATGGGTAATAATTTTCTATTCAGTGTCCGAATTTTTATTTAACCTTGTTCCTAGCCACCTGCTACCCATTGTACCAGTGGTCATCGTGAGTTCTTACGAGTTTCTGTTATGGTTTTTCGACGCGTATAATACGTTTCCTGCGCTGGAACGTACGACCATTTTCACGGCCAACAAGGAAGGCATCGCGGCAATCCCGAACAATGTCAGTATCTTTTTCATCGCCTTCTGCGTCATGCGGTGGTGTGGCCACCGGTATAGGAAGCAAGGGCACCACCACGCCCTGCTGTTTTCGACAATGTAAGCCGTTTACCATTGTAACACCTTGATATTATCAGTTGCTCACTACTGTTTGGTCTGGCATCTTTCGTGCTTCACTTGTTGGGATTACCCAGTTCAAGAACGCTGGTAAGTCTATGTCGCCTGCTTTCCACTTGTTTCAGGCGAACTGTCGTTTCGTTCTGAACACCAGTTGCTTGTTCACAGCGGCTGTCTCCACCATTATTACTATCGACCTTATTTGGGGTATGGCTACATTTTTAGTTCTGGGCATCATGTTACAGGAGAAAAGGCGGACCACAGTGTTATGGATTGCGTCGGTAAACATTCATTTGTGTTTTTTTTACTTGCAAATTTGATCACCGGACTGGTGAACATATTGTGCCAGCCACTGTTACTGCCATTAGCGCTTATGTTTCCCCTTGTGATGACATATGCTGCGTTTTGTTGTGTTTGTGCGTTATTTTTTGATCGTGTTAAGCTAAAATTGCTATGAGCCTGGTGAGTCAACTATGTGCTCTACGAGTGAAAACGCATCCTCCTTGCTCAATGAGCATCCCTGCGCTGCGAACTTTTCAACCACGAGCTCCGCTGTTGCGGTTTTGAACCCAGAAAACTCTTCGGCGACCTGTGCCTCAATATTTTTGAAACTATTGCCATACTTACCATGTCTATTGCATCGTCTACTATGTCAATGCTGAACTTTTGGTTAGCTTTGAACTGTGCAACTATCTTGGCCGTGATATGGTCTAATGTAAGTTTTCGTGTTTTCTTCTTTGGTGTGAGATCAGCGCACCTCCTTTGTAACGCATCTCTCTCGGCTAGTATCCTCTCCTGTTCCGCTTGCGTTGATAGTTTAAGGTTGGAGATTGCACTCTGCGCCATATATGATTTGGCAGACCAATAAAACCCACCCGTACATTAGCCATAAGGTCGGCTTCGTATCGTGCACAAGCTTCATATGCATTTCTCCGTTCTGTCTCCGTTTTGCGTTGCTCCTCACGCGCTATCTTGACAGCGTCTATGGCTAGTTGTCTGTATTTTTTGACAAGGGCATCGACATGTTCCAAAACTTGGCGCTTTGCAGCGATAATGTCGCGTTCATGTTGTTTTTTCATAAGTATAATTTTGCGATTTAAGGCATCATCCTGTGGCGCAGGAGTGACAATAGTTGGTTGGTTATGGCGATTCCTTAGCCACCTGTGTGAAATGTTCTGATCACAATCTGGAGCCAACCTCGTACATCTTGTGGGAGTTTCCCGTGGTATCTGCATTACCATTTACACCTCAGGAATAATAACCTACAGTATTTTGTCTATGTTGATACTCCTGAGGTTCCTCATGTGGCTTTGTTGCTCTTATTCTGACTGATTGTTCCTCTTTCATCATACGCACGGCACTGCGGTCTATTTGCAGCAGCGTTTTTTGTAACTGTTTGGTCGTTCTACGATCACTTTCTTGTGTAAATACAAAATGTGGCTGTTTTTGAGTGTTTTCCCCTCCGCACATCCTCGGTGTGATTGGCACATCAAGCATGAGACCATTACGATGTCTTACCCACCCTTCTGGAAGCTCCTCATCTTGATCTGCATGATGCTGCGGCGCTTCAGTGCTGTATTCGCTCAATTCTGCGTCCGGAATATCTCTATTTTGGATTCGATTCATGCGTGTCACCGAGTTCGGGGAAACACCACCTGGCGTGCACACATCGGCTACCTGTTGTTCGTCATCCATTATGGATTATGTGTAGAGTGTATATACAGAAAGGTTTTTGTGCCACAGCGTGACGCCACCCGACGCGCGTTTATGCTGGACATGTTGGTGCTTGTGTGTTAGGTTATAATAGTTTTGTGACAAATTTGTGAAGAGATTTCCACAACGATTTGCCTGTTTCCTTTTCGTTTCTAAGCATCAGATGCGCCTCGTGGTCGAGTTCGACGCTTGGAGGAACCAGACGAATGAGTACCGCCCAGTATGCTTCGTTTGTCTCTATACGATTGCACAGGTCTTCAAGGCTTGTCACCAATACTTTAGGGTACCACGCCCGCGTCCCAGGAAGCAGCTTGTAGTGTGTTTTCCTACCACCGACCTCCGATTTGGCTCGACCGCTCCACCAAGCACTGCGATATACCTCTTCGGCTTGCTCTGGCGAGAAAAATATAGCTAGTTTATCCGTTTCAGGATTGTACTCATTCGTTCCGTCTTCTGAATTCGTGATCACAATGGGTGGATCTGTAGTGAATATCGGTGTACCTCGAAATGTCGATTTGCCATTGAGTGTTGCCCTAGTGAGTGCCTCTGGAATAGGCAACAAAATTGGATCATAATGCCGCTTCGCTTCCTGAGAGTCTTTCAGGTAGTCACTTAGTGTCACTATTTGTGCGCCTACGTTGATTCCCTGTCGTCTGAGCTCGTGTATCTGCGCGGCGCAGGCATTTGGGTCCATGAAATACAATACCACTTTTGGCATGCCTTGTTTAATATGATTTATATCGTGCTGGCTACTCTCGCTTTCAACGCTATTCCCGCCTTCACGAAACAATTGAACAAACGCATGAGGTATCTGTGATGTTTCAGGAATCGTTTTAGGTGGTCGTCCTGCAGACTCTTGCGTTGTCACTTCTGTATCCTGGGAAAGCGCATCGCTAGGATAATGGGAAACTAAAGGTCTTCCATGTTCGTCAGTAATCACATATAATTGTACCTCACTTAGCCGATTGTTTAATTCGTTCCTAGTCCTTACACGGTCTAGATAGGAGAAGAGGTTCGGTATATGCAATAGAGCTGCTGGGGCTATTTTACGCGCCAGAGGACCGCGCAAGATCTCGGCACTTCCTTTGAAGCCTCGAGGAACCGCCAGAGGTGCTCTGTTTGGCTTACGCGTTCCTACGCCCCCGAGTAGAACAACACAGATACACACAAGCGGCAAACAATGCACCATTTTACATTAAAATTTACAACATTGTCATATTATGCTACATTTTGCCTTTTATTTTATTGTATTCTTTTAAAAACTAAAAACTTCGGCACCACACACAGTGACGTGCCTTCCACCTATTAGGATCATATAAACTATTGATGACGTGACGTGTGGTTCAGTAGTGATATTCGTCCTCTTTGAAAGGCCCTTCTGGTTTGATTCCCAGGAATTCACATTGTCTTTGGGTAGGTATCGTGAGTTTAACGTTAAGAGCCTTTAGGTGATACCTGGCGACGGTTTCGTCAAGTGTCTTGGGAAGTCTGTTAATGCATTTGCCATATTTGTCAGTGTTCCTGTTCTTCCACAATTCCAATAGGCATAGTGCTTGGTCGGTGAAAGATGCAGACATGACAAATGCTGGATGACCATTAGCACATCCTAGGTTGTACAATCTGCCATAAGCAAGGATAATAACACCCTTTCCAGTGTCAGGGAATTTGAAATAATCAGCGCCAGGTTTGATGTTTGTAATTTCCAGCCCTGGTACTTTGTGTAGCTCTGCCATCTGGATCTCCTGGTCACCCTGTCCGATGTTACCTAGGATAGCATTGTTCTTCATACGCTTCATGTGTTCTACAGTGATAGTGTCGATACCACCAGTACATGAGATGAACATATCAGCAGTTTCTACGACATCTTCCATAAGCACGACATCAAATCCTTCCATGGCAGCCTGAAGAGCACAGATAGGGTCAATTTCTGTAATTTTGACTTTGGCTCCTTGTCCCCTGAAACCTTGAGCCACACCCTTACCTACATTTCCGTAACCAATTACTACAACGGTCTTTCCACCAATGAGGAAACCATCACCTCCGTTGAAGAGGCCGTGGATACCTGAGTGACGGCAACCGTAGATGTTGTCGTATTTCTGTTTGGTTACACAATCGTTAGTACTCATGACAGGGAATAGGAGACCACCAGCCCTCCAGAATTTGCGGAATTGCGTGACACCACTGGTTGTTTCCTCGGAGAGCCCAATAACTTTCGATGCCAATTTCTCCCAGAAGTAACCGCGTTTAGTTACGAGAGTGTTGAGGAATGACACAAGGCATTGGATATCACGGTTTTGTTCATCGAAATCCTTGGGGTCGAGAAGGCTCCCATCTTTGGCGTGCTTTCTCTCAAGCTCCACACCATACTTGATCATTGAGTACGCACCGCATCCATCGTCGACAATAAGGTCAGGCCCATCGGCATCCGGCCAGCACATAGACTGGTACACACACCACCAGTACTCCTCAACAGTCTCACCTATGGCAATATGTGTGGGCTTACGGAGTATCGGTCATTGATGTATATGTGTGTTTACGTATCGTGAAGTAGACATACCTTTCCATGCGAAGATTGTGGTTTCATCGCTGTGGTACGCTTTGAGTGCGGCACATATACCATCATGAGCTGAGAAAGGGTTTGAAGAGGCCCATCTGACGGTGGCACCCAGTCTGTTGAGCGTTCTGATGAGGCACCCGACCTCTCCGGTAAGGTGTAGACATCCTGACACACGTACTCCTTTAAGTGGTTTATGTGATTCTTCTACTTCCAAAAGTGAGTTGAGTCCTGGTGACTCTTCCATACGAAGCTTAAGAAGGATTTTGCCAAAATCCTTTTGTGTGATGTCTTTGCACACTCCCTCGGAGAGAGGGGTAAGATTGTTCCAAAGGTCGGACATTTTGGAGGTTCGCACAGCCGCAGGATGGATTTCGATGACTTATTCCGGTCCCCAATTAGTATAGAACGCCACTATATTGTAAGAGATTAGCATTAGAGTGGGGTGAGCATTATTTGGGGTGGCTCATGTCATCGCGGTCTTCCAACTTTTGTCGACGCCGTTTGACCTTGTTAAGTTTGCTACGGTAGTTTGCATACATGAACTCCTTGTATTCCTGCCATGTGTCCTCCCCCACCTCCATGCGGCAGAAGTTCGACTTCTTGATCATTCTCGAAATGTCCGAGAGATCGGTGAAGAGTAACTCTCTATAAGTTAGTGTTCTTCTTTTAGGTTGACAGACTCCTTGTGTGCGGTTTCTTCTATTTATTGTGGCATCCGTTGTCACCGAATCTTCTTGTAGATTTTTGTCGACTTTCTTGCCCGCATCTAACCTTCCTAGCAATCTCGCTAGCCAAGTTGTGCCTTTATCCTGAACCTTTTTAATTTCCTTTTGCACGCATGTTGACACATTGGCTTTTGGGCCAGGAACCTTCCGAGATCCGGCGTCCGACTCGCCTTCTTGTGGCATCCTTGAAACACTCTCTATGTGTATGTATCTACAGCTTTACGACCTTATTATAACACACTTACAACGTTTAACTCAACGGGATTCTCCGCTTCTTGGTTATTATCGTTTGAATAACGATTTCCTCCTACGTGGCACCTAAAAGTACTTAAGCCTGCTTGTAACGTTGTTAATCGAAGCCTTTGATTGCTTTACAAAAATTTTAGAACAGATGAGATGCGATGGTAGTTCTCTGAATTCGTCTTGTGGAGTATTTTCTATCCCCTTTCTTTCGGGGTGAAAAATAAGTCCGCTCAAGTATTCTTCCCTTGAGACGTAGACTACAATGGTAGCGCCGTATTCCACAGAGGATGTTTTTTTGCTCCAAAATCTTTCTTTGTTTACACAAGGATACCCGCCTGGGGTAGTCCTCAATCAAGAAGGTACTGTTTCTCAAAAGAAATCATGAATATATCTAAACCACATAAACGCTATGAACAGTAGACTACCTCTTCGTTATAATAATTCAGTAAGTGCATAAGTTAGGGACATACAAGTACATCAATGAAGGTTACAACCCACAGGTACATTGGTGATGGGATGGGTGTCTAAGATATTATTTTAGGAGATTCATATAAAGCTTTTACAACAGTTTTCCTTAAGAGCACAGTGTAACTCGCTTCGTAGCAGAGTACGACATAGGATCCTATTGGTCAGATATTGAATCGATTATATCCCCGCCAAAAAATGTCCTGTGGATGCGACAGTGCTCTGCGGTCTTGCGCCGTCTGTATAGATAGCAACGAGCCACCATAGGTGCCCAGACTTACGGTATATATTTCGACAGTAGGATATCGTTTGATATAACGTTGCGCCTGTCTACTTTGCGAGGTAAGCCCTTCCGGTAGGGCACCATGTGTTTGCAGCACAAGTGGGACAACCTGGTCCAGCGGCAACGCAAATGGTTTGGCCAAATCCTACCAAAAGGTGGTTGACCTCTGCCCACAATTTTTGAGGTATAAGCGACTGCAACTTGATTCTGGTCTCTTCTGGTGTTTTGGTTTTGACCCATCCAAGTCTGTTGGCAATCCTATGCACATGTAAATCAACTGCAATGCCATTTATTCGTTTGAACGCCTGCGCAAATTGTATATGTGACCTTAATGGACCTACAAGCTGCATGACTAGGTTGGCCATTTTGGGTCCTACACCTGGGAGCGCCACCAGGTCCTGCACGGTATCCGGAACCCTTCCGTTGTACTCATTAAGAATGATATCGGTAGCTTGTTTGATGTGCTTTGCTTTTGTTTTGTGGAATCCTACTTTGGAGATTAGTGAGTCTAGCTCCTCCTCTGACATCTTGGCTATGTTTTGCACGTTGAGTCCACGTTGTTTAAGCGCATCCATAGCCGCCGCGGTTACCGCATCCTTTGTCTGGCTAGAGAGCATACATGCAATAAGCGTCTGGTACTCGTAAGTGGCTTTGTCCTCTGTCTCGTCAGCACAGCAATGAGCACCCATTGTATCTACAGGCGCTGTTTTCTATAGAAATATTGACATTTCCAGGTAACGAAAACTTACGCTTTGTCTCATATCGACTATAGCGTTCCACACGTTAGCGAAGTTGGGGATTTTGCATTCGTTTTGCTCAATATGTCTGAATGGTTGCCTTTTGGTGTCGTAGTCAAGGTCAATGTATTCATTGTCATAGCTGATCTTTAATTTCTTAGCCGCACTTTTCTTGTTTGATATAGGTTTAATTTCACTGTCAGTAGTTAGGTTTGTTGTTGCGGAAGTGGACTGTTCCGGTGACGGTTGCTGCGGTGACGTTGAGTTTTCTTCCTGGATCATATTCTTTACTAATGCTTCTAGTTCAATTTTGGAATCCAATAGATCCTCAAGATGCCTTTTAACCGATTCATCGCCCGTCAGCGCCTCGGGAATATCATTGCGGCTTCGCTTCACCATGGAATCTTCCAGTAGTGTGTCAACCTGTGAAATACGTATGCGTACCCCTCTAGGGGTTATCCAGGCTGCTCAATATTATATACACACATAATATAACCCACCGTATGACCTATTGACCGTGTAGCACAGTGTCTTTACTCCCCGAATGAGTGACTTGAAGGAACAGAATGCCAATGCGAGCAACTTCCACCACGGTCTCCTCCACGTTTGGACCATCCTATATTAGTAGATACCTCTAAATCTTGTTTATTGATTGTCTAATGTGTTTTTTGTTGAATTAACGAAATGTGATATTCGTTAATTATTTTAAATTGGTTTTCGGCCTTTCTTGCGGTTCTCATCCGACAATACTAGCACTGCTATGTCTAATGTCGCTGGTTTTGCTGATTTGTGTGACTGTACAACATGGTTTGATCCCGTCGAGTTCGGCTCTCTGGCTCGGGTGTCGACAGGCGGCTCCAGACCCCATCCCCGCGGTGCGTTCTAGACTTTTCGTTTTCGTTGTAGAGAAGCTTCATCGCAATTCAATGCGTCGAATTTGGTATAAATAGGTGGGTTTTCTGGTCTGGTATTGTATAATTTATCGGCGTTTCCCCTAGCTATTTCCATAGTGTCGGATAGTTTGGTCCGATGTGCACCGTTTTGTTTCCTTTTTTGTGGTTTTTACACATTTCCTAGGTGTATTATTGTAATTATTGAGGATTAGTGAAGGCGTTTTTGCAGGATGGTAAGTTTGGTGTATGTGTCGGTGGTTTAACGTTTGCGTTAGAATCTGAAATTGCAAAAGCGTCTTGCCGCTTCGGTTCTGAAGTGTGGCAAAGGGCGAGTATGGCTGGATCCTAATGAAAGCAATGAAATTGCGATGGCCAACTCTCGTTTCAGCATCAGGAAGTTGGTTGGCGACGGTCTTATAATTAAGAAGGCTGTTTCGCCACACAGCCGTGCACGTATTCGTCTTATCCACGCTTCTAAGCGCCTGGGTCGTCACTCTGGTATAGGAAAGCGCAAGGGTGCTAAGGGAGCGCGTCAACCCCCGAAGTTGTTGTGGATGCGCCGTCAGCGCGTGTTACGCCGCATGCTTCGTAAGCTGCGTGATGCGAAGAAGATGGACTCTCACATGTACCAAAACTTCTACAAGCGCTGCAAGGGTAACCAGTTTAAGAACAAGCGTGTTCTATTGGAGGCGATTCACAGCCAGAAGAATTCATGGATTAAACAGAAGGCGGAGAACGAACAGATCGAGGCCCTAAAGGCCAAGGCTAAGGCCATCAGGGACAAGCGCAAGAGCAGGATGGCTGCTCGCGCGGTTTAAAGACACATTTGTTAACGTTTACATCGGCTATTGTTTCGGTATAGTATGACATTTACCACATAAGTGCAGCGGTTCCTTTGGCCGCCGCATTTTGTGCTTCATATTGTGTTGCGATTATGTTTGTTCCTGCCAGGCTGTTGAACATCGGCAATACTACGTTTGTGATTGTCTGTACGTCCTCCTGGTTTGTTGTATTTTCGTATCTAGTGTTCTCGTGATACATGGCGTTTGCCTTCTCAGTGGGTTTCAAATCGCTATTTCCAATGAGTCTACTTATAAAGTTGTGTACAAAGTGGTATGTGCCTTTTGGAGGTGCCAATACCTGCCCAGCACCGTTGAAACACCCTCCTGGGCATGCCATGACCTCAATGTATCCTATACTACCAGTGTCACCCCTCCTTTTAATTTTTTGAACCACGTTTTGAATGTTTCTGAAGCCATATGCGAGCACGAATGTCATGATGCCTTTCCCATTAATTCTGAGTGTTGCCTCCTGAATTTTGTTGTATTAGATATTTCGTGTGTTCCTACCTGGTAATCGTTATTAATGGTTTCGGTGAACTCCATGTTATTGTTCTCTATTCCTAGATATTCTGCTATATAGTTCTTAATTTCTTCGGCGAAGCCACCAGATTGGGCATTTTTCAGCGATGGTCTAATGTATGTGTCGTCTACTTTCTGTGGTTGCCGTATATCTTTGTTGAAGATTTTCGATAAAACGAATGCACGCCTGTCTGTAAATATACGATCAACATCTGCCTCTGGCATGGTTTTGAAATTCAATTTGTGTTTTTCCAGAATGCGTTGTATATCCGATGTGGATATGACGTCATCCACAAGTTTTTCTTCTTCATCATCTCCTATAGGTTGCACTCCAGCAAAAGTGTAAATCCCCTTAAGATTTTTTCTTGCATGTGTCCTTGCCGCTTCAATTTTTTTGTCATAGCACGGTGCTGTTGCGACATGGTATATTGGTTTTATCTTGACTTTATTATGTTTGATGTTTGTGTGAATGCCTCTTAATATTTCACCAATGCGACTGTAGGTGTTTGTGAAAAATCTTGTGTCTGGTTGTGTAAAGGAGTATGCTTGTTCTGCTGCGTTTTCTAGTGCGACCAGCGTTTTAACCAGTGCACCCTGTACCAGTTGGCTCGAGGCTACATTGCTGATTTTCGTGACTACATTTTCATCCAGGTTTTTTTCGGCATATGTGGTCCACCCAGGACAATGTGATGCAATTAATGGTATGTTGTAGTTTTCTTGTTTCTGATCCGAGTTTACGGATGTTGGACTTTCTAATTGTTTATGAAGGTCATGGTTCTTATCTTTGTAATGTTTCGGTTTTCCTGTTTCATGTATTTCCCATTCTTTGTTGTATATTGATTCGATTGCAACTTTGACTGCCTCTTTAAATTCTAGTTTTGCTTGATGTAGCGTTATAGCATCTGCCAGTTGCATATCATATACTTGTTTGGCCCCAATTGTCTTGAGTAAATACGCAATTTTCCTGAATGCACTTCTGTACGAAATTCCGTATGTCTGTGCAAACATGAAGGCAGTCTGCGGTGCGATAGAGACTACAGCAAAGTCTGCTGCGGCTATTTTTTGTACGATATCGTCATAGCTGCTGTCTCTGAGTATGATATCTTCGGATGTGGTTAGGCAACCCGAGCATGTCATGCAATCACTGAGTCCTACTATGATTCTTTTACTTTTTTCATCAGTGGTTGTTGTTCGCAACTTATTTGGCGCCTTCGTTGCTTTTTCGTTTAACTGTACCTCGTATTTTTCACCAGCTTCCCCCACCGGTAGTACACACTGTTCGCTAATGTTGAGAAAGTCATTAAGCTGATCAATTTTGACAGCTGCAGAGAACATTTTAGCGTTTTTTTACTTGCATAATGGTTGTTTGGCTATGTCGCATACTTTTTATCACCCTAGTGCCTGTCACATATGTGACCTGTGATTACTTGTTAGAAGTGGTTGGGATGCAATAGTGTGTCGTTTCTCATCCGTTATGTAAGATTGGGCATTTACACATCGGCAACTTGCGTGGTATGTCAGCTGAATGGTTGTTCGGTCAAAACATATTCATATATTTAAAATTGCTCTCTCTATTGATTGCTAATATGCCCTTACCTCACAGCGCGTGGAAGTACTCGAGGTGACGCGTGTCGTGTCCGGCCTGCGGTTCTCGAATTAATCGTAATAATTGCAACTATAATACCGCGTTTCGATGTTCTATGATTGACATTTGTGTTTTGTTCTAAATTATGGTGATACTTTGAATGATCTGCGCTTTTGTAATCCACTTTGGTTTAGGGTGGGTTTTACACATTAATTCATATCGAACTTGGCTCATACTGGTTTCTCTTTAACCAGCATTTTTTGTTTCGTTATAAAATTCTATGCTATTGTATAAAGCAGCAATTCCTATAGTCCTTATGCGACAGTGAATAAGGTCACCTAACTGAACACACATTTTCAATGTGGAATCTTGTACAATATTATGCTAACCTTAAACTGTCATTGTGTAATTTGAAAAATTTTGTAAGTGCCGGTATTTTCTCTGCAAAATTTTCACGCTGCTGCTGGAATCCCGATACCTAGCTTCGGCTTGAACAAACCACATATTCACACGATAATGCCACAATTATATGTGCCATTTATATCACAAGGTAGTGATAATAATGTATTTATCTCGTTTGAAGTTTGTGTGACCAGCTACCTTGACCACTCACGGCATTGATTTTCCGAGCTGCACGTACTCGGGGATATTTGGCATTCTTTACGCCTTTAAAAAAATTCCATGCATAAATTAATCGTGCTGACAAATTCAATGACGATCGTATTTGTGTCGCCGTGTTGAATTTGTTCGTTCGTGTAGCTGCTAGTTGAAAGGGAGATCTAGTGCCGTGTCTAGGTTGAGGATAGATAATTTTTTGACAATCGCTCACAATTAGCTGTGGTATGGGGATATATATTGTTGGCTAGCTCTATTTTTTCAGTATATTTGTTTACTGGTATATTTGAATTTTTTGTGTTGCCGTTCACCGGCATAGTTTTTATATTTTGTAATGTCGCCAGACACTGGCAGCGGCGAACGCCGTTGGTACAACTGGTTGTGTTTTTGGCGTCCTACAGCTGTAAAGGAGCGTGTATATCGTGGCAATTTTACATCTGTAAATGGTTACGGTAATTATTCCGAGAGCCGCGGTTTGAGTTTCCTTTCCTTTGCTTGGATCGGTCGCTGGATCGGTGCTGTTGCATACGGTGGAGCTGGAAATGACAAGTATCCTCCTTTACCATGTAGTGATTTTGATACTTTTGCATCTACCGAGCTGAGTTTGTATCTGATGCAAATACGCGAGGTTAAGCGCGGTCCATTTTTCAACACTGTCTTGGGTAATTTGCGTTTATCGCTTATGCGAGTATATCGTTACGCCTTTGCTTATTTAATGGTCTTGACGGTACTTAAGGATGCCATGGAACTCTTTGTCATTTGCCTTTTGAAGGCAGTGGTTGCCAAATCATCGTTGCATACCAAATCGGCGATTGCATCTTGTGAGTTTTGCATTAATATAATATTAATCACTCTGTAGACTTAATATCCATTTGCATTGTCGCCGCTGTCGTCACTACCGACGCCTTTGTGGAGGCCTACCATCACTTTTATTACCGACGTCTATCGCTGCGTATGGAGATAACACTGCATACATTGTTGTTCGGTAAGATTTTAGCTCGTGAACGCAATATAGTGTTGAATAATGCTCCTCCGTTGACTAAGAAGCAAGAAACTCGTAGTTTTGGCGGCTGTTTCAGCCCCCGACCAACTGCTCCAAAGCCTGAGCTTGAGCAGTCTGACGAGGTGAGCATTTTGAACCTTGCATTGTTCGACGTATTCGAGGTGTCGAATGGTGTTGTCCGGGCTGTTGATTTACTCAATGTTCCTATTAAGTTGTTGATGTTGAGCATGTGGCTTTACGGCGAGATGGGATGGCTCTCAGCGAAGTCTTTATTTCTTTTAGTTCTGAGCAGTGCCATCATGTTGTTGTGTGAATGCCAATGTGCTTCACTATTAAAGGAATATGTCCGGCGTGTTGACCTGCGTATGTTCAAAACTCAGGTTGTTTTGGAGGATCTTCGTAATTTGCGTTTGTTGAAGTGGGCAGGTTACGCTATGGCGTCTGTTATGGGCAGCCGTGTACACGAGTTACAAATATGTCTAAAACGTGCGTATCTCGGTGCTATAAGCGGTTGGATGGGCATGGTATCACCGTTCACTATGGGACTGTTCATTTTTGTGGTTTCTGCCCGAAGTAACTCGCCTATGTTGAAAGGTATGAACCTCGACAAAAGTTTGGCTCTTCCATTACTCCACGCTCTCGGTTATTTTATTCGTCCGCTTAAACGGTTACCTGCAGATATAAATGACCATTTGGAAACTACTTTATCATGTCGTCGGCTTGAGGATTATGTTTGTCGCAAGGTCCTCGATACGCACATACCTACTGCATATGACCGTTTTTCAGAGCGAGTGCCTTCTTCCAATTATGAATGTCGTTATCCATATAAGATTGAGCTTTCTACATTGCGGGATGGCAAAACTCAGGGTGTTTTTCGCATTCTCGGTAGGAAGATTTTGAATCATATTCCTTTATGGATGCTTCCACGAAAATCTCTTCCCACACCTATGGATTCCCCTCGTTCTCTTGCTGGTTGTGATATAGATAAGGAAAACCAAACCATGTCATTAATCCGTTCACGCGATTCGATAAAACCTTCAACTGAGCTTCTGAGTGATTCCTATATGGGTGTAACCTATCCTCACGTGGCCCAACTTAGTCAAGCATCGTTTTCCTGGAATCGTCGTCCCGTTTTGAGTAATATCAATTTAACTCTTGGTTTTAATCAGGTTACATTGGTAATGGGCCCTCCTGGTTCGGGTAAGACAAGTCTTTTGAATGCCATTATGGGTGAGCTCCAGTTGTTATCGGGTA